TTGCTGTCTCAAATCTTAATTAGTAGTGTTTTTATTAAACATATGTTGCAGGAATAGTTTAAATTCTTGGTCGCACGAAAAACTGGCTGTGTGCTATGTGTGCATCAGCGCATATTCACAGCACAGTGTCAGTAAAACGCTATGAGCTTAACTTCTGTTTGCCTCAGTGCGTACATAGTTTAAGTTAGGTTTGCGTGCGTGGTCCTCTGGCTACTCCTTCAGTAAATGACATGGTCCTTGAGTTGCATTTTCAGCTCAATTATCACCTATCAACATGCTAAAATCATAGCGTGAATTAGGTGTTTCGCGGAGATATGGTAATTCATATCTAAAGTGTTGATAAGAAATACTTGGTGTCTTAATTAAATTTGAAGGACAATAGGCGCTCGTAGACAAGTGGGCAAGCTCGCAAGATGCATTGCATTCCTGAAGCATGGGCATTTTGATACTGTAAAAGTTGAAATTTCAAGGTGTCAGCCTAATCTATAACCGGTAAAAATGCATATCAAAACAGACAATGCCCTCCAAAAATGTTTGGAAAACTACACAAACCACAAAAAAATCTTGGGTTTCAAATTGCGACCGCGATATCCCGCACTTGTTTCCGCCTTTCTAGATTGAAAGTGTCCCTCGGAACATTGCGCTGTTCAACCACTTTATAAGATTTTGGAGATATCACCCACGATATCACCTTGTTTCATTTCGTGTAGGCAAAACAACCGTGCTCTCGAGGTCTGATAATATATAATCCTATAAAGCGAACGAGTGTAGTCAAGTTGTCTCTCAAGATACGAAGATGCACGCGGGTGGAATTTTAAGGGTTAACTTCGAAGGATTATATACATTTAAATCTCAAACGAGACTCGTTTGAGAAACCGACTCACACAATATCGACTGCTAAATAAAAGCACGAAAAATTCATTTGAAGCGATGTTGTGATGCGAGTGTCGAAAATGGTAACTTGTGGACACATCCTGACAGGCGGTGCGACACAGCATGCGGCTGTATTAATTCACAGCATGTTTTAATATGTTATCATTAAGTCATAATTAACGAGTAATAAGAAACTATGTACGGCGTGCATATGCATGGATTGCGTTTTCAGTGAAGAAAGTCAAACTACACCCCCTGAGATGCATTTAAATTGTTTCACGCCACTTCTTTGATGATGAGAATATGGAGTTATTGAAGTAACGGTGTGGAAGTTCATATTTTAGCTGGGATGTCGGTCAATGTACATTTATGCTACTATAGTATAAGCTGGAAGCTTAAGAAAAGACCGCCCCGAATTTAAATCCAAAAGTGCAGAAACACTTCTCAAGTACTGTATTTTTGTCTATTTGGGTGATGGTGACGCAAACCATATGAGCCATCTGTTGACACCTGATGCTTATCGCGACATTGTGCAAATAACAAACAAAGTAGTCGACACTTTCACACTAAAAGTCACGCAATGCTGCACGGCTTCGTCTTACCTCGTACCCAGGCTACAACTCGATCTCGGTATAATATGAAACTAATCCATATAAATGTCCGCTAATAGCGTTATTTGCGGTTTCACGAGTATATAAATAGTCAATTTTTAAATCAATACGTCGGTGGCCGAACAGCTACCAAGCCACAATAACAAGCGTGATTTGCCAACTAAAGCACTTATTTCCTAGGACCAAAGCCTGAACGCCCTAAAGGCATGCGCGCATGGATGACAATATACTCGAAATCCGAATGACAAAACGACATGATCTGTTATTTGCATTCTTCTTATTACTGTGCGCACCGCATCTGGCACTTTTTAAGTGGCAATCGCCAAAGGCAACTGAACTGTGATCAATTCACCAATATAGTAAAGCTAGTTCACACGGGTGGTTCTGGCTACGATTTTTATCTTTTGATGGATGTGAACGAGTGAATTGCATGTTATGTCTCGCCTGTTTATATGTTTATCACAGAAAAAACCGCCCTTAAATATAGGGCCAGCAGCAAGTTCGGAAAATTTCTTAAAAATACCTTTATATTGAATTAAATGTCCATTGAGTATAAAGACGATTTCTACCACGACTCATCCCTGAGCCTGGTCGACAAGTTAAAAATACAGTTAAGGTGGTCAGTTCTTCATGAGTTGACTCCGAGGTTACGGTCAGTATACGGGTGTAGGGGACACGTAATTTATCTACTAGAATTATTTTTAATCATAATATAACACAGTATAATAAAATTAAAAGCAACGGAAAAGGAAAGACTGATGAATGCTAAAACTCAGAGAACGCTGCTCGAGTCTCGATCGAGAAGGTCAATTACGTTTAAATAAATGTGAAAGAGGTTTTTACATTTATTGATCGAGTAGCAGCCATGATTGATCGTGAAGACCATAGGACGATATTCGCTGATAACACAGCCAACACAGGGTGTTGGATGTCGCTTTTTGACTATTTGAGCAGAATATTTTTCGTCAAGAAACCTTGAAGTTGAAATGATTAAATTTCGGAGATTTTCGGGGGCTTTAATAAATATTTCGAATTTCAGAGATTTTACAAATTTTGGCAACACTGAACTTTTTTGGTAAAATCGTGTATAACACAACCTTACAAGGAACAGGTTTGCATTGACATGTTATCTTAGGATACTGTCTTAGGATAGGAGTCTTAACTGTTATACATATATAGCGAGAACCAAGAAGCTGAGTTTGCGCGCGGCTTACGATCTTATTACAACCTACGTTAGTTTTAATCCGAATACGCTTTTGGCAGATGAAAAGCTGGGGATTGGCTGACGTATGTTAATATATTATTTACTCATCCTAATCTGAAATGCATTCTTCTTTTGTCGCTTTGTCAACCCTTCTTTAGTTGTTGATAAAACGTTATGCGTGGTAATTACGGGCGAATATTTTCACATAGATATCGTGTGCATTCTGGGCGTCTGCATGCATATGCTAAGTCTTATCTGTATCTCACAGAAACGACTTGTGAACTGCAATTCACTCAGGCATACGTCAACAACAATATAGTTCGATGCAGGGGAACACAAATTGTTGTCTACACCAATTATCGCCAAGATATGAAGACTACGAATGAGCAATCTTGTCCAATTTTGTATCTAAGCAATAACAAGGTCATAAATCTCTCTTCCCAACTACCGAAAACTGGCGAATATTGATCATATATTAAGTTCAAAAACTGCCAAAGTTAAAGTAGATTACAAATGAACATTAAATAGGAACTTTAATAATAACTCTTTGCATTTTAAAAGTACCAGACATTCATAAAGCAGCTATATTTAGATTCTTTGGCATTGGGCCGTGGGAAATCAGATTCGCTTTGAAACTGACGTTTCTTTTCAAACTTTACAGTTCTTGTGTCCAGGAAACAACCATCTGATGCATTCTTGTGGCTATAGCTCGCAACCAATTAGAGGTTGGACGGCTAAACTAGCTTTCGACAAATTAAAAGCAACTTTCTAATAGTGAATTGTACAAGCTGTTCAACTTCTTGTGTCAATTCAGAATTGTTTTATCAGCCATATTGTCTTATCAAGGCTTTACCTTTCGGCTGTCCTTCTAATTAGTTGAGTAATGCAAGAGTTCATCGGGTTGACGTATGTCCTTGTTAGTTACGCCCATGTCACGATATGCATTTTTACAGACTCCATATGAAATATTATTAACATGAGCAAGAAGGCTGCAAGCTGGAGATTTGCAGGCAAATATTTAAATAATCGATATACAAATGAACTAATTGTGCTGAATAAAGTCAAAACTGGTCTCGTGCATTTATGAAAACGAGAACTTTTCGGAATATCATATCGCTCGAATGGCGTTAATGTTGCTAATTAACTATACAATTCCCACATAATGACACGTTTCCATGCCTTCTCTGGCAGTTCCAGCCATCGCCTAAATTCTGGATGTTCAATAATGGAACATGTCAAAATCCAGTCGCTGAAATGTCGGGAAATAAAATCGGAAATATTACGCTCTGACATGAGCTGCACATTTTTCAATTTGCAGGGTATAAATGTGTCTGTCAAATTAACAGTCGTCTGTAATCCATAAAGAAACAGCTGTAAACTACTTAATAGTCATTGATGAAAACTGCTGCATCTGATAAGCCAGAATACCGACCAATCTTGGCTTGGCATGCTTGCGTGATTTACCGTATTTGGTTTTGTTAGACGACCAGCTGAAGGCGCCAAACAAAGGAGCACCTTGAAGTTATTTATTTATGTTTATGAATAGAAATTGAAATGAACGCCCTTCTGTACACATATATGCAGATACTGATTTGGTAGTAACACCCCGTGTTTACCAAGTGATTCCTCTACCATCTTACGGAATCTCCCGCGGGTAGGAAAAATGCAAAGGCTGGTGCTAATAGCGGGTATCGCCTTTCGGACGTAAAACCTATCTTTTAGTTCGTATGACCACCCAGCTTTGCCAAATTTAAGTATTTAATTACTTTATAATACTTTACAAGTGTCACTGATATTAATAACGTTCCGTCTTCTAGTACCGCAGCAAAAGCTAACCGTAATATGAAATAACTATCACCACTAATCATTTTTCATTCACATAGTGAATTGTTAATCCTGCTGCTATAGTAAGTAGTGATTAGTAGTTCTACACAACAAGTATATATCATAGGTGTTAAAGGAGAATTAGCAGGCGATTATTTGAAAAATAATATCATCATCGCGCGGGATTTGCCCGCAAAATTTATATTTGATTGAATTAAAATGTGAAGGTCAGGTGGGTCTCTCTTGGGTTATGGAAATGAGATCTTTCAACGCGAGAGAATCATTTGAGCTTAACGATGACACAATTAGAAGGCCGAAGAAGTGCGCATACTAGAAATAAACCCCTTTTCACAGATAGGTGAAGCTATTGACAGACTTGAGTCTCAAGTGACAGTTACCAAACATGCGATTATCAAATTAATTGCCAATTATACTTGTTGTTTGTCTACCACCTAAATGATTTACACGTTTAAGTGAATCACTGTTAAATCACAACGTCCCACCGCGCACCAAGATCGGGAATCTGCGCGCGTACTGTGAAACAAAATGGAGCCTACTTCGACTAACGAATCAGCCTCATTGTCTGAGAAGGCGACAGCGTTCTCCATCGACTCCCTGATATCCGTTGAAAAAGACAAGGACAGAGGTTCTTATATATTTATCTTTTTGTGAACAGTTTAAATGTAATATAAACAATTTTCCGAAAATTTGCGCAATTTGTATAAACAAAGTGCAAATTAAAGTCAAATCAACTTAGCGGTTTCATTCTTTAATTCAATCGACTCTTTTGCAGTAACAATTTATGTTGCTTTTCAGTGGAAGATGTAGATGTGAGCAGTCCCACGAAAAGAAGTATTGTGGAATGTTCGGCTGTACTGAATGGTCACGCAAAGCGACAGAAGACGCAGAATCACGAAAACAGTGAAAATTTAGATGAAGATTCATGTATTGACAATATCGATGTCATTCTCGAAGGAAAGGAACTGTGGGACCGATTCAACGAGTTAGGAACTGAAATGATCATAACGAAAGCTGGCAGGTGGGGAGAATTTAATTTTTATTTGTTTATAATGAACACCATACTTTATATCTACACATGCAAGCTGGTCCTCTTACTCTTCTGTCGCACGGGTAAAATGCACGTATGTGCAAATCTTTGTTGTATAAAGCCTTTTTTATCAATAGCAGGCTTCGCAGCTACATTATTTATCGGAAAATGAATGGGGCTAAATTTCCAATTCTAATACGAAATATAATTCGAAGCGCATATTATGCTAAATTTATGCACTGAAAATATTGATAATTACTTGTGCCTATTATATAAATAAAAACTGGATTATATATAGACATTCGTCCATGTTATCTTCTAACAATTTGCAATTTCCGCAAGGTAATTGCATAAAATATATTTTGGTCTGGTAATGATACTCTTCCGCGTTTACATCGGAAAACGTTCAAATTATATTGTTAGAAACGAACAGCTGATGTTGCGCCAGAGTCACTAAGCTAGATTTAGCGAACAAATATAGCTCCAGTAGTATAATATGATTGGTTTACGATTTATCAGTGTTACAGGACACCACTGCTAGTCTGCTAAGCTGCAATGGTATTATAATGTTTTTGTGAACTCTCACACTAAGACCACTTTGAACATGAAGACTAAACACGAGAGCAAAAACACATTGAGGTAAATCAGTTTGTGTACAAATTACCACTAAATTTTCCCTACGTGCGATTGTCCACGTACACGCAACATTGAGTTTGAAACTGGAGTAAAAGAAATCAAAGAAATGACGTATAAAAGTTTTAGAGATACTGATGAGATATTTTGGTTTGCATGTTTCTCACCTCGGACTTGCCATGTACGTTTTCATGACCTATGGCCGTCAACCGACAAGTACAACTACGCACAAGGCGCAACCTGCATGTTACTTCATGCATTCTTACTAATCACATGTTTTTCGAGGACAAAGATATGTACAATCATCATATAATCGTGAAACACATTTTCATTTAAGAAATTGACGTTTGATATCATGTGGTGTATCAGCTTTTGATTTTGAGATTTGAGTACTTCAATGAGTATCATTTGATTTTCTATTTTGTTCCTCGCCCCTCCCCGTTATTGTTGTCTGTTCCGTTGTACGTATCGCGCATAATAACCTAATATAGTTTATATTGGATGAGTTATAGAGATAAAAAATGTTGATTTTGAGATTCGTGTATACAATATATATCAACAGTATTTATATTTCTTAATAAGGAACGGCTTATTGCTTCCCATTGAGCGCTTGCGTGCGTTTGACCTCTCTTCGGTATACTCGCTAAAGTGCCAGAGGAAGTGAGGAAGTGAGGAATAGTTTGAATCTTTCAATAACTGAGATAAACCGTGTGTTTTGTAAAGTGTTGCCGTTTCGGATTATTAAGTAAGCTACATTATACTTATGCGATGAAAACCCGACTTAACGTGGTCGGAAACTGATAGTGATAAAATCACATCATAAAAACCGCCGCCGCTAACACTTGTATGCGTGAGGACTTAAAAATAGCTGTGGTGAAAAAATTGGCACCGGACTGCAAGGCAAAGTCACGCTATGTTTTTTCGCATTGGTTTATTGCAAATTTCCTATTATCGAAGCATGATGAGGACTTTTTACATTTGCCGAGTGTTTTGTATGCTTTGTTTGGTTGGTAGTGATAATAACGATAATGATAAATCTAGGTCAAATCAAGCATTTTTTCTGTTGTCACCATCCCCCAAAATCCTGTCATATACGGACATGGTATTTGTTGGTCCTTCACTACGTAAATACACTTGCGTATTCACCAAATAATTTGTGCATGAAAGTATACACTCACTTTTAGACTTGACAAATTTTGCAATTGCTAAACTATAGCTAAATGTTCACTTTCAGACTTATGCATGAACGATTGATTTACCTACATCAAACTAGTATTCACCCGCATCGAAAGCTTGTATTTTTATTTCACGTATTTAAATGTATGCCATTCTTACTGCAATTTCCACCCGATATTTTCCCTTCAAATCCTGTTCAAAGAGTTGTTACCATGCAGTATTAGTATATAATTACATCCATAACTAATGAGAGCTATATAGGCATATTTGCGCAAAATACTGTGCTGGTGTCAAGGCAAAAATATTTTTGTGCATGCATCGTTATTGAAATAATTCAACTGCAGTGAAACTGCAATAGTCTGCATGAACAGCCGAAATGTCTTGAGTTTAAAAACGATGCGCGCAGTCGTAAAGTCTGCGTATAGGTCACAGGTTTTATACTGAAGTATGTTCCAAACTGCTGTAGGGCCCTATTACTATATATTTGTGTTTCAGCTGTGTTTGTGCTGTACATGCCAGTAAAACCAGATGAAAGTGGATGGCAACACCTAAATATAGAATACACGATCATAAATGAAGCTTCAATAGATTATAAGGATAAGCTGGTTGTGTTTTTGCAAAGATTGGACTCCGTGCGCCATTACAGTGAAAAGCCTAGAATTGATGCGTGATAGGATTAAAAAATAATATATAGAATCCATGAGTCATCGTTGGAAACATTAAACGAGCAAGTCCTCAAGTGACGACAAGACGTCTAATCTGTTATGTCCGTGGCGTTCATGCTTGAATTGCTATGTTTTGATCACCTTACTTTCAGAGAAGTCCGATTAAGCAAGATTACGTATACTTTATAAAGCATGCAGTTGGAAAGAAATGATTACCACAATTTCCAACGTTCGCAATGACCGTATAATTGGTGTCTCGAGATGTAATAATGTTTATTCTATTTCTTGTCGATCAACCATCCCCAATGTTAACTCTGGAGCATTGCAGACAAGGCTGACAAGCTGTGTCACAGATGTTCCTTACCTCTCTCATTTTCCCCATAAATCACACCACTTTTTTTTCTTATATTAGCATTCCTGCACGCTATATCTGCGCGACATTTGGTCATAGACGGTTACTACAGTATGCCAGAGCATTTCATTTTATAGCCATGCAGTTTCATTCAACATTTTCAAGAACATTTTTGTTCTTTTCAGGCGAATGTTCCCAACATTAAGATTTTCGGTAACAGGGGCAGATCCAAAAGCAAGCTACCTCGTGCTCATGGACATTGTCCCTGTAGACGACAAAAGGTATCGCTATGCTTACCATCGTTCAACCTGGTTAGTATCAGGCAAAGCGGATCCACCAGCTCCAACTAGACTGTGTATGCATCCGGACGCCCCATTCACAGGAGAACAACTCATGAAACAACCGCTATCGTTTGAAAAAGTTAAACTGACGAATAATGAGATGGATGAACAAGGACATGTAAGAGAAAATCTTTATTTTCTTCCGAAAAAATTAAGCCCCTTACAGACGAGCAAGTTTTGTTTTTATGTGACAAGTTTTAATTGTTCGTCTGTACGCCCAACTTTGACAAATTTTTCTATGACAAGTGTAGTGTACTTGTTCAAAATGAAGTATACTTGATTTTGAAGTGTACAAGTGTACTTGTCATAGAAAAATTGTCAAAGTACAAATTTCGCTCGTGTGTATACGTATGAGTCAACAAAGAAAACTTGTCAAAGTAATGTGAGCACTTGTATGAGTTTGACCAGCGGACTATTGTATTTGCAACATCAGCTCTTCCAGATTTGATCTATGAAATGCCTAATCTTTGAGGAGGGAGGATGCCACGGCTCCGGCAATAAGGGATATAAAAGATCATTTAAAACATTTACAAAAGAGTATCTAATATTAATTTTGAAGGTGTTCAAATTAAATATATGCTCAAATATATGTCAATCGAAAACAAAGGATAGGGTATTGGATAGGGTAGGGTATAGGGTGAGCCACCTGAATTCAGAAACAGAAAGCAGACAAGTAATTGTTAATGCATATTTAATTGTTTTCATATTATCCAGATCATGTTAAATTCAATGCACAAGTATCAACCTCGAATTCACATCGTTCGAAAACGAGAGCATATTGCATCAGTGATCAACCTTAAATCAGAGAAAACACGGACATTTGCTTTTGATGAAACCCAATTCATAGCGGTGACTGCGTATCAAAACCAACTGGTAGGTACAGCAATTTCTGATAGTGATCTATAAAAATTTCCTTCAGCACAGCTGCTAGAAATGTTTCACTGAAATCACTTTTAGTGTCTGAACCCTTTGAAGAGGCATAAATTCAGAATAATTTTAGCACCTAACGGTGTTATTTTCATTCAACTGCATGGCGCCTATTTTTTTCATCCCTGTATTGAGCAGTATATTTCTCGGTCATTGTACTACAGATGTCGCAGCATTGTCAAGTATGCACACATGCATGCAGCCCCCGCACGACAAGAATTTGTTCTCTTATCGCTCAGTTTCTCAATTTAGATAACTCGATTAAAGATCAACAGCAATCCGTTCGCGAAAGGTTTCCGCGATTCTTCCCGTTTGCTGAATCCTGAATGGAGAGAAAGGTTAGAGCCAACATTTATCATCTTTGTATATCATCTTCAATATTAACATCCATATACGTATATGCAAGGCTGCAAGCCAGGTACATCCACTGCCTGAAATGTTCATGCAGTTACATAGCTACGTGCGTTGTTCATTAATTTTTCAAGTGAATTGCATAGCGTGAAAGCGTAGTTATATACTCACAGCTTATTAATGAGAAAGGTTTGCGTTTCTTCCATTTAGAAATAAGGATTTTTGCGACCAGGTTTCGCGAATATTTACCTATCATGACCCCACACTGTCGCCAATTTTACAAACTACGCCATGGAGAGTGGACCCTCACTACAGATTGCCTAGTGACCCAGGTAAATATGCTAAAAAACTAAAACCGATTAAATATGGAGATTAAGTTTTTGAGATGAACAAAAATAAACAAGTGAAAGTAAAACAGTTTTACGTAAGAATTTATCTTTTCATCTCCACTGTTTCGCGATTGTTTATGCAGGTTATACGAAAATATTTGTCCGGCTTGGTTATTTTATTAAAAAAGTATCTGCATTCTACATAATAAATATATACGTGAGTTCCAGCTGCCTGGAGTAGACCGGACTATCATCATGACAAAAGAATTCTGGAGGAAGAGCAGACTGATCGTTATTTTTATCAGCATCACTGACCACTTGATGCATGCAGAGCCATATGCATGGACAGCCCAAAATCTCTAAAACTTCTTTAGCTTCTGTCTTCTGCCAGTATGTCTGACTTGTATCTACCAAATTGCATTCTTCACTGTCTGAAATATTCTCCGGTTAATTCAATTACTATACGCGTCAACTATGGCCACACTCTTACCACGGAATTTCACTTCAATTTTAGGAAGCCACTCGCCATACCTCACATCGCCGTACAAGCCTGGATGTGGTTTTGTTTTTGATGAAAATATCCCGCAAACTTTTCTTCCACGGATGGCCACATCTGTTCAACGACCGCCCAATCTCTGTTACCCAGTCTCCTTTCCAACGACAATAACAGGCACTCCCGACTGTATGAGCCCACGAACTGGTTCTCTTTTGGCATACCTGCACGGAGGACATTTAGTTCCCCGTATGAGTGTTGCTGAAGATAATATATTCAACTTTAAAATGTAGAACGTCGTGGTTTCAAATCTGACAAAATTCGAATAAGACAAAAAACAATGACGTAGCAAAAAATTTCCTCCATGTAAATTCGTAAAGCAGTGCATGACTTGCGCTTGTTCATGTATAATTGTAAATAGAGTTGTAAATAGTAAACACTCAGACTTCAATGTATTTATTTTATGTACATTCTCTCTTTCTTATCATTACAATATGTATAACTAATTGTATTGCGGTTAAGGATGCAGTTGTGTTAATTTAACTGACCTGCATGCATAGCTCTACATTGTCTTGAAGTTGTTTGTCAATACGTTTCTGAAAGACATGATTGTACTAGAATCATTGTAGATCCTCTTGTCTTAGGATGGTCAAGAGAGAACGCTTACGAAGATATTACATGATTGATCAGTATCTAGATTTTTATCAGATCGCAACTTTCATCGTGGGAAATATTGCGTGGATGTCACCAACCTTGACTCGGAAGTAGTACACACAACCCTGATGGCTTTAGGGCTTTGTGATTTGTTTCTCTAGTTGTAGTTGAAGTAAACCGCACTTCCAAAGACTACAAAGGTTTTAGACTTTTATATTGCGGGCGTATGTGATCTTCGTTATTGTCAGAAAAATTCTAGATAACCTATTTTAATACACACTGTTTTAATAATAATAATAATAATAATGCATGTTTAATTAACCGGGTCTTCCAGAGTTTGTTTTTCAAATTAGGTTAAGAAATGACGGCGAACCACTTATGTATATGTAAAGATATGAATACTGCTGTGATCAAGTACGGGATGAAGATAATCGACAGTCTAAACAAAATTAATGGAGTCGATCAGTCTCCAACGTTACAGAGAGGACTTAACTGATTTATATTAATGTGCATGTGTACATTAAATCACTAATTATATATTTAAAATTTGATCTAGCTAAATTGAGGTCTGACTGAAAAATATCAGTAAATGTGTGATTATCTTATTAGGATATAGTTTAACTCCAACAAAAGGATCAACCCTCTCGTATAATGAACTCTTGCATTCACACGCCTATGTTGACAGCTAGCGGAAACGCGTAAGAGACGCATTAGTGCAAGTATAAACAGATTTTAACATTTAAGCTTTGTTTTCTAAAATAAATTATCGAGAACGTCGGCAAATTTACGGCTTTGATAAATCACAGATAAACCTGCTTAATCGTATGGCGTTGATCCAGACCTTTTTTGAACGAGCAGAAACATAAGAGTGTGATAATTGTTGGGACGAACAGTCGAACACCTACTATATGTGCCACCGTGCATGCATGGTGAGTATCCCCAGCATTTGAAATTTTCTAAGACACACAATTTTGGTTATTGGGTAAATTAAAATGTAAATCTGAAACATTTTGATCGGTAATATAGGTTGAAACATCAAGCCACAACAGAGGACCGCGAATGATTTTATCATTTTTATATGTTTCACTGTGTTGGAAGAATTTGTAACTGATTCCGAGTCATCAAAGCATGTTCGTTTAGTCATATTATTTCACAGAATTAGTCTCATAAAGTACGCAAAATGAAAGGTCACAATTCACTAAAATGAAATTTTCTGTTAAAGAGTATTATTACAGACTGTGGTAAATTTTGGGATGCCCACGCCTAACTGAAAACATCTTGAAGTACTTCAGAGAAATGAATGCACGATAGAATCCCATCACAGATGTTCATATCAACAGATCGATTTACAGATATATTAACTAGTTTAAATTTCGATGCATGCTTAATCTCTAACCAAGAAAAGAGGTTTCTTGTATGGCTTAATTATATAACTATGCGAACGTTCACGGACCTTAGAAAGGGTAAGAGCTGCTTACCACTTACCCATAAAACACACACGTAAAAGTCTAAACCTTATATTTGTCATATTTGAAAAAGTTGTGAATAAATCGAAAGAACTTAGTTTACCGCATATTTTAGTATGCATTTGTTGACTTGTGTGTCAGTAAATAATAAAGACAAAACGTGTTTTGTTTAACTAACATCGCCCAATTCGTATATAGCTATATTCTGTGAAAGGCAGTATGGATACTATTTATAGATTCGTTTTCGTTTAAATGAGCATCAATTAATGCATTCTAGCCTAGCCCTAATGACATTCTGTGCATGTGTATAAAATCATGGTGTTGGAACACATTCAAACAGATGTATGTTCAAAGTTACAAACAGCAGCGTTCCAGTGCTTCTGAAACAGGTAAATGTCCCGGAATGATTTCCAATACTGAAACAAATACCTCTGCGGCTTTTTCTTTGTCTTCAATTTGTTGGTATGCATATCCAACAACAGCCAAAGCCAAGGGATAAGATGGCGTTGACCGGAAACGTTCAACATAATTCTCAAATTGAAGCGCAACAGTCTGGGCTGTTTCCACTTCATTCAATTTCATATGGACCAATATTAATTCATAGAAAGCAAGGACTTTGGTTGGGATCGTAATGTTAATTCTGATACTCGCATCCAATTCTCGACGAAGGTAGAAGTCTAACAATGGTTTGTGCTCTTTCGCAAATGAAACTAATCCCTCATCTTTTTTTTTCCTCAGAATATTTTCAAAATGTTCAATGGCTTCAGTATAACGCTCTAGTCTGGAAAAAAGAGACGCAAATGCCCATTCCACGAACGCTGTCAATTCGGTATTTTTCTGCAGTAGCTTCTGGAACAAATTTAGTGCAAGATTCATACATTCTTTAAACGAATCTTGGTTTTTCATGTCAACCGTTAACGCTTTCGTCTGATAAAGGACTGCCAAGGTTGCTATAATGTCTTGACCGCATCTTAAATCTTCATCTAGTTCGAGACATCGTTCATAACAATGAATTGCAGCATCAAGGTTCCCTCTTTCGCAATGCATTTTCCCCAACGAATGGAAAACATAATACTGATTTGTGAAACAATATTTGCTAAGAGTTTCGCATTCCATAGGAAAAGGGTTGTCAAGAAATGCCTCCTTCCTTTGAAGCATTGCAAGAAATGATGTAAAATACGAGTACGATTCATTTCCTCTATTCATTTCCACCAACTCATTGCCAACCTTGTGAAAGCATGTTATTTTCATTTCTATCATATCAGGTGATTCTACTTCGTTCGGGCAGTGTTTCAATGCCAAAGAGTATTCGTTAAGGCAACAATACAATTTAGCAAGATCATTTTCGGATAACGGAAACTCACATCTCTGGAATAGCTTTCTTTCTTCATCAATCACAAGAGTCAACAACTCGCGATGACAGGCCTCGATAAGGTATGGTGTACAGGAAGGACGTTTCCCGATTATGTTGCGAAAAGAAAGTGCTGATTTAGCTGTTAGGGTGTCGCACGCAGCAACTGCTTCTCTCTTTCTTCCCATCCCGACAAGCACTCGAACCTTTGTGCAGTACATAATGTCTCCAATAGTTGCGAGTAATTCGCCATGATCTTCGACACTTTTCTGCACACCCGCACCATAAAACACACGCGAGGAATACGAGCAAAACACGAACTTTTGCCACACTTGTTCGCCCAAGGATTCAATTTTCATAAGCACAGCATCCGCCTCCGCAAAACGCTTTTGGTCAAGTAGAAAGTTAGCGTAGCTCAGATTCTTGCGAATTGCAAAATCTCCTGTTGAATCATGATCGATTAGGTAATACTCTTCTGCAAGATGTAATTCTTTATCTCTGTCAAAAGGCGTGTCAGTTGAATTTAGGTGGTGACTTTGGGCCAGGTACAATAGCATTCTGCAGCGATTATTCATTCGATCACTGGCATTAATACCCCACATCAAATCGCTAATTGTTAAACCAGCTTCTGCTACAGTAATCGCTTCTTTTGTGCGCCCCAGATCCGTATAAACATTCGCCAAGTCTTTCAAAACTGTGTAGATCGTGTTTAAGTCCCTACCATGCTTTGCTGACACGTCTTTGCACATATCAATTGCTTGTTGGAACGGAGAATGAGTTTCATGACCGCTACTTGCTTTGATATCACTGAGAGCCTGCAGCAAAGGCAGCAATTCTTCATAAACCGACAACATATCGGGAAGTGGTGGGGAGAAAAATGCTAAGAGAGACTTGGAGAGCCAAGTGATAGATAAAATCATGTCGTTACACATAACTAACACTCGACCAATCCATGAATATAAACGACGAGATATTTTTAGAAATTCGGCGTCGCTCCCACCAATAGAAGATTCATCGGATGATTCAAATACGACAGCGATATTTATCAAAAATTCCTTCATTTCGTCTAAAATTGGTTTTGTTTGTTCTTCTTTTCCTAACTTTTGGAGAACAGCTGCCAAGAGCAGTTGTACTTCACATTTCAGAGCAAAACGTTTCCCATGTTCCGAGCTACCAAGTTCTTCTAGCAAGTCGCCAGCAGCGTTTGTTTTCTCAGCAATATTCTGGCTGCAAGTAAGAGCTTGTTTACACAAAGAAGAAGCATGGGAAAGCTTAACGTCATCACATCCTTCGCTTTCTGATAAAATACTCACGCATCTTGCTCCGAGATAAAATAACTCTACTGCTTGTATGGTTTCTGTAAGTTCGTGCCCGGACACCAGATTTATCCCATCTCGACAAAACAGCCATGCTGCCTTCACATTCTTGCAGAGCATCTCACTCTTTATCAAACCAATCAATACTGCTAAACATTCACACAGCTCATCGCGCTTTTCCACAGTGACTGTTTCGCTTGAATAAAGGTTGAAGGCTTCGGTAAAACTAACTGCTGCTGTTCGATAGTAGCCCATCGACAAAAAACATTCACCACGTAATTTTAAAATTTGGGACTTTCTTTTCCATTTGGATGGCAGCTGCATGGCTAGATCCAAAAACTTAACGGCATTAAAAGCATTATTACTTTCTTTCGCTTTAACCGCATCACTGATCAACTTTTCCCCTCCATCGAAAGCGCAGTTTTCGTACAAAGACAATATTTGTGATTGAATAGAAGAATCTATTTTTGCAACCTGTTGATCATTACCTATCTTTCGATTATACTCGACAGAATCTGATAGAGTAACCAATACAGGTAGTTTCGACTCAATTTCCTCTGCTTTCCCATCAAAATATTCCATTGTGGATTTTATTGATTCTGGATTTACTAAAACATCAGGTAATGATTGCAATTTTAACGGGAAACGAAGTTGGGACAAACTTTGTGTCAACGAGTCATCGACATTAGAATCCGTGGACATGTTCGCGCCGGGATTCAGACTATCGGAACTTGGTAATGATGAGGGAGCGTGCGAGTTTAAATTTTCAAGATCACATTTGGAGTCTGTCGAAGTTGTTGTATGGTCTTTACAACTGGTTTCTTGTCGGAGGCTTTTGTGATTGGTCGATTGGCTATTTTCAAAGCCCCCATATTGACGCAGTACCATTGCTTTTTTTAGAAGTTCTTCGTCCACCTTCGCAATACCATTATCAGTAGAAAATACTTCTAAAATAGACACGAAAAGTTCTCTTTTGTTTGTTGATGAAACCGTCTGTGTCATTTGTGAATCTATTAATATCTTTCTCATGATATCGCATGTTTTACTACTAAGTAGATCTTCACTTTTACCACTCTCTTGAATTCGACAAAAAAGCTGACTTGCCATTTCATTTAAGGCCTCGGCTTTTTCAATATCATTTAACGAATAGAACAATACGCTTAGAGAAGTGAAACACCTGGCAGCAGTTGCTTCGTAGGCAGTGTTTTCTAACCCCTTGCCTTGCTGTGCTAACATTAGCGATTCGTATGCATCTTGGATAGCATCATCGCCACCTGGAGTTTCCAGGAAACACAAAGACAAACTTGTCAAATTGTGGGAGACATGTTGATGAAATGGATCTGATAAGTGCAGCTTAAGTTCCATTTTTAACTGCAGCTCTCTATACCTGGTAGCCGCTGGTTTATCTCCTGCCATCCAGTACGTGTCAGAAAGTTGTCCAAGTATGGTGGTTACCATCTCATGAGGAGTATTAGTTCCATAAACAATTTCGCTGATTCTCAAAGCTTCCAGCAACAGCTCTATCTTGTTACCTAAGTTGATTAACGTGAATTTCGAAGCCAAAAATAAAAAGAGCGTAACAGTTGTTGAGTCGACTTGTCCAGTCGTGACATGTTTCCGTAAAACATCAGCTGCGCGATCATAATGAGTTCGCTGAGCCTGTATGCGTTGTTCTAAAGGCACTTCAATTTCAGTGTGGATCGGGTTATTTACCCCATCTCTGCCCGCCATCTCCCCAAGCTTAACTTCCAAATTAAACTCCGCAAATGGAAGAATTTTAGCGATGTGCGATTCTTTGCATGTTCTTAGGGCTTCTTCGTAGCATTGTAATGCACGATTGACTTCGTAAATGCTTTCACACAACTTTCCAATCTCTTCGAGGATAGAAACTTTTTTCTTACTCCCAGGCAATTTTTTGGCTAAATTGAAAGCTTGATCCAAGAATATTTTTGATTCAGTTGATCTGCCGTCCATAACGATGACTCCTGAAATGCCGATAAGGCAACCTAAGATATCAAAAATATGTTTATCCTCCTTGGTATTCACCAGAATATCCAACGCCTGTTTGTAATATTTCTCAGCATCTGGCGCTAGACATTGTCCGGCAAAAAGCTTAGCGAGACTCATCATACAAAAAGCTTTTTGATTCATTTGAGACTGCAAATTGAGTTCTTGGATTTCTTTCTTTAATATCACAATTCCTTCGTTCGTCTTTGTTATTTTATCCAACGTCATAGCGAGCAGACAAGTCATTGCTACTCTGGCTTGTGCTCCAACAATATCCTTCAGGCAGGTTTCTCCATCAAAAACAGACCTCAAAGCTTGATCTAGGTTTTGTTGCAGATGCCATGTTGTGGATAATTGGCAGTATATGACACAGTTTAAAGTTAATTCAGTATCATTTTTGCTATTAGTTGTTACCTTTAAACCATTTTTAAGGTAGTAAACTGTTTCCTCAAGAGGACACCCCATTGCAGCACTCAACAACGCCAACTGCAGATAAGTATTCTTGACCGTTAATTTAGTTATAGGTCCGCCAAATAACTCGAACAATTGTAACAACAATTTGAAGTAGAATTTGCTCTCCATGTACATGAACAAGTACATGGAGACCATTCCAAGAAAATGCAACGTTATCATCATGTTTCCATTCGGATTGGTTCCGTAAAGGTAGCGCTCCATACTCAGAGCTCTTTGAAAACAACGATAAGCATTGTTATATTTACCCTGATTAAACAGAAACTCTCCAAGTTTGTTTAACCAAACAATACTTCTAGTGCTTACCCCCTCGGCGTCAATGAAAGAAATCAATTCGGATTCCACAACGTCAATTTTGTATTGTTGAACAAAACTCTCGGTGTGAAAATTCAAAAACGCGAATTTAATCATGAGCTGTTGGGCAGAACTGCGCTTGTCTTTCTGTGCTGTCAAACACTGGGCCTGGATTTTTTCTGCCAACGAGAAATATTTTCGACAACCGTAAATCTGGGAAGCAAACAGCAAGACCTCCAGCAATTGTCGACAATCTTCCACTTCCAAAAGATTGAAGAACGACATTGTTTCCTCCATTGCAGGCTTCACATTGTTATCGCCACCCGACGGCAAATTCAAACTTTCGGTAATCATCGACAAAACGGTATCTAAATTTTTACGAGTTTCTCCCGCATTTTCCACGTTTTTTGTAATATAATGAGCAACTCTTATTCGACGGATTTGAATACTCAGATTTTCTGGATACCGTTGAAGGGCACGTTCGTAGCATTCAAGGGCGACACTGTAGTTTAACAAGCGACAATGTACATGACCCATAGTGGCCTCGGAATCGTCAAAGAATGAACGGTTCGAAAGCGACTGCGGAATATTGTCCGCTGTCTTGAATCGCTGCAGTAACTCCTCGTACAAAGGGATAGCGACAAAGAAGAAGTGAAACAATTCTTCATCCTTCGGCATGTGAAAAAAAGACGTCAATTTCCCGGTTTCTTCGGTTGAGCTTGTCACCAGTTTCTCTCCTTGTTTTCCAGCATTAAGGCAAGTGGTTAATCTTAGCTTGACGGCAATGGCCGAAGCGCTTGCGAAGTTATCTCTTGCTTCTGGTGAAATTATTTCCCTCGTACACAGTTCATCAAGAATGGCAAACGTTCCGCTGTCATCAACACCATAGCATTTTGCTAACGCAGCAAACACGCGATCTACTAAGCGATAAATTTCTTTTTTGACATCATAATATTTTCCATCATCCAAGTCGTATTTGCCCATCATCCCATCTCCATAACAAGACAAATCTTCATTGAGAGTAGTTAACCCTCTGCAGGTTCCTCGTGTCGGCCATGAACACGAAGCAGTGTGATCACAAAATTCCGAATCACAAGGTTCAGACAATATTTTAGCCACCGCCTTTCTATAAGCATCAGTCAGCACATGTTTATTCGATTGCAGAGGGGAGAAAGTGAGCAAGGTGTCTGCTAAAGTCCAATTTCTTTGATGCCAGTCGTTGTTCTGGAAGTTTGCCATTACCTCAGGCGTATGAATTAGCTCAAAATCCAGCATGTTTCCTAAAGGTGTCTTGCATGCTCGTGGAAGAAAGCCGTCAAATGAAATGCCTTTTGGTGTTATATCATCGTAAAACCATCCCCCAACCAGTGCTTCTATGTTCATGCTTGGTAAAATAGTTTCGCCGAGGTTAATAATCTGAAACAGAAAATTTGGACTGAACTTAATTAAAGGACTAAATTAACTCAATTAAAAGGACTTTCATGCAATTACATTTTTCGTTACGGTTTCTGGCGGTCGGGTTGCATCAAGCGGAAGTTACTATGCTCGAGACTCTTACCACTTGAATTAATTCTAATACAATCTATGCATAGTTTGTATCCCATGCAACACGTGACGATCCTACGAATATATTTCAAATAACAATTCTATGACTAAAATAAAGCTTACTTGCAAGTGGACCAAATTTGTTAAATTTCGAAAGAAAACTTTGCATTCTTCTTCTTCAGAGTTTATGAGAATAGCCCATTCGAAATCGGAGTACGGCGTCATTTCATTCCTGGCTAAAGAACCAAAAACAATGACTTCATAATCACAAGGTGTTGACCCAAGTAACTCCAAACATTCGTTGATTATCGCTACCAAGAACTGCTTCATACTAGCTGAAAATGTAACAGATAACTTTCTGATTTCTTCCGTTTGCATCTTAAGCAAGCGTTGCACATCAATTTTGCTCAATGATTCTTGATTCCTAAGAAAATCCACAGACTCCAACGATTTCTTTACTTCGTTTCTTAAATTTTTCAGCTCATTCCTTTTAAGTTCCGAGTCAAATCTACAGCGATCAGGATTCCCACCGACGCTACTTATCATGTTGTCTTGGATAACCAATAGCCTACGAGAGGCGATTTCCGATTGTTTTTCCACTTCTTTGAAAATTTCGCTTTCTACCTCGTTACTTCCTACCACCGTTTTTAAACAATTGCAAACATAATTGTACATTGCTGCAGCCTGAAGGAGTAACTGTTGTTTTTTGGCCAATTCTAAATCCTTGTGTTCAGACCTTCGCTCTAAGATTTCAGCTAAGTAGAGAAATGACTCTGAGTTCCTCTTATTACTAGAGTCATCCAACATAACTGAGCGCATGGTCTCGACCAAAGTCTTTTCCGCAATTTCCAATTCTCCTTTCGCCAAGGCAAGTTTTGCTATTTTAATCAACTCCCCTGATTCTCGCTGTAAATAAATTAATGAGTATTTTATGGAATCTTCTGACCGATATAATAATCGACCATTTTAGCTATTGCTATATGCGATAATACTACATTTATTTTCCAACAAATCACAATTTCATACAAAATCATCAATTTTTTCCCGCTAAAAAGAGTATACGGCTATGTTTAATTCTTAATAAATCATATTAGATTTTATATTACCTGAATAAAATTTTCATCTTTGCCATCCTTATACATAAATAAGTCGATAAAGCCTATATAATATAAAGAAAAAGAATAATTACGCATGTCCAGTATAAGCATTCTCAATTCCTTTGCTATATAATGCCCATTATAATGCAAACTCTATATCGCTCTTTATTGTATTCTTCCTATGCTACTGCATATATAGTGCAAGTTAATTGAGCGCTAAAAAAGGTTATTGTAAAAAAAAGATGGATTGTGAATTTATTAATATTCATTCATTTTCACCTTGGTGAGAACCTTGTAAATAGTATCTTTCACCACATAGCCAATGGAAGGTTGATTCGAAATCTATAAAGATACCCAGTGGTGTAAGTCAAATCAAAACTGTAGTCAATGGCAATATATCCCAAATGCATGTGAGGATTGATTTGGAATGTATTTCTGACACTAATTCAACTGCTTTGTGGAAAGACTATTTCTGTAGACGTCGAGGTCAATTTTTGCAACAGGATGCATGCAGGATTCTCGATGATGAATGAGGTCATTCTGTGCGTACCATAATCAGGTGCATAATAAGATCCAAAGGTTGATCTGTCATCTCTTTGTTTTTCCATTTCGATATCCGAGGATGAGGTTTTGCTAGAAAATATCAGTAAAAAATTAAAAATTTTATATCAGATGAATTTAAAATGAAATGTCTTAAGACGAAGGACACAACAATATTTCGTTGATGAATGGAACCGAACAGGCATGCTATACTCGCTGATGAGAGATCAAACGTAAAGAATCTAATTAAATGTGGTATTACAACTGCCCAAATAAACAACCTCACTTCTTGAGGTTTGGAACTGAGTGCATTCGTCGATACTGACAGTTTGACAAAAAAATTATGCTATACGTTATTTACTTTATACTAACAACTGACATGAATTAATAGAAACTAAATTCTGCAGATGTACGTAACGTAATTTTATACTGGCCGTATCTAGGAATATGACGTTAATGATCAGAGCCCAACATATTGACTAAAACGTTTGCAAAAGATATAGCACAGAGCACTGAAAAATACTAAGTGGCTGGCTGGTAACCGCTGGTTGCTTATAATATTGTCACAATGATTAAACACAGTGAACTGTAAACAGCTAGGATCATACAAGACTTATTTTAAGACTTAGAAGTCACTTTATGCTTTGTTGAATCATAGGTAAGCGTAACATATAGAAGCTAGGCTCTTTAATCTTTAGATATCTGATGTCACCCTAACAGCAAGTTTGGCTATCATCATGGCCGCCATAAGCAAACCCTAGTTCCCAGGGCCTTTTTTCCCCGTAGAAAAACTGAAAAATACCATAAGAACGAGGTTGGGCCAGCCACCATTGCCATATATTGGCCATGTGGCCATATATTATATATATACATAGCAGATGATGCGTTATCTAGTTTCATCAGCGAAACGGCGTCCTATAGAATGAGACAATGCTTATAATTTATGAAATTATGTGAAGTATGCCGTCCGTAAGGCTTCAGAATATTTCCAAGAGAAATTCGGTTGTTTATGTTTCAGGTCAGACTGTCAGGCACGTTGATACCTATGCGAAGGTCTATATTAAACTACACGCGCTCAATGAAGTAGAATAGATACGAATGAAAGTATCGTTTGATAGCCTTTACTTATGCAAATAATCAGCAGCTCGGCCCCTACATATTGTATACCATTTGTTGTTGGTCAACACATGAAATTAATAATTTTCAATACTTCATTGATATGCGTTTAGTCATTTGCCAGTTGGAGTTTAGAAAGCAGGGTAATTGAACGGATATAATTTATTACAGTTACGGTCAGTACTTACCAAAACTACGACTGACAATTATCTACGATAACTTCCTCGTTAACATTCATAACCGAAATCACAGCAAAACTTGGCTAATGTGCAGCGTGTAGCTATTAAACCTTGTATAATTGACTTGTAGTCATTTTATACCTTGTCGACATTCACAGTTCGAAGCAAGCCACCACTGAAATCAACAGCATTGGCTTCTTCTTTCCAACGATTGAAGAATAACTGCTATAGTTTAGTACCAATGTCGTTTCTCAATCAATTGTGAATCCTTTAGACCTTTAGCAATCATACCATAGATAGATGCCTCCTATAATTAATATGAATTATGTATATATTATGTATAAACAATATGAGGGTAATAATTACATGGGTGGGGGGTTATAAAGGTCAGGTTTTGGATTAAAGTTGGATAATACTCGTGGATTCTGGACATGGAATTATACTTCCAATCAACGACCGTGAGCTTGGAATGAAATTAACTATTGTCCTGACGGTCTGGTAGAGACTTTTTCTGGTCAAAATACTTTCTCCTGGTGGGCCCCTCGCTTTCTTGCAGGTAAATCATTTATTTGTAGATAAAGAGACAAACACACGTATTACCGCTGATTGAGTGCTACTCCGTGTCCCACTCCATTTTGACGAGCACAACAACCTGAATGAGGGTTGCAACATGGGATAAATAAAATAACCAAACACGGCCGTGCACTCGTAAGGCATTCGACGTTCATGTTCATATTCCTGGTTTTGAAATCAGAAGTCCACCCCCAAAAATGGGTGACAAGTTCGCGAGTTAGTTAAGTTAAAAAGGGTAGACTAATCGTTCTCGCAACAAAAGTAAGAGAAAAAATGCCAGCAAACTTTTGATATTCCGTTCTAAGGTCTTCATCGGGAGAGTTGGTATGACAGAAAACCCCGAGTATTATTCTCCCTAACTATTCTCTTTAATATAAAAATATCATTTCTAATATAATTAGTTATGTACAAAATTCATATTAAAACATATTTCACCAAGGTTCATTCATTTACAATTTTTGTCTATCAAACCTTTTATACTACGAACTACTAGATTCTCATAACTGTAGCCCAATACTCATATATTTTGGTAAGTGAAAAAGTTATTCAAATAACAAGGAAGTTATTTATCACCTGTCACCACCGACAGCGTCAATATGGCTGATGATTGAGATACATAAGAACTAGACTTCAGTTTTAGATAATTACAATTTATAGACATATTAATTCAATTGTTAAATATCTTCCCCATTTGGTTTCTTTGCATCAAATGAAAAGGTCAAAAATAAACCTATTGAACAAAAGGAGACCAAAGAATTATATCACATAAATTGCTCGCCAACGACAAAGGAATTTGGTTTAGGTGAAGTTCTACAGGTTTGCAAAAAATGTTTTGAATTCTCATATGATTCCTCATAAAAGATTGTAATTTGACTAATTTCAGATATGATATTGGAACAATCAAGTTATATTGAATATACGCACATAGTACTGAGAAACCAGCGACTAAAGAGAACAATCCAAACCATCCAAGCTTATCACTGAGGTTCTGTGCCAGTAATGCTCCCATTACCCCAGAAAAAATCTAAATACAATCATATATATTGAAGACTTCTTCCAAGCACACATCCAGGACTTAACTAATATATAGAGTGCAGTGTTGTACAATATTGATATTAACTGCTTTATATATATATATATATATATATATATATATATATATATATATATATATATATATATATATATATATTCTCTTACAGATTCCTACTGACTCTCCTTGTATGTTTTGAAATATTCCCAGTGTGCTCAACGCTTACATAAAATAAAAACAAAATTCATAGATTCATAGATTCATACCTGCGATGTAAACATCAATCCATAATTGACTGTGAAATATTTCTGTCCAAATGTTTTCACCGTTGCTATTGGAAACAGAGCAAAATTCCCGGAGAATGTTCCAAACATGAGACAAACCCAGATGAAATACAGCGATTTTCCAGCTTTTTCGGTCAACGTCAAAGTCATGAAGAGAAATGCCATTAATAAACATTGGATGATCATTGTTCGCTGTCGATTGAAAAAAATCACCAGTAATTAGTGACTAAATTTCTTATCTGAGTACGAAGTGTTAATGTTTGGCCAAATAAATGCACCAAATTATGTCGAAAACGGCGGTTACTGGCAATAACGTATAATGGTGACCAGTATTAGTTTTGATCGGAAAAGTTATCCGCTCAGGAAGAAACTAGACAGATTAAAGCAAATCAAATATAAAAACAATCTATATTTGTGAATGAAAAGTATAGTAAATTTTAAATCTAAATCTAATACTCACCCTGAAGCTAATTCTATCAGCAAGGTAGCCCCAAAATATCCTTCCTAAACCGTTGAATACTGAAGCAAAAGATCCAACAATAGCGAGAAAACGATCATTCGAAATGAAAGTCTGACCATAAGCCTACATGTTAAGATTATTTTATATAGTAAACAAATTCCATGGAAAATGAACTCAATCAATAATTGTCTTTACACCTGAAGGTCTAACAAAATGCTGCATGCAGAGCGGGAACACTTTTCAGTCTAGATTCTTTACGTAAGGCCGGTAATGGCGGTTTTAAATGTCAAAAGTAACTGGAATCTGCATAAGCCTACGTTCTGTGTGTGAAATTCGGAGGTCCGAAGATACCTTTATGTATAGTTTCGACGTGGAAGTCTCAGCATTTGGTAAGAGTTAACTGACTACAAGTACAAGCCATGGTTATATAAAGATACTCCCATCCAGAGTCTCCGTCGAGCGAGATTCATCGTGAAAAACTCACAGAAGCAAAAACCCGTAGTTTGGCACTTACTTTATATAATGAAGATATAAATTGAACAGATTCACTGTTAATGAGGAACATGAACCAAAGCGTCCAAAATTCTCTTGTTTTTAACATTTCCAGCGGTCTTTTGTCTTTAATAGCGCTATACAAACCAAATTAAAAACACTTTAGTGTGATACAAGTTTTTAAAATCTATACTCATATTAAAAAAGTCTTCGAATTCCTCCAAACTGCGCACAAGACAGCGACTTACAAAGACTTGCAGATAAACTTGGGGTCCCGTGGAAAAAAATTTTGGTGGCAATTTCGATCCCCATAATCTCCCTTTTTCTATCAAACATTCATAATTTTGGGGGACCCATAAACCTGAGGCCCAGGGAAAATTGCCCACTCCGCCGCCCTGAGAGGCTCTGGGAACCTATAAAACGAGGAGACAAAGGATACACTAAACTTTCTTGGAATAAAATCATCGTTATATCATACTCATTCTGGGTTTCTTCATAATCGTCGGAGTTCCTTATCAGACTTGAATAAACAGAAGGCTAAAAAATATCAAAGACGTAAAAACAGATGAAAGATACGCTTTCACCACAATTTTCAAGCAAAACTTACTATCTTTACCTGTTGATGTTCCGGTTGTGGTTTTTTGAGAGTAAATGAACCAAGAATATTCATTGTAGCATAAACACATCCAAGTAAAATAAACACTTTCGGAACATTATCCAATAGTTCAGGTTGATTAAAATATCTTAACAAAAAAATGCGCTGTTTAGTTTTTTTTTCTTTCTTTCGATTAACAGTGACAAAAATACTCTTATATAAATATATATAGATGACTCACTTCTCATTATTAGGACCTACAGTCACATTTGCTTTCAAATTATTAGGATTAATGAATGCTGTTTGGACTTGATCAAAAATAAAAGCACCAGCCCCAAATCCAGATACAATGATACCAGTTATAAGACCTTTATGAGATGGAAACCACTAAAAGTACATAGATGTTGGTTGTTAGAAGTTGTTAAGCTTTTGCAAGGTGACTTGACACTGAGTAGTCTGCTATCTTGGGTTGCAGGACCATCGCTTCAACCTGAACACTTGAATTCATAATATTTGTGTATATGTACTAAGTATACATTGGTATAAATATGAAAACATAGATAAATAGACTGTGGTTGAATTTCTTAAGTTTCATGCAACATCCTCCACAGATTCCAGTGGGGGTAAACTTGTCACAAAGTAAGCACAGTGATCTCATTTTTTCAGCGTCTCGTAATTGCTCTTTTCTATGTAGCAAACATGCACAAATTTGTATCATTTGCCCACTCTTGCGCAGTAGAAGTATTAAAACATTTAAGGATGACTTCTACTTAAATTGCTATCAGTGGCAACACAAGATCATTAAGTGAAGGGGGGATTCATATATTCAAGCCAATCAGCATTATTAGTTAATTTATTGTTTTTTATGGTCTTTTAACATGAATATATAAATACCCTCCCCCCCCACTTACGAATCTTCCATAGCTAATGAAACCCACTAATAGGTATACCAAATACACGTACTTTCATTGCACAGTTAATTGGTATGGCATATGAAATTCCAATACCGATTCCAAAAAGGAGTCCGTATGTGAAAATGACAGCCACAAATGACTTCTGGATAGAAAAATATGTCATAACAACACCAAAACTAAAAAAACAAATATATAAAATTATGGAAGTGCCTGAGTGTCATGAAACATTCAGTCAATTGGACAAAGAAATTCTTTAGTAAATTTTTCGGAGGGGTACTAAATGGTCAGGCTGGCTTCTCCACTGATAATGTATATTTGATTTCTGGAACCATATAGAACATATTCACTCTTATTTTCACTATGGCATGATTTCTACAACCATGCAGTCACATTGACCTCAAAATAGTTCCTCCAATTGCACATGTCAAACGCGCACCAATCTTATCATGCATTGCACCGCCAACTGTCATGAAAAAGCCCTGCCCAATCACTTGTACAGCCAATATCCACATAGCCATTGTAGAATCAACAGAAGTATCCGATTCTTCATACCGCAAGTAAGATGTTATATAAGGACTCATATTACCTATAAGAGAGAAGAGTTTAAATTTCTAGCTTTTAATCATTGAATAAATTAATTAATGTGCTGAGTGGTTGCATTGATCAGCAATACCTAAAATGTAACAAGCTGGGTGCTTTTAATTGCCAAGGATGCTTTCAAATGGTGTAATGCTTATGGAAAAAATCACAGTTGCAAACAACAGAAAATAACTATTTCTGGAGGTTTCACTGGAATTTAATACCTAGTTGACCTATCCAGGGAAACAAATGGATTCATGAAGATGGCAAGATTTATTTATATACAATCTGCAGATCATGAAATTATCCTGCTAGAAATTATCAGTAAGTCTTAAAGTGCACAGTTAGTCTTAGACCTAATATTTGACCGGAATGAAAGTTGGTACTTGTTTAATTTAAAGCAAAAAAAATCATCACCCCATCAAACCTCAGAACCCCCTTCCCCCTCCTCCTTGAAACCAGGGGCCGGTTGTATCAAGCCTGTTTAGCTTAAACGGTGGTTAAGTTCAAAATAGAAAGCAAGTCTATCTTTTATTCAACAAGCAAACTAAATGTTTTAACCTTTATAATACAAAGATACTGTTTACAACTACATATTCAGTGCATAATATTCAAGTTGACTTATTCAAGAGAGATCTAAGAGTGTTATTTAATTTTGACTTATCTAAACGGGCTTGCAATAACTTGTTAGGTCATTAATATTACGCATCCTGCCCTAGTAGCGTCATATATCGCTATTATTTTGAAACACTATTGCCGTATTGGCTTTTAATTGTATATTTTTGTCACTCACCGAACGTATACAATGTTCCCAATGAAAGATGAATCAAAACTCCACCACATATTGTCAAAATACCCTTTGAAATCATACTAGTAAATCACAATAAACAAAGAAGTGTCAGAAGATGTAAAAAAAAGTTTTCTATCGAAGTTTTTTATAAAACTCTCGAAAGCTGTCTCCCCCTTTCCCCCCCCCGGGAATAGCCTCGTACCCAGGCGCTTTATTGGAAAGCATAAAGGCAAAGCTGCATTCAGCGTAATAAAGAGATCTGTGGCTAAGTTGACGCGGCCCCCCAAGCACCCCTGCGCGCTTGCAAATTTTAGCCAAAGATCTCTATATTACGCTGAATGCAGCCTTTATGTTTTCCAATAAAGCGCCTGGGAAGCCTGGGTATATTGCACGTATGCGGAATTACGTATGCGGAATTACGTATGCGGAATTACCTCTGCGGAATTACAGTCTAGAGAGAATGCGGGAAATTACAGATTTTTCTCCATAAATCCATAATTCATATAGTATAAACATCTTGATGTTCTTGATCATATTACAGTATAAAATACATTTTTTTCAGTTCGCAAATTTTTTATACTTTTGGCATCCGCGAGGAAATTGATACATTCGCTGTGAACTTTGCGAATCTGTATTTTCTGCATTTTAAAACATACATAAATAAATTTTATGCTCAAATTATATTCTAAAATTATCTTGACACATATATACCAAGAAAAGTCAAAGCGTCATTATATCCATGCATGTAAATCCTCTGCAGGTCTTTTTTTGAGGGTGGGAATAAGGCTTGAAGGCCACGCTCCATGTTTCGTATGTTAATAACAATTTTCATGTTCTTAACTACTTCTGCAGTGAACAGGTTTAAGGACTGTTTATCTTCTGGACAGATGTCAAAATCTCCGCAAAAAGGTGAGACACGGATTGTTTTTCCTGTTTCAGGTATGGGAAGGTTGTCAGAAAATCCACCATCTACCCATTTCTGAGAAAAAAAATGTATACAAGAATATGATCATAATGCAGTTGACAGGCCCTTCCAGTTCAAAGTAATTTGCTAACTTTTCTAACACAATGAGAGTATAGTCTCCCACATTTGTACGGCCATAGCATGCTTTGAAAAAGTCTATAAAGTTCTAATTTTATTGTACTACCACATGTATGATAATTGTATAGACATACCTTGCCTTTATATATTGGAACCTTGGTACCACCATAAATTGGAATGTAGCAACTAGCCAATAAAGCCTAGTGAAACAATATAAATAATTTTAAAGGTACCTATTTAAAATAAAATTACTGGATGTTTGATGGTGTAATGCTTTAAAAAGGGATGGATTCAACTTTTAGCAGGCACCTAGATAGTTTTACGTTTTCATTGACAGATCAAGGTAGTCAAGGTTATATTTCAAATTTGGATTCTAGGCATTTACAGTTGTGTAACTCCCCAACAATCACCTGTATCAGGTCATCCCTGGAATCAAATTGTGATACTATTGAATTCTTGCACTGCGGAAAACTTGAAATAGAAACATACAGCCTGCCACTAGCACGTAAATGAGCGTCATGTGGTAGGAACGTATCCAAAGCATCGTCAAGGTGTTGCATCAAATCAAATGAGGGGTTCAAAGCCCCTAAAAAATGTCCACGAACTTTGTCAGCTAGATCTGTGGTAAACTGCAGACCGTGTTCAAGAGGTGTAGACGTGGCTAGCATTGCAGCTACTAATGAACCAGCAGAAGCACCTCCATAGCCACGTATATCTTTCATGATGTTCTTGCCATAACGCTGTAGGCATGAAATAACACCGATGTGGTATATGCCATGAAAACCACAACCAGCGAAAGAAATATTTATCATTTCAAAGTCTCACACATAGTAGATATGTCAATAGATATACGCCAAAGCATATAAAACTTTATAAAAATCTCGCGTTGGTGTTCTGGTTTTCACCTGTTTTTATATAATATACGTATAAACCACTATATTAAATATTCTATAATAGATATATATAAATTAAATAAAGCCACCCGCTTCGAAAGTCGTTAGACAAGGTCAGCGGTAACTACCCACTGTAAAGATTTTCAAAGATTTTCATTTTCTTCATTTTCTTGGCTCGCGTGGGAAGAGTGACAATAGTTTTGTATATCCTTTAAAGAATTTCTTTGTTCAAAAATGACTTTATTCCATTTTGGAAACTGTGTCGCTTTGGCATATTTTCCTTATTTTATTTTATACAAATGTTCTGGTCTGTAAGTATAATGATTTGTTTTTTCATTGCCTTCTTGAGTTCTAGTGTGTTTGGAGACTGGTCTGACTGGAGCCTGAACTGTTATTTACTGCCCATGACCTTTTATTTCTACAAGGTTATTGCCGAATCTTGCGTGCAATCTATATAAAGGAAGTAGCAGAACAAAAACAAGTTTCTGTAAAAGTAATCTGATACATTTGTTGTGTCAGTAACTTTGCAATCCCATGTTGCATTTATGTGTAGTTCATGCCAAGACTCTGCCAATGGAAAACTACAGTTCCAGTGCTAACCTAAATTTATGCCACCTTAAGCATTTTAGCTACTGCACTAAATACTCCACATGCTAGAAGTGCCAGCCGCTAGGCCAATAAAATGTCTATGCTGGCAAACCAGCATTGATGAGAATCTTACATGGAATTGACACTCTGTAGGACTACTGTCCCAGACCTAGACTACCTGTGAATGCTTTGATGATATAATCTTTTTGTGGTTTTGTATTAGATCTGAGTACAGTGCATTCTGGAGATGTGTTCAAGCAGCGTGTACCTATTTGGTTACACAACTTTGCAAGGTATTATTTTATATTAAAAATGAATAGAGTTCATAAATAGATTTGTATCATCAATTTTAGGACTTAATTTGTATTGCTTTTTAATATTTGTAGTAGATAAATTGTTGCTCATTTTAATGCAGACTTTTTAATGCTAAAATGTACCAATAAAGCCAAATAAATTATAGTAAAATGAATATAAGATAAAGTACATAAAGGCTAAAAAATGTACTGTTGATAATGTCATAATAACATTCAGTAATTTTTGCTTACCAGATGCTTGTGCTTGCCACTTTTTTTCCAACGTCAGAGTCAACAGCAGATTCCTTGGATGTTTTTGCAGTAAGGAGAATGGGCCAGGAGGCCTCAATCATTCATTATTAATTTCAGTTTGTGGATGCTTTTCTATAACATATTACTTGTTGCAGAAGTGGTACTATAAGGCTTTTTTGGTTAGGCTGTTTTGTTTTGCTTAATAATTTTATTAAAAAACTGTTGAAATACTATATATTTTAAATGAAATGTGATTTTCCATAATTTAATTGTAATTAAATTTTGCCTCCAATTTTGAATATTTTTAGGAATTCTTGAAATCAACTGTAGATGTTGCTGACTTATTTGGTCTCTATTTAACAATGTCAAAAATCCCTGGAAAAGGAGAGTTGAAAGTATTAGTCGCTGGTTTAGGTAAATTTACACAATTAATGTCATTATTTGCTGTTGAAAAGGGCACACAATACTCACAAAGTCACACTGAATCAAAGTACTGTAAATCATAGTTTTCTACATATTATTAGATGTAGATTTGGTATTAAGAAGTAGGTTGAGTATTCCAAATTAGAAAAATACTTTTCATGGTTTCTATTTCATTATCAGGTTGGGCGACTGCAGAACTTGTTATGACAAAGCTACTACCCTTGTGGGTTGGTGCAAGAGGTGTTGAATTTGATTGGAAATACATGCAAATGAGTTTTGATGCTAACATTGCTTTGGTGAGTTTTTATATTATGCAAATAAGGAATGATCAGTGAGGGTTGCTTTAATTTCAGTGTTTTAATTAATATGTTATTTGGCTTTTTCCCATATTTAGATTCATCATATTGCAACAGCAACATTGGTTTGGTTGTGGTCAAGACATGATCTACAAAGGTCATTTCTGCCTGTTTTAGGAACATTTATGGCTCTCTGTTGTTTTAAACCACTCATTATAGAGTGAGTATTTACTTTGCATGTATAGATAAGTGTGCATTTACACAAATCAGTAGCCTGTACCCGATTCAATATTCTTCCTTCAAAGCAAGTATGAGCTTGACAATTCTTGTGTTGATATGTTGCATAATGGTCAATGGTTCCTGCCCGAATGAGTCCAGGACTAGTTAGAATTAGACCGTCTCCCCTTGCTATGTCTAATCTTTCGCAAGGCTTTTATCGCGCGTGTGCTTGTCAGTAACTCAGTATCATTCTCACTCTTCTGATTTGTTTCTAGATTCATCAGTTTTTTCTTTGGTATTTATTCGTGGAATTTACTGTTATTGAAAACTGCGTTTACAGCGTGTGTCGGGATCGTGGCGCTACAAATTTATCTTGGACTAACGACAACAAAATCAAATCGAGCATAGTATCAGCAGCATGCATGCATATGGCTATCTTTCGACGAAGTAGCTATTGCAGGACATTTACATTGCAAAATTTTAGTGTAAATCTGCTAGTTTTGTATGTTTCAATCAAGCCTCGTGACTTTGATCAACTGCAGCATGCAAGATGTTACTGATGTAGTATATTTTCAACACTGTAGGCTTAATAAATTAAAATATCTCGAAACAACTGTGGAAAAAATTTTAAAAGCACGTGCAGAAACTAAATAGGATCAGAAAACGGTTTTGTTTTGCTCTTAGTAATTTTGTTCATTGTCCATGGGCTCTTGCTCCTCCTGACTGAGTGTGTTGTGGAGTGTTTTTAAGGAGTACATCCTTCAGAGCATGCCTTAATTCAGGATTTGAAAACACGTAAATACAAGGATTTATGCACGTATTAGCAAAAGCGAGTAAACCTATCACCACCACCAACGGGTCTTGGTAATCGTTAAGTGGATCAAATGCTAATAAAGATACGAAGAATGGAATAGAACATGTTACCCAACAAACTGTCAGAATAAATGTTGTTATAGCGGCTACTTTCGTGACTTTCTTTGATCTTTTGATGCAGTTGATGTTTTCAGTTCTAGCAGATTCTGTGAATCTCAGTGACGCTCTGATTCCGCGAAATGTGTCAACGTATGCGATCGTAATGAGCGTTAAAGGTATCACCATTTGAAATACAATGAATGCAACCGAAAGGCAAAGAGTTAATACCTTGTTTTCTGCCACAATATAACGACAGTTTTCTTCGGGTTGATCATAAACGCCTTTCATCATGATCATAATAGGAACCTCAGCTGTGAATCCGGCAATCCAAGACGCCATGATTAACCTATTCATGTGTCGAATCTTGAAACTAGTCTTGTAAAATATGCTTCGTCTAACAGCTAACCAACGTTCAAACGCGAGTACAACGGACGTATACAGTGATGTTACAGCGAGAGCAAACGGCAAAAAGTTACTATAAATGAAACGACAGTAAATCTCCCGAGTTACGTAAGAATAATCTTTTGCGTTTTGAAATTTCTCCTTCAAAACCAAGCCAGGACTGAAAAAAACTGTAATGGATGTTAGGATATCAGTTATAGCCAAACTTAAAATACATCGATTATGAGGATTACAAAGCAGACGTCTGCGACATGCGAACAAGAACACAACCAAAAAATTCGCTATTAATGAGAATGCTACTTCAATACTGAATAAAATTGTCCCCGTCGTCGTAGGGTAACGAAGACGTCCGGTTCCATCAAATTCCACCGTACCATTTACCTCCATTATAAAATATAGCCACATGTAAAAAGGAAAAACTCGAAACCCCCGCTTATACACGGACTTGATCTTAGGTATATGAATATAAAATATTTAATATTGGTAAAAAATAATTAAAATGTTGGTGTTTATATTATTTTACTTAATTACTTTTCCTTTTCGCATTTAACATGGCGATTACAATGATTAATTTACATGCTAATATAGCTAAATTGCATTGCCAGTGGGAAGAAAAATTGAAAGGGTGAGGCAGCATTTATCGAATTGAAACTTTAATTTGCAATGTGTATTTAATAGATCCAATATCAAGTCGATAAATGTTTTTTAATTTTTTTTTTAATTATTGCTTTGAGTTTTGAAATTTAAGCAGAGTCGTGAAAAATTCAGGTGAGGAACATTTACTTCTTCACTTATCGTATGTTGACTTAAGGAGGTATATCGGTAGCAAATAACTAAAACTAATTCAGTACTACTGTATTAAAAAGCAGACAATATCCCTGCGTCAGAAGTGAATTGGATTCGACAAATTGGATCGAGTGAAGACCTTTACGCCAACATTGTGCAGTAAGACGTTGCACTTGTCACCGCTTTATATGGCAGAACCATAACCATGTCCATGGTAAAATTTTTCAAAAAGGAAAATTGCGCCCTGAGATATAGGTGTGCAAATCGGATCTTTAACATTCCAATACCTTAAATACCAGGCGATGAGCTTTTCCAGACGTGACTCACAGGTCATTCACTTTGAGGATCTTGTATAATTGCATAGAACTTAGAGAACTTCAGCAGGAAGAATAAAGGGTGATGTGAACTCAAACAAACGCAAAAAGGAACCACGGTGAGTATGGATTATCCGATTGGGTGGAACAGGTTCCATGCCTTGGAAATATCTTACCCGTGGTAAAAATGTCCATTTTTGGAATGGCAGGGGAGGATTAGGTTTAGATTTACACGGGGTCCAAACCCCAAACCTAACCCTGAACACGAAGAGTGCATTAGAATCAAATGGTAATTCCACAAGCTGTCGTGGATCGTGAATTTAACTTTTACATAAGAAACAATTATCTAGCTTCCTGACGTCTTTTTAATCGTAACAACGAGAATCGCATTCACACGAACGACCAAAATGGTTTCTATTTTAAAATGGATAAAATTGGGATGGCGGTAAAATTTTATTGTCTGTGCATGGTAAGCACATATTTAAACACCTAAATATCCGGTAATCTGACTTTGTAAAATACGATAGGACAGGTCAGATCTGACATTAGGCGTGTAAAGGAAGCAACCTAAGGTTAATGCAAATATATAGTTACGAACTCAGGCTACCATTATTGTCTCTCATCTCTGGATTAGCAACAACATGCATTAATCCGCTCACTAACTTGCTTTCATTGTACGCATGCTTAGTCTCGTACAAACAAAACCAATACAAAAACAGCTTAAAGTAATTATGTCAATGAACACTGCTGGTGATAGAAATGTATATCTAATCTTCTTCGATATATTCAAATGGTTCCGGTGGTTCAGGTTCATCATCTTCGTCATCTATAGCAGGCGATTTCGCGGCTACAAAAACAGAAACATTGCATGCGATTGCGAAATTACTTAGTTTCTAATGTGCAGGTGCGGATCTAGACTGGATCCTTGCATGTTTAAGACAACTCTGTATGACCTAACAACCACTATTATTCTGTCAACATTCTAAACTATATAAGGTTACGTATTTGCATTTTATATAAAACTAATGTACATGTAAGACATATTTAAATCTAACTTGACAATAAATACCTGGTAAGGGTTCTAGAAGCTCTTCGGGTTCATCCAGTAAAGAATTTCTCATCATGATTATACCTCCAACATTTACCTGATAAGTGGTGCAGAGTAGATAGTTGATAGAAATGTTGATAGTATCACTATTCATCACCAACCATTGCTTTGGCATAACGGTAAAGCATGCCAGCGTATACTACTTACCGGCTTCAAAGGAGAATATCTACTGTCTTTTGGTAAGCTAATAAGCTTAAGCTATAATAAATGAACAAGATGGAAATTAGACTTTCCATATTCTGCATCGATATGCCACTAAAAAATTTTTTCTGACTACAACTAAGTGCATGACGTGCAAAAATTTAAAGGAACCAAAAATTACGTGTAAACTCTTCCCCCCCCCCGATCATATTCCCTTGCCTCCATAATAGTGACAATATTAAGTTAACACATAACCTGACCTGTGCCTGCATAACTCGGGAAGGGTTATCCAACATTTCGGTGTCAGGTTCTGGTTCTTTTTTACTTTCATCGCTATCTTTCTTTTCGCTTTTATCTTTTTCATTCTGAATACTTGAATCTTCATCTTTTTCTTTTTCATTTCCCTTCTCTTTCTCCTATTTTCATTCAAAAAACATGATGAAACACTCTTGTGGATTTAGTCCATCCTTTAGTCTATCTAATCTCTTTATTGTATCCACCACAATAGAATAAGTACTCAATAAGTACTAAGTACTAAGGTATAATAATAAGTACTAAGTAATAAGTACTAAGGTATACTCTTATACCTTCTGGCTTTTAGTGTTGTCCTACAGAAAGAAAAAGGTGTGTTTATTATGCGGAAATACTTGGCGACGTTGAGTATAAAACAGCAAGTTGTTCGTGTCGCTGTATTTGGCATCTGGTAAAGTCGCTATTGAATGCTAAAATCATTAGGAACTCTTCGCGATTTTGAATCGTAATACGAGTGAGTTCAGAGTCGGGCCAAAAACAAATTTATGCTCGCGAACATCAACTCTATTGTTATGTTATCCACGTTTCTGTCTGGGTTTATGCAGAAAAACCACCTTATCTCGTCACGTTTATTGCATTTTGCCCGTGCAGTTGACGAAAAGCAATTAGCTGTTTATCCGTGATATTGCATGTCTAATGTCAACAGGAAGGAAATATTGCAGATTTTTAATTACCACGTCCATCGGTTCATCTTTTTCTGCTGCGTCCTTCTTGGTCTTTTTGGCTTTCGAGGAAAATGATAACACAGCTTTCGTTACCTTAAAATACAATCAAAGTGAAAAGATTTACAAATCCATCTTCATTTTAACATTTGCCTAAATTCCAAAACCTTGTCTTTTTATAAAAACGGAATAATTTTTCCACCTTTTCCCTTTCTTCTTTCTTGGGGGGTTTTAAAGCTTCAGGATAGGCAAATAATGACGGTTTAGCGTTGGATATGAACTTCATTTTTGGCATCTACAAGGGAATCATTTTATAGGTCACAATGAAAGATCGATGACTGACTGACCACTGACCAGACAAAATGCCTAATAACCCCTTGCCATTTCCCCTCAAGTGTATGTACAAGCAAAACTGTATACCTTGACATCAGAATTGAGACCAATAAGACAAGTGGGTGTGAAAGCCAAAGAAATAAAATGTGTGAGTGGGAACCAGTACCAATAATGAGTAAATACCAATAAACCAACAACAGACATCATATGTGTGTGACCAGCTCGGGATTGGAGGGAAATAGTTACATTTCTTCCACCTATTCAATGATTAATCGACATTTGGGAGGGGGATCAATAGGTAATCACACACACATTTTTTACTGCATGCTTCCGTCATTTTGTTACCAAATATACAGAATTTTACTATAGTCTTACAATTGTGCCACAGGTTGAGGAAATATCCCCGAGCCAAGCGCACTCAGTATTCATTTGAACGCCAGTTTTAAAATTAGAATGGCTTGTACGAGTGACCAGCCATGCACTCGTAGGAAAAAACGTCGACACAATATCAATTGTGAATATAAACGTTACACCATAAATTAACTCTTTTTCAAGAAATACGTAGCTATTTGAGGAACATACCAGCATCTAGAATTCCTTGTGCAATAATGGATCCAAATTTAGCCATTTGATCTTCATGTTTATCTCCAATAACTTTGGAATATATCTCACGAAACTTTGACACCTAAATTTTGTACAACATTTTTTTATTAATTATTAAGCACTTATCTTAAAGTTATTTCCCACAATAATAATATACATGCATGGTGGTCACCTTCGGATTTGTGTGGTCATTGTGTTGGATAAGTAAAAGAGAGCTGGCAATTAGAGCACCCTGAAAGAAAAGCATTTCTCGTTACACAATAAGTTTGCAACTACGATTTACAGGAAGGTAGATTAGTAACATACACTATATTCGCCTTACCTGCCGGACGTAATTTACGGGGTCGTTTGTCATTGGTTCCACGATACTCACAGCTTCCTAAAATCAAAATGACAACTATGCTATCATAAAAAAATCGACGATCGGCTTGAATGGTAGGCGATCGATAGAGTCCTAAACAAGCACCAGTATCAGGTACCCAGCTAATCAGTAATGCATGGTGTATGCGTGATAAATACCTTGAGTCCAGTACCAGCGCATGATATACCAAGAGCAATAGCAGCTCCATACCGAACATGGGGATTATAACTTTCAGATAACAATGAAACCACGCTTGGACATTGTTCAGGAGTCCTGGTGTTAAAATTAAAGTTAAATGCTTAAAACAAACCTAAGAGACAGTAAAACAGGGAGCAATATTAGAGTCAAAATATACCTGAACATCAAAAATCCTAAACAAACTACCGCCGCTCTACGCACGTCGTCATTAACATCACTAACCTAAAATAATCGATAAATTACATCATTTTCGTAACGCGTTAGCATTACTTGTAATGCACGCCAGAAGGCACCTGTCTTTTTCCGGAGTTTTATCTAATCGTGGCGACTGGGGTGTGGGATAAGGAGGGCAAAACATATATCTCTCTAACTCTATCTCTTAGTTCGAGGAGGAGGGGGGCACTTGTGGGTGGGGAGGGGGTCTTGTTAAATAAAAACTAAAAGTGAATGAGTGCATGAATCATGTATGTGTAAAGACAGCGACTTACCGCTACATGTAATAACTGTTTGATAGCTTTGTTATTACCAGTGCCACAATACGCCATTGCAACAGTATACATTCCACAGATACGTAAATTGGGATCTTTGTCGCGTGAAAGATCATCAATAAGAGCGTCTGCCTCCTCCATACGCGAGTACATCACCTGAAAATGATACTCTTAGTTAGATTTCCCCATTCAGGCACGAATTATTAAAGGAAGGAGAATCAAACGAATTGACGTAAGTCGACATCAACTCCTGCACTTACCAATGATATACCAAGGGCTAAGCCTCGGAGGATTTTCTCATGCTTCGTCTCACGAGCGTACTAGGAAATTTAATCCAACAAAGTTTTTGTTTCATCATTGCGCAGCATGTTTAAGGCAGGACAATAAACACTGCATACGAAAATCTCAGTATGTCACCCAATGAAATTTCACTCCTGGCACTGCAGCCAAAAATGACAGTATGTTTGGGTCGTTTATTCTCCCCTTTCTTTACGTGCAGATTGTATAAAAATACAGTCTAATAAACAAACATCAGAAAGGGACTAATATGCGTATTTTAGGAAACTGTCAGAAATATCGACTAACAATATGGAAGCACAGATTGATATTTTGGATATTGCTCTCCTATTCACAAAAAGCAAACTATTCAGAACCCCTTTGTATCTAAAAATACTTACTGCAACCATATCATCGATAGCTGTTGAGGAAAATGAGCCTAACATAACCAAGCCCATAGCTAACCCTGCTGCCTCGCCTATAAAAGTGACAAAGTACATTTGACAAAGTACATTATGCAGTTAACAGATGAATGAAGTTTAATACTGTATTACTCAGCGGCAATAAATACGAGTGACTTAACATGAAGGAAGGCCTGTGAAATTTGTGTAATAATCTTAACTAGGAAATATCAACAGGAATATGCCCAATGCGAGAAAAAGACCAAATGGAGAAAAAACACATTCAAGAACAATAAAAAAATTCATAGAATAATATTATATTATACCTGTCACGGCATCATCGTGATATAGATTGTCTTTCAATTGATTATAAATATCTGCATATATAAATAAAACAAGTTTAATAAAACACTTTGACTGTTAGCTACCGTTGTTACTGAAGAATACAGAGAATCTGACTAATATAGGATGAAAACACCTTCTCTGGCTGTACCCATGGCAGCAAGACCTAAACCAAGACAACCACCATGACGAACCATCTGAAATGTTTAAAAACACAATATTACATGCGAAGTATCGAGAAATATCAATATCATATTTTAATATAGACTGAAAAATTAAATGATTTTTAAAAGAATTATTTTTACTCACATCACTTGTGGCACTTTTCAGTTGCTGTAGAATATAGTCAATGATTTTGTCCCCGTGGTTTGCGTGGATTAGGCCTGAAAATACAATCAAACGTTAAGCCACAGTTGAGCTGTTGGAAATGGTAATATGCATGCAGGGTGGAGACTTGTTACTATAGAGAAACATTACCTGTAATGTCAAAAAACATCGTAAAGTAAGTGTGAACCTGCACGCCACAAGTATTTATTCCAAACCAGCAAAAAAATCGGTCAAGGATTACTATTTGGTCAAACCTCGAATAAAGCGCGTCCAAAGCCAACAATAAGGTCTGGTTATTTTACTGTCTGTCAGATGCATAGCTATTTTGGGGGCAATGTTTTCTACTTCAAACAATATAATTAAACGACCTAATTTGGAGATTTTTCAAAATTTAGGCAAATAAATTAAAACATGGTGTACATAGAAATACAGCATGCATAGTTTCACTTTCAATGTCATCTGCATTCACTTTCTGTTCCACAAATATAAAAAAGTCATATAGGGAATATAATAAATGCAATTACTACGGTTGTATTGACCGTAAGTGGTACAGGTCTGTAAAGTGCAATTACTGCATGGGAAGAAAATAACATCCTTGATCTGAGTCTGTGTACAGTTTGTGCACACGAGGCCGTTATTGATAATAAGAATGCGAAGATATTGAAAATACATGGATTGACTTCCATACGAGTCAAATTCAGAGCTTATAAATACGTTCATAATTGGCATGGTATATGGAGAACGAGACAATTTATCACTCTGAAATCGATGATTTAATTTGGATATCAAGATCAACACAAGACGATGATGATTCCACTGAGCTCACTCAAATTCAAACGTATGGCAGTATTAACAATAACTGTAGAGAGGCTAATAATAAAACCTTCTGCAAAACATTTCTAATCAGTATGTGGACAAGTTTTACTATACACCTTGCTGGGGTCCCATTGGCGTTGTTGATGATTTCTGTATTGTTTTTTAACATAAACACAACAAACGTATGCTTTGAACAAATTCAACAGGGAAACACTCGCCCAAAAAGTGCAATAAAATGGGTTTTAGCTGGACACATTGTGGGCGTTTGTGCTTTAGCCTTCTGGTTTCAACTCAGCCTGATGCTGCTTCTCACGTGGAATGTGTTTATGTCTCAACATCGGAAAACACTCCTAATAGCCGTCGTTCAAGGTCTTAGTTATTCGATATATAAAATTATTTTGTACACTCAAGATGCGGACTTCACCCACGATGATTATAGATACACAGGCAATGCTGTTTTCCTGTTTGGCGTGATTGCTACAGGTTACTTTGTTTCAAAGAAAATCAGTGCCTGTCATTCGGCAGAAAACTTGAAAAAACTTAGTGTTTTTAAAATAATCACAACACAGTACTTCTTGGGTGGTATTGTGGCAATAACCTATGGATATCTCACTATTCCATGGTTCATTGGTGAAAATGATGAAATCTTCAAAGCCATAATTGCTATCATTGTACGCTTAACCATTCTTGCACTGAATATTATTAACGAGAAGTTAGCCATCGGTAGTTCTCAATTTGTTGTGACTGGACGAAATTTTATTCTCATTAGTTTCACTACAGGAGTGTATACATTAGTGTTTCGTATCATGCAAGCTGATGTGCAGGATATCAGTATATTCATCGCGTTATCTTTATATCGGGGTACTGTGGAAATTTTCCTCGCTTCAACAAAGACCCTGAGGAAAAGAATTCTAAATGCGATTGGCCGATGTGCAAGATGTTGCCGTTTTCTTCGAAGAATGAGTCAACAAAATGAAAAAGAGTGGGATGGAATTCGCTTGGAGGATGATCTACATATCCAACTAATGTTGTACCAACATTCGGCCTCAATTGTCAGTCAGGCATATCAATCCTTGTATAAAGTAAGTTATTTTTATGCTGAGACTGTAGACGTCTTCGCTGAAGCTTTGATAAGAGTGGCAATTGGATCCGCGATTAATCTTGTTTTACATTCAATTTCGATATTTGTATATATGCACTGGCATAATTCACGTTTAGCTACAGTGTGGTCACAAGAATGGAGATTGCATATGACTAACGTTGCAATAGGCGGTGTTATGACCGTTTTGTTTTATACATGCATCTTGTTAACTGTATTTCATAAGTCTGAGCACGACCTTGTCATGAGGAATTGTACCGTACCATACTAATATGTAGGTGTTCAGCGAGGCTCTATTCTACGTACAATATAAACAAGGTACACTAACTATAACAGCAGTTTAATTTTGTCGCCAAGACTCGAAGAAAAATGCATCAACCAATCAAAAACAAAACAGATATGCATATGCATGCATGCATTTATATCTAACTATAACTGGTGACCCTCATCATACAGTTCTTAGTTTTTTTGTTGAATCCTACCTACCTAACGCGTAAAGTCCACCACCTTCTTGATATGCGCTGCCTGCATTAGAATCCTTCGGAAGATATGACGCCATCAGTTTCAAAGCATCTTGTTCATGACCCTAGATGTATCAAAAACCAAATGTTAAACCCCGTGTACTTCAGTTTATTACGCGTGCACGTCAATTACTCAAATCTCATCTGGGCAAAAATCTTGAAGGTGTTTACATTAAGGCATAGCTACTGACATAAAACCACTGAAGAATATTGAGTTTAAACATGCAGTATAAAATACTGAAAATAATGTAGGGTATTATAGTTTGTATTCTGTTGAGGACGCCTTACCCTGTGAATAACACCAAGACTTGCTGTCGCTGTAAACTTAGCCCAGTTCGTTGCTCGAGCTAGCCACTCCAGATTATTTCTGTAAGAATATTGAAATGGGACATTCATTATATAATGGAGTTAAATGTGCACGCAGTTTATCTAGGGCAAGGTCACTAAATATTGTGTTATATAGCTACACTATATAAATACATATCGTACTATAGATAAACTTTCCTACCGAAGAAATGTATCTGTAGTTGTTCCACAATGCATAAGTGCATTTGATATGACAGTTGCTGAATGACAGACAGAGTTTCGAGATGCATCCTAAACGGACATTACCTAACATATAAGTTCTTCAATACATAACAAACAGCATTACCAGTACACTTTTACCAGTACGACTCTACAGTACCACGAGATACATACGTTTTAGATTATACTGTTTAGTATATATTATAGTATTAAAAAAGCCAAAGGATTCATAATGATAATGGTTAGACGTTTTCTATGTAAAACCTGATGACTATGATTAGCTAACTACATAAATATCTGGGGCGGGTTGTAATCCCTCTTATACTGTACTTTGAAAATGTACAATACCTTTGTGTTTTTTAGAATAAGTAAATCTGCATGATTATTTCTAATGAGAAATTCCAAATGATATCCTATGGTGGTCTCCCCACTAAGTATTGCTTGTAAATTTTTGACACGATCTTCCAACACTTTATCTACTCCATTCTGAAACAAAATTATGAATCATGATATAACCACGTATTTCATCACTACGACGAGTACGACCATACATAAAGTTTGTAACTTCATCAGAGCCAATCTTTATACATGCTGGTGTTACATTTTGGGATTGTGTCCGGGGGACATTATCCGTTAGCAGATAGTGTTCGGGGGGGGACACTTTCTGCGGGGGCCACTATCTGCTAGGACACCGTGGTATAATAGAATATCTCACCTTATTATTTGTTTCATTATCTTCAGTAGTGTCTGTTATTAATGGTATGGCTATTCTTAACTTATCAATAACTGATGTTAAGAATTGCTGCGTGGCATTTTCATAAAGATCGAAGGCAATTTGATAAGCCATTATCGTTTGGTCTTTCTGCAAGTTTAGAAACATGTTTGAGTAAATTTCATCCCTGTTAACTCTCATTCACACGACAATATTCAAATTACAAAAACAATTTGGTCAAGAGCCGGGTTTAAATTTACAATAAGTCTAAACTTTGAATATACGCTTGCATTTCTTTTTAATGTCAATGATTTTTCTTTCAGTATCGACTACGGTCTACGGTCTGGCATTGGCTAAGACATGCGGACCATTCATTGCTATAGTTACAAGCTGCCTAGTCTAGGCCAAAACGAAGTGCAGATATGTTTCTTGACACTGCAGAAAATAACGAAAATCCATTGCCTTGAGGCTTGAACGAGATTTCACTATTTCTATCGATTGAGCTACATCATCCAAATTGTACGAGCTCTTTTCAGGTTCACTCAATAACCACTACTTAATGAACTTTTCAATGATAAATGCAGTTAAATTAAGTAATTAAGTTAACGAACTCTTGTGCTTTACTCGATCAATACAAATCCTATTACAGATGCTGGAGTTTTTCGAATGTAAGGTTAGGATTGAATGGCGCCCCCTTTTAAACAACAATGCTGATAACATATCAACATTACCTCGTTATCTTTAATTAAATTGTTGAGAATTTCAACCACAGCACCAGAATCATCCAGAAATATGCAACACTAAAAATACATTCGGTAAAAAACGCGTTATTTTTCTATGCGTACGAAAAATCCAGCCTGTGTTCATTGAACAGATGTACTAATCTATTTAAGAAAACAAACCTGGCAAACGTTGATGAAGTCAGGTGTTTTAAGACTTTGATAGAGTTTAACCAATACTTTCAGTACCTAAAAACAATACAAGATGTGTCATGAAGTACTGGTTGTCTACAACAAATGCATCAAATTACACAATGAATAATATTTCAATAACTGTACCTCATTCCGAAATTGTCTGCTTTGTATAAGAGCCATACACAATTTAAGACTGTACGAAAGCATACTAACAATGTCATCCTAAATAATAAGCAATAACCACCTTTCATTTTCATAACATTAATCATCTACCCACACTAAAGCAATCTTACAGTAGAAAAACTTTATGGATTTATTTAAAACTTATGAACAGGTTTATGGAAATGCACAGAGAACAATATCCCAAGTATGAAAAGGTATGAGTATTTTAATAAAATATGAAACAATAGAAACTCTGTAAAGAGTAAACATCTTGAAAAATGTAATTTTCGAGGTTTCAACTAAACATTGTCATTCTTCAACTAGTCATCATCATTCTTTTCCTGATGATGGCTATAGTTTAGTCGAAACATAGAAAATTATATTTTTCAAAATGTTTACTCTTTACGGAGTTTTTGTTGTTTCTAGTTTATGTAAAATGAGTAAATTTTGTGCACTTACTGATTTTATTATTGCACGCTCAAAAATATCTAGCCTTCTTGTCTCCAATGAAATACCTATTGCCTGTTAGACAAACAAAATGTGAATTTTATACAGAAATATTTTATGAGTGGTTATTGAAAATGATTAGGTTTTAAATCCAGTGGCTCTTTCAGTGAACATTGTAAAATGGTGCAAGAAATATACAGTAAATGGTACATGTATTAAAAGCACAACAGTTATTATTAACACAGTTCTTAGCAGCACATCAAATTCCTAGTTAAGAATTATTTGTGGTATCACAAATAATGCAATTACAATTATCACTTGCAAAGTGGCACATTGGCAAGCAAACTATGCCTATTACGTTGTTATTACTATCACAGCAAGCAAACTATGCCTATTACGTTGCTATTACTATTACACTAAGTCTATTAAGTTAAGCTTTAACTTGTAACAATGCAGCGATGCAGACTTTTTTACCTGTTTGAACTTTCCATCATCAAAACACCTTTGAAACATCCTGTTAACAACTGCTTCAAGTTTTGGATCAATGACTATTTCTTTCCCATCACTAGAAGGAATGCCTTCATATATCTTTACCCTTTGCTGAGTGTAGTGGTCAATACATTTAGCTGTATAAGAAAAGAAAATACCATTACCATGATTATAGCAGAGACAGTGCATAGACAGCAGTATCAAATGCTCAAGCTCTCCTTTCCAAATATTTAACCCTAAAACCTCATTAAACTGTAAGAACATTGTATGTAAAACAACAATATACTGTAAAAAGCTTTTACATGTTGTAGTTGTAGTTGTAGTACTCAAAAAACAAGAAAATAAAAACAGGAAATCAGTAGAAAAACAAGGCATACTGGATTTTTATCAGTTTAGTATAATTCTTTTTACTGACCAATAGTTGTTTCAACAAATTCTGAATGACCATTAACATCAAACATATTTCCTGCACCAAGTGCAAACATCAAACTATCTTCAAAGGAACCAAGGTGGTAATAGACCTAGGGAATATATTAAAGACATATAGAGACCAATTCTTTGAAAAACATTAGCAAGCTGTTTAAAAAAATGCAAAATATGTTGTGTTTATTAAATATGGAATTCATCATATGGTACCTTGGATGCAATAAGTGCTGCAAGTTCTCTGGAGTTAAAGCTCTCATCTTCATATAACATTTCACTATAAAAAATGAATCAGTTTGTCTCCAAAACAAGTATGCTTTAACAGGTGAGTAAAATTCAACAGAATATTTCGGTCCACCTTGATATTTCACACACATCCTTTAGATGATACAGTTGTGATCTCAGATACAGTCGGTACAGTACCTTGGCTACCAAAATTAACCCTATAATTTCATCTGCAAATAGGGTCAGGTCTTTCCCTAGACAGGTTTCTTGTATATTACTCACATTTTTTCCACAGCCTCTGAGATTTCTGCCCAGAATTCATCAACAACATTGTTTAACTTTCTTAATGCAAACGATTTCAGCTCAGGTTCCCTTTCATCAAGCAGTGCAAGAATTCCAGCTGTATAGAAAACGTAAGACAGAAAATTTTGATTATCGTCTGAGATGACTAAATTTAAAAAATCAAAATTTGGCTTTTCATATCAAATGGGTTTTTAATACTCCGACAGAACTTCAATGTATATTAAGAACACAAGAGATATTAAATCAATTCAATTACATAGTTAATTTCTTCCAAAACTAATTTTTTAACAAGTCGGAATTTTATTTAGTGATTTAGAGGATATATACTACTACAATGAAGTATTGCAAGCGACAAAAAACAACTGGTTGTTCGGTCCTCATTATTGACGAGTATGAAAAATTGTCTAGCATTAGACAGACACCGAATGATATAGAAAAGTAGGCGTATATTTAAGTCGAAACACAGCTGTAAGAACACGTTTTAAAATATTGGTTGATTATGAAACACTAAGAAAGCATTTTTACGCGACGAATGGTAACTCATATTTATAAAGACTGAAACTACATAGTCACACTGTAGTGTTTTAACTCACCAGCAGAGGTTAATGTCATCTCTCTAACTTGATGCTCGCGGTACCCAAATTATCGTTTTTTAATTTAGCCCAGAAGCAATTTGTAAAGAAGAGAAATCTTGAAAAAAAAGCTTTAAAATTGAAAGAAAATATTTTACACACTGACACCTACAGCAAACTATTAATTCGAGCCTGCACTCCACGGTGCAGAGAGCACGTGGTGTCTGCGATACTTCATGTAACTAAAAAAATTGTTATTAAAAATTTATATAAGAAAACTTTTTTATGACAAATACTGTTCAGTGTATTTGATATATTTCGGTAAATTTGCGAACCTTTTCAGTGATCTAAGAGGATATTTGGATTTCGATTCGTACATTGAAGGCAAAGAGAGTTACTGACAATGACCGATTAGTTGGATTCTTCTATTTACGGAATATATTTGTCTTGCAACATTTTTCTTCGGTGACATAAAATGTCTTCTTTAATTAAAGTTTGGGGTAAAATTTACTTTGTAATCTTGAATTACATTTAAGATCACAGGAGATCAAATGGTATTGGTTCTTTGTGAAATAAAATTTGTGATGAAATCTACAATATCAGGTGAAATTTGGTTTTCGCAAAACAGTGTGGCTGTTAAACCCAAGACAGAACTTAATGTTCCTCAACTGATAGTGACCTGTATTGTTGCTGTGATCATTTTATCTGGACTAGGCGTCATTCTTTATGGTTGTTGTACAACACCAAGCCAACGATGTAAACTGCGCTGTCCACAGAAAACAGATATAGCTTAATTAAATAATGTATGTACATACATTTATATATTTGTACATATCAACATATACTTATGTTACATCACATAAATACAATTATGTACATATGAAATTATAAATATTCAATGTTGATCAGAGATCATAGTGCTTGGAGTGGAAACTGCATACATGTAGTTGGTAGCTCATACATTGTTGTTTCCTATTTTGAATGCCGGAATCAAAAGGTTAGGACGTGACAAGCCATGATAATTGATAAGATATTAATTGAATGCTGACATTTTTTATTTCTATAAGGCACAAATTGTATTGGGTGTTGAATCAAATACCATTAGTCCATAAATATCTGCTAGAATTACTCGGAGTTGTGGTGAAATTATGAAAAATAGGATCAGATTCTTAACCTTCCACATGCATATATTATAGTCAAAATAAGGTTAAAATATTTAAATAAAATTTTGAGTACAAAAGTTTGTTCTAATTTTTTAGCTGATTCACTGCTAAATATGGTGTAACAATCTTACACACCAAAAAAATTTTACTTGGTTGCTGTTAATTTGGTCTAAAACAATCAGAAAATCAGTTATACAACCCAAAAACGCATGAGAGGTTAATACTACAATTCTTATGCCCTTAGCTGGTTTAATAAAAAGTTTATTGGTAGTTTATTTTTTCTGTGAAAAAAACTATTCACTGAACACCAAAGCTTCCTGCTTATATAAGCCCTACCTACTCCGTAGAAAGCCATGTTTTTCGTTCAGGGTTACTACTATGCGAGGTCAACTTTACAACGATTCGCTTAAAAAATTAATCAGGGAAAAACATGCTCTGCTCTCACAGGATACCTAACAAAGTCAAAGCCTGGACGTAACCTCTTGCTTTATTGTGCTTTGGGCAGTTATAGACATAGTTGCATGCGGTATCGTAGTAAGCCTGGTGATTCATTTAGTCCCACTATGCAGTCTATGCGAATATTTTTGTGTTTATTGAGTGTGAAAAAACAATCAAATTCTGTTAACGTAATATAATACTTAAAATTTTCATAGCAGGACTAAAATCGTCAGGTTGGCTATGGCACTGTTTGCATGTTGTTCTGCCAATTTGGGTGGTCAGTAGAAGTTAGTATTTGTCCTAGATAGATAGGTCATTTTAGGGTTATGATAGTTTATTTAGATAACTATTCAATGCAATTCAAAAATGAAAACTAACAAGGTTTTAAAGCTCATTCAAAACCCATTATTGTAATTTCGGTGCTTTGCGCACACAACGAAAAATTATCTCCCAGTCAGCCTAAATATTTAATAAGGACGAGCGGTCTGCATGGCGGAAGTACTTTACATATAGAAATATTGTAGTCAAAGTATACAGTTCTCCAATTGATCTTCCCCCAGCTGAGTAGCTTATAAGTTTATTGCGTAGATATTCTTGGGATAACTTGCGATACAGAACATACAGTTATACCATTAACATATGATATACGTATGGTATGTAGCTATTGAGGATATTATTCCAGTTAGAGCAGCAGTGCCTCTGGCTCAGAGGAGTAGAATCAGACCATGCTGATTACTTACTCTTATAAAAGAAATTATTCGAGGCTTGTTCTATATGATAGAATATATATAATGTCCACGGGCGATTCTACCTCATATGAAACACATCATATAACTCAGCGAAACTACCCTGGATTTGAGGTGGATGAAACACTCGATCTTACCAGACAATTCCCTAATCCAAAAGGTGTAAAGATGGTTATCGACCTGGCGTTACACTGTTACTCCCCTTTCCCTAGTAGTAATTAGTAAATGTTCATTAATCCATGCCATAAATTGCACGATTTATTTCCCAGAGTTTGTGAAATAATGGAGAGAGAAACAAGACTAAGTAGCAAAAGATGCCAAAGATTTTTAAACAATTTGTTCAAAATTAACCAGAAGTCGGTCGGTGTGGAACCTCAGACATCAGCGAAACGTCTGATGACGCCTCGCCCAGCGTCTAACAATTAAGTGCAGTACAGACTTCACTAAAAGGATTAAGAGAAAACTGAGCACACAATATTTCACCAAAGCAAGACTGGGTATATCCTTATGCATGAGGTCCAAATTTAAGACTACTCGCTGGTTACCGGAACTTGATAACCGTGTCAAACTATTGTTCTTGGTGTTTCTAAATGGTTGTTAATCTCCCAATAGAATGTTGATTTATAACTGTGTTGTAAAAATATTGTAGTATTTTTGCCCGGAAGAAACAACAAAGAAAGACACGTTTACCAAATATATCACAATAAAGATTCTAAACATATTTAGCTTCTACATACCAGATTGCTGTTGGAGCGGGTCAAATTTCGTAGGCCTTGAAAGACTGTAAATACTTTTAATTATAATGTCAGAAAAAAACAACAAAGAATAACAAAATCTATCAAATCAATAAGCGTTTTGCTTTTCTGTGAACTATTGCTTCTTAGCGAGAGAATTAGAATGAAGTAACTCAGTATTAATCAATGTTTTCATCTCATATTTTAAGCAAATCCTTTAAAAGTTTGAAAATTCAAACTGCATTCATGTGATAACAGATACCTGGAAAGTGGCATGCATATATAGCTAACAAACAACAACACACTATATGTTATTTTAGAATAATTTTTTTCGTCTTTTCTTATAACTTTGCTTTAAAGGTCTGACTGTATGGAACCGCGGACGTTTGCCAACCTCGTGGTGATTCAAAAATACATGGCCGACAATCTTTCACTTCCTGCCGCAGTGATAGGTGATGTTTAACTACCGTGTTAGACCAACTGATGTTGGCAACATCTACATGGGAAATGAACAGTTGGGTAAATCCTGTGACACGTGCATGTCTTCCTATGTATTAACATTTGACTGACCGCAATACTGAACCGCGAACAACTTGCTTGATGCGGTATGTCCGATTCCGTGAAAAAAGATTCTTTGCATGCGAGATGCTATATACATAGGGCACTGACGTTCCAGGTGCACTTGCACGCACTTTGCAACATGATCAATATGTTTTAACATAACTGAAATAACTCCGTTCCCCTTTTCATAGTGTTGTTCCATGTACTTCATCGTTATCACTAATCAGAGAATCGATGATCTCTACTAATTGTCCCGAAACATAAAATTCTGTGCGGGATATTAAATTCGCATTAGGTTCTGGTCATATCCCCACCACTTTTGAATAGGCTCCGAAGGTTGTCAGATAAGTCAAATTTCAAACCTCAATACCGTTGGTTTTATCAGTTGCAGCCATCGTGGAATGAATAAACAGGTTAGTTTTCGTAAAACGTGTTGACTGTTATTTTGATTATATACAGACATAATCATACTACTAATATTTGGTATCAACTATACAACCCCTGAGTGTGTATTAGCTGCAAGGGGCCAGTTTTAGAGAAGGGTAGATAGTGAGAAATGATCGCAAGATCCCGTAAATTTATTCACTGTGAAGTATCTTATTAACTTTAGCATTTGCATTGCATTCATATACTCCAGTCACTTGGCATCGACGGAGTTTTAATAAGCCGATTGAACGAAGATACCTATAGCCAGTCTGAACGAATCAGTAATATACTCTGACTCTGTATAGCCTTGGTTAATTTTGAGCACTCAGCTGCGATGTCCACGCGTGTACAATCCTCACTAAAATATGCATCAAGATAAAGCAAAAAACCTACTCCGTCACGATGTGCTTGATATCAAAGTGATTTGCAGGTAACCTCCGGCTGCATGCATGTGTAAATCGTTAAACTCTTCATTTCCTTTAAATACAATATTAACGAAATATGTGGTCAATATAACAACGGATGGTAATCTCGAGTAATGCCTTCACTATAATATTATGCTTATATAAGCACTGATTATAGTCCCTTAGCTTATATATTTATGTATCTTCGTTTTATTACTTAGTGTTTCGCTGAATGGAACTTGGTTTCTTAGATATCCTGCCAACTAAAGACAAATAGAACCCACAAACAACATGACAGGAAGTTTGGTAAACCAATAAAGACGTTCGTCGCCTGCATTGGCTTCAAAAGAATTTCTACAAACTACAGTGTGCGGGTTGTTAGTTATCAATCCCGCGATTTAATCCATCTTCATAACATATGTCCTTGCGTGATATCACTGTATGGAAGGTTGTTTTCACCGCATGCATGGTGTTAACCTTGGTAACATGTATAGCAAGCCTGTCCTGTTTTGCTTCTTTATATTTCTGTTGCAAGAAAACCACTGGAAGTTCAGTTTCCTCTCGCTATATATCGAGCCACAGAAGACGCGCGATAGTGTTTAAATTGTAACATCCATGTTATTAAGTGAGCCTAGTCATAAGGTAGAAATTATAGCCCTGTCTTGGCGCTAGACGGTGATTATAATCAACGTTACCAGTCACGAAAGAAATTAACATAACTGGAACAATAATAACGCAAGTATAATTGATATGGAATTACAACGTCACGGCACCTGGCCATTCGCTGTCGCGAGAGCAGTACAGGAAAGACAGTAAGTTTATTTTTTACTTCAGAAACATGCATCGGTGAAGTAGAAGTAGTTCGCTATAATGACATGCAGTTTGACGGGAGTAAAGGCTCTTTGAGTCATCAATTCAATTTCCATATATTGTCAGAGTCAAAAAATAGTATTTTTATGAACCTGATATGAAAGGCTATATATTCATTTTTACTTCTGTATCTATAGCAAAATTCCAGAATATATAGCCATTACTAAAAACTGAATCAATCTGAATCACTAAAACCTTACGTTAAAATGTTAAATCATTCAAAGAAGCGCCCCCTAAAGCTAAAGCCGTTTAGACATTAAATTATGAAATCCCTAATACACATTTTTCTTCCCATCATTAATGTCGAATAATTAACAAGAAGAAAGCCAGCGTTGAATATGCTAATGAGTACACACAATAATTATGAGCAAGTAACTATATGGTATAAAAATATTCACAGTGCAAGATTTGCTAAATGGATGTGTACATTCCTTCTCAGCAACCTTGTTTTAGCCTTACATTAGTTTCAAATAACGACCAATTATAAATACATTCTTGTGTTATTGTTTCAGTTGCGAGTTTTCATACTGCGAACAGCATACCTAACATAGGTGATTGCGAGCGATAAACAAGGCTCGTTACCGTTGATCCACTTTCTCCCCAATAACTTTGTATTCGTGTTACATCTTTACTCATGTTTCGTACGTGCTTGGTTTGTTTAATAATTACACTTTTTCAAAATCTCCAGGAAAACATGGAGATATAATCCTTATCTGTTTCTGGTATGCTAGAATAGGTTAATTAATAAGGAGCCAAGGCCATTGAACAAAGGAAAATTACGGGGTTATATAAGGTTAATTGATATATATAATTCCTGAACATTAAGGTTAAATGATACATATAAAACCTGAGTAGATAATTCCTGACGAAGTCCTCAAGAATGTGGAGAAAGTTATAACTTATAAGTAGTTATAGATAATTAGTGAAGTTGAATGCTCTTCGGTCAATTGACCTATATGATAATTCGGGGGACCAAATTCATATATTCGTGATACGCAGGATTAATTTCTTTTCAAATCAATTGTCTTTACGGTCTGTTACATAAGATTTATATATGAATATGCCCCCCACCCCAATTATCGATGCTAGCTACGCCACTGCCCAATTTCCATGCAATAACGTGGAAAACCCAGGGGGGTTTATTTGGCATTTCAAACAGGTTCAAATGTTTGAATATTTTCGAAACTTATACTGTACATAGGGCCCAGACTAGAACGATAATTAGGGAGGAGGTAAATATTCATATCGGGACTAGTTTCAGCCCTGAGTGCACAGAAATTCAACAATCACATAATGGGTGAGGGGGGGGGCACTATCATACACCAACTGATAGTAAATGGGGTGCCAAATCATCGAAAGCACAGCATCGGACTGTGTTTAATGTCGTGTTGATAACAACTGTGAAAAATGTGGACAGCACAACTTTGTTTAATTCTGTTTATATCAGTATTCCAACAGCCTGATCGTTTTTACTCGTGTAATTGCCGAAATTCTGCAGAATCTGTCGAAATCTGCAGATTCTTAAAGCCCGCCCCCGCGAACTTCCCCAACCATTCACTCTCACTCATTCAATGCATGTTGAGTACTTTAATTTGTAGATATAAATTGCGCAAGCAAAATATTTCGCTATCCATCTTGATTTTTAACTTCATAACCCTGAGATGAGTGGATGTTTGCCATGCAAACGTACAAAATCTAATAGCACGAAGGTCTTTATTTTTACTCCCTTTTTCTTAGTAGTCGAAATTCCTTAAACTGAAAAAGCCTTGATATATTTATCTCCGTAGGCCGTGGCGATCAACGACAACGAGCGTATTTCTTAGAGTCAGTTTCAGACTAATAAAAATGTACTTTCCCGAAACGTCGAAGTCTTTTCTCAGTCTCACACACGGAAATGTAAAAAATCATCCTAATTGAATATCGCACAAGAATATGGAGTAACGAAAACTACTTGCTTTCTTCCATCGGTCAACTTTTCTTTACGTCAATTTTGTTTTGTATAAATAAAAATCTCACTGAAATATATTACACCATAGCTATATAAGGAAAAGATGGTCTTCGTGAAACATTTTTGCTTAAAGACTGTAAAAAGGTGAAAGCCTCACACTTTGTATCAACGTCTGGTAAATTAAAAAAACTTTATCTGTCTGATGCAAAAACTTTTACACGAAATGGAAACAGGAAAAGGTTAACTTTCTCAAAATTCTTTTTAATCAACCTCAGTCACTTTTTATTCCATTTTTTATTTACTACTTTACTATTCACAGGAAAATGAATTCTTCGAGGGGAATATTAGTGGACAATGATGAGTTAGGGCGTTCCAGGTAAGCATTAAACTTAGATCGTTGTCTGCAAGATTCCATTGGATATAAAACTCAGTGTAAACATACTTCATGTGAAATATTTTTAACATAGTGGTTACAAGTTCCAATATAACCAGGGAGCAGCGTGCCAGCGTCTTCAAACAACTTAGCATCAAATGTAGTATAACAACTGCCTAAAATAGACAAAACACTTCTCGACGTTTCAACCTGAGGGCCTTCGTCCGGAGAGTGAGAAGTCAGTTCAAACATTCGACTTACCAAGTCCTCTGTCCCGTGTTTGATTCTGCTCTACACTAAAGGTTGCTTTCTTCTTTCCGTTTTTTGAACGTACGTACACGCACGTAAAAGCTTAAAACCTTCTAAGTTGTTGTATAATTAATTTTATGCCAGAGAAAACCCAGCAAATCGTCAACAGAATCCATGTAACCCTATGCATCTATTCAATCGTTAGTTTCATAAATATAATTTAAATTATTTTAAACTTTTACGTGCGTATACGTACACACAAAAAACGCGACAGAGGAACTCCTACAAACTGGCCCCACCCAAAGCTTGCTCGCTGAAAATCAAGCCGGGTATAAAATTCGTATTGTGGAATAATGATCCGGTAGTTGGGGATCTCGATCGGTAAACTGATAGCCATGAAAGACAAGGAGATAATATTTGTCTGCAATTTGTGGTGTTTGCTCAGAGATTCCATTCTAATTACTTATGCTTTTTTCTTTTTCATCCCATGAGTTTCCTAACATCTCATGTGCCTCGATCGCTGATGGAGCAGCAAGAAAGCTCGCAGCCTTTGAACAACCCGGCTCGTGTTGCCAATGTACTATCGCGGCAACTCACGCAAGGGTGAGTATGTCTACAAAATCTTTCATAGTAAACATCTGTCGTCTACAGTATTGCTCGTATAACATTGGGGCGTCGCTAACAGTTGAATCACTGCCTGTATTCTCGAATTATTAAATAATCCAGATTTTTAATTACCGTGTATGTGATGACTATTATGTAGTGACATTCAGCATTCTCTTCTAAGGATGGTATTTCTCGGCATTTATGTTATTTTTATTGTTTTCAATAAATGTATTGAACTAATACAACATCTCAAAGGCTTCTTGACTGTATCATTCCCTAATACTTTGAATAAACTGTGAGAATTGTTTGATGATACTTTTGATATAAATAGTACATATACCCGATATTAGTGTTGTTGCCTATTGGATTCCGCTATTGTCACGTCGCTTAATAACAACTGCAACAACAACGTAACGACGCAATACACGCATGGTAAAAATAACTGTTAAGCATTATCAAATTTGACTAATTAACCTGTAAGTGCACTTGTTACAGATACAAAATTAGGAGAAACGATTAAGTATTTGTTTGTGATATAAGCCAATAATTTCGGCAAATATTGCATTTTTAATTGCTTTGTCATACTCCAGTTCAGCAGGGAGTTTATGTAACATATACAATATTTCTCTCTAAACTTACGCCATTAAACGTATTACCTAAAAAATTCCGTTTTTTAAAGGCGCTAGTATTTGTAAGGCAAAATTCGTAACGCCGTCTGTAAGACAGAAGTGTAAACATCTTTAACCCAATTGAATTTTGACAGAAAGCACGGGTAAGACCTGCTCTGTTTATTAATTAACATCTTTTTGTGTGCATATGCTTTGATGTTTATAATTGTATACAATCTGTGCTATGCCACTTGACCTTATCAAACAATACAACGTGCAATATATTCATGTCGTTTTCGACCTGTGATAATTTGCTACATTTATAAAGGTTTATATTCAGTTTTTAACTGTGGTTTACTGTACGCCTATGTTGCATGCGGCCGTATAATTTGTTACCGCTAAGTATAATCTTGTTATCTATTGCAAAGTTTATGATGTATTTTAACAATGTTCGGCGAAAACATGTAAAAAGTTCAGTTTCTTTAGAAATCAGAATGACGATTATGAGTTCTTTCTTATTTTCCGAAGAGCAAATTAAACGCAGCATGTTTGCTATTTCTGTAAACATACGCAACGATTCTTATCGAGAGTGAACTAATTGAATTAATAGTGCAATAAGGCCTATATATTATATATATATATATATATATATATATTAATATATATATAATATATATATTATATATATATGTATATATATATATATAGAATGCACAGTGGATCTGGACTGAAAACAATGCAGGGTAGTTGACTTAAGCCGTACTGTTTGACGTTGAATTTCTAGTCTTTGGTTCAAGAAGACAAAAGGCGTTCATAAAAATTTACGTTTAAACCGGATCCTCTTTTTTCTAAGCCGGTAGATATGTATAAGTATAGTAGAAAAAAGTGATATATGGCAAAATTTATAGGCGTTAACCCTTTCTAAACCATATTTCTACTTGTTCTCAAATCCAACAATTGCATATGCTTTCAATTATGCTTATCGAATACATATATCAATAGTCCTTCAGGTGCATATTCAATTTGATATTCGAATAATAGAAACAAAAGAGAGCTGAGAGTAAACCAGATTATAGAACGTTGTTCTTGTATCTGACATAAAAGTGTTTCACTTTATTGCTAACCTAATGCGACTTAGTACCGTAGCATTTTGCTAGTATCGTAACCGGTTAACAAGCATGAATTTTGCATTAGGTTTTGTCAAGTAACGTGTGACTTGCAGGACTAGGGAAGAGGGTATTGAAAGGGTTTCAGCTTCTCACCCCCCCCCCTCCTCTATTTCATTCTACTATATATAATACCCAATGTTCTGTAAATTTAATCCATCTTGCTATACGCCGGGATATTTTAGTCGAAATGTGCAACTTAGCATTGTTGGCTTAATTGTTTGTCAGTGGTAAAACATGACCCAGATTCAGGCGTAAAGCTGCTCAATGCATTAATTATTATTCAGGTGTATGTTTAAGATCAAATAGCTCAAGAAACCAGAAAAACTCCTCACTACGTGAAAAATATAGCTTAGTAAAATTGGAAAACAGCTTGCATGACGTTTTATAAAACTTCAGGTCTGTAATAAGAAAAGAGGAGTAATTATCCGTCACGAAAATTTGAACGGGCATCCCTTTTCTTCATGCACTTGTGAAGTCTTACGTACGGTTCTCTCGCCATGCACTGATTATAACACAGTATTTAAACAAGGTTTATAGCTTATAACTATTCTTAAGACGTCACAAACGGATTATCACAGTGGCCGCAGCATTTTTTGATATCAAATGTACCAGAATAATGCGCCATCATCTCTAATGAAATTCATTATTCGTTTTATGTCGTGGTGTTCGCGTTCTGTGAGTAAATTGTAATTCTTTAAGTCAATCACTCGTGTCAGCACGAGACAAATGTTCCTGCTGTTAAAACGTCTGATAGAAAGACATCATGGAAAAGAAATATCGGGACTTGCTGGTCCCGTTGTTCATCCCGTTTTGAATGTCGGAATCAGTGAAATCCCATTGTGGTTACCGCGTTCTCGGACAATTTTGCATAGTACACAAGATTCATGCAAGACGACATGATCAGTTTTTTATTCCCATTTCTTCACATTGACCTTGTCAATGCCACTTCCGAAGTACTTAAGAAGTCATTAATCTTTAGAAGTGCTTGTGAATTGCTTGAAATCACACGCAATATTAATGTCTCTAGATCGTCGGGAGGGGGACCCGGGAACCTATGCTTTAATTCATTGCTACGTGGTAAAGTGAATGTCAGTGATACTGATCAAAACAGACGAATGACGCGTGAGACTACGAAATATCAGTGCATGATACGGGATTAGTACCTCCATTTGCCTTCCACCACCAGCTCTTTACTATTGCTACTTTGAGACCTCATTGTGTACAATATCATAATTAATAAGTACAATAATGGTCATCTGCATGCTTCTTATCATTCCATGTGGACCAATAGGACTTACGCTCTCGTGATTTCATAATTATCTTTTTCCTTTGACAGGAAATATATATCATCATACATTCCCTATACAAGTGGAAACCATGCTGGGTTCTACGAATTTTTGATCGTTCAGGATCAATTTTTAGTAGATACTTAGAGAAAAGATCAATTACGAAGATAATTTATTTTTCACAAACGTTATGTTTTGCATGTTGCAGGTGGTTAAATAACCTGTTTAAAAAAGGCAGTAAAGGTGCACTGGATGATAACGACATATATGATGTACTCCCTGAGGATGCTACGCTGGGACTTGCAGATGAGTTGGAAAGGTGAAAATTTTCTTCTTCACATCTGTCTGTTCCTACAGCAATGACAGAATGGAAAATGGAATGTTACGGAAGAGGCATATCATCCTCTTTTCAACCATTTCCTATTTTTTGCAAAATTGGTAGCGCAGAAACCAGATTAATTCCTCGTTATGTATTTTAGGCTAAAACATGTCTATGATTGCTCCAAGTCGCTTCTTGACTTCATGGATGTATAAGTTCACCTGTTGTGTAAATAATATACAAGAAGTGAAGAAGAGACTTGGAACAAATCTATACCAATGTAATGAATGTATTATGCGTGGATATTCATTTTACTACATTTTCATTGGCAGACATTGGATCAAAGAAAAAATGACGAAAGAAAAACCTAGCCTCTTCACCCCGTTTGCAAAATTCCTTGGCTTCAGCTATTTGTCAAATGTTATATACATGTTTTTGAAGGTATGTATACTAGTAGTGTTGTGTCTCAAGTCTTCTTAGTATTAATCAAGGTCCACTACAGGCAACTGTTCCACGAAAATTGTTATATACCTAGCTTTTCATTTACCTTTTTTCCAGGAAGGGTTTCGTCTCGTTCAACCTATATACATTGGGAAACTAGTTGCTTATTTCACGGTTGGTTCTGATGAAGAAAAATGGAACGCCTACCTCTACGCCGGCATTATAATAGCGTGTGCTCTAGGTGAAGCTATAGTACACCATCCTATGTTCCTTGGCGTAATGAGAGCTGGTATGCATTTGAGAATTGCTACCGCTGCTCTGATTTACCGGAAGGTAGGTCAATATTAATTTATAAATACTAATCATGCAGCATCAGAATCGTGAACTCGGTTTAACTACAAAAAATGTAGTTGGAAATTCATACGAAATAGCCATTCAAACCATATAGCCATTGTACATTCGATGGAACTAATATTTCGTGGAAAATATATTAGAAATATTTTCTCATTTTAAAAAAAAGGACCTTTTTACAATCGCCTTTAGGCATTGAAAATGAATCATTCTTCGCTAAGCGAAACCACTACGGGAAAGATTGTAAATTTGATAACGAACGACGTGCAAAAATTGGACCAGGCAAGTAAAGACACAAAAACATCAGTCTAAAATAAAAGTGAAAATTTTAGTGCAAAATATCGCGCGAATTTTTGCACTTCACTATAGTTCAATGTCTCGAAAATTATTTTCAGGTTGCATTTTTCCTTCTCTATTTAATTGTTGCTCCATTCATCATTGCTGCAACGTCGTATTTATGTTGGAGGGAGATGGGGATATCTTTTCTACCTGGTCTCGTCTTGCTCTTGCTGCTGGTGCCTTTTCAAGCCTGGATTGGACGGTTCTTCGCCACTTTAAAGTTAGTATATTAATAGGTTATAATATAAGTATTGCAATCATTGTATATAGTTGGTATATCAGTAATTTTTTTAACATAAACTTGAAAATTCCAAAGGATTCGCCGGAATCCAATCCTGAAACCAGTCAGCTCAATTTTCCATCCAATCTATAGTTGCATTTAAAACACATTTATGAAAATAACGTTAAAAAAATAATATTTGTATGATAATGTGAGGAGAGTATCACTATAATGTTTTTTTTTCATTTTTTTAGGATGAAAAGTGCTGCATTTACCGACGAAAGGATTGGAGTCATGAATGAAGTGATCTGTGCAATGAGAATTATAAAGATGTACACTTGGGAGGATTCCTTTGATGAACTGGTCAGCAAAGTGAGAATGTATGTTGAAAGAGATATAGCTAGCGTTTATGATACTTTTCAGTTTGCTTTTGTTTGATTTTTTAGCAGCTTCAGACACTGTACATATCCATCAAATCTCAATTAAATTTATTTTCTATCTTCATGACAATTGCCCATTGACCATCGATTTCACGAGTACAACACTGTACACTTAATAAAACTCGTATATCAACATGATAATCATAACGTATGCAAACTTTATTTCTCTGTATGCATGACACTTTTTTGGGGTTTCCTGATGCTAAAATATTTAGTTTTATTTGAAGAAGACAAGAAGTATTAGCTGTTAAATTTCGTTTTAGGAAAGAAAGCGATAAGATCAAAAGAACATCGAGATTTCGTGCATTAAATGCATCAATATTCATCATCGCTATCCCAATCATGACTCTTGCTATGTTCGTTACTTACGTACTTACTGGTAATATTCTGACCTCTGAGAAAGTCTTTACAGTCATAGGAATATTTATGTCAGCAAGAGTGGTAATGACAATATTTGTTCCAAGCAGTATCATGTTCTTGAAGGAGGGAGGAGTTTGCATGAAACGCATACAGGTAAGTGTTTGTATGGAAGTGGATATGATGTGCTAAAGTGGAATAAATATACAGATTAAGGTTCCTGTTGTGTAGTATCAGAGACACGAAGTATACTAGCAATTAGAATATCGCAGAGCTACGGTCGGGAGAATATACGAGGCCTAACAAGTTCTACCAACATGTTAACGACCATACATGTTTGTGAGATGTTTGATGTTTCACAACATTTTAATCCAATAAAGAGTACTTTTCCAAGAAGTGAATATATAGAGTGAATATCATTCTTCTTGGAGCCGCCTTGTTGAAATTCGTTATCATACGAAAATTCGTTTTATTCCAGGAGTTCCTGTTAATAGACGAAGGCGTTGTACCGATGTTGGATGAAACGCGGAAAAATCCAAGAGACGTTATTGTGAATCGTATCAATGCATCATGGGACAAAGTATGATTGACAATGTTAAAAATCAGAGTCTGCATATTCGCTAACCTAAGTTTGTTCTGTAGCCTCAAGTCCTCCATGACTTACTTCCAGTTTCTTGAAATTGTAGGATCGCGACGAAACTTTGAAGGAAATCAGCTTTAAAGTTTCACCAGTAAGTGACAAGCCAATGTATGTATGATATCAGTTGCTTGTACACATGTCCTCGCCTGCCTGTCTGCCTGCCTGTCTTCCTTCAAATAATCTTAGACGATAATTTGTTGCTTCCTCCATGTTTTAGGGCGAACTTCTTATGGTGATTGGACCAGTTGGTAGCGGAAAGGTAGATACAATCGATATTACAGCTAACCTGTTCATCATCAAAACTAAAATATACCTACGAATCGTACCCCGGTTTCAGTTTACGAGTATGGGTAATATACACAATATATACCCGTACCCGTAGAACGGAAACCAAATTATAACTTTACAATAAATTCAAAATATTTCGACGTACGAAAACCGATTAGAAAATAGTAACTTTCCCTTTTGATGTTTGTCATACTAGATTGTTAACACTTTGACAAGCATTTGTGCATTAATTATTTGGTAAAATGTGAAAAACGGGTAGAAATTACAAGTAAAGACGTTGATATTATCAGAAATCGGTAAACAAGATGGCGATACCCGTACCCGTAAAGCAGAACCGGGGTATCTTAACCCATCTCTTTTCATTGTGTGCTCAACCGCACGTGAACCATTTTCCCTAGGCTAGCCCTATATAGCTACTCCTCATGGCCACGCCCTTGATATTTGCATGCAATTCAGTTTTAATTTCGGTTCTTTGTGTAGTCTTCTCTACTGATGGCCCTTCTTTACGAGCTACCGCTGACAAGTGGAGAGGTACATATGAGCCGTAACATTGCGTACGTATCGCAATCAGCATGGGTCTTCTCTGGAACATTGAAAGAGAATGTTTTGTTTGGACAAACATATGACAGAGAAAAATACCACAAAGTTATAAAAGCCTGCGCTTTAGATAAGGTATGTTGGTCAATACGAGTTTCGTTTGCATGTAAGTACAAAGCCAATCTTATAACTGCGTTTTTGACGGATTTTTTCTACCGGAATTGAGTGATAAAGATTTATTTCCAGGATATCAAAGATTTTCATAAAGGTGACCAGACATTAATCGGTGAACGTGGGGTGACATTAAGTGGTGGACAACGAGCTCGCGTGAACCTGGCAAGGTAAAATAACTAAGATTTAAACAAAGCTTTCTGGTGCTCACACAATGTAAACATTTCTCAACGTAGACATATTGGCCATTTTGTGTCCATTTAGGGCTTTATATTACGACGCTGATGTTTATTTAATGGATGATCCTCTTAGCGCTGTTGATTCGATCGTTGGTAAACATATATTCGATGAGTAAGTTAACTAAAATTTTTTTGCTGCTGCTAATTAAAACGAAGATACGAAGGTTTTTTGGATTATTGTATAGTGTATTTGAACAACATATATTTTTATACAGCTTTCTAACCTAAAATTTATCTTCATATTCCAGATGTATTCGCGGTCTGTTAAAATCCAAAGTTTGTATTCTTGTGTCTCACCAGCTTCAATATTTGAAAGACTCAAATTCCATTCTATGTTTGCAAGAGGTACGTAATTAAGTTCAATCAGTTCTAGGCACACATTTACCTTTAAGACAGTATAGAAAAGCAAATATAATCGGTATAGCGTAAAAGCTTTGAAAGACGATTCCCTTCGTCAGAATAATGCCAGTTCGTTAACTGGTAATGCTCCTAATGTTTTTGCTCTGTCTACGCCAGAAAATTTTACTCGTGACAAAAATTAAGACATTAATTGCAGCATGAAAATATAATATACAGCTCTCCCATTATCCAGATTCCCTTCGGCAATTCTGTTTATTACATATAGGGTAAGGTGGTCGGCTACGGTAATCTTGAGTATCTTATTCAAATTGGTTTGGACATCGTCTCGCTGGTTCAACCGGAGGAAGTTAAGGAAGGTCTTGTAGACACGGATGAAGTAGTACTTAATGAAAAGACTGACAAGCGACCAACATCGTTGTTATTTAAACAGAAACTTGACCTACAAAGATCATTAAGCACGCCGCCCCATGAAAGAATCAGCAACAGACAGTTACTTGATATGTATATAAGTAGAAGTAAAAAGAAATGCCCACACAGACAGTCTTGGCATCCGGTTGCTATAGGATCCTTCACTCCTCAAAGCAACCGGCGTTGTCATAATATGAACGACACAAGGTCTATGTATATCATGACTGGCGGTCGTGATTCAGTACTCATGGCAGGCGACTCGATGTTAAACCTCGAGACTTGTTCCAACCATGGAAGTAATCTAACTTTACATAGTATTGGCCAAGCAAATTTTTCAGCTCAGCTACTGCACACGGTATTTCCAAGAAGAACACGGAGTTCCTCTTTGGCTTCTGTGGCTTCAGCCAGTGTCCTCGATTTGGAATTGAGTCAAGTACACAGAGATGTAAGTGCATGTTAGCTATATTTGGATGTTTGTCTTTTCCGCTCATCATTACAATGTTAATTTTTGAACTCTCGTTAAGATAACGTGCGCAATTTAGAATTTGTGTAAGAACCATGGGGTTTTTTCACTGTAGTTCTAAATGATTTTTTTTCTGTGTAGAAAAATGAGGGAGAAAAAGAAGAAGAAAGATCTAAAGGAAGTGTGTCGTGGAGAGTTTATAAAGATTATGTTTTGGCCGGGACAAGCGCTTTCATGGCAGTTTTGGCATTTGCAATATTTCTACTTGGTCAGGTAAATCACGGTTTGCCAAACATGCATGTATATAATGCAATAGCTAGGATGGGATGATGATAGGATCCAATTCCATTTCATAGGTTAATAACTTTTTATTAATGTAGGCATGCGTACTTGTATCGGATTGGTGGCTGGCAAGATGGTATGTTACACACTTTGCTGCATGTGAAAACGATATTGAATGATATTGTGAAATATTATGTACATTATTTTCAAAATTTAGGTGTTCTTATACGGGTCCGTAATTGTCTTCCCTTCGTTGTTGGCTTTGATTCTTCTCCTAGCATTCTTTTTTGTTGTCTATGCACGACATTACGCATACTACCACCACAAACTGAAAGCACTACAAGAACTATTTTTATTTCTATTTAGGGCTGACAGAGAAACAATACATGCTCGAGAAAACAGCTCTGAGGATGTCATAGATTCAGAGAGAACTCGAAATATCAGCGTCTATGTCGGATTGGTCGCTGGTTGCATCATATTGTCCTTAACCAGAGCACTACTGTTCTTTTATATTCTTATCAACGCATCACAACATCTTCATAATAGAATGTTCGCTGCTATACTCCGGGCTCCGATTTATTTCTTCGATTCAAATCCAGTTGGTGAGCTATACTTTTTTGCTTTTTGCAAAAATCGTCAATTTTAAAATGACGTTTATTATTTATTAGTTTATGTGATATTAGTATAATTTTTCTTTGTTGTTATGAGAGTTCAAGGTAATCCCTCTATCTTGGAAGACAGTAGAACAGTAGAAGATTCAATATAGCGACATACATGACATGCATGCATGTACAAGCCTTTTGATGCATGGCACCCTTGAATTTTCTGTTATCTTCGCGCTCGCTGCAAGATGGCGGAAAATACCTTGAAAAGTTATATTGTATGCAGGCTTTGATGTTCGCCTTCTTTTCAGGTCGGATACTTAATCGTTTTTCGAAGGACATTGGCTTTATGGATGATCTACTTCCCGCAACATTCTACGAAGCAACACAGGTCAGGGTTCACCCTTCATGGTTTTTTGGACTTCCTTGGATATCTAATAAAGTCACACCCACATATATTAAATTATTTTATTTACTTTCCAAAACGTGTTAAAGCTTGTTCGATATCAATAAATCGTAAAAAACTTTGTCTATCCAGCTACATAAACAGAGACATTAGCTTGATATCAACTGCATGCCCAGGGATAATTAACAATTTTGTTTGTTTAAAAGCATTGGAACTGTTTGCATGATTATAACGTTATAAAGATCTCTATATTATATAGATCTCTGTTTATCATTTCCTAATAAGCACACTATACGACACCACCCTGTGATGAGCACCGAGTGCAAGAATGAAAGTTTAAGCTATATATAAGATTGATCTTGACTGAAGTTGATTAATCTCAATATTCTTTTCCAGCTGGTTGTCTTAGCTGTTGCTATTATTCTGCTGAGTGTTACTTCACAGCCATACTTGTTGATTGGTGCTATACCTGTTGTTATAATATTCGTCTGGTTACGTCAGTATTATGTTAAAACAGCGAGAGAAATCAAGAGAATTGAATCTCTAAGTAAGTCTGTTTATGTTCCCTTGCTATATAGCATTGCATATAAGAGTTGCCAGCGAAGATAAATAAAGGAGCTAAACACGGCCGTATATAACCTTTTTTAATCGTCTTTTTTTTCTTCGTCTTCTTAAGGACATACTGAGGAATGTATTTGGCTAATTTAATTAGTCAGTCGCAATCTGACAAACTTGCTTTGTCTGTTTGTTTTATTTTCATGTTGCATGTGATACTAAACTGCCCAGACGTAAGAGAGTTGTCACATTGTTGTATAACTTAACTGCGATTTAACTACCAAAATTTGTTCTAATACAACCATTATCTATTTTAGGCAGGTGTTATATCCAAAATTTGGTTAAAAGTTCTACTAATAGCCTTGTCCAATGCTTTCCAATTTATATAGATCGCAGTCCAATATACTCGCACGTATCAGCCACATTACAAGGATTATGTACTATCCGAGCTTTACATACACAACCACATTTCCTGAGAAAATACAACAAATATCAAGATCGCCACACCTCTGCGTGGTTCTTAATCTTAACTGGGGTTCGATGGCTTGGGTTTCGACTTGACATGTTATGTTTCGTCTTTTTCGCCATTGTTGTGTTCGCACCATTGGCAGCGGAAGAAGTTGGGATGAGTATGTTGTATTTGATTATATCTAAAAAGCTTAGAAGATAACTAACTTTCTTATAATTAATGAATTAAAGTTGAATTAAATTAATGAAAAGTATGACTTACGATGTAAATCCCTCTTTGTCAGATATTCACATGCAGTCTTGTAAAATTTCAAAATGTCGTATTTGTATAATACCTACAGGTGTAAGTGCGACACTGGTGGGCTTGGCTCTGCTTTATACGAAACAATTGTTTGGGATGTTCCAATTTTGTGTTAGACAAACCGCAGAGGTCGAAAATCAGGTGAATATTCCACTAACCATAGAGTTTTTTTATATCGACTTGCAAGTAGTTACGACAACTTGGAAGGGTAACTATATAACAAACCGTAAAATGACCCTGTTTAATTTATAGATGGTCTCTGTTGAGCGTGTACTCGAATACTGTGATTTGGAACCAGAATCAGAGTTGGAAGTTAAGGAAAGCAAGCCATCTAAAGAATGGCCACAATATGGAATTATTTCTGGAGAGAAACTGTGTTTTTCTTATCACTCAACACTCCCTCGCGTTTTAAATGATCTATATTTTTGTATAAGATCCAAGGAGAAGGTGAGAAAAAGCGATTGTCTCTATTTTTAATGGAAGAACCTAACTACCATACAGAGTAAAAAAGTAAATTCAAGCGGATTATTATCAATTTTTTGTTCAAATGCAATAGTAAGTTGGCATTGGCTTAAAAACGAAATTATTAACGGAAATTAACTTTTAGCTTGACGTTGTCGTCATTTTCTTAAATAGAACTAGTTAAAATATATGCCAGCGTGGTTTTAAGTTAGTCTCGGCCATTCCTAGTGTCGAATATTTAACAACCGTTTTAAAATTTATTTATTAAAGTCTTGGCATTCATGTACATTAGAATGATATAGTATGTGATCTGTTAGGTTGGGATTGTAGGCCGAACAGGAGCTGGTAAATCGTCATTAATCTCCGCATTTTTTCGCCTGGCCGAACCTAATGGTGTAATAAGAATTGACGGAGTGTCTATAACAGAAATGGGTCTTAGAGATCTTCGTAGTAAACTGTCAATAATACCTCAGGTATATATGCATAATATAAGATGTGAATGAAATTACAAATCAACCTTTACTGTGTTTAGACCAGCTAGTTCCAAACCTGTGCCTGTTTTCTACTCTGTGTTTAAGTTCCCTATTATTAATGTTCTCAAAGCTCACCATTATATAATGATGATGTATAGCTGGGAAGGATCTTTTCAACGCCTACATATACTGGTAATCGTTGCATTATATTTTAGGATCCCATAATATTTGCTGGTAGTGTAAAGAAGAATTTGGATCCATTCGGTGAACATTCTGATATAGAGATCTGGGACGCCTTGGAACAGGTGTGCTGAACAAGAATTTTGTGACTTTTTGTATAATCATGTGATCGCTAACTGATTTCAATTAATTGAATTGCCTAAATATGAAAATTATAATTTACTCACATTGTTTCATTCAGTCATTATATTAATTGAGAAAAGCGAACATGGTAAAGGTTGAAGCATTTTCCAATCAAACTTTTGTGATCCTCTGTATAGGTCCAAATGAAAGAAGTCGTTGAAAATCTTCCTGACAGATTGGATTCTTTACTATCTGAATCTGGCAGTAACCTTAGCGTTGGTCAGCGTCAATTAATTTGCCTGGCGCGAGCTCTGCTAAAACGTAACAGAATATTGATTATTGATGAAGCAACAGCTAATGTTGATCATAAGTAAGTTATTACCAAAAATTCAAATTTTGTTTGCTGAGAAAGCTGAGAATAAAAGTGGGGTGTTGCCAAGGGCCCGCAAACAGCAAAAAACTAATGATGTCATTCGTTTTTCAACAGGAGTTTTATGTTTTGTTTTTCAGGACGGACAGTTTAATTCAGGAAACTCTGAGAAATAAGTTTAAAGATTGCACAGTTCTAACGATTGCTCACCGTCTCAATACTATTATGGATTCAGAAAGAGTCATGGTAAACATGCCAAGGGTGCTTACCGATTACCTTAGGGATTCTGAACTTTCGGTCGGAAAACAAATGGCACGAAGAAGTTCGGAAATTTCCGATGGAAATTCCTTTTATTCGCTTTTCTGACCGCAGTTTACCCCAAGGTAAATGGTAAGCGCCCAGATTTTCATCATCAAACATGGGTTGCTTGGAATTGAGAACGTTTACATAAAATTTTTCCAAAATTGCAGTAACTTTATGACGCAAAGCAGCAAAAGGTTTATGACGCCAAAAATTTAATATCACGATATAAATTAAACGTGCTGCTCCGAAATCGGGCAACTGCAAAAATCGCGAGGGTCAAGAAGTTTGCATTCAAGATCTAACTATGCTTATGATAATTTGTTTATTTTAGGTATTGCACGAAGGTCGATTAGTAGAATTCGACGAACCATATGAATTACTTCAAAAGTCTTCATCCAGATTCTCTGAACTAGTGCAGGAGGTTGGTGGGACAAGTTCTGAGAAACTCTTAGAAATGGCGCGAAAAGCACATCAAGGACGATTGAGAAAGAAAGACAGTGTGAATGGTTCACACCCTCAGCATGTACAAAATAACTCTAAGCGTAATTCTGAAGACAGAAACAGAGAAATGCCTAATGGTGTAACGGACAATCATATTACGTGTAAAGCTAATGGAACTGTTGGATCCACCGAAAAACAAGAAAGCAGCTGCTAACGCATGTGCATGTCTTGTACAGAGGGAGGTTAAAGAGGTCAGTGATATGCAGCCGTAGAAAAGAGAGCCCACGGTATAACTGAGTAAACCTCGCCTATCACACTGCCCCTAGTGGGGGAGGAGGGGTGTGTGTTTTGTGCATGCGAAGGGACAAATTAAAGGCATCAAGTATATGAAAGATTAGACGTATGTATGTATGTGTGTTAACATATTTCTTTCCTTTGCAACAAAGGATTCGTCTGACTAATCCCAGAACATATATTAGATATATCGAGAGATATATAATAACCCAATTAAGTCAAATATATCTAATATATACTGTATAAATACATAAGATAAAATACATTTAAATACCTCGAAATGGTTTAAAACTGAGTAAAATAACGTTTTTTGAAGAAAACAATTCAGTTGAACGCCTTTAAAACTAAGTAGAATTACATTCTTCGATGAAAATCATTTATTTTAAACACAAAAATCAATACTGTGATGAATTTCAAAATTTCAGAAAAATTGGAAAAATCGTAAGTTTAAGTCAATTTTTTGAAATTTCAAATTCGATTTTAAATGCCTCGAAATAGTTCAAAACTAAATAGAATTACATTCTTTGATGAAAACTATTCACGTTACGCAATCATTCACTAACTTCGATACCATACGACTTTCTTCGATGATCCAGTATCCCGCCGTCCGTACTGCGCCGAGTGTAATCAGTCGTCCTTGGTAATGGATTTTGTTATGGATATGGTGAACCAATAGTTTTGAGATTTGGCGCTTCTTTGGAAGGATTGTTGGATGCTTCTCAGGGTACTTTACGGTTGATCTACGTAATCAACCTGCAACTCGGAGAATGCCATCTCTATCCAGGAAGGGGTAAGACTGTACAGACTTGAAGTCTTTAGAGTTCCATTGCTACATTTCTTTCCAGATGCTTCTTTGAGTAAATCGATTTCAGTTCCAAAACATTCTCTCTGAGCGGACTTTATTATGATCGACTCTGCTTTTTTTTACCACTCTAATGGAAGAAACCTCAAAACATTGTTTCTGTATGTTGGGGCGATGACTGAGTCGAATTCCTATGTTTTTCTTCTTTTCTATTGCCAAATCAAGTTGATCAGGTTAGCCAGTGCTCGTTGGAGGCGAGACTAACTAGAGAAACGTTCAAATTTTTTTGGATTCAGCTTTTCCTTTTCACACAATTGCGTAGCTTTAATGGTTATCTCAGATATCAGCTCAGGACCTTCATTTCGTACTGTGAATTCGAGATAAGGAATGTTGTCTTCCTATTCAGGATAGATCAGAAACTCTGGCCCCTCAAACCATCGCCGGTGTATTAAATTTCTTACGGTGCGCCTCTTGTGGCATGATCGGCAGGATTATGATGTGTGTCTATAAATCTCCATTGAGAGTTGGTTCGAAAAGTCCGAATAATCTGTATTCGATTGGCCACGCATACACAGATTTTGCTTGGATTACTTCTTTGTTGTTAGGTACTTGTACTTTCTTGAACTTGCACGGCATGATTGCGTCGGAACAGGTTTTCTATAAATTCAAAATAGTCTTGGTTAACACGACACAAGGGTACGCTTGCCAAGTGAAATTTGGCTTAATTTTAATCTCTGCTTCGTCGCCTAAAGAACGACGGTGTACCGGGAATTTAACCCTGTAACCGTGTGTACAGTCAGATTCCATTCCAATACCATTCTTATATATTAAATTTTATTCAACCTTGATTTTCCTAAATTCGTTTAATATGTTCATGTGCACTTTAAGGCGTTGACGCCACAAGAGAAAATGTCTCCTGGGTTGCAAAACATTCTTCGTTTTGCGAATAGCTTACTTACAGTGAGACTTAGACCAGGTACAGATGTATAATGCTTCAATCAAGTGACATCAGCTTTCATGAAATTTTTTGTGAGAATGTTTAATCTTAAAATGGAAATCCAACTATAAACGCGGTTCCGAACACACGGACACTGTTTTGATTACGAGGGAAACCAGAGATCCTGGAGAAAAACCCTCACCGAACACCGGAAATAAAACACAAAATACACAAAATTTTATTCATTCAGTCATTCAGTCATTTTATTAAAACAAATGTCATGTATTACAAAGCGTGTGTGTCTTTTCGTGTGTTACAAAGCGTGCGTGTTTTTAGCTATTGAAATCAAGACACAGGGAGACGGATAATTTTTGTCCTACTTTTATTAATACTTCACTGCGCATGTGTTACATAGCGTGTGTATTTTCTTTACATTAATCATCAGTAATACACAAATAGATTATTAACTGGGATACAACATATATTTACATTTGAAAAGCATTATATTTAAGACGATTACAATGCAGATGTGCTTAATATTACTCTATACACATTTTAATTTACGAAAAGTGCAAATTTGTTTGTCATGTTTTATTACAGTGTGCAAGTCTTTTACAGCATGTGCTGTATTATGTTTCTTAATGCTCATGACAAACTATATATGTATGTGTATTCAAGTGATCGTGCATGCATATTTTATTTTACAGACTTATACACCCAGTTCAGTCTCAGACAAAATAAATTAACAAATTCAGGGCATTTTGATGCAAGTCCTGTTCGTCCTCAACTAATATTATTGTGCTGACAAATCATAGGCAGTGTTCCTAAAGTTTTTTTTTAGTTTTTAAACTGTGCAGCATAATTTGAAGGATTTATTGGGCTATACAAAACTCTCGAACATTTTGAAAACTTCCGCGTATAGCTGAAGCTATAGCTGCCCGTATATGGAATTAGCTGCGTGAAGGAAACAATTTTCCTTGAAAAATTCATTGCACAATTTTTTTGAGCTGAAGCCAGAGCACATGCACTGCTCTTACAGAAAGCAATTAAAAAGATATTTTGAGAATTGTGACTTCACATTTTTAGTAAAAGCACATGCAAGCTAAAATGCTGCCGAAGGCTGTACATTATGTATAAGTGCAAATCCTTTTCTTCTGATAAATTCTCTGAAAATGTTTGGGGCTACGACATTATAGCAAGCTGCCCCTATAGAAACAGCACTAAATACCCATCTTTTTTTTTAAAAACTGATTATGAACACTTTGAGAGCCAAGGCATATAGCCAAAGCAAGCTGCCCTTATAGGAACAGCAATGAAAATAACACTGCAACGTTATTAGATATCCCAAGATACCTGCTAACACTTCGAACCACCCAGCAAGGTCAAACAGTACAGACGAAAAGTGGCGCCTTTCTTTTCATAAGCACTGCTCGACGATGCTAAATAATTGCAAGTCTCACAGAGACCTTAGAAAAAGAATAAAGTTGCAATGCCACTGCCCATGTTCGTCTTAATTTTTTAATTAGTGTACAAATGACGTATATATTTTTTATGAGATAACAACTCCCCCTTTCTCCCACCCACCTCTTCCCCTCTTTCATTAAATGTAAATTCGCATTCATTAAGAGCATGTTTTATTTGCCATGTATATATATTTTGTTATAAAGTGTCAAGTGTGCATGAGTTAATAAGATTATAAGGTTGATGTATTTCAGATTTATTATGTCTGCCATTAAAGGCCATGACTTAATTGCATGGTTTGTATTAATATTATGCTCATGTGTGTCTCAATTATTAAGTAACCAGTAAACTAGGTATGGTAATAGGTTTTACCTGCTATATACATTCGTATTACAAAGTTTTATTAACTATTACAAAATATAGTAAGACATGCATGATAATAATATATTTACAATACATAATTTTACAATCTATATTTCCGAAAGCCGCATTTGGCCGGATAAGACTATTTCAACAGGGCAAGAGAGAAAGAGAGAGAGAGAAAAACGATGGAGAATGGAAAGAACCTATGGGATTATGTTTGCCATTTTGAGGCTATAATTTGTATGTGTATACAAAACAGTGTTGGTTTTCAGTATATTTGTTTTACAATCTACATTTACCCATATGAATAGCGTTCCAAGAGATAGAACAGAGTAAGAACCTATGGGATTATGTTTGCCATTTTGAGGCTATATTTTATATGTGTGCATGTACAGAACCTATGAGATTATGTTTGCCTTTTGAGGCTGCATGTGATTTTCGATCGTGTGCTTTTTAAGCCATTTCGTATATGAACATACAACCTAAACCCTAGCGCGTAGACCTAAGCGCAAAACCGAATCCTATGACCGAATTATTTTTAAAAATGTTTTACCCACATGCAAATTTATTTACACATGCATCATGCATTAGCTATGTTCCTGGTGGCCAGAACCTAAACATCTGAATAACGGTGTGGTTTGAAAACATCGCGACCCTTAATGCGACGAACAATTCATTTCTGCTTTGCAGAAGTGCAGAAAAATTGTTCGTAACCATTTTTCGTGCGAAATCACATCCGAACCCTAGCATGCACATTTTTTGACCACCAGGCTACTCTAACCTTAACGATGTCGGGGGACATCGCCGATATTCGCTGCTGTTCGACGTTGTATGGTATTGTAAATGTGTCGTTTGGCGTCGTTTTGGTGTCGTTTTCAGTGGCTCGTCGGTTATAGCTCTACCGAGGCGGGTGATTCATATTTCAACCTGAAACAGAATGATAGAAATAATAAGGAACTATATATATGGCGGAAGATTGAAGAATAAATTGTATATAAAATAATGCATGCGGGGAGGCAGAATTGCGGTGGAACAATATACTTATAATATAAGTAGCTACCCTACGACACAAGCATGTCTTTATATATAAATAAAAATTCACTGTATATATAGGCATATATAGCCAGCGCAAGAGAGAACTTTTTTTGATAGGAACTGAAAATGCGACAAAGGCACACAATATGTAAACAAAGCTTTTTTTCTGAAACATTCAGCGAACAATTTTAGAGCCAAGGTCCAAAGCGACCTATCTTTATAGAAACAGCAATGAATACAAATCATTTTGTCCAAAAAAACAAGTGAACTCAAAAATTCAGTACTGTGCATTTAAAAGCAATTAGCTATATATGTTTTAAAGCCTTTTTTGTTGCTGTGTATGCACCATGCATAAACGACGCCTTTTAAACTCCATAAGGCTGCGTTATAATTCCATTGTCAGCCATCGTCGTTCCGTCCAAAGGTTAAGTGTGATAAATTATTTAAGTGGTTGAAATTCAAAAGAAACAGACGAAATATTTCGCATTTTGCTTGAAAATTTAGCCCGTGGAATCAGGGCTTAAGATGCCTATTGTTCGCTCTACATGCAATGCTTTATATATTTTTAGTAATACTTACATTTTACTTTGAACAGGTTTATCATGGCTTTGACTCGCTAAAATCTCGACCTGAAATAAAAAAAAGTTAATGCTTGTTATAGACCATTTCAATAAGTTCTCCTTACAGTCGAAAGAGCGCACAAAGCACGTAGGCGTAGCCTAATCATATGCATGCCTTTTCAACTATAGCATCGCCTTGCGATTAAAATAAACACAAAATCAACATAATTTACCTGCTCATTTCAGCAACAAATGCAGATTGAAGAGTAGCTTTGGACTTGCTCTCTCCTTAAAAGGCGAGCCATCTCCGAGACTCCGACAACAATTTCAGTCGTAATTTTAGGTGGCGCCGGATTTTTTTGCTCATAAATGCACGTGTACGCGTGGACATTTGCCTCTTTCGTTTGGCTTTAACTCTCAAACTCTATTTGAAATGAATAAATGGGATTAAAGACAAAATTAGTTTCTTCTAAAGGTCCTTAAGGGCTCATTTCGAAGATATCATTTGCTTGCAATATAATTGAAGCGATTATAGCGCCAATAGCGGCCAGGATGCAGATGCGGCTAGAGGATCCGCGACGTGAAAACGCGTATATTAGCGTATATTACCTTCATCATTTTACCAATAAGTTCTGAGAAAAAGCGAGTTATCTTGAGCCATTGCAGCCAACTGATTTATCAATCCCGACCCTTGTTCATAATTTTCATCATCTATATAGCTTTGCTTTAGGTCGACTGTAAGAATTCTGTAAAGTGATGAAAGAACAACGTTATTGTAAGATAATGCATGTTAAAAGAAAATTTTCAAGACGATCGCAGGGGAACACAACTGGTCACGTAGCGTAAACATTCGCCCATATCTCTCGATAAAACATGCGAGCAGATCGATAATCGTAAAGCGAAAGGTATATTACCTGTTATTATACCAACGATAGGGCGGCATGCTGAGATAATAAACTTCTCTTTTGTAAGAAGACGCGATTCATTATTTTCAGTCGAAATTCGTGGTGTGCGAAAATTACTTGTCTTAATGCTGCAAAAACCAGTGCCCAACTGATGCCTCGAAGTTAAATAATTTGATTTACCCTCTCCTCGTGTTGCAAAATAAGCCATGCATGCTATTGGCTAAACACACCCGGTACAATGTTCCTGATTGGATAATCTTATTACTATTTTACATAATACATTATTAATGATGTGTCGGAGAGAATGACATCAGAAATCAAACCTTAAGAAATCTTGAATGCCTGCATTGCTTTCATTAGACTTATTTTTAAATTCTTTAATTAAATACTTTTGGTATGGGTCTATTCGTGTTCAGCCGAACAAGAAAATTTGCGAGAATAAGTATGCACGCACATACATGCATGTATGTAAAGGTCTAAATCCTTTGTTATCTTTAAAACAAAACTTAGTCAATAAATCGAAAGAACTTAGTTTTCCGTATATTTTTTATGATTTGTTGACCTAGAGGGTGATTCAGTTGTTGGTAATTATATATGATATAATTATATATACCCCTCTTGGTAATTATAATATAATTATAGGTGGCGCTGCCTTTGTGCTGGATGCACCGAATCCGGTGATAAAAATTATCGCAGAAGTATTTAAAAGTTTCGTCAGACGGCTGATGTAATCAATATTCTTACGTGGGTGCAGGAGTGAATTGGGTGCGGTCAAATTTGACTATTTCTAATCCTAATTCACGACAATTACGACATAATTGGAAACCAGGTTTTATTAGCAAGTACTATGTGTATACTTTATACAAAGTGCAGGTTAGACTTAGTAAAATATAGAACCTTCAACCGTGGCAGATTCATTTTTTTCTGAGCCGAGCAACCTCGTAATTGCAAAGTGTCAAAGTAGCATAAACGGCTTCAAATTTGCTTCAAAGGTGGCGACCGACTTCACACATAGAGTTCATGGTGTGATCCCATCGGACTTACTTCTTGCCTTACTTCTTCCGCCGAAATCAATGCCAATCAAACCCGGTTTAAACTACACTCAATTTATTGGCCTGACTAAAATTTATTGGATGACTAGGATTACAGCATTACTATCATGTAAAGAGCATTATCATGTAATGAACACGAAGGGTGAAGTGGTCAGTTAACGATTGCTTAGTTAGCAATATTGATCTTTTTTATGATTCGAAGAATGATAAGCATGCATGCAGTATAATTTTCCACATGCACTATTGATATTACGGTTTCATGGTCTTAACCAAGCAACCAAGGCACTAAACTGTGAGCTCTCTTCCTTCAGATTTTTTGCGATAACCTTGACCATTAATTTTCACCCTGTGATTGTCTGTGCATCACATGCACTCTTCCCAAACAACGTTTATCAAGGGAGTAAGCGGTTATACTCGGACAACAGCGCCGACTTCTTTGTCATTTCCCAGGATCGTGCTGCGAAGTGGAACCTTTAAATAGAAAAAAGTGTTTATGCCATGCTGCTGAGAAACTATAGAGAACAATGTTAAAAAACATATTATACCATAGCATAATTCGTATGCACTATAGTGTGTAAGATCGTTGAAAGTCAATTTTAATTTTATAATGCAGAAGAAAACAGATTTTTGCCAATTCGAAGATAATTCGTTATATCAATATTTCACACGTACCAGTTCTTTTCTGTAAGTTGATGATGGGTTAAATGATGTCTTGGGCTTGAAAATATCTGAAAAGTAGGTAGCAATATACGTACAACTTGCGTTAATTACATGGTTGTTTGCAATACTTGGGAGTCTAAAGCAACCTGACCAACTTTCATTGATAGGTTTTGGTAAAGTAGAAAAAACATTACCTGACTCCTCAGTAGTTGAATAAGAACATCTAAGTTGGGATGCCCATGAAAAGATGTCCCAGAAAAACAAATTTCGCTCCCTACAAATTAGGAATCTTTAATCTCGTGTATTTTAATACACGTAACCCAAACAACCGCACTTCCCTGGAATCAGACGTGTAAGCAAAACGTACCAGTTTTCCTAATCAGATTGTCAGCTATAGGTAACAAGAATAGGTTGACGTCGGAATATTGTTCCAAATGTTTAGAAAATGGAAACGTCCCTTCCAAAAGCATAGACGCCGATGCTACATGGAAAGAAAAATCCAGATTCATATTGAATATATATATATATAATACACCAAACATAAATATTATTAATAATAAAGAAAGATCAAATCCTAGTATTGAAAATATACAAGACCAAAACTTAAGCATCAATGCATGCAACGACTAAGTGAAAAGCGGATAAAAATGACTGATGGAGTACTTTTTGTTCTTAGTCTGGAATTTTGAAAGATCGCGTCTGTTGCAAGAAGCATATTTTCAACATTATGTGCCTCAAAATCCTCTCTCGAGCATTTGTTGTAAATAAAAACTATAAAAAGAATGAGAATTGATTGAATTAATTCAGAAAAAAGACATGAAGACTTTTACTAGCGACCCTTTTATGTTGATATAGTCTTGATTTCTTTTGCAATATTAAAATTATGTTCAGGATATTGACAGGTCTGGGTTTATAAAATCCTACGTACATTTACTCACCTATATTTGGGTAATATTCATCGAATTCTTCGGGTAAATTACTGAAAGAGTAGAAAGTGAGATGGTTCCTAAAAAACTTTAACTTCAAATATTGAGCGCATCTGCATGCGCTATAGAACTCCTTCAGAGATACCATTAGCTATCCTTTCCACGCTCCATACTTAAGGATTTTGACTTTTTTGAATCAAACCTTTTTTGAATCAGCGCTATGTATGTTATTTGTTAGGCATATTGGCTATGAAGATATACTGCACGGCAAAATGACTCCATTTAGAATAGGCAAATGCATGGTCCCAATATTTAAAATACACTACCTAGAACCTTCGTGAGCTGCAGTATGGGCTCCTGACGTAGGCTTCAACATCTCTGCTGTTTTCATAAATCTTCCATAACGTCACAGCAAACAAAAAAGAAAATTATACGAAAGTTACAAGCCTGTAGATCTACTCGTGCATTAAATTGAATAATTCGTTGATATTTTCTGCATTACCGCATTACATTAAGATCACAAAACCAATCTTGAACCACTAACACAACATGGCAAACGGTGAATAAAAATGTTGTTATTTGTAGTGACTAAAGAAATGGTTGAAAACACAATGACACACCGTGATATTGTGGAAAATAATTTTATAGAAAGGTGGGGTATGGATCAACTGTATCTAGGCAAGGCAAGCTGCTCAAATGGAATATATAGCTTGCCACAAATTAGTCTTTAAATATTGACAGTGTAGTGTATGTGTATATGTTATATGTTGTATTGGGACGGTGAGCACTTTGTTATTATATAATAGTTGATACGAGTGTTTGTCTAATCATTTTCAGACTTTTAATAGTAGATTTTGTAGAATACTCAATAAAACTGTAACAGCTGTTAGAGAAGAGGAAAGGCATATAGGTGATCTAGAATATTTTCCACGCTCTTCCCCTTGCAACTACTGCATATTGCTAATGCATGCTGTCAACTTAGCCTAGATTTTCTTTAAAATATTAGCACCTGCAATTCAGCATAGTTTTCAGCTGATGTAACTTCAGAAGGTATGTTCCTTTCATGGCGGATGACATTATCCAAAATGGAAGCGTTGAGTATTGGCTAAGAATTCAAAGCATGTTTGAAAATATGATTCCCGATATAAATATTCTCTCTTTAGAGAGAGCGGAAATTTAATTACCTATATAGTTCAATGGTGAAGTAGAAGTAGTAAAATGTATTAAAAGCATCCAAAGAAAATGTGTCATTCTTACTTGCGTGTCTAGAAAGATAACTCTTTCATTTGTGATAGACATATCAATACCCGAAGTCTCATTTATACTCATTTCCTGTAATCATAAACATATTGAAAATTGGTTGTGTAATGTTGAAAAATTATACCTCTCTCCGTATGCATATATATACAGATAAAATGAATGGCGAATGTTTTCACCTGACCGTGTATTAATTAGGATTAAATTAACCAATGATTGTTTTTCCATAACTGCATATACATATATATACCTCAGTTTGTCTTGATTGTGGTGTGAAAATACAAAACCTTAATAGACAAAAGAACATTTCTTTAAAATGGCTTTCGGTTGCTATCAAACAGTAACTCACTCATTCTACGAAATACAAACAGTATTCTTAATAATGTAATCGCAAATATTGGCAGACCTTCCAACTCTGTGATTTGAAAATGAGTGAGATACGGTTGATCCGTTGATGCGTAGCCTCTGTCGACCTAGAGAACCCTAATTGTTTCGAACGTTCTTATCGTGAAAAGCAAAGTCTGATACTTTCCTACTAGCATTCCTTAGATTAAAAGCGTTAATGTTTATTTCGTTGGAAAAGCGGACGTTTCACTGTTCTATATATTACGAAAGTTGAAAAAAATCCCTATCCAAGGAAGGCACTATCCACTTTCGAAACAGTCTATGTTCGAAACAACCAGCTCCGTTTTCGCTGTTGCGTGAAAGTATTGACTAGGCGTGTGAGAATGAGAGATATGCCGAATGCGTTTGTCTCAGTCGCAAGAGTTGGAAGGTCTGTTAATTGGAGGTATAGAGATAATTGTGGAGAAAATAATCAAATATGCTTTAGCTAAAGCACCTTTTATCATTTAAAGCCATTCTATTTGCTAGTAGAGAAAGAATGGTGGATTTCCCAACACCTTGGCAGCCCAACACTCCAACAACAAGAAAGTCACTCTGATCTGTTAGGGTCTACGTATTGTAAAAAAAGATCAATTTAAATTGGATCATTGGATGTACTATAATTCTATTAAAAATATCTACCTAAATTTTCATCTTTCAGGCACAGTACTAGGGGTGTACCAGATAGTGATTTAGTTTTGACTACTAATTGGATATTAACTTAATTTCCCAGATATACAATCTGACAATAAAATTGACCAGATTACTACTTCAGCTAACAGTATTTCATTATATATTTTCAAGTAAACAATTCATTATATATAATCAAGAATAATTCATTTTCTGGATGCTATATATAATAATTGGCCATATTTTTATACTAATTAACCTCTAATGCTTGATCGTTCCAGTGCAGTTTTTCATCAACAATTTTAAAACACTTCAATGAGTCATTCTGTATCTTTGCACCAGTTCCTGTAGCAGTTATGGAATCATTCCCACTAAGCACTATGTGAGCAAATGAAAACAATGTACATACAAGTAAAATGAAGTGGTCTGCTTTAGTATAAAATGTTTGTGAGACAAAGTTGGTTAGGTATAATGTGGTTCTGAATTACTTTAATAACTGGAACCATAGACAATCCAAAAGACATCTTCTAGATTGTCTTCTAGATTGTCTCTGCTGGAACAAACTCTCATTAAATAGAACATAGGGCAAAGTCTCATTAAATTTGTCTGGTTACATTAATTTAGGACATCACTTGGTGGAAGCTGACCTGCACTTGATGGTCCAGGTGAGACAACACCACTACTACCACGATGAGGTTGATGCCGACCAGAATGTGCTGCTAATGACTGACTGCCATGTGTTTGGTGCTCACCAGATGATTTGACTGAGGAGTTTGTTTTTTGAAGTGAACTAACAGGGGATCTTGCCAACTGGGGTGGCACTATATCAACTTTTTCATCCCTATATATATTATATGACACAAAATGAATTGTTTTATGGGTAATGATGGATAAATAGCACAGAATGAAACTGGCATTAAAAGATGAATTCTGTCAGATGAAAAAATTCTGTCATATTTATTAGGATACTCTCTATTGAACTGAACTGGTTCAATCAAAACTTATAACTGCTCACCTTGGCTTAATTTGAATTGATTTACCTGTTTCTGCACCCTAATGAAAATAAATGAACATACTAAATAATATTATTCTTATGATAATATATAGGTTATAATCCTAGATATATTATATATGTCCTAGATCTCAAAAAATTGTCCACTATGTACAGTGTTTTATCCATGTAGAAATCTTCAGACCAGAAGATTCCTACACAGATGAAGCAGACTGTAGTAGATGATTTTTGGTAAGCAATACCTTATATATATAATATATATAAGTCAATCTTTACACTGCTGAGTGCTGAGGCATTATTATTCCTAGAGTGAATATTAATGACAATTATATGCACTCTTCTTACACAAATGAATATTTCAGAGAAATTCACAATAATCTGCCAATGTTGTTTGTATGCACTATTAATCATGACACAAGGATACTGTCGATTTTGTCACCTCCTCACTCTGGCTCATGGAGGGCAAGGAGGCAGTACTTTTAAAGGTCAAACTTTCTAACCCTACTAAAACCTCATAAAAACCTTTTCTACTAAACAGAGCGTATCCGAATATATAAAAATAGTAGAATACTCGCTTTGTCGTTGGTTGTTTTAGTTAGTATTTTCATTTGCCCTTGTTGAGCTCCAGGTGGAAATTGTTCAACACCAGCTTTCGTTTGTGGTCTAGGTCTCCTTTCTCTTGGCTCACGAAATCCTCGATCACGCCTACTCCTGCCGCCCTTTGCCTTGCTTCCAGCATCCCCTCTAAAGCCACGATCATCCATACGAAATACAATTTTTATTATATTTTCAAGGCTTTCATAACTTTCATTCAACTCATTGTTTATAAATAGTGAAATTAGTACTTCATGTTAGTATTTTGATTATAGACCATTTTACGGCGAACATGTTGCAAAGACCACGGGGGAAGGTTTAGGAAGAAGCATGGAGGACCCTGAGCACACCACATAGATGTGGAGGACCCTGTAACCTCTTTGTGCAAATAGTTTTAATGAACATGTCCACACACGTCACGGAATATATATTGTGTGATCTTTTGATTTTATCAAAATAATCACCGGTAGTACCACCCACACTACCACCAAATCATTATTAACCATGAAATTTATTGAGAAAGGTAGGTTTTTTATAACTTAAATTTCTTCCTAATAGAAATAAAGCGTGATTGAATGAACACCGGTGAGTGATATACCACAGATAAACATACCATCTTTTCATCTTAGTTGTAATCGTAGAATATAGTCAATATATATCTGCAGAATTACATTTTATAGAATTTCAGTAACTAACTCTGCATTCATGTTTGAAATAATGAAATATAAATAATGGAAAGTCTATACTGAACGGCCATGCATCTTTCAGAATGAGGGATTTTTTTCTCCTAATTAAACTATGATCATGCGCTATTAGGTTAAAGTGTTTTCTTATTTCAACATCCCCACACTACAATCTTCTTTAATTCTCCACTTTGCAGTCCAGTATATTGTACAATATTCGACAGGTTATCGATGATTGTATAATTTAACATGCTTGTGTTGTAAAAATCGTGTATAATATTAAATAACTTAACAAGGTCATTTAGAAGACGTTTTAGCATCAAACTAGCACACGAATCAGCGTTCATATTTATCAGTATTTTATGACAATATAAACCAATAACACTGATCTACACAATTAGATAAGAATCACGTTTATATATAGACTTCATTCACCGTGAGGACTGACTGCTTTCAACTTCTGTCTCTTCCAGGTGTGGATCTTTGATTTGTCGAGTATATTTCCTATGATTAACCATCCCTATGATCCTGCAAGATTTGGCTGGAATTATTCTCTCTTCATTCTCCTTGTTTGCAAAGGACTTTTTTCGTCTGACTTGGAGAAACCTAAAACGGTTACGCAACCAAACTGAGGATGAAAGCCTGTCGAACTCCACGGTAGTACCAGAGTCGACCATTCATGAACAGCTAATAAACAATCATGACTATGGCACCTTTCCTGCTAGCGGCACCCGTCTTCAAAGAAGCAGAATCTGTAACTTCTTTCTTAACAGCATATGGACAAGTGTTACAATACTGATTGCAGCTCTCCCATTGGGATTCTTTGCAACTGTTTTATTGTTTGCGGATTTGAATACGGTTAATTTGTGCTCAGAATGGATTGAGCAAAAGAGTTTTCCTGTTGATGGGACGATTTTACGGTGGAAATTAGTTGGAGATGTTATTGAAGATTTGGGGCTGTTTTTTTGGTTCCCATCAACGATAATTTTCTTGTTCGGCTGGAAAGAGTTTAAAGCTCATTACCTGGTTATTTTGTTCGTGTGTTTTTCTGCTGCATGCGTTGAGATTATCTACAAGCTTTTCTTATTCATTTTTAATGCTTATGCTGAAAAAGAAATTTACTATCATCTTGCTGGAAACGTTTGTTTCTTTACAAGTATTTTGTGTTCAAGCTACCTAATCGCAGTGAAAATTCGCAAAACTACAGGTGATTTAATGATAACTCCACCCAAAATTTTGACGATGGCTACGGTTTGCGCGCAATTTGTCTTCGCGTTTGTGATAGGTTTAACTGGAAGATACTTCATTATCCCTGTATTTACAAAACTTCAAAATCAATATATAAAGGCAATACTCGCTGCTATAACGCCAACGGTAACACTCGTACCAATGGCTGTCTGCAAGCAACTTGCTTTACTCAGTAACGTCTTTTCAAACTCAAGAAATCACTTTATACTGGTGTATTTTGTTTATGGGGCAACAATAATAGTGTACCGTGTCATGCAAGCCGAAGTTAAAAATCTGTGGTTGTTCATCGGACTTTCAGTGCTCCATGGATTAATGAACGTGGTGGGAAAAGCGACAGAAAAACTCCGCTATAAGCTATGGATTCGTATATTTCGCGCCCTTAAAAAGTTTCGGTGTTGCAGGCAGATGGAGTTGCAAGTGCATAGCAGTTCTTACCATCAACGATTAGACGCAGACAAAGAAATACAAACAATGCTCTATGATTATGTCGCTATGATACTGAGCCAAAGCTATCGAACATTATACTTGATAACAAATTTTAATACCAAATCTGGGGGCGTTCCACAAGAATCACCGCTGAAAAGAATTGTTATAGGGTTGAGCATAGACATGTTCTTCAACACATTCTCCATCCTAGCCCGTGACTATATGTATAATATCCCTGTCCAACAAGTGTGGAAGGAAAATTGGAAAGTTCACTTGAAGGCCAACGCTGTCACTGCAGCTATGACGATCTGGTACTTTAGTCCTATACTCCTCACTGTTGTTCATATTCGTGTTGATGATCCAAACTATATTCTCAGGAATTGCACCGCACCAATTAGCTATTAGGACGCCTTGGATTGTACGATCTTAATTAGATCAGGTCGTTGATTTAAACAAAACGATTTTTGTCTGAGCAATTCCTCGCCATTTCGGTTTCGAACACTGAAGACTGCATGGTGGTAAGATACACTGTATATCATAATTTTGACGCTATGCAGTAGCAGCGCTACACCTGAAGTAGGCATTTCTCCAATTATATATATCATGATAATTTCAATAGAACTAAGACATGATGCTATTCATCTAATCAAACTGGAGGCAACACATTGTTAATAGCCATTTAATTATATTATATATTTGGAAGCAATATATATCACAAGAGTTTTAAGAATTTGTATCGCAAAATGAATTCCTGTTTGAAAACTATAGTCCCAGCCCTTTTCCGTATTCCCAAGCTAAATTTGGTACATGTATGATCTTAAATTACACAAACGTCACTGAAAAGGTAAAATGACAGAGAAATTATCCCGCAGAGTCAACATGTTACAAGTGAAGATCAACCTTTTCCTTATAAGAATTGTTTGTGAACACAATTTGATGCAATGAGCGAAAAACGTTGTTTTGTGAAGATCAAAATTAAGGCCGTTGTGGAAGACATGGGGAAGATATCAGCGTGTGTATCCGAGGCTACGTTCACACGGGACAGACTGCCTCCTTCTCAGGCCCTTTTCGGGCAAATATGCTCCCTAGCGCCTGCGGAGGAGGTAGCGGGACCGAAGGAATTTGGAACCGTGCTCGAATTTGTCCGGTTCTCTCGTGTGAACGCGTAAAACCGGTCAAAACTTCATCCATTTTTCGTTTTTCACCTTAACCGGACAAATTTGAGCATCGGTCTTCAATTAGTCCGGTCCTGTGTGAATGTAGCCTGAATTTTTTACGGTATATTAAATAGAACATCGTTTCCAGATTAACCTATTCTATGAATAAAGATTATTTTTCCATGTTTTTTTGGACGAGTTTGTTGTTGTTACCTTGAATAGGGAAACTTTTAACTATTTTGATGTCTGAGTATAACACATGTAAGCAAATGCCTGACTGGATAAACGGCTGACTGGATAAAGTTGATTCACTATATTTAGTAGGGTGAACTTGTAATTTCAAAATATTTATTGGCAAGCAAAAGCTCAAGATGTCTGCCATTTTACCATTTATACCATGCAAAAACATGTTTCTAGTTTGATCGTGTCTACGTGGATCTAATGGATCGTCTATATATCGATAAGAGGTCAATCGACAGGTCTTTATAACAATTCCGAAGTTAAAATACGAGACTGATATAGTAATAGCGTTGACAGTTGTTTTGGGAGCGTTAATAACAAGCTTGTCCTTCAGAAAAGCCTGATAAAGTATTGTTAATTTTGCCAGTACCATGGTAACTCTACAGCAACATCGGAATAGCCAATTGTCGCTGTGTGCCATAGCTTCATGTTCTTGAAGCAGCGACCTAAACTGGCGATTGTTAGATACTTCCCTCTCACGTATGTACCATGCATAGTTTTATATCCGATCGCGACTGAGGTTATAGAGTTATCATGTCTACAACTGGCCATTGACGACTTTCATAAGAACCTGTTGCTCTGATTCTTCTAAATTCGATAGACAACTTGTCCACAGCTCCTGTGACATCTATAGAAGAGAATATGTATGGGATTGCTTAGCAAATGGCTGGACCATTTCATCGAATTTATCGGTTGCAGCTGAAAACTCTGCTTACAAATTTGTACGAAGCAGTATACTCTCGGCGGTTATTGAAAGAGAATACTATTCAGAAATTAGGTCCCCGCAAAACCTGCGGTCGTTGTAAAGAGTAGTTTCTCGTGCGGGATTCGAAATACTAACAATAAATGCTAACCTGGGCCTGTTTTAAGATAAGAAGCATCCTCTGTTTTATTTCATCATCTTCTGTTAAAACGTCAGATTTAAAAGCTGCAGCAAATATGCTTAGCACTCTGTAAAAATTACTGTAGTTTTCTCCCAACACAAGTGGATGATTACTGAAAAAAGCAAAGAAATCATCAAAATAAAACTCAGAAAGGAAGAAAATATTCTTATTTATAATCGCGGTAGTCAGTTGTCACCTATAATATGTCCATATTTATACCTTTGTATAAGATCACATAGATATCCATACACATATGGTGCTTCCTCTTTATCCTCGACGATAGGTAACCATGACAACCACACAGGTATGACGTCATCCACGGCTATATTACCGTGATTGTATTTACAGATTTTTGTCACAGCGGAAATAGCGTTTTCGGTCGCGTCAATATTTTCTGGTATTTTAGACAACGGATCGTTGACAACCTGACTCAGAAGTGGCAAAGCCTCTGAAAAATGGAAGTGTAATTTTTCCTCAGGAATTTCACCAATTGGAGCGTTTTACATACCTTTCCGTAAAGAGTCCCCGATTGAAATGAAACTTTTGGTGGGATTTTGGATATTGAAAACGTGATGTCAAAAGGGTACTTTGATTCGGGCATGTGTTTATATAAGCTAAACACGATGATACAACTAGCCTAGTCGGATTTGTGAATACAGTTGGATCATCCATTCCGTCAACAGCTAAACCTTGTTAATGAGTATTTTTGAACATATTCGTCAACTGTACCTAGAAATGTCGGAGCGTAATCCTTTCCGCCAAATTGGGCCATAGCACCAATACCGTAAGATGCAGCCTAGATAAAGGAGTACTTATATTTCCAGTACTAATATAAGAGCTGTAATTTCACGCAATATTTACCGTAGACAATTTAACACTCGTACCTGTCTTACGTCAGTGGTTCTATGTACAATTGAGTCCAACATCTGTCTGAGAAAATAATCTTTATATTTGAACGAAACCTACAAAACACAAAAGGTTTAAAATTATGTCAATTATTGAATTACACGCTACTTCATGCACAGCGGCATTTGTACATACATTACATACTGTACCTACTCACTGCTTAAGATATAATGTAGTTGAGAAAACATGAAATGCTTAATCAACAACAACAACAACAACAACAGACGTGTGTATAAACAAGTATATACAAATGACTTACCGGTCCAGCATGCTCTATGAGATCATCGAATATACATAACGACCACTGTTTGTCTGTCGGAGAATTCGTATGCTAAACAAAATATTTTAGAATTTGTGTTCTGAACATTAAACAATAACATGTACTGAATGAGGTATTCTTATGTAAGGAGGAGTCATGCGGAAAAGTAAATGAAGCTACCGCTGAGCGAAGCTGATGACAATCGACGCGACCTTTCGAATTGCTGACGTCACATATACTTAATTCAATGATTGTATCATCGTATATCATTACAGAACATTTTTCGATAAACACAAAAAAGAGTAATTTGGGCGTATGTATCTCGGTGAAGTGAAATTTAATTTTTAATGGCTAATCAGGAGAAGCTCTAACTGTTAAGCCACGGAGGAAGATCTATCATTTACTATAATACTCACTAGTAATGCATGGAAGTCGTGTATCAATCTTTCAAACAATGGTAGAGTAGATTCTTTGTGCGATCCAAACAACGAGTGCATTATGTCTGACACCTATATAGACATATAGACATATAAAGATGATGAACATCGCACGTTTCTACAAAGGAAGACTTAGCTACTTCGTCTTAAAAAAACATTAATTCCATGTCGTTGAACTGGGAACCCAAAAACGAATAACCGCCCCACCTCCTAATTATCCAGCTGGTCCGCTGGTTATTACTTATAATACCAACCTTGCGTAGAATAAGTTCATCCGTACTGTCCTATACAAGGGGAAAGCAAGGTGAGGAAATATTATTCAAACAAAACTGCCTTTTAGAACCACTTAGTATTTTTACAAAACACAAAACAATCGCATAAAAAAATTGATTACATTTTATTCATTCATTAAAAAGAAATAAAATGTTATAAATTTTTCGCGTAACAACAATTTTGTTATTTGTGAAACAGCTTTCATTCATGAAGTTCACTTCTGTACTTACTTCATCCTGAAGATCTTCCTCAACTTCTTCGTCGTAATCTTCTTCTTTTCGCCTTTCTGAAAGTTACCTTTTATTATTAATATTTTAATGATTGAATTTGTACTGCAGGTACACGATAACGAAACGGAAATAATTATTTTGAATTAAAAATTGCTATGAGAGAAAGAAAAGAGTTAGCGAAATTCTTCCTCAGTTTTGAATGCAAACAGTGCATGTATACAGAAATGCAGCATGCAAGGAGAGCATGCAGTTTAATTGATACATCAAATTTTACCAATTCTTTCCTCTTGTCGTTTTCTGTGTTCTTCTAATACATCGTGGAGTACTTTAGCAAGTTCTTGAAAGAATAATTCATTCACAAATCCTTTCCCCAGAGTTTCTATACACTATGAAAACAAGAGACGAATTAGTTACGAATGCTTTGATGTATAACAGCTTAATTGAACATCCGTAAGTAATTCACTCGTTCACATCTATTAAAAGAAGAAAATCGTACAAAAAATGCAGCAAGAGTGAAAGTGTTAACGAGCCTTAAGACTTACCCTAGCACACGACTCCATTAACAACACTTTGACGTCAGGCTCAGGTTCTGTTGATATAGCTTTGAGTAACTCAGACCATATATAACCCCACATCTGACGCACATAGCCATCGCCTGAAAGTAAAACGTCTTATAGCTTGTATACCGTCGACTTGGCATGCAAACTGTACACTTAATTGTTACAGTACCCACCTTTTACTTTGACACATTCCAGTAGATACGGTAGACAGTCTGCCGCCGCTGAACGCACAAGTAGAAAAGGTTAAGGTCGATGATATTTTGCACTTGGATAAAAATTCAAATACATGAAGTATTGGAAAAATTGGTAATCCTTCAATAAAAATGTTAAAAAGAAAACGAGTAAAACAGGCAGTAAAATTGAGACAATCGACACTAGTACTTGGACTGGAAATTTCAAAGGATATCATCGTGGAAATAAAATTTTAGCAGAGGAACCATGATCTTGACAACCTCTTCCGCATAATCAGAAAAGCTAGATTTCAATTCTCTTGCATAGCAAACCAACATTTGGCACGCCGTACTCTTGTCTTCTAGTCCAGCTGTTTTAATTCCAAATCTTTGCTACAACCAAGTATAGAAGTTCTGCATGAATTACCAACTTGATTACAATCAAATGCTGTAATGTGTGGGGATATAGTAGAATGGAAACCCGCGAAAAACTGCAATCAACCCACACATCACGATATACTAAATTTTGTGCAAAATATTTAGCAGATCAGCTGGTAAAAACAAACTGTCTGACACATCGAAGTCTGTTAATACATTTATGACACACGAGAGGTAAAGAGAGATACTTGATAAATGACTGGTTTACCTGATCTCCCAAAGAGACAAATTCCCAGCCATCATTTTCAGAGTAAGCATCGTTTTTGGGATCATCAGCTAAAATAATAAAATAAATGAGTACATCGCGAAGCAAAATATAAAAGAGTGAAACATTTTGCTGTTACTGACCGTCCAGAAGTGCGACCTCAGGTTTAATGCAAGCAACTTTCAATACGGGTGGCATAACAAGAGGAAGATATTCTTTGAAACCTTCTCCCAAGATTTTACACATTCGTGCCCAAGCTGATATCATGTAAGAGAGCTGAAAGAAAGACGATAAAGAGTGCAGTCCTACCGAAAGTTGCCCCTGCATACGAGAAAACAAGTTCCCTTGTTTTAACATTTGTTCAGGTTCTTACCTGAGGATCATCTGGCTCAATCTCAGCCATTTCCGTTTGAGTTTGTAACAGCATTTGCATAACGTCATTGCAGTCTTGTAAAAACTAAAGATTGAAGCATTTTATTTGTCATTAGTTTTACTAAAGAACCTCAGAAAATACACGATGGATTAGGACCAATTCCTATACTGTACCTTGTCATGGCCAACTGCTAAGCCAATTAAACTGATGCACTCGATTGTTTTTCCTCTTAAAAGCCGCAAATCTCTCGGTACAGCGTTTTCCATTACATACTTCAATGTGGGCATAAAACGATCATAATAACATAAAAACTTCTCCTCGGCTGTATCAGCCACAGTGGCCAGCGTTGTAATGATTTGCTCCAATACCATTTTCCTGCCATTGTTTATCAGCTAGGAAAAACAAAAGTTACCTTAGCAAATATACAATACAGATCTACATACAATAATTTTGTACATAAAATACACCGTAATGTACATATATGATCCTAACTCGTATCATGATAAAAACTACAGACAGAGTTAACAAGGTCAGTAAAACGTCAATTTCTTAAAATTGAAACTTCAATTTGAATTTGGCACACATTGTTTATTGCCAGTGGGATTTCATTACAAACTTACATCCTGCAATTTGGCCTGAAGAACCATCTCTAGTTTCTGTAATGTATTGTCGAGATAGAGAAGTAAAATAGGCTTAGGACATTCTTCACAAAAGTTCACGAGAGCAGCACCAGCGTGGGCTTGAACACGAGGGTTCTCCGTATCATCAAGGACGTGAAGTAGACCAGGGATAACCTACAGTTGAATGGTTGCCATATAAACTTTAAACTATGTACGACCCTACACTCCATATTCCTTGCCTTCTAAAGTAGTGACTATTATAACCATGTGCAATCTTCATTAACTAGTCTATATATGTAGTGTGGACGTATCGCAATAGTGGCTTTTTATATATGGAAAACATGCATTTTGATTAGGCACAGTTAGTCTGAGTTCTCACTAAGTTCGCTTGAAACCAACAAAATGTAGAGCTAATTTTGTTTCTAAATTTCAAAATATACCTTTGCATGGAACTTTTGTTGGAAGCCCTCCGCAAAGTCAGTAGACAGCTGACCGAGTGCATTGCAGGCTGCATATCTGACCCGAGGATGCTGATCAGTTAAGAAAGGTAAAATACTCTCAACGAGATTAGGTAACATATTTAACATTTGTTTATGACACCCTTCGCCAACTGCAGAAATCGCCATTAGCCCAGCATGTCTGTACCGCCAGTCCTCTGAAAATTAAAATCCAACTAATTACAGTACGTTCGTATTCCTGTTTTGAAATTATGCGTCAATTATCACCTCACCACTCATACTTTCTTTTCACAAAAACCTACCATTTTGGAGCATCTGTGGAACGGTTGCTATAATGTGGGGCAACATATGTTTGCCTCCAATGCTACAGGCAAACCGATCAAGAGAACTCTCGCCAGCAACGGCATTACTACACAGAAAGAGAGATTGAAGTATTGAAAACACTAACTGGACATTGCGCTGACATGAACAAATAAAGCTTCCTAATATATATCACTTTCTCAGTTGGGAAATTTCGAAAACTAGAAACTAAAAAATGTTTGATAAATCAAACAGGGACTTGTACGAGCTGACGAATTTCGAACTCAATGATATATATGTAATCAGCCCCTACGTGACTCAATCCCAGGTGGCATACTGAGTGATTACCTGTCACAGTCATCATCATCCGGGTCATCAGACGCACTCCAGTCGGGCTCATCTTCCAAATCCACCATCATCGCTAGCATTTGAGGTACTAAAAATAACAAAATCCGTTTTGATAGAGCCCCTTTTATCGCTTTTAATGAAGCGCAGCGAAACAATATGAAAAGAATTAATAACGCAGTCTACGTGAGAACCAATAAAAAAACCATGAGCAAACAAACTTACTAATAAGTGGAAAAAACTTTTGATATTTTCGAAGCATTGCTGGGGCTAAAAAATGAAAAGAATAAGTCAATTTTTTTTCTTGCGGTCAGAATTCATATTTTAGCGTTCCTTGCAATCTGGTTGGCTACGCGAGCAGTCCATGAATCTCGAGCGGTCCAATCAGGTAAATAACATACATATACGGTATATACTCTACATGCAGGAGGAAACCCGCGCAAATAGCGAGGTTCAGATTTGACTACAGTCAATGCTACCATTTCCTGGTCTATTGCACCCGTGTTGATTAATCTGATATTGACTTATCGCATGATTATTATTATCGCAAATTAAACCTCGATAATGTCCACAAACTACACTAGGACACGACACTATATTCTAATTATGAAATTTGGAAAACATGTACCTGATTCAGCCAATGTAACAATGCATTCTAATGCGAGTTGACGTACGGTATTTTCACACTCAGCATTTGAAACGGTCTAAGAATCCCAAATTGTTATCATAAGTATATCACAGCAGTTTCTAAAATCGACTTTCTACTCTTAGAATAAAGCAATACGGGCAATACCTGAAGGGTGATATTTAAAACAACTTCTAAATTATTTCTTAAAACTTTTGGCGCTTTTTCGGCGAGATCAATCATGCTTTTGAGAACGTTGTCATCCTGTTCTTGTAAACTATCCTTCAAAGCCTAAATATGTTAAATACAGATCAGACGTCAATGCGAAATGGCAAGCAATAGTGCGCATGGAAAGGCATGAGAGGTTCTAAGAGCATCTCAACGTTCTGAGAACCCTCGATAATACCTTGAGAAGGCTCAATAATACCCAAAAATTGACGATATATATGTAGTAACTGTTTTAACTGCGCGCTAGCTGCGATCTCCTACCTGCAATACTCCTGGTACAATATCAACAAACTGTTTCTGCTGCTGCTCAAGAACTTGATCAACTAAGAATGCCACAGCTGCCCGAGCTGCAGTAAACCTAACCTATGATAAAAAGAATGATTTTTTAGTATGGATGTTTAAATCCATGATTTAAATAGGTAGTTTGTTTAAATACAATATCTAGGAGTCAGGACTTGAGGATTTTACAACTGAACAAGTTTATAGTGAAGTAGGGGATATATTTAGGAGAAAAAGATAAGCCTATTCAATTCAACCTGTGGAGATGTTTGATCCTGCATACATTGCCATAACATTCCTTTGATGACCTGAAGATAGTGATCTTGCTGGTTGCCAAAAATTCCTGGGAATGATCTAAGGAAATAAAACAGTATCCACTAAATACACAATAACTGTATCTGCGGTTTTAAGGTAAACTGTAGTAATTTATCAAACTTTCACACATGACAAGCTAATGGGCAGGGTAAATTTCACCAATTGTCAAGCCAGTATACCCAATAACTCATTTCTTCCAACTGCACTTATCATATTTAAAATCTATACCAAGAGTGTATACCTACAGCATACATGCAGCAATGGGGTGTTAAACAATCAAATGACATTTGAAAATTGGTTCAAAAGGAATTACAGCAGGACTTCAAAACATATTACTTACAAGAACAAGCCAATTTCTAAGGGTAGAACTAAACACTGGTAAGTTTAATTACTGTGTTGTTAAAATAACCGATTACTTTATATTAATTCGTACTCAAATAGTATGCTTTGACATTTACGACTTACAATAGTATACGAAGAGAGCATTCACGTAAACTTCGATCTTGGGAGTTGCAACATTCATGTAAAAATCGTAGTAGTTCTTGCCAGTGATTGTAGCCATCTTCATCTATGTACAATATAGAATGGACAGTATTAGCAACAACTCTATAACCACACTGCATGGTCACTCATAGACACAAATGTCTTTTAAAACTAATGCTGTACATTGCATCTCTCAGACAGTGAATTTGCTGAGAAAACAGATAAACTAGCAGTGCAAGCCTTCATATGGAGATTTCATATGACAAGTTGCCCAAGCAGTTCAAGCGGTGTACATTTGCTCTCAACTCTAGAAATATTTTTAAAAAGTGGCTGATACAAAAAATACAAAGAGAGGTAAATGCAAGTTTTTGTGCACATGCAATCATTTGCAAACAATAATGATTGTGTACAATGTTGTACCTAGTAAACAACGAGCTATCTCTGACACAGCATCACATATCTTCCATTTCACAGTCACTGATGGTTCCTGTTGTATTCCTAGCAACAGTTCTTGTTTTAAAGACAGCTTAAGATCTTCACTTAGACTTTCATACAGATCAACAGTTGAGGAAAATAACCTTCTAATCAATACACCAGACATCTGTCGTACCTGCAGGACATAAGAATAATTACATAGCTAACATAAAAGGAAACAGAAGACACTACATCGTAGCACCATAAAATATTTTAGAACTAGTTAGCAAATGCCAAGGTATTATTATTAGTATTCTAACATACCTCCTCAGCTGACGATAATCTTAATGTTTTGACCAGGAAGTCAATCTTCTTGGGATCAGCAATTTGAGCATATTCAGCCTAAAATTGTGAAACAAAACATATTTTGTTTTCTCATCTTGTAATGTTGAGATGTCTTGCAATCTTTTTTCCTAATGTCAAAGAAAATGACTAATAACCCCAGTAACCACCAGATACCAGTGGCATGAAACCATAGAAATTGTGCTAATGTGTGTTTGAATAAGAATCTTGTGCTCCAAGTAAAAAGACCCGGGGTACGAGGTTGTACTCCAACTAGTACATTCTCATGCAACTTCCCAGTTGTAAATTTTATATTCACTTTTAAACTTTCAATATTATATATTGAAAGTTTAAAACTACTTGTTTAGTAAAAAGTACTATTGCAATTGCTTCATTCTGATTAGCTAATGCTATTAACCATCCAGCCTGTATCAATCATCTATTATTAGTTACTACTATAGTGAAAATACTTAGAAGTAATACTTTTTTTCTAGTTTTAGCTAGATAAATGAGATCAGTAGTTTTCCTTTTCTATGAAAATTCATCCAGACTTACTCAGTCCCTAATTTCATAGATATAAATAAGAAATTCTAAGAACTCAAAGGTGGCGATAGATGATCTACAGATTATTGCCTAAATTAGCTGGAAAACCGATTTTACCGAAAAGGTAAAAGAAAGAACGATATTTTGAGGATTTCGATACTTGAAGAAATGTTAATAATGATATTAGATCGTATTGGACTAAACACGTGACAAAACATCCCTGCACTCTTTCGTATATTAAATATTTCCCGGATTTCAGGCTCAATTTGAAAGTTCCACCATACAGCTAGCAATTAATTCAAAGAGAGCTGAGAAATTCTACCGGTTTCTATACTCTTTACATGCTACGTATAGCGACGAATTATACGAATATTGAACATTACGTCGCCAAATTTTATAATGGAACCGGCGTTTGATATTAGCGCGATGTCGACACTATTTCGCCGGTCTATTTTGGTCAATTAAATCCTCAAAATCACATCGATTAAGAAAAATGTGTGGACATTAAGTTTTCATACTTCAGCTTGTTGCCTTGCATTATTTTCAGGTGACATCAACCGTCCAAGAAGCCCTTCAAAGTGACTTAAATCTTCGTTAGCCATTATTGCTATAAATGTTGATTTCAAACGACGTTTTATTAGAGCGATTGCAACACGCATGTCCAGAAAGTTGGCGCCAAAATGAAATGCGCGAATCCTTGCGCTATGGGCAGTGTTATGGGGGGGGGGGAGAACGTGGGGAACACATCAAGAAAATATATATGTCATACGTTCAGGGACCGACTTTTGTAGTGTTTGTATTTAATAGAAAAAACCTAGTATTATAAAGCTTTTTTCTATTATATTCGTTGCCCGGGAGTGCGAAGCGACCTTCGAAAATCTTCTCGTTCAGGCCTAAAAGCAGGGTGCTTTATGTATAAGCGAAGCGGACATAATAGTGTATATTTTACAAGCATAGGCGAACGAAACTAAACATTTTGTTTCCATGAAGCTGTGAGCTTCAAGCTGGGGTGTCACACATCATAATACATGCCCTGGGAATCACGGATACATTCGTCATTGAGTATTTTTTATTACTAAGGTGTATTCGACCTTCACAATTTTTTATTATTGCCAACGTCGTCCATTACTTTATTGACCAGAGTCCAGTGACCGGTTCTGGTTGTAGATGAAAGAACACATTTAAATTACTTGTATGTGTTCTAATAATACTCGATTATAATTTTGAATAAAATTTTATTTTGAAAAATTAACGAAAAATCCTTTTTTTTATTTTGGTCCCCAGATTTTACTGACATTTCATAAATACGGTTTGGTAGGTGGGAGTTTTCCAAGGGTTTCCACTGCGGCTGTTGATAGTGGCTGCCAATGGCAGGAAATTAATGCATGGTCAGTTAGAATGTCGACAGTACACACAATTTCGATCGCAGGGCTCTTTACGATTCCCATATTATCACATTATGATGTATTGATTAGTTATATAGTTGTACATATAATAATAATAGCGTATTATTATAAAAAAATATTATATAAATAGTTTAAAAATACCTTGAAACGGTTGAAAACTAAGTGGAATTACATTCTATTATATTTTGAAAAATGATATACAATTATTTAATATATAAATATACAATTATCTACACAATTTACAGCTTAATTTGTGTAATATTACATTGAATCTTAGGCTACTACAATCAGTACAATGCCCATTGCCACTCAATTCACATTTTCGGATGTAGCTAACTACCTTTGCTCAGACACAACTGGAGCATGAATGGAAATCATTTGTAACCCATTTTGCTTAATTTTGCTTAGGTTAATTTGCAAGTGGAACAACATTCAAGACTGAATCCTGAACGTCCCGAAACAATTCATCAGCTCGGAGTGAACTGTGTGGGATTGGCATGATTTGTGGGGTTATTTGATTTACCTACAAGCAGGTATTTATTATAGGTATATCGTATCAGTGTACTCACAGTGTATATCACGTTGGTTTATCAGTCCACATATGCAGTGGTCCATCACCAGGCTGAATGGTTTTATCATGTCTCTATCCACGGTGGAATTAAGTGGTCTTACTGATCGTATATACTGATCTATCCAATTTTAAAAATTCAGCCGGATATATTTTTCCTGATTGATAATATATAGGAATAGAAAAGATATGCAGGCATTAGCTCATATACTTCATTCAAGGCTTGTAAATAGATTATTGACTACACCTATTGAAATCTGGCGCATTTTCGCCTGGTATTTGAGTCGCCACTGTTCAACACGAACGAATTTCCTTGACAGAAGTTCAAATTTTAAAATCATATAATTATTTATTTCTCGATTTGAAGTTTAGTTCTTGACCACGACTTTCTCAACATCTTGTTAGTTAACCAAATTGATATCGAAAATATACGAATTGGTACACTTCTATAACAAATAGAAAAAAATCGTTATAATATCCTGCATGCTGTACATAATTTTGAATTTTTTAACATACAGGTGTGTCTAGAACAAGTCTAGAATCAAAGCCAAAGGCCAAGGGCAACGTTAGGCTCGTTAGCACGTTAATTTGCGCTTAATTTGTCCGATTTAATTAGACTTTGCTTTTATAGCTGTTGAATGATTTTCGTACAATATGGAGAAAGAAATAGGCTAACGAGAGTCTTTTAAAAATCGCAAATTTCCACGTTCAGCTATGCTGAACACGAATTTATCAAAAGCATCTTCACTGCAAAAAAAGTGTTTTTGAATTCGAGTAAAATTACTCAAAAAGTTGAGTAAAACGTTATTTTTACTCAATTCATGCGTAGATTTACGCGAATATCGAGGGGTTCCACTCAAAATTTTGAGTAAAGTGTTTACGCAAATGTTTGAGTAAATTGTTTTGAGTAACTTTGGATGATATACTCAACAAGCCGAGTAAATATACTCACATTGAGTAAAATAACTCAATTTTACGATAAAACTTGATAATTTACTCAAACATTGAGTAAACTGATTATTTGCAATTACATTTTACTCAAGGTCTGAGTAAAATGAATGCTTCAGTTTAACGGTTTTACTCAAGTATTGAGTAAAATTACTCAACATGATCATTTGCTGGTAATTTTACACACTTCACGAGTAAAAGAGTAAAGTGAATAATTTGCGTAGTGGAAGCACTGCGAATGTATGAATTTTAGTCTTTGGCAACTGATAAGTCGCAGAGTCTGTTGTGCGTTAGAATCTGTTGAATAATCTGCGCTGGACGTTAAAAGCCAAAAAGATGGAAAAATCAATTGACGGGTTAAAAGAGTAGTTGGTGGAAATGGGTTTTGAGGATTATATTGTGCGCAATTTGAAGGTAAATATACATATAACTGCAGGGTTAACCTTTGGCCGATCCGTTCATTGACTTCATTCCGCTGTTTACATGTTTTATCCTCGGTTTTATTTGTTTCTATATGTTGGTTTCTTCGGCTAAACGCCGCATGGCACTAACTGCAGAGATTCGACGAATGCAGTCTTTCAATAGATGTTTTTGCGGAAGGGCATATACAGTTCGTGTATTACAAATCCGCCAATATTCTGAAATCAAATGTTTGATTTTGGCGCGCAAAAATAACGGTTTCCGGTCAATTAAATAAAATATTTACATGTTTATATAGAGCGCTCTTAGTGCTCTTATTCATGCTTTTTATTGCAAGAATATATGCCAGGGTATTTTGATATTGAAATTATTAATGTATCAGTGTGACAGTGTTTTTTTCACCAGAAAATCTGTAACTTCAACAACCCTGTCTTCTGTTTATTTTGTCATATTTTAAATTTAATATTACACAATATATTACACAGAGTTTATACTATTGTCTATTGGCCAGTTTATAATGTTAATTGTTTACTAATAAACATGGTAAACACTTTGCCATTTTCAAATGGCAAAGTGTTTACCATTGATTTTGAGACTTGTCATGAGTACATGCTATATCTACTATCTATATAGTGAATATCATAGGCTATTAGAGCCCACTGTTCATGAACAGATGACTGCCATATTTTGAAGATTCTATAAAATGTTACTGCCTTTCTGGTTTCTTCGAAAGAAAATAATGCAACTATTTTACCACAATGAATAAACCTGCAAAGGATTTAGCCATAAATGCTTTACTTTAAAAATTTAGAAAACAAAATTGGAAATGTTTTGATATATACCTTACTGACAGGGGCCCTGGAAAAGTGATTTCAACAAAAGGGAATGAAATTTTTGAAAATGCTGGAAGAGAGTGCTGGAAATGGCATTCAGGAATCAGGAAATTGGAATGAGGTTAGCTCACTGCATTTGTAACTGATTACTGATAGAAAAGTGCGTTTCATATTTGTAAATTCTCAATTTGCTCACCTCAATATCAGATTATCACCTTGAATTAACAAAATCCTGGATTGTATAATTCAAAGGTTTTTGAAACCACATAAACTGGACCAATGTATTAATAATATTATATTCTTCTGAAAGTCATGCATCAATTTATATACAACAATAATTGGTGTGTTATCGTGAATTCATTATTGACTAGTTTAATATTATAAGTAGTTTTTTTACTGGGTATGCCTTTAGTCTGTCCAAACAGTGCTGTTTAACAGCTTCAGTGCAAGGTGGTCAACGCCGCCTTTTGCCTTTATCTCTTCCTGGTGGAACTTGTAAAAGATCCGCCAGTTGTCGAGGACTGTTAAGGCAGTGCTTCATTGCATATACTATATACATTTATACTATTATAAGTAGTTTTTTTTTCTGGGTATGCCTTGAGCCTGTACGAGCAGTGCTGTTTAACAGCTTAAGTGCAAGGTGGTCAACGCCGCCTTTTGCCTTTATCTCTTCCTGGTGGAACTCGTAAAAGATCCGCCAGTTGTCGAGGACTGTTAAGGCAGTGCTTCATTGCATATACTATATACATTTATATTATAAGTAGTTTTTTTTACTGGGTATGCGTTGAGCCTGTACGAGCAGTGCTGTGTAACAGCTTCAGTGCAAGGTGGTCAACGCCGCCTTTTGCCTTTATCTCTTCCTGGTGGAACTTGTAAAAGATCCGCCAGTTGTCGAGGACTGTTAAGGCAGTGCTTCATTGCATATACTATATATGCATTTTTATTATAAGTAGTTTTTTCTTCTGGATATGCCTTGAGCCTGTACGAGCAGTGCTGTGCAACAGCATCAGTGCAAGGTGGTCAACGCCGCCTTTTGCCTTTATCTCTTCCTGGTGGAACTTGTAAAAGATCCGCCAGTTGTCGAGGACTGTTAAGGCTGTGCTTCATTGCATATACTATACACATTTATATTATAAGTAGTTTTTTTTACTGGGTATGCCTTGAGCCTGTACGAGCAGTGCTGTGTAACAGCTTAAGTGCAAGGTGGTCAACGCCGCCTTTTGCCTTTATCTCTTCCTGGTGGAACTTGTAAAAGATCCGCCAGTTGTCGAGGACTGTTAAGGCAGTGCTTCATTGCATATACTATATACATGTTTTTTTTTCTGGGTATGCCTTGAGCCTGTACGAGCAGTGCTGTTTAACAGCTTCAGTGCAAGGTGGTCAACGCCGCCTTCTGCCTTTATCTCTTCCTGGTGGAACTTGTAAAAGATCCGCCAGTTGTCGAGGACTGTTAAGGCAGTGCTTCATTGCATATACTATACACATTTACATTATAAGTAGCTTTTTTTACTGGGTATGCCTTGAGCCTGTACGAGCAGTGCTGTTTAACAGCTTCAGTGCAAGGTGGTCAACGCCGCCTTTTGCCTTTATCTCTTCCTGGTGGAACTTGTAAAAGATCCGCCAGTTGTCGAGGACTGTTAAGGCAGTGCTTGAAGGCATATGCTATATACATTTATTAGGGGTGCATATTGTATTTTTGTGCAAGGTTTTTAGGTGTGTCATCATAAATGCATTATCGACTAGATTAATATTATAGTTTCTTTGTTCTTTAGCCTTGAACCTGTATTAGAGCAACCAGGTGTCAAGGACTGTCAGGCTTCAATGCATTTATTATACATATTTATGTTGTCTCGCATTGGTTTGTCCTCGTTCATAATTCAGTGGTTTGCTGGCGACATGCGTGCTTTTGCTGGTTGTTGGCAAAGAGAGGAAGCATAATATCTGGCCAGGGCCATTATCTAAGGCATGCAAGTATTAATGTCACACGAAGCGACAAACGTGAGCATAATAATCCGTTGTGCTTTTTATAGTTGAACGGACTGAAGTCGCATTGTCTACCTTCGTACCATTTATCAATGTAAGTTTTCCGTTGAATCATTTACATTTGAACAGCAGTCTTAGGTGTGTAATCTTAGCTTCACTTTTTCAGTGCCTATATTTAATGAATTGTGTATCTTTTGTTTTATGTAGGAAAATGAAGATATTGAGAAGATGATTAAGAAAAGCTATAAACACTATGACCGCATGACCCTAACATGCATAATGATAAATATATACGCATGATTCTTAAACGTACATTACCGTATTTTATAAATTATAAATTTATGCAATATAAAATTGTTTCACTCGTGGTTGCGTGTAATTTCTTTACTTAAATCCGAATTTTTTCCTAATCTGTTTGGTCGACTCACTTTACTCGCATTTTGAGTGAATTTACTCAAAAGTATGTGTTACTGTGGACGCATTCACTTTACTCTAGTATTTGAGTAAATCTACTCAAGCAGAATGAGTAAATTTACGCAAAAGTATGTGTTACTGTGGACGCATTCACTTTACTCAAGTATTTGAGTAAATCTACTCATATTTGAGTAAATCTACTCAAGCAGAATGAGTAAATTTACGCAAAAGTATGTGTTACTGTGGACGCATTGTTTTACTCAATTTTTTGAGTAAAATTTTGTTAATCTATGCTTAGAATAATTGACTATGCACAGGCGACCAACGTTGGTTATGAGTGCATGTTACATTTCAAGGAAATATACCATGCATGTTCACCACGATTTTTTTTCAAAATTGTACAATTTGCATATTTTTGTGATATGGTACAAAAAACGTGTCATTCAATTTGTTAAAATTGCGTCCGCTGATCTACACTTGATTAAGCTAGCTAAAATTGGTTTGCCTGGAAAGGTGATTCAGAAATTATGATAGCTAATATTAAAAACACAATTATGGTACTATGTTGGCAGCCACAATATTATGTGAAATGAGGTATCCAAAACTGTAAAACTAATAGGTTTATGATGTAAAATTATGAAACATATTTAAAAGTGTAGGAGTAAGTGTTTCGGTAAATATTTCCGCTAAGGTCCAAAAAATGCCCACAGATTTCGTTTCAGTTCTAATCTTTCTGGTTCTTTTCATATTATCGTAAAAAGTTCAGCATCATATTCCAAATATCGAACAATAAAGCCATACACTTACTCTGTTTCAATCGGTTGAGCTTCGTTTCCACTGACAATAAACAACGGAAACAGAATGGCAAAAATACAACCACTAAACAAAATTTAAACGAAATTAAATGGTACTCAGTTATCATCACGTCTTGAAAGCAATCTCGTCTTGTTCAAGTTCACCATCACGATTTATTTCAATTGTCTGTTTCCGGCGTTTGATTTCTACGTGTTTAAACCAACAACGATGTTTCGCAGTAAAAATGATGAATTTTATGTTGATTACCTTACGACGAATGAAGAAGACACGCTCGTTAGAACAGCCAATGGGAGACCAAAGCCAACAAAATAAGGCCAGTTTGTTTCTATGAAGGCCAAGCGCTTATCAACCCTCCACCCTACACGAGTAATTCAATTTATATAGCAAAATAAAGATTCGTTGAATTGCCAAAAACAGTATACATGCAATCTTTGTAGTAGCTACAAAGAATAATTTCTAACGATAGTTTCTTGCCGTGGTGGTATATAATAAGTAATTATTGGACCAGGTTGAGACTTGAGCGTGATATTGCGAATTATTATCAAGGACTCGGTAGACCGGCGTTATCTGCCAAAACCGTAGGCCAACCTCAGCCTTGATATTCTCAATATCACGCTTATGCAAAGCTCGAATTTAATAATTATTTTATTATTATTACGTAATTGTAATTTGACGTCACAATTACAGAATACCAGGCATTATTTGTAATTTTGACGTCATAATTGACTAACTAATCAAAACGGAGGTTGCTTGTTATACAGTGAATAATAACACAAATTATTTTGAGTTACCTCTATTCACCCATGTATATTCAAAGCTGTACAGCGAATGTAGTAAAGTCATGTGTAATAGACTGAGTACCGGACCCACAATAGGTACAATGCCAACTAAAGTCGCCTGGAAAAGAGAATATAGTTAACACTAATCCTTTTTAATAAGCTAAGATTAATTGGCTAAGGTGAATTATAACCGCCCTTTAGTTAAATTATCTTATAAAAATTCTCTGGATATACAAATTTACCTGTAGCAAGAAAAAGCCTTGAATTAACAAACTAAAGAATATATCAGCAATGGTTAAACTGACATTTTGAGCCAGGCTGCAATGAATTGATATATTCATAATGTGAAGGTTGAATTGTTATTTCTGAAAAAATTCTATCAACTGGCATCACCTGCCACTTGATGACAAGAGAACTGTTGGTTTACCACTCCGTCTGCGATACGCCAAGTCAGCTATTTCCTAAAATTGTTCAAATGTGTAAGTTAAAAAATATCAATATGTAGAGAAAACAATCATAAACTAAAGATAGAAGCTGCATGAAAAACAACCAGGCATGAATATATTGGTAAACATAATCGTACTTATACTTTAATGCATATTAACTTATACTTCAGTGCTGTATAATAAACTTAATAGTTATAATAAGTTAGTTACCTTAAAAAACATAGTGAAAAATAATTTTTTAGTCATAGCAGAAGGCTTAATTGCATCTTACGCATTCTTCTGACTTGGTTCATGGTGCCTTCAAAGTGTATAATTCCAATTCTGCTTGAATTTCAACATTATAATTAGGGGCAGAATTAAATTAACTACCCTTTTTACACAAGCACCCCTGTTTTATCCTCACTGCAAGAACAAATACCAAGCAATGCTCATAAGCTAAAATACATGTCATTCAAATTAATCACCTGTACTAACCTGATACCATAGGCTGTTAAGAGGTTTTGTGAGCCAGAATAGAGGAATTACCCAAAATGCACGGAATATATAAGATAATGTTGGCACCATCCATTTCCACATCAAACTTTGGGTTGTCTCAGAACCAGTGATAGTTTCTATTAAAGTTTTAAAAAATGGTGAGTGCTGATTAATGAATATAATACCTTTTGTATGACATAAAGAATGCAACTTACTAAAAATGAGATAGGTAAGCCACTGTAAGACTGGTATTAGATAATTCTCAAATAGAAGAATACTCATCTAAAAATGTAAATATTCCAAATTATACCAACCCATTGTTAATTATAGGAATAATTAATTAATAATATTAAGCTAAGGGTTTTAGGAGGATAACATGGCAAGGTAATATAAATTAAGGTTTACAAACATTCCATCCAGTCATGCATGCTGTTATGAATGGTACATTGACATTGACTGCATATTAACTGTGCATAGACCTATTCAAAGAAGACCAGGTGGCCTGTGACAAGTTACATGAAAGGGAGGCTAATCATTGTTTCTAATCATTGTTTCTAATCATTGTTTAACTTTTTCACTGGACTTGTTTCAAGCTAAAGGTAACAAAATTTCTTTCAGTTAAAATTTAGAAAGAAACAAATTTATTTCAAATAGAAAACCTCATTTTCGCATAGTGTAACTGGCAACACCCTCCTTATACTTTTTTGAATAGGTCTATAGTACTTACCCAAAAGATACCTCCATTTAAAATACAACATTGCATCATCATGGAATAGATTTCTTTATAGCTACAATAGAAACTTTATTTAAATATTATATTTAAATATTATAGAAAGTTATTTCTGCCTTTTTTTAGAAACATGCGTAATTCTCAACTATTTTCTCAATGCGAATGCTTACTTATGTGAACAGGAAGATTCTACTTTCAACGAATAGAAAACTAGCTTAATACTCTAAATGGCAAAATCTTCCAAGAATACTCTATTAAATACCACAGCTCAAGACCCAAGCTATGAGAATTGAGAATAGCTTGCAGCACTTGCAGCAATGTCAGAAGTTGGGGAATTATAAAATTCCAGGCAATTGAATAGCAAAGTAGTCATGGAGAATTAATTTCTCGATTAATTTATGAGATAATAAAATTAATTTCTATATTGTAAAACCTTTGTCTTTGAGATATTTTTGAATTTGGTGTCGATGACGTCTGTCTCAGACGCCTCTTGCTTCGGTGGTTTACATTAATCTCTTCTGTCTCTGGTTCAGATACAGAATGGCTGCTCTCTTGCTTTTGATATATAGGTTTAAAAAAAGTAATTATTCCTAAAATCGAATCGTATACACCATGAAGAATACCTTTTGCGTAAGGCACTGCTTCCGAAGCAGCCATATTTGTTTACAACAAAATGTAGCACCCCCTCAGTGAGCACCCCCCGGAATTTTAATACAGCTCAGCACAGATTAGCTATATAGCTCATCTATAGCTCAGCCTCAGTGGGAGCACAGTTACAGTAATAAAAAAGACAAACACTCGTGAAACCAACCAGTGCTGCAACTAATGGTCAAGGTCAACCTCACAACCAGAGTTTTGACACGGGTATTGGTCTCACTGGAAAAGGCGAACTAAAAAAGACGAACATGGAATGGACCACTTGCATAATCGACCAAACTTTTCTTTAACAGTAGAAACGACCAGACCAGTCCTGTTGTATTCCGATACAGACAGGTTACTCAGTGGTATTTTAGAGTGTTTCAAGAACTCTGCATTTAAGTATATCGTTCTTTTCATTTCCCTAAGCACAGGAAATGCTAAAAACCTTTTTAAAAATCATCTTGATAATTAGTACGTCCTACGCCTTCTGGGAGCCTCAGCTTGCTCAATCACAGGAGTCGTAGACATATCCCCTCATTCCCCTGGTCATATAACGAGGCTCCCAGTTTTTGTGAGATAAATGTCGAAATTGTGTATTCACATAGAACAATACCCGGCTCCTCCACAGGCCCTTCTTTGCAACCAATATGCTTTTGGCTGATGCATAATGGAACATTGAAAGAATGACAAATGGTACTATTATAGAATAAAGATCTGTTGGTGTTAGAGGATGTTCTCAACTACCTTGTTCTTTAAAAAAACTAAAAACAGTGTTTATTCTTGTTCGGAGAGTCCAATTTATGCATTATTAGCTAAGTAATATAAAACATTTACTGAGGCAGTTCTACTGTACATATACAGTCTTCACTGTTAGAAGTTGGAGACGTGGCCAACGTATTCCATAAATTGCTCCGGAGTAAGAAAACGTACCCAAAACGAATATTTATTTATATCCATATAACAATAAACATGTGTTAACTATTCAGATAGTGCTGGCGTACAATACCCGAAGTGAAGTGCTCAATTCCTCAAATGTACCTTTTACAAATGTTTTGGTCAAATTATAATATATTTTAATAAAAAGTGGAATACTCAATCGGATTTTTCCGTTTCGGTTTTTTCCTTTTCCTTTTCCTTCTTCTTTTTCTTCTTCTTTTTCTTCTCTTTGTTCGTTGACTATTTAATGAAAACAAAAAGACACTGTATGATGCGCAAAAGAGACTCGATAGCAAAGCAAAATCTGGTCTCGCAGTGAAACTAAAAACATCGCCAGGTTTTTGGTTCGCGCCGATCATTAACGTGATAGTAAGGGGTTCGGGAGAGGCGAATTTTAGTACATTATATATACTAATAACTTTTAATTAGTTGTTTATGAAAATATCTCAATCATTGCACTTAAACCATTCATAGTTAGTACACTAAAACAGTGCTTGCTGCGGCAGCCATAATTTTAAACGTAAGCCTAAAGTTAATAAAACCGATCGTACTCACCTCATCTGGACTAGAACAATCCAATTTCGCTTTCTTTTTCTTCTTTTCTTTCTTCTCTTTAACCTTAGGCTCTTTCTTCGAGGCGTCTTCGCTTGAGTCGGATTCTGTTTCACCTTCATGCTTTCTCTATAAAAACATTTTGCTCAATATCCAACTCTTTTACCGTTCCTACTTGTTTCCAGTAAAGGCTAATTTCCACTCCGGAAAACGAGCAGCGGATCGGATCGGGGTTTTTTCCCGAGCTGGTCCGATCCATGAAGTGATTTCGGATCGGATAAAAAAAGTTCTGCAAATCTTAACATCATTTCAGAGCATTTGTTAGTTATAACAAGACGTATTACCCCATAATTCCCAAAATAGAGAGTGGCTGCAAACTATGCAAAAGTTTAACATACAAATATTGTTGTTGTGGCAGCTGTGCACATCGCAGTCGATTTCATTGTTCGCTACTCACCTTCACTGCCAATACTGGAGGCTTTTCGTCTGCGGCTGGTTCAGACACGGGTAGTTTATCAGGTTTCTGGTCACTAAACGTAATATGACAGATAATATTATATGTTCTCAAAAAAACATGGTTACTCGGGTTACAAAATTTGAATTAATTTGATCTGAATTGAATTGAACCGTGCAAAACTAACTAATTAATTTGTAGCGATAACGGAAGATGATGAAATTTGCTTACATCAAGTACGGATTCTCTTTAAGCCATTGTTGTGGAGTACTTTCGTTTGGTTTTCCATATTTACCAAGTTTTCCTGCAGCGATTAATTTTTTCTTTGCTAAAGCCTAAAAGAAATCAGTTTTGTTAACAATAGGGTCTGACTGTTACGAAAAAACGAACTGAAGGTGTGGCTGCTTTTGCAGGCTACGAAAAATGGTAAATATCTCAAAACTGAATAACAAAAACAAACCATGCACAAATGAAATGAATTAGTACGCTACTGCACCTTTTCACCCAGGCCCCATTTCCGAGGATAGCAATCTCGCTCCATGATAACTCGCTTAATTTTTGCGACAATACCGTGGTCACAGGTTGCTATAGTTGACGCGGTCATCAATGCAATACCTAATTAATATAAAATCGCATGAGCTTAATTAATTGACATCTCTGACTTTTGCTTGTTGCTTGTGGAGTGTACATACTGAGGTACATGTGTGTTTATTGGATATCCTATTGTCATTCGAAAACAAAAAGAACAAGCAGAAAAACGTCTGTTATGGAAAAACGTTTTGTACGAGTCGAGTTATTTTCGTCCCTTATTTGTGGTGGATCGTGACCACTGAATCCCACACATTATTGCATGTTCCGTTTGGATAAGTTCTCTAATTGTTTGATTTAATTTGAAAAATTTAATTCAAGTTAAGTGATGTTTTTCAATAATTATTGACAATTGCAGAATATCACTAAGAACTCTTGAAGGATTTGCCAGTTGACAAAAACATAACTATACCTAGAGCAATAGCTTCTCCTTTCGTTGTCATCATCACGACTTCCTCATTAAGTTCAATACCAGATTCATAACGAAGTACACCTGGCAACATCAGCTTTGCACCATAGCATATGGCGTTTACCTATAATTGCATGAACAATGTTTAATGTGGGTAGATGTCGAGGTTATGGGACAACACGTACAGTATAAGAGAATTAATACTTGTAAAAATAGCAATAACTCTGTCGAGGTCGAACGAACGTTTTCTTAAGCTTAGTCTGTTTAAACGCTGCCTCTGAATCGTCTGGCCTAGATTCCATTACCTCGAACGCAGTTTGAACGCACGTTGTATTTTTCCGACCACCATTGCTTATATATTTTATAAATTTGAAACGATACTGTCACCAAAAGGCTCAATAACATGTGACAGTGCTTCGTAGATGTTCTTCACGTTAGTTGAGAAGTTCAAGTTGAGTGGGGATGACAACTGGATCGGTTACATGTAGCAATAGCTATACAATTTAGACTTATAAATCATCAAGGTATAAAATTACATTATACTAGGCCAATATTGCAGAGTTCGTTTGTTCGGGCAACGCTCATTTTTTCGACAATATTCTTAAAACGTGTTGTTTGTATGTATATTACTATGTTTTTTCCAAAACATAGATATATACATAGATATATATATATATATGGATATGTTGTTTTCTATGTTTTTTCCAGTTATTTGACATAGAAGTGCTATAAAATAAATTCTCAAACAATACGGTACTTACGGCACTATCTTTTACAACTAAACGTTTATGGGATGTCAATAATGCTTCCAATGGTTTAATTGTTCGACGTAAATAAGATTCTATAATCAAGGAAATATATTTCTCAAATATTTGTCCCCGTCTTGAAACAAAAAAAATATGAATATAATATGAACTGAAACAGGACGACAATAAAAATTGTCCGGCGGCCTCTAGTATATACATACCATCTTTAGAGTTGTCATACAACCATTGAGCATCAAGTAAATCATGCATGGTCACCATTCCTTCCTAAATAAATTCATAAAAGCACAAGTTAGAAAGGTTCCTCTCGAGTTTTTTTCTTATAATAAAAGCAATGCATCCTGCATTACTGTTTGAACGTTTTTTTTTCTTTCTCACTGCTATATGGTTTAAAATTTCTCTCTGTTTGGCGTTTGAGACCGAGGTGTATCGAAGCTAAATAAGATTCTACATGTAACCTTGCAAATACAGTTTTGCTAACCTTTTCAGACTGAATTCCCGATCTTACTCTACGTAATTCTTGCATGTGCGCTCCAACCCCAAGCAAAAAACCAAGATGTACACATAATGTTCGAATGTATGTCCCGGCTTCACAACTGGCCCAAAAAACAGCTAAAAAACAAAATTGTACATGTTCACTTTATTGTTCATTTTATGTTCATTGTACAATCTGCACAGTTTGTTTCTCGTATCCAATCAAATTAGCTAAAAAGAAGTTCTGATTAAGCAACCTCACACCAGACGTATTGTGGTATGTATGTTCAGACAAATGCATTTGAGTAAATTTGAACGGAAGCATGTAACATGCAAAAATAGAATATAACTTTAATCATCAATTTGTTGAAATATATATTTCACTTGTTTAAAAGTCATTGATTTATAAAGTTATTGATTGTCCTGAAACAATTTATAATGCACGTATTAGCCTAACTGACCTAGATGACGATCTGTGTCAAATTCGATAAGCTTGCTTTCGTATATTGTTCGTATTCTTAGTTGTCTTTTAACAGCTGAAATTAACGGCGGTCTTTGAAACAACGCACCAGTCAACTGCTCAATTACCTAATAAACAAATATTTGCATTGAATTTTTTACGTTATATATTTAAATGTTACCATATTTCAACGTTCGTGGATGTTCTCACAATTTACGTGGACATAATGGACATAATTTGCAACTACAGTTTTTTTTCGTAGAAAGTTCTAAGGTGAAAGAATTTAATAGGTTGCATAAAATTATGCAAATTCCCATTAACAGAATATGTTTGTCATTCCTTTACACGTAGACATGCTATACAAATGACAATCAAAGATTCAAACTATAGACAATTATGAAAAGTCTGCGTAATGACGAAGCTTGCGGTAAAACATGTTTTCAACTGGGCAATGCAGTCAATGTTTCCTACATACCTGTGCCAGCTTTGTCTCACTTTCAATAGCATTGTGAAGACGAACAACACAAACATATTCTTTCCCTTTTAAATATAAATGAAGAAATTAACAACCAACAAGGACTTATACAATCAGAAATTTACTTTGCTGTTATAAGAAAAACGACCAGACTTTTTTATCTTTAATCAATATTAAACCTTAATGTGTGACTTAGTTACAATTCTGGTAATTCACTGTTCTGTTCTAACTAGTTAGGGGCATAACGTTTTTACTCTTCAACATAATCATATAGTAAAAGAAATATTCAAATACCTGCTCCTTGCTGAGATTTCACGAGACGTGTGGCTCGATCAATACATACAATCAAACAACCTGTGACCTTAGGATCTAATGTTCCACTATGACCTGTCTTCTCCACACGTAGAATTCTTTTTATCCATGCAACTACCTTCAGAAGTAAAAAGTAATAACCTTTCAAAACACAGTTTTTCTCTTTTACCATTACGGCTTTCTTTTTTTAACAAAAAGGTTTTGTCGTATACAATAAAAATGAAAATTATTTCATCTGTAGACAGTAAAGTGTGAAAGTGACTCAATGTTTCTAATGTGTTACCTCATGTGAAGAAGGATTGGCAGGTTTATCAAGATTGATAAATCCACTCCTATAACATCATTAAAATACAATGTTTAATGAAGCTAATAATTATTGGAAGAAATTGCAATCTCAGCTTTCTGCAAGCAAAAATCACAACTAATCACATATAGTAACCACAACATACGAGATATAATCCTTGAGGTCTCTTTTCAACGGAGAGCAACCCGAAGTTAATGGAGTAAAATGTCCAGTACGACAGTTCAATTTATTATAGTTCTAAAAAAACAACTAAAAATTTATTCCCAAACCTAAACATTGTTGATAATTAAATGAATAGGGGATAACTGTTATGAGGGTTGGACAAATTGGTCACTGCCTTGGAGCCATACTGCTGCAAAGATTTTTACAATATTTTGGCCATCCCAAAGAGGTGGGCAATCTTGTGCACTGGGGTGCATAGAACGTACATCACATTTTGTAGTGTACAGGGGAAACAGGCACGTGGCGGATCTAGGGGTGTGCAAAATAAATCACATCGCTTAATTTTAAATTCAAACTACAATTCTACAACGCAAACTACAACGCTATTGGTTATTGATTTGAAAAGAATATTTTTACATTAACACCTGCCAATGTGATTCCGATTTTAAGCCATAGTAATTAATTTACTTTGCACACCCCTAGATCCGCTACTTACTGGCATCTCACATTGGCATATCAACAAAATGTTATAAATTCATATAATATATAAACAATATACCTTGAGCAGAAGAGGCCATTGAGATGTGTCAAGAGTTGTAGGATTCTTGGTTGGGGGTATTAAGAAATCATCACTATGCTGTGCAGCCTGGAAATCAAGGAAGATGCATTAATGAGGAATCTTCCATTCTCCATTGCAAAATGAATATTAGGTGATAAAAAAAAACACATATGAAACATATTTTTGGGACCCTATATTCCCAAAAGATTAGAATCATTGTTAAATATGTGTAATTAATGTGTAAAAGTGTTCTTGATCAATGAACATTCTATTATTATAACTAATTCATATGATCTTGGAAAACTGACAAGACATATTTTCTTCTGTAAGCTAGCTAGTACTCAATACTACATACATCACTAGCACTTCAATTTTTTTAAACTTCTTCCACATTTTTAGCATCACACATTAAAGTACAAATGCACCAGGAAAATTTATCAGAAATAGAACAGAAAGAGGAAAAGCAAGAATTTTCTTACATGTTCACTCAGATAGATGCTTGCTCGCTTGGCAGTGCAACTGCTAATGGCCATGCAGGAGCCAGTATGCACTCTGCTATGTACTAGGTAAGCCACCTTGTTCCTAGCTCGGACTCCATGCACTCACACAAGCTGTGGGTGGGATTGTGCCTATTAGCTCCTAATATGTTAACCTTAGTTATCAAAAGATAGTCAGCTAATATCTAGCTTAATTAAAGAGGCAAGGAAAGCTTTTCAGAGAAGTTAGGAACCCACCATTACCCTATCAACATTAGAAGAAATGCTTACCCCAATATCAACTGATGACTTCTTCTTTTTCTTTGATTTATGTTCTCCTTGTACTTAAATACAAAAAAGAACATTATAAGTTTGATAACAAGCAGTCAATAAACTTGGGTTACAAAAAAATTATAGTGAAATATTCCAGCAAAATATTAGAATAATGGAAAACAAGTAATTTTGTAATGAGCTGGTGATTGCTAGGCATCAATTAAATAAACAATTCACTCAAAATTGAAATGAAAAGGAAGCCAGAAGTTCTCAAGGGATGCATGGGTAGAAACTTTTAATTTCGAAAGAAATTCGAATTTTACAAAACATCTCAAAGTGTTTTGTGAGGACCTTTTGTGAACCAACCAAATAGAAGTTTTGTTGGTGCAGGAGGACCATGGGAGTTAAAGGGGCACCCGGTTTATGTTTAAAAATAAAATGCATCTATCTATATTAAGTGGTCTGTTATGGAGTCTACACAGTTGCTTAGTTGATAAATGTGATTAGGAAAACTAAATAATGATTTTGCGAAGTTAATTGTAATCGCCCATGCGCTTAAGTTACAGACTTTCTACGATTAAAAGCAGGGCAAGGTGTCCCACAACCCAACAATTCTGTGGCATGCTCGGTTTGTCCAAGGAATGTCTATTTGTGCACCATTCGTGCATCAGACTTGTATGCTACGTCCACACGACCGTCATATAAGTTAGAAAATTGCTACAAGTACACACCACAAATAAGTCTCCTTATATATATATATATATAAATAATTATATTAGTTATACGCACCTTCTGTGGCCATATTTATTCACTCCACGTGTTTGTGGCGCTAGGATTACGATTTATAATTACGATTTTCACAACTTCACTTCCTGCCGGTCAAAATTCCTTGAATTGTAAGTCAAAGCTTCCTTGTGCTTACTTTGAACTAGTTTACACCATTGGATAGTGATTACTGCCTACGTCTTGAGACCACTGTTGTATTCTGTTGTATCAAACTTGTTGTTTGGAGACCTTGCTCCTTGGTTATCTCGGAACGTAAGGCACTAATTCATTCGAAAAATTCTAATATTTTGAAAATAGCTACTTCAGTGATATATCTTCATTGCAGAAAATTGGGTAGTTACTAATACTTGTACAAAAGCAAACCGGTAAAATTCGCGCAATTCGTGCATTAGCCATTGGCATTACGCAGGAAAGAACGATGTAATGCTGTGAGATACACTTTCCTAGATGATCTCGGTTTGAAACGCAGGTTTAGGATTTAGAAAATCACACAGATATTCAATCTATCAAGCTGACAGTTCGAGAGGTAATTTATTTCTATTCCTTATTCGGTACAACTGTGATTGACTGCCAGAGCCATTACACATTAAGCTATAGAAACACAAATCCGAAAAGTTCCAATTGGAGTGTTCTATTCCTTATAACAGTTAAATATATTCTACAATTACAATTCTTTCAAAATTGAACATGACACATATGCTGTACGTTTTACGTTTCATCGCCGAATAAAGGTACGATCACAGATTTCGCCCAAAGGGAAAATGCTAGGCGAAACGGATGACCCATGGATGCATGTGGTGAAGATGTTTTGGGGGAAAATAATTTGAGTTAACGAGAAAAGCGTGATTCTTTGTGATTCATGGAAGGATTATCAAAAAAACTCTTAACGTAAAACTCATATAATCGTCAAGAAAGCCTCCATGGACGGAAGAGTGTTTTCGCAATGACCCAGCGAAACGTCTTTCTGAGTGACCGAACCTTTATAAGGTTTTATTGTCAACGAATCAAAAATTATAATATACACAGTCAGGTATGATTCGATTAAGTTATAGGTTAAACGTCCTCTCTTAGAAGTCGTCACTACATTATTTTAAAGAATTAATCCACAATGTGCTCTTTTATATCTAAGTTGTGCGAGTTATGATATGTTATACTTTGTATAGATTTAGACGAATTGAATTACTACTTTATTCATGAATGTCATCATTCACGTTTTCACCCAGATAATCATCATCAGGCTCCTCGGATTTTGCAGACGAAGGTCTCTGTTCTGTTTCATGCGGTTCATTGACGTCCTTTTGTCCGTCCGGAAAGTACACTTGAAATATGACAAACTTATTACAGCACGTGCAAAAATGACAATCAAAAGTGTGATGCTTTATGGTTTTAAAAATCTTAGAAAGTTTCGCACCACAGCTAGTCATTATAATATATAACAACAGTGAACAGAGTTGATGCATGTTCAAGATCTTTTTTGGACGTGTAATTCAGATTGGGCTAAAAGTGTTTTACCTCGTAGTGGATAAAATGCAGCATATACATAATGCTATTATAATGTAATGCCTATACCGGTATTTTATAATATAGAAACGAAAAGTTATTGTAATGCAGAATGTTTGAGTTATTACCTGCCTCACGTAATCCTTTCCCAAAGTTGCTAAAAACAATCCATAGGAAAATGCAAACCAAAATTCGTGCAGCCAAAAACAGGCACGCTGGTCGAAATGGAAAAATTATTATTAAAAGTTTTATTTTCGAATAGAATCACATGGTGCATGAGAGGGACGGGAGGAGTTAATTTTCGTATCATTTTTAAAATTGACAGGGCATTTCACATATCATTGGGAAATATCTTTTATCATGGACCGTGTTTACCATGATCCAATTAATCCATGGTTAATAACATCTTTCATATAGACCCTTTCGATAATTACGTCACAATATTAACGTTTTAGAAATTTAGAACCACCTTAAATGATGGATTTCAAGTTTTACTCTCACAAGTCACGTGCAAAGATGCAAAACATTCTTCTTCAACACATGAATGAGAAAGAATTTTTACTTTGAAAAATCTTTGCACATAACTTGTGACAGTAAAACAAGAAACCCATTTTAGTTTAGGTGGTTCCAAGTGAACTGTAATAAACTGTTATATTCATTTTACGCATGTTATATTCATTTTATTAGGTGGTTCTAAATTCATAACGATAATGTTGTGTCGTAATTATCGAAGGGGTCTATTGAAATCTTACCGCAAGCAATGATGGATGCATTTATTGTTTTGCTTTGTTGATCCCAGTTCATTTCAGTCTACACAAAATTATACGGACGAGTTTTTAGGGAGAATGAATGAAAAAAACCATGCCGACCCCTCCCTTCTCAAACAAAAATTGCGCATTAATGATAGAAACAGAGTAGGCAGAAACTAAAATATTGGATAATGGTCACCACAAATCAGTTTTCTAATGACTATCTGAGTTCTGTTCCCTAGCTATTATTATAATGTCAATTATTTCAGTCGAAAAAAAATATTCCAGAGCAGGGGATCAGGAAGCTGAAACTACAAAAACGACAACAAGTCTACGAGCACAAGAATCGTCGAAACTTGCAAGTTGCCTTCTCGCTATACACCATCACGCAAAAGTCGTGCTTTGAGAATGTAATATGGCGTAAGCATAAGAAGAAGCCACAGAATTGTCTATTCTGTGACGATACAAAAAGTCATTTATTGTTCTTTGCGTAAGGGCTATTTGTCATGATTTGTCACACAGCAAGTACCGTAAAACAGGTAAATTACTGCGCTAGTTTCACCCCTATAAACAGTATTTCAAAATATGCCGAAAATACAGCATTAAAAAACTATCTAAATGAGCAAAAAGTAGAACAAAGCAAAAGCAATAGTATTTCTCATATTTTGTCATAAATTAATGTTTACCTTGATAATCTTGTATAGAACATACGCTGGTTGAGGAAGACTAAGGATAATAAAGGTGTATAGCCACAACTTGTCCTCGAATTTCGGCTAAAAATATGCGGCACAATATTAAGCACTTTCTTCGATCCTATCGAGAACAGGGATGTATTGGAGGAGGGAGGGGGGTCAGCTCAAATTCTATGTCAAGTTGGGGGAGGGGATCAAACACTTCCATAATATTCAAGCCACCTCAACAGCTCCATGGCCTCCATGCACTGATGATTTTACATATATAATAGCTTTCTTTCAATCATTTTTACATGGATAAAAGTGTTATCTTTGACCACATAAAAGTGGATAACATCGAATGCTGGGCAAAGCGAGCATGCAGTCATTTAAAGACTGATAATATCTAGTAAACTCACCAAAAGATAACCAACGACAAGCCAAATTATTCCGACGAAGATGCCCACAACAAGAATGGAAATCTCACCAGGGCTAGCATTCTCCAAACCAGATGTCAAAATTAACACAATTAAACTGATCTATATTAATGAAATTTATTTACCTCTTTATTAATCTCAGTTTATTTGAAACATTAGCTAAGCTGGGACGTCTCTTTTGACAGCTATCTGAACTAGACAAAATCGCAGGCAGCCGAAATTTGCGTTCGTTATGGAAAATATCAAAGAACAGAAAGAGTAACAGTGGTGGTAATACCGCTGCTATCTTGCACGTACCGCTGATTGAAATTCAACTACTAGCAATGTTTGGAATATGAACATGTTCATACACATATCTATAAAGAAGAAAATATAGCACTGTGAAAATTGAAAAGGTGCAAACAGGGTTGGAAGCAGGCTGATCCCGTAGAAAGCTGATCATAAAGCAGGCTGCTAATGGAGCCACCTGAGCTAAATAGTCGTGGTAATATAATTACTACAGGATAGTACTATTAAGGTTTAGATTTGGGATTATATTCATTGAAAAAAAGGTGCAGCTGGAACTACAGTAGTCAAACAAAAACTTTAGAAACAAGATTTATACCTAACCACAAGACAAATTACAATTTACAAACAGCATCTAAAAACACTTTCTACTAATTCTGGAGAATAAAAAAAAGGTCCAATGCTTTGGCATCTTTTATGAAACTTCTTGAAATTTCCATTTCAATTTTCACATTAGATTAATTTCATTAAACTTACTTTGTAATTTTATATTGGCTGAACGCACTGTTCTGATAATAAGATTTTTCGAAGTGTAATGTTGTAATGAAATGTAGAAACTAAGGATCAGATCAAATGGTGCAAAAGCTGACAACACAATTAGACGACCCTATAAATAACACATTAAATGCTTCAATAACATGTTAATCAACAAGACTATGATTATTTTTCCTTCTCAGCCCATAGGCAGCCCAAATTAAGTGTGCACCAGCACCATCATTGTTTATCACCCTATATTAATTATGCTATATTAAGCATTATTAATATAATGAAAGGGGAAGCATTTACACCATAAAGGCAAAATAAACTACATTACCAGTAAAACATTAGTTCTGTCACTTTTAATGGCATATTGAATGATACAATACACTGTAACTGCTACAATTGCGATCATAAATGCCCAAAGTTGGTAGGGTCGCTCTCCAAATACTCCATGGTATACATAAATCAAACAAAAGACTATGAAAAAACAGAAATTAAATGTTACATTAATTATAACATCCTTCTCTATACTTTAACAGTTCAATCAGTTTGTGGGTCAGTCAAGATTACTTTTTATTCTCAACACAATTTTTTTGCCATGATACACTGACAATACCTGCATTAATTAAAACTAACAATCCAAGTGTTGAGTCAGAATCATCAATTGTATTAGCAAGACGATATATGGTCATAGCAATAGCACCAACTATACTAAGAGTTGCCAATACAAGAAATCCAATTTCAATATTCTCTAAATCAGCAGGGACTCTTAGCTAAAATAAAATAATTATCATACAACAGGACTACACTCTGGAACAAGTCAACAGGTTGCATTGTATATATTCAAATCTAGACCTTCACAAAATATATATGGACTAAGCAATGAAAAAGATAACTCCTAATCATTTCAATAAAAAAAAAAATCATGTTGTACTTTGGATTTAGTCATTGTTACTGAAAAGAAAATGCTAGACTCATTCTACATTCCTTTTTCATTTCAAAATATGTAGAACATGAAATTTAATTTTTTTTGTAAATCTAATGATGAATTGGTAAGATCATTAAAGCCTGTTTACACTTGCAATTTTATGCGTGATTTTCTTCTTTTGGTATATGTGAATGAGTGACTAGTTATGAATTCTTTGATGTATAAGAGCTCTTATTTGAACATTCGTAACTAATTCACTCGTTCACATTTATCAAAAAGAAAAAAATCGCGCATAAAATTGCAGCAAAAGTTGCAAGTGTAAACAGCCCTTTACTGAGGTTGAGTATTTCCTCATAGAGGTGCAATTTTACATGAATGATCATTTCTGGCATTTAAACATTCCTAGTGTAGAGTTTATTACCATTCCAATAAGAATAGGTGAAGTCTGAGCTGAGTTAAGGGAAATACTTGCAGGAATAATAATATAGTATGAACATCCAAATGGCTTTGTGACACAACTATGAATAACTCTGAACAATAAATGAGGAAATAAGCCATAACATGAAATAATTAAAGGCTCACAGGCTCAGGTTTTACCTCCCAAATTGTTCTTGTGTTATAGATTATTTCAACATTTATTTTTTATGCCTGTGTACATGTTGAAAAAGGGTGTTTGTCTAGTTTAAGCATATCCTGAGAGCAGTAATCAAATTGGCAGTAATGAACAGGTGATATATGTGCACATCGCTCTCTTTGAGGCCACTTTCACATTCGCTGATTCACTTTCACAACAATTTTGCATGTTCAACAGTCTTACCTCCTAACCACTATATAACTACATTTACTTAAATTCTTGATTAGAAACAATCATAAAAATACGGAAATCATTGACATGTAATTTATATTATAGATATGACCCAATATTACTAAACACTAAATCAAATGTGGTATAACAATTGCCTAAAATAGACAAAACACTAAACACTTCAATATTTTTGACGTTATTATTTTTAAACTTACGATCTCATCAAAAGAAGCAAAATAAGAAATACCTTTCCAAAGGGTGAATCCCAGGTTCTAACTGTAGGGTGAAATACATTCACCACCTCTCGGTCCTCTCGTGAGTTTGAGCTGGTATTGGAAGACTCGGATTGCATTCTTTCTGCACGATTAGGTTTTGATCCGAACGTTTCGTAATCCATGATGGTAGATAATATGTTAGTAAATATAAAATTCGAATGAATCACTGATTCTCCAATGAAGTTGACTTAGTATTTTCTGAGGTCAAAACATTTCGACACATTAGCGGAATGGTTGTCCAATTGTGTTTTGAAAGTTTTGAAATTCGAATGCATCAGGTGTGTTTCAATTCGAACTCCCTCATGGTACCATAAGTTCCCTTGGCCTCCCTTCAGTCCCTTGGCTAGGCAAAACCTGGGGTATCTACCATAAATGATTCTGAGTCAACAATATAGGCCAAAACGAAAGATATTTAGTGGGGAAAAGCCAGTAGTCTGTAGCCATGCACAAATATTAAATCTCTTCGTGCAATCGGGTTTCTCCTTATACCCGGTAGCTGCTACAAGTGAAGCATCGTTTTGCTTTGCCCTCGTTTCTCCCTTAAAAGGAAAAAGGATGCTCTGCTGGCCTAAGCATGAAAAATAATGGCATACTACAACTTGTAGTGCCGTTTGGAAGCGTTGGAAATGTTGTACGAGCCAATCAGTATCCTACTTGAATTTCTTCTACGTATATACCGAAACAGGAAACCTGATTTTAGTCAGTGCTGCTCAACCGTGTGACGGGACAGCGGGAGCAACTGTGAACATTAGGGGTCATTGGTGCGGGTTGGGAAACCTAACCTTAACCAATCACGCTAATCGTTAACCAGATCGGCCAATCAGAGGCGATTCTATGGAAAGCCATTAACGTGCCTTACCCTGACGCTTCCGTTTAATAATAATCGCACGCTGTATTTATTTACGTTCGTGTCTTGTTGTGGCTGGCTTGTGGGACGTCTTTATCGAGAATAATAACAATATGCGAATAAATCCTAAACGTTTTTGAGCTTTTCGCTGTGTTTTTACCCATATACTTTTGTAAAGGAATTAGGCTATAGGAATTAGGTTTCTGACTTAGGCAAAATTCGTAGTTTTAAAGATTATTATCACGCATGCGCACGCCCATAGACCCGAAAAATAAGATGGACAAATGACAATGTAAATGTATTTCGGTATAAACGGCCTGTAAAGTTAAAACTGGAAACTGGCTGGGATTGGGAAGGCTACATACATAATGACCAGTGAACAGAGCAACGTTGTGGGTAATTTTTTTTTAATCAAACATTTGCGTAAGACATAATTTACTTTAAGGTCCGTTCACACGATCCAATTTTGTTAGATCCAATATTCCATTTCACTACTTCTGATAGATGTTTCATAGTCTCTTGTCTTGTATAAATGTATATCAGCAGCAAATCTACTGAAACCAATGAATGCACTGACAGCTTCATCAATGAGCCGAGTCAATCAGCCGACTATATTTGGTGTCAGGTCGTTTCGTACTCTTGTCATTTCGTACCCATATCCCTGGTCGTTTCGTACTCTAATTGATGGTCGTTTCGTACCCCGATTTTAATCGTTTCGTACTCAAACGCTATATGACTGCTTTTATTGCAATCAGTTCAGTTTTTATTAAAAGCGTTGATAATAACCACTTTCTTTGTTGACTTGAAACTCTGTATTGCAACATTTAAGTTCTTCATTTGGCAGTTCAAATTTATCGTTTTGAAAATGGTCCGAAAGTCTACACGCACACTTAAGCGCAAATGGCCATGTGGTACTTGCAGTCTGCAATGCAATGACAATTCGATCTTTTGCGAAGGATGCCGAATGCATGTGGTACCATTCTTGTTGTGAGAACCTGTCTCCGAGAGATTTAAAAATTTTACAAGACCTAACCGAAGATTATCTGTGTTCGTCTTGTACGCGTGTTGGACTGTTGGCGATGTCTTTGATTTCCAAAACGCGCTCCAAAGTGCGACACGTGTTGGGAGGCTAGAAAGTGCTGCTAAAGTTGAATGTATTTTGGTCGTCGTGGAATACCGTTCTACAGGCTAATTGAGCTATTTCACAAGTAAAAAATAAACGGACAGATCACGGATATATTTTTCGGCAGTTGAAATGAGCTTAAATAAAATATATTCGTCTTCTTGTTTTTGCAAAGCTAGCTCATTAAGTCCCTCATGTGTAAAGTTCGAAACGACCTTGTCTGGGTACGAAACGACCATGTCTGGGTACGAAACGACCATGTCTGGGTACGAAACGACCAGGCCTGGGTACGAAACGGCAGAAGTACGAAATGACAAGAGTACGAAACGACCATAAACCGACTATATTTCATACGTCAGAAGTGAATTGGATTCAACAAAATTGGATCGTGTGAACAGACCTTTGGCTTGCAAACATTCTTCGACAAACTTCCTGTGACAAATGCAGTTTGTCCGTATGAGGGGAAATCCATATTAAAGTGTCACAACACGTTTCAAATCAATATTGTGATGGTGCTACTCAAAGCGAACTTAGGTTTGCTAGTCCAGTGCTCTTTTAAGGTCGCGAGTTATCATCCCAAGGGTACGGAGGTGAAAGGAGGTTTAAGGAGGTGTAATTAGGAAAGTGTACAGGTAGAAGGTAGCTATTTGTATACCATGTGATGTGAGACATTATAATAGCGTTAGCGTTACATCAGATAATTATTGCTGTTCAAAATTTGTTTTTGATTCATAAATTAGTTGCTAATTTGTTTTTACTATTGAGATGAGTTTGAAATATTTTCGAAATTTTGTTTTTGATTTCGAAACTGAAGTGAATATTTGGTTGTGTTTTCCAATTGGAAATGTATTTTAATGGTTTTGGGTGGTTATTTTAATGGTCTTCTAATTGGAAATGTATTTTAATGGTTTTGGGTGGTTATTTTAATGGTCTTCTAATTGGAAATGAGTTTTAATGGTTTTGGGTGGTTATTTTAATGGTTTTCCAATTGGAAATGTGTTTAATCACTTATGGCCACCATAATTTAAATTCTTCGTATGAAGGAAACTGTTGGGGGGGGAATAACAAATGGTTTTGGGTGGTTATACAAGCGCCTGGGTACGAGGTTGGCAGGCGTCACAGTCACCAGTCGGTTCGAAAGTTGAATGTTATCACATGAGTATAGTTTCAGAAACCACTGCCGCTATACTCGTCAATTCCGTCAAAATGGGATGAATTGTAAGGCCGTAAAGCAGTATAGTTGTAACTTGTAAAACAGGTAGCCTACTGTCAGTATGTATATAGCACAGACGCTTCAGAGCCCGAATTAAAAAATATATGTTCGAGAAGTTATCACCCCAATCTCTATATTACTATAATCTCAATTTTTTGTCGATCACTTGTGACCACTAGTCAGGCTACTGTGGATTTCCAGTCCTCGCCGCAATTTTGACTTTGACATAGACTCCCTTGAAATGAGGCTCAGCGTAACGAAACTCCAGACTAGGCTGAGTCCGCTGAGATGAGTGAAAGTGTGAAACTCCGCTATTTTAGCAAAAGCCAGGCAAGGGCCTAAACAGTTGGTACAAGGGCAGCTGAAGAATATTAATTTCGAACCCGACGTTTTTCAACTTACATTATAATCCATACAAATCATCAACAAAAAATACAAATGTCACAAGATATTAGAATCGTGTCCTTTAATCAACACATTACCACTCAAACGCATCGTAAAAGCAAAGACCATTTTTGTTGTTCGACCATGATACAATCAAAATCATGATTAAAAACTTTAATTCATTTAAATATTTTAAATTAGTCAATATCTACGGTAAAACAATTTTACAAATTATTAATTACAATTAAAAATCAACATTAGTTAGGACTACAAGTCAAAAAGAATCAGTTTTATTTAAAAAGCTGATGCGAAAAGCATGGTTCACGTGTACTACAAGATAAAGTTCTATTAATAGTATCAATTATATCAAACTCGTCCCCAGGGTCTTCTTCGTAGCGCCGAGGGAAAAGTGAGAAGACCCTGTGAAAATCTCCAAGATTCTTGGAGATTAAGCGTAATACCGAAATGAATGCTGGCGTGATGTCTTGAAATTTTTGCACACCAGCATTCATTTCGGTCAGTACTTATCAGACTCAGGGTACCGGCTCTCGCCGTTGTAAGGAAATCACAACTATATAAAACTACAGTATGCTATTATAAACGCCTGCAACTATGCAATAATGTGGTGACACAGTCTGTATTAAGGCTCGAGTCCTCTATCGAGGTACCATTGTGGACCCAACAACAGTCCATTTCTTTCCAACCTGCATACCATAATTTAAACCAATTTACGAAGGATGATTATTAATATCGATACGGAAACAGAAATAGCTCCCAGATGTAATCTACACTATTCTACATTTCTCACAACAAAATTTACAGCAACTCCAATCGCGAGCTTGCGACCAATAATACTTGCGAAAAACTGTACTCAAATTCAAAAGATGAAATGATCAAGAATGGAAAGGATTTTCCAGACGTTACAACCACACTGCAACAACATAAAAAAAATCCATTACATTATCAGTAATACTTAGGCTGGAAATGATGAATTCGAGGAACTATATAATATATTACCTTGGTCTTTTTCTGTTTGATTTGAGACCATCGCAGATTTACTTTCCTCGTCAATTGCTTTTTTTGGCTGAAAGTATTAAAAAATGTAATTGTAATATATTTTATATATAAATTGCCCATATTCATTGTTGGTCCCCCAGATTCTATCCATGCAGATTCTTGACATTTTGCATGTACATGGAGAAAACAGTTCTTTTGTAGCTACTTTTCGCAATGCATGGTCTACTGTTATAAGGACGTGCATTAGAAATACCACCACCAAATATTGAGGATAAATCAACAAAGATATAGTGGCACTTCGACGATGTAGGATAATTTCTAGCGGGCCAATGACCCCAACTTCGAGTGGAAATTACACAAAATTCAAAATCAGGACAAGAACAGTAGAGGAAAAATGTGAAGAATAGGCTTCTGCCTGAGCGTACAGATACGCCTTTGCGATTACGATGCATGCACTATAGCTATATGGGTATAGCTGACACAATATTAGCTGTAGGTGACAAGAGCGAGCGTGGTTAATGTGTATTTCAGATTGTTATGCCCGTGAAAGAGTAAGGATAAAAATGCAAGTGCAATTCCCCCAGAGGACCTAAAAGGATTTTTCTCTACTGCTTCCCGGATTGAATTTGAAATGTTTATCCGATTTCTTCCACTCGAAATTACGACCATTAATCTTATAAGAAAATTTCATTTTTCTCATTCATACGACAAATGCCAATTAAAAAGTAAAATAAAATCTTAGACATACACTGCCTGTTGATTTGCCTCTTTTCTTCATTACAACAATTATTACAATCACAATAATCACAATCAAGATTACTCCGATCACAATACCAGCAATTGCACCACCACCAAGACCACCTCCTGAACTTGTACCACGAGCACCAGGAATTTCTAAATTGAAACAAAATTTTATAAGTGAGCTTTGGAAATTCACCCTGCAAATTTATCTACGACTTTATGTTGAAGTGTAGACTGTCGTCTATAGATTGCACGCATGCAAATCATTAACGGGTTACAAAAATTGTAGCAATATGATATTGGGTTTTTTACATTGTTGATTATATGACACCAAGCGCATGGTTGACTTTTCAAGGCTTTTTATAAAGAGGAGTACCGGCTAAAAAGGACAAAAGTACCTCCCACCCCTCCCCACCCCAACTCCATCAAGCCCCTTCAAGGGCCTCTATTATACTTTTACGATCGCCTCCCATTACTAACGAAATTACCATCGCTTACCATTTTTTTTATGTTCCCCATGTACAGAGATTTTTATAGTATTTGATTCGTCGGTGCCTGCATCATTCTCTGCCACACATCTGTACGACCCTGCATCTTTTGCTTCAATTTCTCTTTGGTTAAACAAGTATTCTTTGTCTTTTCCAGGAACCAATTTATCGTTATGATACCACGAAATCTTAGACTCCGGTCTTCCTGATTTAATTTTGGAGCATCTTATCGTCACAAGATCTCCGACAGTCACGTTTGTCTTGTCTACCAGTAACTGTACTTCAGGCGGAACTATATAAGATTGTTAAAATACTTAGACGAGTTACGTCGTGAATCAGAGTCCAAAATAATATTATTATTAAATAACTGTAGGAAACAGACGGCTCGGCCGGTGCCTATATATAGCATATAGTCTTAGTATAAATTTACTGCATTCTGATTGGTCAAAATCACTGACCCACATTGATTCTAGTATATGTCAGTGGTCAAAATTCACTGTCTCTGAAGTGATAGTCATTGGTCAGTAACTATAGCTTTTTGATGGAGTTTTTTCAAATAAGAAATTTGAAGTAATTATAATTTTTTTATGAAATTGTGTTGGGCCTTTTTTGCAAACACCTCGAAATTTATACTAAAACGATTAGTCGCCTCAGGCTCCTTGAATATAGGCTAGTAGATAATTCATCATGCCTAGGTTGGCTTGACGGATTATTTGTCTCAACTCAAGTATATAAGTCGAGGCCAGGGGCAAAGGGAAATGTATACGTTGATAATTATCATAAAATAACAAAATTTCACACCTGAGATGAACAATGCGGTTGTATTAAACCATACAATCGTAAAACTTTCATATTGAACTTTTAAGCAAAATGTCTTCTTATGGGAAAATTCCTCAACGTTTCTGAGCGTAAAGGCGTATTCGTTTCTTGAAATATTACCAGTCCACTCAACTGCTGATGCATATCGTTTGATTTCTTTTGTATAATATATAGGTTCAGAAGTACCATCTTTGAGATAATAATATACCAGTTTGGGTTGGGAAGGGGAACAAACGTAATATTCAAGATTGTCAATAGGCTCAGTTCCAATTTTTTTCCAGCGAAATGTAGCATTGTTACCAGCCAGTACGGTCCGTGGTTCAATCCCTTCAAACAGCAAATCATTAGTTTCTATAAAAACAAAAAAATGGTAATTGTCAAACTATAGAAATGTTACACAAGAAGTTTGATCGTGTAAACGATGTACTACAGACGGGTCGTCGTATATTTCAGACATAAAAATAATATAAATATGATTTACTTTCAGCAACCACTCTCACATTTCAGCAATCACTTCACAAAAAATATCATTCTCATTAGGCAGTTCAAGCATATTTTAATCTAGCGCATTTTAATCCCATATCCGTTCGGCATTTTAACCCCATATACGTTCCGCATTTTAACCCTATATCCGTTCCGCATTTTAACTATGATTTTAACCCTATATCCGTTCCGTTGATCCGTACCTGCATTTCAACCCAACCCTCGCGGAAACTAAACCATGTTGGGTTAAAATGCGGATACGGATCCACCGAACGGATCGACGGACTACTCGCACGGAATACCGTGTAATATCCTTTATATACTTGTAAAATGTTTATGTCACACAGTACAACGTAATCGTGAAACTAATACGTAACTCTGATACCTTACTGTAAAGTGTAAGCGGCATTAAGCACATAAATATTTTGCATGTGGCATACCTGAGAGCAATATACTAAAGGATTACCAAATGGTTTCCGTGCAGGATTGCGTGATCCATGCACGAGGAATGTTGCGAGACTTTCGGAAAGCGTAAAGTCGATTTATTATTAATAATAACAATAATAATCCTGCACGGCTATTGACCAATCAAATTGCGTGTTTCACTGTAGTTATTTAATATACAATAGCTTATACTTCAGTCTTGAAAATTGACCGCATTCATGTTTTTATTGCATGGATGTAACTTCCTATTATTGCCCGTTATTTGGACACACATAAATTTTGTTTTGAACATTTTTAGTGCGTACTTTTCCCGTATCATTTTTTTGCATAATTTTCTGGTTCAGTTGATAAGTTAATAACTTTTCAAATTTATTATTCGGGAGGTTGTCATGGCCCCACTTAGGTTCTTGCTCGCCCCCTTTTCCCCAAAATCTGGCCTCCCATTCCCTGGTATGCCTTAATTGAACTCGCATCATGCTCCTGTGCCATGGATTATCAAAAAAAGCTTAGACTGCTTTGGGCAATCCATTCTAAGGCAAAATATTATTTGGATGCTTCCCAGATTAATTAATTTAAATATAAAGGTGATAGAAAGGTTTTCAGTGAAATTTGGAAAAACAAACTTATGTAACATTTTGAGGACCCCTGCAATGCCTAATTCAGACCAATTTTTTAACTGACCCATTAATTTGGACTGGCTATGTTCCTGTATAGTATGACCAGATAATATATGGCTAAAAGCCATTTTATAATATGACTTAGATTGCAGTTTTTTATGTATATATAGTATAATACATACATCTGCACTGAATGTTTGATGCTGCTTAGATTATTGAAGTCATAATACATAATTTAACCTTGAAACCACATATGTAATATGTATGATAAATTAGATGATTTATATCAAGGTAATCCAAGATGCATTTCTTCTGAGCACACATTTCCTCTTCAGGGAGTAATTTGACTGTTTTCATAAAGATTTCTCATAGTAAATTGAGTGGGGTAAATTAAATGTTTATGCAATACTACAATGCCAACAAAAGCTGTAAACTTGAATTTTGGGCTGACTTCTGCTGGAATTTAAGACATTTGGTGACCCAAGAATTGTTGACAAAAATAATTCAAAGTAGACCCTTCATAATGAGTGATATATGCCACGAAATAGGCACTTTGGGGCAATGATATGACAGAGCTTGCAGGTGAAAAGATGCCCAAGATAAGATGTTAAAAACACATTTTTGGTTGAAAATACAGCTTGAATAAACATTCTCCCAGCCAGGATGGCCTACGGACACAATTTGGTGACTGATTGCTCTAAATACCACTACAACATTGCTACACCCAGTGTTTAAAGATTTACTCATTATGCCCTGATGTTATGTAGCAGCCTGATGGGTTAAACAAAACATATCAAAATATAAACAAAAAATACTTCACAGAATGTCATTACTAAATGCTAACAAAGGTATATATTTCGTAATAATACTGCACGCGGATGATGGTCCTTAACTTCAATATTGGACTCTACACAGTCTACGAATATATTTTAATTGTCTGCAATTAAAATTGAAGTCACTAATAAATGTCATATGAAATACGATACGTAAATCTGCAGTAAAAATACTTTCACAATTTCATACGATAACCGTAATGCAATACAACCTAAATCAACGGCGTTATTAAACCACTAAATGCAAAATTATCTACTTAAATCGCGTAGACAACTAAAGAAAATAAATCGTTTCATTGAAGTATCTCAAGCTTCATTGGTTTGCTTGTTGACAGTTGGCGTTAAAAAGCTATATTTATATTTTCTAGAGGGACCGCCAACATTTGCTCGTTAAAAAATGAAGATGATTACTTGCGTATGCTCAGCATGAGAAATCTAAGTGTATGTTTCCCACCAATTTTGACTTGAACAAAAATTGAGTTTCCCAGTGTGTCAATTACGGTAAGAAAATATTTCGTTTATGTTTACACAGAAAAAGATCAACAATCTTTCCGTCTCGCCTTCTTTAACCCGGTTAAATAGCCGTGTGAATTTTACAACTTACCTGATGCTTTGACTATGAGAATTAATTGACTGATTAAAAGAACGTATAAATACATCCTGAAACATTCCATTACTCCGATGTATCGATCAACTCAGCGCAATCATGAAATGGACGTAACAAATTAAACAACTTGGGAATGATGAATATGGAATTACTTGACAAGGACGCGGATTGGCGTTTCCAGGGAGGGGAAGGGTGCGGCTTCCCGTAGCGTCGTAAACGAGTTGGCGTTTGAATACTTCATTATACGAGCTGTTGTCAGTGTTGTGGCATAGGCGCACGGGCAGGGGAATGATTTCAGCAAAAATTACTCGATTCGCGAGTAGAAAACACCCCGAATTTTGGTAGAATTCAATAATTATTTATTTTCTTTCTGTCTTATTGTAATTGGTTGGCAACATTTACTTTTACTAATAATAACAATTCTTAATAACATTTAAAATGGGCCAGCTATGGTGAAAAATTGTTCCCCTTTCATAAAAACTAATTCAATGGCGCCGAAACGTTATCATTAATATGAACATTTTCCCCGTTTTATTTCCTGGAGCTCCATGTGTACGTAGCTCCGCGCCCTCGCTTTAGTTGACCACCGATCTCTATATAGTAGCTGAATGAAATCTTTATTTCATAGTAACTATCTTATCTATTCATATGGGCGGCACAGGAATAAGAAATATCATATTCAAGTGTTTGTCTTTGATCTTTGTTACATAACTCGAACGACAGAACTCACAACTAGGGTTACTCCAATCATAATGCCAGCAATAGCTCTTTTTCCAAGCCTGTCTCCCGCAGCAGCAGAAATTTCTACAAACAAAACGTAGTGTCAGAATATCTATTCACGATATTTATCAGTTGTGTGCCTCGTTCGTTTCACAAAAAAATCAGAGGCATGATTATTTTAAAATTTAAAAAACTAGTTGTCCTCCTCTGATTAAAAGTCATTTTTCAAAATTTTGTTACATTCCTAATTGACGATGTTAAAGATGTTAAATTGATACTGAAACCTTTCACTTGTTTCCCGCTTGTACTCATTATATACGCTAAAGATTTTTACTATAAAAATTGAGATTGGGATTATATATATAGCTATACTTGTAATAATGTAATTCACACGCCCTTCGTGTCGGTTTTTTAATTGACGAAATGGCTTTAATAAAAGTATCGCTATACTGCAGTCTTTCCAAGTGGCATCCATTTCAGTTAAAAACTAAAAAGTTAAATCAGTTTCTCACCGGCATGTGCAGAGATTTTTATAGCATTTGATTTGTCGGTGCCTGCATCATTTTTTGCCACACATCTGTACGACCCTGCATCTTTTGCTTCAATTTCTCTTTGGTTAAACAAGTATTCTTCGTTTTTTCCGGGAAGCAATTTATCGTTATGATACCACGAAATATTTGCCACCGGTCTTCCAGGGTTAACAATAGAGCATTCTATGGTCACAAGATCACCGACAGTCACGTTTGTTTTGTCTACCAGTAAATGTACTTCAGGCGGAACTATATAAGATTGTTAAAATACTTAGTCTTAGCCGAGTTACGTCGTGAGTCCAAAGTATACTATTATTATTAAATTAAACAAACAGCTTGGCCGGTGTCTATTATACAGTCTATATAGCATATAGTCTTACAGACAAACTTCGCAAATAATTTATCACGCCTAGGTTGGCCGGACGAATGCTTTGTCTTAACTCAAGTATAAGTCGAGGCCAGGGGCAAGAGGAAATGTATACCTTGATAATTATCATAAAATAACAAAATTCCACACCTGAGATGAACAATGCGGTTGTATTAAACCATACTATTGCAGCATTTTCATATTGAACTTTTAAGCAAAATTTCTTCTCATGGGAAAATTCCGCAACGTTTCTGAGCGTAAAGGCGTATTCGTTTTTTGAAATATTACCAGTCCACTCAACTGCTGATGCATATCGTTTGATTTCTTTTTTATAATATTTAGGTTTACCACCTTTGAGATAATAATATACCAGTTTGGGAAGGGAAGGGGAACAAACGTAATATTCAAGATTGTTCATAGGTTCAGTCCCAATTTTTTTCCAACGAAATGTAGCATCGTTACCAACCAGTACGGTTTGTGGTTCAATCCGTTCGAACATCATATCTATAGCTATATAAGAAAGGAAATTGTCGAGGCTTTAGAAGAGTTGCACAAAGGAAATCAAAAGGGTATGTTGTGCAATATAATATAGGTGAACTAGTTCAGAAATGACGTCATTGCTATAAATTTTAATTTTTCTTACTGATTATATTATATACATGCAGAATTAAAATAATTATCCCATAGAAACCAGTCGCGCAACGCGACCGGTGTGGACCAGTAATTTCAATCTCTACTTGTACATATTGGTACAGAAGGTGCAATAGCATTGTTGAGATTTTGGCTTCAAAGAATTCCCGAAACAAATACTCGTACTGGGTACAAAGTTGTTTCATAACAACATTATTTTCTAAAAAATCAGCTTTTTCTCACCAAGTGTTGTGATACTTATAATATTTGATTCGTCGGTACCTGCATCATTCTCTGCCACACATCTGTACGACCCTGCATCTTTTGCTTCAATTTCTGTTTGGTTAAACAAGTATTCTTTGTTTTTTCCGGGAACCAATTTATCGTTATGATACCACGAAATCTTAGACTCCGGTCTTCCTGGCGTAATTTTGGAGCATCTTATCGTCACAAGATCTCCGACAGTCACGTTTGTCTTGTCTACCACTAACTGTACTTCAGGCGGAACTATATAAGATTGTTAAAATACTTATATGAGTTAGTCGTGAATCAGAGTCCAAAATAATATTATTATTAAATTAAACAGACGGCTTGGCCGGTGTCTATATAGCAAATAGTCTTATAAACAAACTTTGCAGATAATTCATCATGCCTAGGTGGCCAGACGAATGCCTTGTCTCAACTCAAGTATAAGTCGAGGCCAGGGGCAAAGGGAAATGTATACGTTGATAATTATCATAAAATAACAAAATTCCACACCTGAGATGAACAATGCGGTTGCATTAAACCATACTATTGCAGCATTTTCATATTGAACTTTTAAGCAAAATTTCTTTTCATGGGAAAATTCCGCAACGTTTCTGAGCGTAAAGGCGTATTCGTTTTTTAAAATATTACCAGTCCACTCAACTGCTGATGCATATCGTTTGATTTCTTTTGTATAATATAGAGGTTCAGAAGTACCACCACTGAGATAATAATATACCAGTTTGGGAAGGGAAGGGGAACAAACGTAATATTCAAGATTGTCAATAGGTTCAGTTCCAATTTTTTTCCAGCGAAATGTAGCATTGTTACCAGCCAGTACGGTCTGTGGTTCAATCCCTTCAAACAGCAAATCATTAGTTTCTATAAAAACAAAAAAAATGGTAATTGTCAAACTATAGAAATGCTACACAAGAAGTTTGATCGTGTAAACGATGTACTACAGACGGGTCGTCGTATATTTCAGACATAAAAATAATATAAATATGACTTACTTTCAGCAACCACTTTCACATTTCAGCAATCACTTCACAAAAAATATCATTCTCATCAGGCAGTTCAAGCACATTTTAATCTAGCGCATTTTAATCTCATATCCGTTCCGCATTTTACATAACAATACATAACATTATTTACTATGCAACGCATTTCTCCTTTTATATATAAAACAACTCTGAGACTCTGCTATTATTACTTGATACTTATTTTCCAATTTTTGCCAAAGATTGCCTGCGGAGGAGGCTACCGTTTACACTACATTCAATTTATTAGAACGACACGGCTAAGATGGATACCCGCGTTCCCAATTTTATTAGTATTCAGGCTATAGCTAAACAAGGGCCGAATTTTATTGGTATTCAGGCTATAGCTAAACAAAGGCCGAGGAGAGTAAAATGGGCACGGGTACAAGGATACCCAACTGGGTACCCATTTTAGCCGTGCCGTGCCAATACATCGAATGTAGTGTAAACGGGGATTGGTTCACACGAGTGAAATAAGCATAAGCAGAAATACATAATAAATCTTTTCCTCTAGCCAGTCTAGGGGTAAAAAAGGCAGGACAGACTACAGAGCCAAAGGAAGTTTCTTTTCAAATGTCTTCGCTTATGCTTCGAGTCCTTTGCTTATGCTTGTGCTTATGTCGATGCTTATGTGGAACTCTTCATTGCATTTCTTTGTTTTGCCCTTTGTCTTTCTTTATGCTTGTGTTTATTTCACTCGAGGCCTAAATATTTCGTAATCGAACACTGTATGCGGATTATGGTTCTTAACTTAATATTGGACTCTATACTTCAACATATATTATTTGTTTAGAATAAAATAAATGTGAGCTGAAATACAATACGTGAATTTGCAGAAAAAATACTTTCACATTTTCATACGACATTTTTAATGGAATATAAGTTATACATGTAAAACGTTTTACTTAAATCGCGTAGCCAACTAAAGAAAATAAACCGTTTACATTCGGAAGTATCTCTTTTTCAGCAACTGCTCATCGGTGCGAATTTTTTCGCAAGGCCAATCACATAACCGGATCTCAGATAACGCTTCGCGTCGCGTGAATAAATTCGCACCGATGAGCAGTTGCTCATGAGCAGTTATGAGCACATTCTCGCATTCTTAACTATATAGGAGTGTGGGCCTAAAAAATCTCAATGAACCGGGTACAGTTTTATGCAATGAGCAGATGAGCCCATGCTCATAACTGCGATGGGCAGATGAGCACATGCTCATAACTGCTCATGAGCACATGCTCATTTGCTCATAAAACTGCATTACTGTTCGATAACAAGGCATTCCCACACCTCCAGTGGTAAGGGAATGAGCTGTCAATTTTGCGGAAGATGCTTTAGCCGCGGTTACAATCAGCGCAGACACGAACACTGTCCACTACGAGAACAAGAAAAAAACATGTCTCAAATAGACTCGGACAGCCAAGAAAAAGATTTCCAAGATGATGTCTCGACCACTTCAACTCATCAGTCTGGAAGTTCGACGGTGTCTGACTCAGAATCTGAAGAAGAAATGGACCCCTGGATACCGGTAATAGAGGAGGCAAAACAAAGAAGTAACACAGCTTTTGAGGAAATAGAAGAAAGTCTTATAAGCAGTGGTTTCGATCAGCATACCGCTAAAGAGAAAGCTTACTTCAATGTTATGCCTAGACTCCAGAAAGAATTAGAAAATATCTACTTAGAGCGCCTTTTGTGGATGAGACAAATAAAGAAAGATCCAGTACATAAGAAAATAATGCCGGCACACAAAAGATGCGTTTATTCAAAATGATGATTTTGACCCAGAAGAAGCAATAGAAGCTGCAGTTGATACGAGAAAGTTCCTCATTAAAAGGCTTTTAAACGACCACGAGATTGAAGATGTGAAAGAAAATAAAGGCAGTGACGATGATGACGATAATGATGATGAAGATTAGAATTTAAACTCAGCCAAATGGTTTACTAAACCTGTCTTAAGGAAACCATGGCAAACGGGCAAAAAGCGATAACGATTTAGAAGTAATCAGTATTTTTTTTGCTGCATGCAACTAATTGCCAGACAATTGCAAGACAAATAAATGTTAAAATCATCCATGTCTGAAATTTTCTTTTTTCCCATGCTTGGTCATACATTAATTTTCATTTTATCCGAAAACCTCCCCTGGGAGTGTCTTGTTACCGAACAGTATAATGTAGTGCTATGAGCAGATGAGCATGTGCTCATGAGCAGTTATGAGCATGTGCTCATCTGCTCATCGCATAAACTGTACCCGACTCATCCTCACGCAAAATGTCAACGTATACACCATATCAGTTTCTGATAGACGATGAGATAAATCTAAAGATTCTGTTAACAAAATGTTTCTTATCTTCAAGTTTCAAAGTTGGATTCTGTACAAAACGTGAATATAATTTCGGTAGGAAGGGTAAAGTGTTCTGCGTATACTCAAACAAACCGCCTATGCGACAAAAGAAATACGGCTACTATGTGAACGTCAAAGAACCAATCGGGTACAACGTGAACATTGGCGAATCGTTATGGCCGATGAGTTATGATAATAATTGGTGGATGGAAGTCACTGACTGTATGCTAAGACATGATCAGATGTTTCTGCTTGACTCGCTCATATTTCCTTCAAACATTAGCTTTTACTTATTGATAATTACTCATTTCATCAAAATAGAACGAGCCGCAAGCTTAAGTGACTATAGAACAATAGTTAATCGTATCATAAATTACTATCTATTTAATAATCATAAAGTGCCAAAATTTAAATATCTTTAAGGTTATTCTTTATCGACTTGCGGAATTAAATTGTTTGTGCTTATATTCTTCAGAAGATTTGCAAGCCATGTCAGATTGTGGCGGGAGGCAAATTTTAATATCATTAATATTCATATACTACGAATTCAAGCCAGAAGGTCGTGTATTTCCTTTGTTTTGTACACAATATATATTCATGACGATAGGACCATTGCGTTAAATGCGTTTCTCTCTAGGGCATTACTTATTTTTTATTTATTTGTTTAGGCTTTGCCCAGCATACATATACATAAAAAACGACTATAATGACAGTGGCACGGTGCACGCCGGCGCTAGCTTCTCGCCAGCTACAGCGGCATAGATTAGGACATAGATGTGCAACTCGGCACATTTTAAGTGTCTTTGTATTGAAAGCAGATGGGAAAATGTAGAAAAACGACAATTTTAACATAACCGTTCGCAAGATTGCAAAATTTTAACATAACCGTTCATAGATATTGGAAATTTCATTCTGGAGAGAAAGATTGAATCTCTACTTCACCAGTTCCTGGCCAATAGTACGATCGTACTTGTTTAAAAAGCAAATAATATTCTCGATATTAGAAGCATGTATATAATATTCTCTAAATAAAATTAATATTTTGGTGGAGTCGTGTTTCAAGTGAAGTGACCGTTGCAGAGTTTATGCCATGGCATGGGGATCGTTAAGATGACATGATTACACAGAAACAATCTTTTCGCCTTGCCTTCTTTAACCCGGTTAAAGGCTATTTTCCACTCAGGAAAAATCTCCTTTGGATCGGAACGGACAGGAAAATTTCCTTCGTCGGTGAGTTCTCTGGTGGCGTTTATACAAGGGAAACTTTCCTGTCCTGTCCGATCCAGAGGAGAATTTTCCTGAGTGGTGAGTGGAAACCGAGGTGGAAACTATTAAATAATGGTCATGTGAATCTTACAACGTACCTGCTTTGACTATGAGAAATAATTGACTGATTAAAAGAATATATAAATACATCCTGAAACATTCCATTACTCCGATCGTATCATCGATTAACTGTTTGCAATCGTGGAATGGACATAAACTAAACAAACTTAACTACTCGGTTCGGAATTGGCAATGATAGCAATGATGAATATGGAATTACTTGACAAGGACGCCGATTGGCGTTTGTTTAACAATATCGGATTTCAAGCGTTCGTAATAATATATGTATTTTATATTTAAAATATATAATTGCAATATGATTATTATATGGTTGAATTGTACTATTCTTTATATGAATATTACACATGAGACAAGGAGAATAATCTGTCATAACGCTATAGATCTGTATATTCCGGCAGTTGGTCCTGTCGTACGTTGTAACCTCTGCCCTAAAACTGGTCAGCTAGACAATTTCATACATCAGCATTCCGCAGATAATATCTAATAACAATGTTGGATTTGTAATGCCCACATTATGCATATCATGCAAATTAACTAATACGTCACGAGTGTAAAGTGTAAACATTGCTTGGGCATCATCGCTTGGGCACACTATTGCCGCTGTGAAATTATTTAATCTCCTACCCTTTTATCTCAAGAAAGACAAGCATCTATATCGCGGTCATGGGGCTTTTAACCGCTCAAGCTTCCGTGTTGCTTTCCTTATTCGTCTGTCATGTTGGTTCAGGTACATATCTCCTTCGTGATTTTTATTTTAAAGCTTCTTGTTATATTATATTGTTTAAGGCACTGCCATGTATGCCTAAGAGGATAAATTGTGCTTCTATATTGTGTTTATCGATGACTAGAAATAGAATCTCTCTACACCACATAGTTGATGAGCCAAAATATATGTGTGGACATTACTGAACTCTGGTATTCGGTTTCGATTTACGAGGCGATTTCCATTTTGAATGTCTGCCAGTCTGGCTACAAGTATAGTGTCAGTGAAATTTTTAATCATTGCTTAATAACGATTTATTCATATATAGCAGGTCTTATATAAATAAAACATCTTAAAACACTGTGACATTGGAAGAGCTCTTCACCAAAGAGTTTTCTTTTGATCTTTGTCATACAACATGAAAGTCAGTAGCCTATATACTATATATATATATACATATTGAATACAGTATATATATAATGTTGTGTCATGCGAAGGAGTGATTAAAAGTTCACTGTGAAAATCGAGTCTAAAAACAATATACTAATGTCAATAAACAAACTGTTATTCGGCAAAATATTTCTAATAGTCAATGATATTTGAAGAATCATCTTGTAATCTTACAATAGAACATTTCGGCAGGCAATATTCCGACTTCCGTTGAAATAAAACTAGCACAGTATTTAATACGAATAGTTGAAATGTAGCAATACGACCTCATTGAATCGTTTGAATATTAGTATAGCCATGAGAGTTAGTACATATCAAGAGGCCGAGTATCACTATCGTTTCACAGTAATCACTTTATATATTACGCAATTCTCGACAGCATAATCCTAGTGCTATATATATATCATCGATAAGTAATCATCGCCATTTGTGAGTTCACAGTTATCACATCAAAATTCTGAATTTTAATTTAATCCAAGGCAAGCGCTTTACAAAAACTAGCTGTTTTTAATGCCTGTTAAAATGATCCGATTTGCCGTCCCGATTAATCTTCTGAATGCAGCATTACTGGCTACGATAAATGACCAAAGCTTTCACAAACATTTCACGATGCTGCAACAAAGATTTTTGAAAAAAAGTAACAATTAACAGATAAAAAGTAACAAAGTTACCATATAATAACAATGAATAACTGTGGCATCCCTTGATTTTTAAAAAACATTTCTGTATTACATTTGTAAAGAATGTTCGTTCTGGGTACTGGGTAGCTTCAGCTGAAAATCTTACAGTCACATTCCAGGCATCCGAATTTAGATCAGCCTCGTTACGTTGAGACTTTGGTTGTTCCCTGGTTTTAATTGCGCTACAGTGACAACGTATTGACCTGTAATATTACAAATTGACCAATCAATTAACCAATCAAGTAATTCTCGTAATATTTGTTATAAGAGGATAATTCGCCTTACCTATCGCCAGAAGTGTTGCATATAATTGCTCACTTTTGCCTCGTGGCCACACAATGCAATTTGAACTTTATACTCTTATTTGGTGGTTTATATAATAAAAATATTGACTTTCTATTTTAAGCTAAACGACTTTCGCACTACTAGCCTCTGGCAATAAAACGTATCTCCACAAATTAATAAATATTCTCCACAAATCGAACTTCAGTCGTAATGAATATGCATTTGTTTAGTTGGTGAATTCACTTCGCCGCCTCTTGGTGGTGTTCAGCACGAAAGGCAGTACACAACAATTCAAATACCCTGGAAACTCAATGATTACGGAGAATTTAGTTTCATAAATTACGCTTACAAGAAAAGCGGTTCACCTGCAGATCAATGGAGAGATATCTTCATCGTCAAATCGGATGGCAGTGTCAACATTCCATCTAACACTGACCAGTTCAAAAACCGACTTGAATTTAAAGGAGATTTGAGAAATAATTTGAGAATAGATGCGACGCTGATGATTAAAGATTTTATGAAACAGGATGAAGGGGATTTTAGGTGCAGCGTAAGAGGTCCCGTTCCTTTAGTTCGGGTGGTCGCAATCAACGCAGTAGGTAAGGTATATGTTCCATACTTGGTTGCCTAAACCAAACCTGATTTACATTCAATTGTAATTGTCGTGAGCGAGTCTGGTTGTAAATAATCCGTTTGCAAATGTCATTGTTGACTACACACAAATACAAATATTCTATCGCATCAGCCACCTTGACATGCATGTTCACGACACCTTTTAACTACATTCTGCATAGTAAAATCCTAGTTAACTCTGAAATACACGTCTCTGATTGGCTAATTCTGTCCTTAACTACAGTTAAAAGTTAATTAGTGTTTTATTCAACTGGCACCAGGCATTATCATCATGACAAGGGCTAGTTGCATGAGGTTTGCATTACACCGATTTGATTGCATGGTTAATCTAGTTGTCAAAACATGCAAATAATGCGAAATATGTAACTGATTTTACAGTGAACTAGCTGATAGTACAGTCCAGTGACAAACTGAGAAAGCATTGGGCCCGGGGCCAACTAAGGTCTAAGGCTGCCTTCACACGGTACCGAATTCGCTCGTCCCGATATCATTGTTTGCCGTTATGTAGCAACGATTATTAGCAAACGCTTATCAATTTGCTGGTCTCGGACATTCAAATCTTGACTGTCTTATATTATAGCTTCAATATTTGAACCTGTTCGGATGTACCAATCCGGTACCGTGTGAACGGCGCCTAAGAAACATTGTTGTCAAAAACTTTGCTTCCTCATAATTTTGCGTCATGTTTCCAAAGCAATATTTTTTCCGCAACAATTCTATGGGTGCGCCGGAAACATCGCCCGCGCGTCATAAATGTTTCCGCAGCAATAGCCATAATTCTTAAACTCTCCGCAGCAATAGGTTTTTAGGCTTGAAATCCGGTTTTTAATAGTAAAACAATGCAATGTTATTTTTAGAAATATTAACAACGTATATATAAATAAAAAGAAAATGATATATAAGATGGTCAGAATAGTGATATTTTCAGATAAATTTATATTGTTTTCAAATTACACCCTCTTTTAGTGCTCTCGAATATAACTAAGTTTAAGGCTGTTAATCCGGAAAAGGACGATGGCAGTGACGTAGTGCAAAACGACAACATAACTTTATCCTGTACAACCACTATGGGGGAACCATCACCAACTGTTGAGATACGAAAAGATGACAAACGTCTCAACCATTCAACAGTGAGCAACGCAAGAAATACAACCCTGCTTTACCATTTGAATCCTGTTACGAAAGATGATCGTGGGAGCTATACTTGTCGAGTAATAACAGATAATGACTACATATCCGTGAAAAACTTAGTGTTGCAAGTAAAATGTAAGTAGAAATTATAGCCATCGATGGAAGCTATATATATATATATATATATATATATATATATATATATATAATATAATATATATATAATATATATATATATATATATATATATATATATATATATATATATATATATATATATATATAAGTGAAAGAATGTAATGTTTCGAAAAACCTGGTGATCCGCAAATTTAAGTTTACATTGTTAACCTCTCTGCGATATCAATTTCCGAAAGGTCTGCTTAAACACGGTGTACAAACGATCCAATTTGATCGGATCTAATGCACTTCTGAGGTATGGAACTGATGTACTCTGTTATTGATAAAGCAACAGGTACAGACCATGGTACCCCAACGGCAATAAGTCAACGACCACAATTTTGTGCTAATGGTTTTCTATTTCGTATTTTTCCCTAAGATCCACCGGAAATTGATACAACTGTAAAATCCAAACTTTCCGGATGCCTTGGGAAACCTTTCTCAATAGATTGCACAGCTTCGGGCGACCCAAAGCCTGATGTCCGTATTGTTGGCCCAAATGGAGAAGCCTTAGCGCCTGAGAAGGAATTCGTTTTAAAGGATTTTGGAATTTACAGATGTGAAGCGAAGAGTAGTTTGGGAAATGATTCTCTTAACATCACCGTTGGTCGTGCGACAAGTATGTAACATTTGTGTATTAAGACAAGTGGCGTAACTAGAATGGTAATTGAGGGAGGGGGGGTGAATACTCATATATCCAGTTCTGCCCGACGGATTTCTTTTGTACGTGCAATAGCTTACAATAGAAAACCGTCGGGCAGAACTTAACACCCCCCCCCCCCCAATTATCGTTCTAATTACACCGCTAATTAAGACTGCATTAAATAAAAGATATTTTAACTCGTATGGACGCTAGGGATTCTCACAGTTGACTGTAATATATAACCGTCAAAATTTGTTAATTCTTTGAAGCCGGTAATATTTGAATGATCATGCACCGATCATTAGTTGCTATTTTAACCCGTAAGGTATGGTTGTGTCACCAAAAATCCCCCCAGAAATTCTAATTGGAGGTTTCAAGCTATAGAACTCGAAGAATCAATGCACATAAAGAGAAAAACAATTAACTTACTCCCCCAATATATACAGTTACATTACCTTTAGTTTTATATTTTACCTTTATCCCTTAAGAAAAACCAGAACAGCCGTCATTTTCTGGAGAATGTAAGTTTACCAGACTCAGCTGGAAAGAATCATCGGACAGAAGTGTGAAATACACGTTGCAAGTAAGAGAGATGGGATCAAGTGGTCCATGGGGGGATATAACAACGTCATCTGATACTGCTTACAGTCCGTCGACAAATAATTCTCTCAGTAAAAATAAAGATTACGAATTTCGTGTTGTTGCTAAGAATTGCGTTGGAAGCACAGTATCTGAAGTATGCAATGTTGAAGGTAAATTGATATGATACGAATATATGCTTAGTGAAATTTTCCTTGTTTTATGCAATTGCTAGGGTAGTTGTTTACTACTTTATTTGTGAGAAATCGCTATATACTGAATCTGTATAATTCATTGTTTGACAGGTGAAAATCTTTCGACTGGAGCGCGTTCCAGTGATAGTAATACGGGTGTTATCGCGGGTTCAGTGATTGGGGTGTTGGTAGTCATACTTATTATTGTCATTGTCGCAATCTATTGCCATAGGAAAAGAAAGCGAGGTAATTTCATGCGTGCAATGATATTAGATTTTGTTTCCTTTCTCTAAAGATGTTTGGCTCTTTTTATATCAACATGGACTTTTGAAAATTTAATTTAAAAAAATATTTAAAAAAAAAATTTGCAATCACGTCCAAATACACTTTTTTGATTGGCATGGGCATTAACGCCTCGTAAAAATCTATATGAATGCGCTGATTAAACCCTTAATTCAGTGCCAGTTAAGTTAACCCTGAGGTTTTCGACATTGAAATATCATATATGCATTTAAAGCATGAAATAATAAAAATGAATACTATTAAATCATTGACCTTTTTATATTTATTCTTCTTTCAGAAAGCCCCAGTATAAGGTACGTTCAGCATTTTTTCGCAACTTAAAGAATATTGATAGCTAATACTGTAAATATAAAAATTTCTCAATATTTACTGTGGAAATCTGTATTGGCATTATTATTATAAGTACTCAAAGGCTTCATCTTTCTATCTAAGGTTAAATATCAACGGCGTACACTCACACAATGTTTTAATATTCTTTGAGGTCGTATAAGAACAGCTTTGTTCAAATCCAAAAGAAATGACACATAAACATGAAGATTTTTTAGTGATTCTTTCAGTGAGGATGTTGTGTTTTTCATTATGATTGTAGATTGAAGAAAAGCGAACCGATAACTAATGTTGCAAAGCCAAATCCGGTAAATATTGTCTTTAATGATTTATAGTGTAGATAAAGGAGGGCTCCTCTGATTCCCCCTAGTCCTGGGCCGGATATCTACTTTTGCTGGATATTGCTATCCACCTTCATTTTTTCTTTGTCAACCGTTTGTGTAAATGCGCAAAAAGCAATGAAACTGCGGTTTAACTATACCCACAAATTGAATAGTATATTTATATTTTACGCAATATTTATTTTAGAAACAAGGTGGATTATTGTACAGTGATTCTCCAAACATGGATGCACGTGTTCCACCCCCTGCGGGATACAGACAAGATGGCGATGACGATGAGGATGACGATGATGAATTTGATGATGATCATAACGACGGTTCTACATTGTCTAACAACGTACCATCATGGGTGTGAACATTTACCAGACATCTGAACGGAAGCCTGAAGTTTTGCTTTGATTTTCTTATGGCATGATATGATGGTTCAGCGTGCGTTACGTTACAGGGATGGAGGTCAACTTTATGCAAGTCGACTGCTGATAGGAGCGAGCAAATTAAACTTAGTGTTTTGCTTTTTCTATATTACATCGCACGATAATTGTTACTGAAACTTTTTTTGTTACAAGCATGGATATAATAATACGTTTAGGTTTATTTATAGCAATATAGCATAGGTTCACTAGGTTGTATATATTACTTGTTACTCACGAAGTATGAGCATTGGTAAACTATTTTGAAACCCGGTCATTGTTAATCGTGGGCTTTGTGAGTCTAATTATTATTACATAATTGCATGTGGAAACGGTTCGCGTTTTCCACCCTGATCTCAAAAAACATTTCCATCGGATTGTACGAATGGTGCAACCAATGCTAATTAATGTTTATAACGCTGAAATCACAGCAGTACAGTTAAAATATATAATGTAGTTGTAGTTGTAGTTTCTTTTTTGAAATCGTAGATCTATTATCCACTGATCTGGCAATAGTATGCATACATTTCCTGCTCAGAAAACAAATAATAGGTTGGGTTGACCATTTTAGTTCCAGATTAGTGGAAGAAACGAACAAAAAAGATGCGCGCGATGCACGTTTTTTCCTGAAAGCCAAAGGATAAAATGATATATATTAGGCACTTTAGGTAGTTATTAAAGAAAATACATGTATTACTTGAAATATCACAAACATTATTTTTTAAAATAGAGAATGAACCACACTGACTCGTTTTTCGCGGGAAGTTGTAGTATTTTTTTGCTTCATTTTTCATAACTGAAAATAGTCAGGTTTTCGAGATTCCTCTGTATCTTTGTTATAAGATCTCGCAGAGCTTACACGACCACCCCGGCAGTCAGTGAGGTCCCACCCCAATCTTCTTTTCTGAATTGAAATAAGTTCTGCTGCATGGGTTAAGAAGAGTTTAATTTCGTTTTGTAAAATACTGAAGGTGGATTGAAGGTCTCATTTTATTTTCAGTGGTTTTATTTCATATTTAATTCTGCCTAGTATACCTAACAACTAAAAGCACAAATAATTTTATACTAGTGTTCGCAAAATGAATGTATTGCAGAAAAGTAATTATTTCCGAATGCATGTAGGTGCGCATAATACATAATATTAAAGTTCCTCTCTTTTGCGATACAGGACAGCGAATTCGTTCAGGATGTTTTTCCGTCTTTGAAATTCATCTGCCTTATCAAGATGCATTGAAGCTTGCATGAGTCGTTCAATTCTGTTCAGCTCAGTTGCTAAATATTCTGTACCATCCTTCAAGACCCGCTGCATTATGTTCACGTAGATTGCTGCAGAACTCTCTTTGTGCCCATCTTTTAGAGACAGTGCTTCGTCTAAGATGTCACTTCTTTTGAATGAATTCTGCATGAATACTTTCACTAGTTTTTCAAAATCTTTCAACCGTCCAGCCTGTAATATGGTTCGTATACAAGCCTCTCTCAGTGTTTGAATTAAGGACTTTAAGGTCTGTTTATATACGATCCAATTTTGACAGATCCAATTCACTTCTTATGGATGTTCAATGTTTTATATAGTCTGTTGACGTGCAATGCATATCCACTAAACCCAATGCAGTCAATGCTACTTTATCAATAACAAACTTCATTCCATACGTCAGAAGTGAATTCGATCCGACAAAGTTTTATGAGTTCAGCGCAGAAATACAAATATAATCAAAATAGTGGAGGAGATCGAGGGATAATTTCAGTTAACAAGTTATGATAATTGAACTAGAACGTTTTTAATAATCTTATATGGCAATAGCATTTGTAATAATTATTTTTGTAACTAGTCTATAGTTTAATATAACTTCGATCCAAGATTTGTAACTGAGATTATATAGTATATTTATATACTTCACGTATATTTAATAGTATATATATATACTTCACGTCGACTATTATTTATTATACTTTATATTATACTTTACGTCGACTGTTATTTGTGTAACTAATATACTGAAATATATTGGTATTGCTGATTTAATGGTCCATGCATACAGTGGCAAACACATACCGTGTCATCAAGACGACCCATTATTGTACGTTTTGTCTTGCATTGGAGATTAAGAAATTTTGTCATATTCTGTTCACTCCAGTTTTCCTGATACCTGCCAGGATGGTACAAATAACCGTCTTTGTTTTTAATTGTGTAAACTCGTATTGATGGGTAATGAGGAACCTCCTGCTGCACTGTGACATCATAATTGGCATCACCGTCGATTTTGGCAATAACACAATCTTTTTCATTTTGGAAATTTTTTCCAACCTAAAGATATAAAAAATAGACTGCTGTAGACCCATTGCTCTGACGTCCTAATCATTAAATGTTGTCCTCGAGATGTTTCCTTGTCTCACTAAAAATAATCGTTATGCGAGCGGTGAAGGTTTATATAGCGGTCAAAAGCAGGTCAGTAATGAAGCAAAGTTTCTCACACAAGTAAATATTTCTGTATTTTGCCCAAAAAATTACTTTTTTGCAAAATTTATGCTACGTTAATTTGTCCTCATAATGTGACGTCATGTGCGAAGGGTCTATAGAAATAAACAATGCAAATGGAACTCGTGACCACAATACACTACAAATGAGATACGTCTTATCAAATGAGATCCAAGGACCCGAAAACGACAAATTAACTATGTACTAGTTTTTCCTGTTCATAAATACAATACGCGACACCCGAAATCACCCGAAGCAAAAAAAACTCCAAGAGTGAGTTATTTGAATTACCTTTTCAACTGTGTTAATCAAATCTTTACAAGAATTGCACCATTTTGCGTAAAACAACAAGAAAACATTTTTCTTTTTGTTGTGAATGATCCTTTCAAAATTTGTTCCATCCAATTCAATAATAGCTTGGTCAAACACTCTTGGATCTGCTTGTACGCCTGAGGTGACCTTGATAAAGCCAAGAAAATCATCCAACTTCATTCCACCTCGATACCTGAAAGAATGCATTCGTAGAATGACCAAAGTTAGACAGACGAGCTTTTCCTTTAATTCATTGTGATTGGCTGATTGTGTATTTGAAAGAATAAACTGAATATACAATATTTATTATTATCAAGACAAACATCGTCTTGATGTTGTTGTGTTGGTACTACGATGCCAACATAATTTAGCACACGTTAGCTCCACAATTAGTTCCACAAATATCTGTGACGTGTATATGCTAATGTCTGATACAAGCTAAAAAGGGTTAACTTTGGTCTTTGTAATATATTCGTCGTTTGTACTTAAATTAACGACTTATAAATTGCCCTTTATTTGATTGTTCCCTAAGGTTGCTCAAAATTTCTGAAAGCTTGAAAGCAATGGTGAAATGGTCGTCAGTGAAAGCAAACTCATGTCTCGTGTTCGCCCAGTATATGGCCAATAAACCAATGCGTAATATAGCTATATACGCGCCAAAGCATGTGTCAAAAAAGTTTGACTGCGTAAAAACTAATTCCTTAAGCACAACTTACGTCTCTGGAGTTTCACTGCCTTTTAGAAAGAACTTGAAAATTGGCCAATGGTCGATCCAGAACCTGGTCGCTAATTTCACTTCATCGTATGCATTCACCTTACCCAGGATTATATCACTTCTATTTAGTTCTTCCGAAGCCTTTTCCAATGTTTTTAAAGCTTCAACACTACGTTCATTCCAAGGCGCATAAAATATCACGAATACAAAATTGCTGCCATTGACAACATTGTCGAAGTTTGCTTCCCTTAATTCAGGCAAATCTTTGGCATTTCCTGGCACACACAACCCAAGGAACAAGAAAGAAATAATCGTACAGGTAATACACGTTTCATACAATAAATTAGGAAAATTATTCATTTTATGGTTAATGCAGAGAATTTGGAAGCACAAAAGAACACAACCTCTCCACGCAAGTTTCGTTTATATAGAACAATATTGTATAATGCTTTTAACCAATGTGGTACGGCCATGTATAAGATAGCATTGAATATAATGTATACTTTCAGTAGCTATAGTTCGTGAACAATAGACAGCTGTACAATCAACATTGAATGCATGAATTAACGGACGTAGAGGTCTGACAGATGAATGATATAAAAATTGTTGGATTATTCAGCTAGTGAGTTTAAACAATCTAAAAAGTAATAAATAGCAGCAGTAATATAGCAGCGGAAGCCTTGAGATTACGAGTGCAGAACTTAACATAACTTTATATGGGATAAACGTCTATATATGTATAACCAATCTTATCACAGTACTATTTTTATTGGAACAAACAGACTCTTAATATGTGTATATAATCACAATGGTTTGTTCTTCAAAATTTTGTTTACACATCTGCGTTTTTCTATTTTACTTAGCACACCGAATATTTTTCAAAATAAGCGATTGTTTATTTCGCTCCCCCAACTATGGCTGGAAGTTCTACGCATGAGTACAATGCTGTTACTTTTCAACCTGTCAAAAACCCTGAATTGGTTTTCGGGGAAACACCAGTTGGAACTACATGCTTGTTTTGCCAAAATACAATTGTAACAAAGATTGATTACGTTGATGGAACTCTGACCTATCTTGCAGCATCTGTTATATGTGGAGTAGGGTAAGAGAACGAGAAATCCTATACACTTCATGTTTCACTATACTCTTGTTAAACTTTATACACAGCTAAAATATGATTTTCGAATTGGTTGTTTCAAATACCGATAGTATTCAATTTAACTCAAATTTAACTCAAATTAATTTCAAATTTGGGGGTAGGGGGTTAGTTATCATACGAAAAGAAATAATTGATAATAATCTAATTGAATAAACTGCATGAAATGCCCACTTGTTGTTGTTAAACACCAGTGGCCGTTCAACATTTTCGCAGACTGATAGAGATATGCTTGCCAAATAAAGATACTCTTATTTCTTTGTTACCGCTATACTAAATCGTTTGGAGCAAATAACATTATAACTAAGAAACATATAATTATATTCATATTTTAGCTGCTGGTTTGGCTGCTGTTTGATTCCATTTTACATACGCAGTTGTAAAGACGTTCTTCATCTTTGTCCGTACTGTGGATCTGCTGTTGGAAAATACAACCGACTGTGTTAAGCGCTATAATAATATGCTGTAAGATTAATTTTGCTTTGCTCCGATTAATAAAACTGTTTGACGTACGCACGATTATCGGCTACATTCTGGTTAAAAACTGGTTCAGTGTATGTTCTGTGACACATTTCTTTACTCCCACTTATACATCTCACAGCGGTAGTAAACATTTTGTGCATCATGTTTCTCTAACCAAAAAATTCTCCAGCTGCCGGAGGCGTTCTCTTATCCAACGAAAACTTTCAATTCGGCCTTCTCAAAACGTATGGACTGTCATGATTCATTTCAGGCATGCCTATATGAAATACGTTTCAAGAGCATAGAGGATTTTTTGTCATCCTGGCTATAAACGTCCATGTTTAAATTCCCCGAAATAATTACAGTTTTGCTAATGACTAGATTTTTACTAGTTTAATTATATGTTTCTTTCTTTCTTTCACCTCGTTTTCGTTCAATATTGAAAATGAACAGGGTTGAAGGGGAACCATCCGTTAGACGGAAGCTATATGCAGGGAAGAAAGCCCTCTACCAACGCTGGGAACAAGGTAGAGATATACGTGCACCGTATTTACCAGGTTGGCATTGCCAATTAAAGAACGATTGTCAATTGCCAGGCGTACGTCATCCTCTTTTATTACTTTTTCCCTTGATTTAAATAGTTGTAACATAACGGATATACAGAAGTCGTTTCTATTTAAACTATACAAGCATACAGCAGCGTTGTGTTTATGCCATAGGAGACGCAAGAACTGTTCACCCACCACAAACAACAGTCCGAGACATCACGAGCATTTTGTGTTAGATCTTCTCAAACGGTTTCCAACCGAGAGGAAACGTTTTTAGAAACGATCAAAACGTCAACTAACATGCGCAGATTGACTAGCTCACTGTTCACTTCAATTTAATAGGTACATATTGTGAATATTTTCACATATTTCTGAAGCACACAACAATTCTTCCATTTTATCGGAGATCAGTCAAGCGCCAAAATCATCTTTCGAACCAACATAAGAGTCAGGTAGGTTTACATGCATACCGAGTTGTAATCTTGCCTTCACTATGGCCTTTTCATGTTGGTCTTTAGCTATTTGTTCTGATCTCTGTGCGTCCAAGATTTCATCCACACTCACTTTCACCAAATTCGATTTTTCATCAGCAGCACGGTCCTATAGATGCATATATAGTTGATCAAGTATGTAAAAGTAATTCGTTTAACATAAATAATCCAATAAATGAAATAATCTACCCAGTAGCCACTTAATTTACTTACGTATACCTCAATCTGGATGTTTATCTGGTCCAGATGTTAATTGCAAATAGTCTAAGCATTAAACTTAGAAACCCGAATAATATGATGTAAACTTGTTGAATTTCACTGAACAACGTTTTCAGTACCAGTGGGAACTGTCTACACTATTAGTTTACTCCAATAATTATCTGATTTGACTATTTGTCAGCTAAAGAGATACTGTCCGCATCTACACTTGGGTTGTAGGCTGCGTGCAGTAGTTTTGATAAAACTCAAATAAGTGAAAATGAGACCACAAAAATGTTTAATAACAAACCTAGATGCATGTAACATAACTACCATTTAAATCTAACAGCTTCTAAATTAAAGCGATCGTACAGTAGAAAAATTAAAATGCTTGTTTCTGAAAATACAATCATATACACTGCAATTATTTATTAACTTACAAATTCCCCAAGAAGAACAACATTTTCACCACGTATCAAAAATACTCCTCTATGAATGTCTCCATATTTTTTACCTACATGAATCCTCTCAATAGCATCTTCAAGCAGAAGATTAGCTAAATAATTAAAAACATAGCATTATACTGAGCAATTCTCTCAACTTTGAAGGATTATGTAAGATTAGATTTTTTATAATAAAAAGAAAACAGACACTCAGAATACTCACCATATTGATCAATGCTCTTTAGGCGTCCAATAAGAGTTCTTCCATCCCGTAGAACAACAACTAGTTCTTCTGTAAATAGAGAGAAAGTTGCTTTTATTATATTACCTAGAGAAACTCAACAATTCAAAACCATTATCTTGAATATTATCATATATCAATAAAACCAATTAGTCTTTCTCTAAATTGACCATTTCACAGCTACTTTTCGATAATGTAACTGTTTACATATGTTTACAAGTTCTCAAGTCCAACATTAACCGCTAAAGTTTCTAATCAGATTTTAAAAACTCTGTCATTTTATACTCTCTCAATGCAGATTGAACAAACAATTGAAAATAAAAATTTCAATTGGTCATCAATTAAAATTTGTCATCTGCATATGTAATAATAATTTTAGATACCATTGTGTGATTGTGACTGATTCTAAACAGGCCATTTCTGTTATTAATTTGGGTATCAACTATCAACTGAATTGATTTACTTTCCCTGGTTTATTGAATAACAGCTAACCATAATATGTGCACCGTATCTATCAGGTTGTTATCTGTCTAATTCATCAGATATGTTTACTTTGATATTTGACTCATTAATTGCTTACGTTAAACAATATAAATATTCTTTGGTCTGCCTCAATTCATTGAGGAAGAAGGAAATTATACTATTGGTGACACATTCACAGAAAGTAACACTCATTAATATACTGTACACGTGCGATGGGCTTCTTAGCGTTATTTAATAATAAATGTATGATATCTAAAATTCTCTTGACCTACTATTAATTTCTTTGATCAAGCTAGCTGTTCCAGGGAGAAAACTCATCCTGGAGAATGGAGATATGTTTCTAAATTCTAATTCTTGCTTGCTGCCCTTGCCAAAGGCCAAATGAAGTTGAAAATTACCTATACTTCATGTAAGCTCTCTCTATATAGCAGACCCCGAGGTGTGTATACGTATTATGTATAGGCGATTTTAATCCTCTCGCGATACGACAGTACTAATCGTCATGAGTAGTAATCATTAAAGCTTCGTGTATTTTTCTTTCGGCAGGGGTTGCAGCTTGCAACCGTATTACGCATAATTGGTAATTTTATTTAGGAAAGGAATAATTAGTTATTTGCGCATTTGCGCAAACATGGTTTGAGAAAATATGGCTCTACTGTTTGCAGCTCTGATTTGCAACAAATCAAAATAGATATTATTATAGTTTGCATTTGCGAACTGCACAGTCTGTTAGACAAAATACGTTCTAAAAGAAACGTTCTACTGTTGAGAGGATGGTGCTCGGGCCCCGCCGGCCAACCAGACCCCATACGCGGTCAAACCCTGAAATTACATGACATCACAAACAGCAATTTGTTTTGTCTATTTGATGGTGACATTCGTGGTCATCGAAGGGCAAATACTACAGCTAAAGAGTGTTTTTGTTGTATCATTTTACACTGCCCGCTGGGATCCCAGACATATACAGATCTTAAATCGGGCGCATAATAGGCAAATTCTTGCTGAACGGCGATTGCGGTAAGCGAGAAGAATTTTCTCCTGTTCATCGTTTGGGTTGGAACCCTTTATAAAGAACAAGCAACTTGTTGGTGAAAATCCACAAGCAATAACAACAGAAAAGTTCTACATCAACGTTCTGAGGGTTGAGAATTCCAAAAAAAAGATGGGCCATAATTCTTTACTGTCCAAGGCTTTTCAAGTAATTGTTGTCACGGCAGTTTGCGGGGCATTTGTTTGCGGACATGTCCTGACTTTTATTGTCATGTTATGCAACATGACGAATATCGTGCTTTTGCCTGTTATTCTTGCCTATTTGATCTGGTTTCTTGCCTACGATTTCAAAAGGTCGTCGAAGGGCGGCCGTAGATGGAATGCACTTCGAAACCTCTCAAGTTGGAATTACTATCGAGATTATTTCCCAGTACGACTTATTAAAACTACTCAACTAAGCCCTGAAAAAAATTACATCTTTGGCTATCATCCTCATGGTATCATGTGTGCCGGAGCTTGGTGTAACTTTGGGACTGAGGCAAATGGTTTCAGCAAGTTATTTCCGGGACTTACACCGCATCTCCTAACCTTGAAATGTAAGTTTAGTATAAACGGAAACATCGCTTTTTTCTAGCAAAACTGAAATAGTTTACAAATAAGAACATTCAAGTATCAAAAACTATCATGCAGATGATCTATTTATTTATGTAGAATTTATCGAAACAATTTTGGATTATGAATTTAAGGCAGCTGTGTGCGACTGATTACACTTGATATATTTTGAATGCAATTTAGGGTTCAGACAATACGCGTGTCCATGTTTTCTTCTTGTATCTGGAGTAAGGTATAAATTAACTGCAAATTGAATATAGACCGTAATGATTGAGAATATTCTCATCATCGAATTATATTCATAAGTTTTTCCTAACTTTGTTCTTCAACCTTTGTACTTAAGTGACGGGGTGTTACTGTCGTTATTGTTTGCATTGTCGTTTTTTTAAATTAAAAACCTGTAGTGATATTATTAGCTATAATGCTGTCAAACATGTCAAAAAGGACCCGGTTTCGATGGTTCGTCTAGGAAGATAAGCAAAAAGAGATTTTTTCGTCTTAACCCAAAAAATTAATAAACACACAATGGTACTGATAAAATCGTCTATCAATTAAGGCAAGCGCTAGCTTCGTGTGATTTATCTGCATGAGCTAAGCTGATTATCGTTTTCTTATCGTGCGGACGTGGAAACCAGTATGGTTTAGAAAAATTAGGATTTTAGGTCTACAGTATAGGCTTAGACTTACCTGGGCGTAAATCTAACTATTCCGAAATTTAATCCGCATATTCCGCATACCACTTCGCCTTTTATAGTCACCGTACAAAGACAATAGGGAATTCAGGTTGATTGCCAGGGTGAGTTGAAAATTTAGAATGTCGAGGACGGACATGTATGTTGTATAAACGAAATTTTTTTAAACAAATAAAGTTCAGCTGTTAATTTCTTAGGCCTACATAAAAAATCTAAAGTAAAGTTGTCGAATTAGCTGGGTTTCCACCATGCAGGATCAAACGACCAACGCCTTTTTCATCATTTATGCGTTGGTTATTATCGGTAGCAAAAATAAGACAAGTTTTAACTCGGGAAAATTATCTTCAGGGAAAAAACGAAGAGAAATCATGTTCTGACTAAAAAAGATCAACTTGTTGTAATCGAGGCTCTAATCGTGTTCTAATTGGCTCTTGATTACCACCCTTTCATGAAAGTCCACCTGTTGTAACGTCATAGATAATTAGATCCAACTATAAGAAATGGAGTTTGCAAATATGAAATATCTTAGAAAAAGAGATATTTCGTGGAAATCTGTAGAAGAAGTTGTAATTTGTTTTCAAATGTCCTCAAGCAGAAGATATTTTTTATTTTCATTAACTTTTAGTTTGAGCAGAAAGGACATTTTCATTTTACCTTCCTGCGTAAATCCAACCGGTCGATCATCAATAAGATACCGTGAATTAGCCTTTAATATTTGATTAGTGCTGTCTTAAAGGCCATACTGGGCGATTCGCTCACCCGACACGAATTTTTCAATCTAGACCAGTCAAAATGTACCATCAATCGGCAATTACCAAGAATATCATAACATTGTCAAAATTAGCGGCTTTAAAAAACATTCAAAATACGTTGACACCGCATAAAAATATATTAACTGCAACCTTGCGATTCCTTGTATACGAAATTCCTTTCCTCTTATTTTACAGTGTTGTATTGGTTTCCTTTCTTTCGTGATCTTTTGATGGCTTTGGGTCTTTGCGATGTATCAAGAGAAAGTTTTGAGCACATCTTGTGCAAGCAAGGCCGCGGTAATGTTGCCGTCGTCGTTGTTGGAGGAGCAGCCGAGTCTCTTGATGCCCATCCAGGACTCTACAAACTGACTTTGAAAAATAGGAAGGGATTTGTTAAAATGGCAATACGTACAGGGTAAGTAATTCAAATTGACAATACGCAGAATAATAATCTCATGTCGAGTAAATACATAAGTTAAGATTAAGAACTGCTATTAATCAAGATTTTAATGCAAACATTGTTGTTTTTTTCGTCGAAAACAACGAATAAATTCAGTACATATATATTTTTCAGAGCGTCTCTTGTTCCAGTAATGTCATTTGGTGAAAATGATCTGTTCACTCAACCTCAAAATCCACCAGAATCAAGACTGCGTCAATATCAAAATGCCATCCAAAAAATTATATCGTTTGCGCCTATTGCATTCTTCGGGCGCCTTTTTGTGCTGCCACATCAAAAGGAAGTCAACACAATTGGTAAGATGAATATAGTTACACTTACCATAGCACTTTCCTTTCACAAGTTTTTAAGTGTCCTCTCAAGGTTGTTTATAAAACAGTTTTTAATAATAATACTAATTCGTTACAAGTTATCAATTAGACCTCTGTTACTATATAGCAATAGCAATTAGCTAAAAGATAGTAATCGTGTCACGTTCGCCGTAACAAAACGGCTTAGAAGTGGAAGCTTCTAGCCTTCTGTAGATTTTAAATATATAAAAAGGAGAATAGAGAGAAAGAAACAGGATAGTTAAACTTATCTGTCTTATGACAATGAGTTCACAATCTTTTAGTTGGCTCTCCAATCCATGTAAAGAGAAGGAAAAATCCTACTCGTCGTCATATTAACAGAGTGCACGAAAAATACATCGAATCTTTGAAGGAATTGTTCGACCAAAACAAAACAAAATACGGCATAAAAGACGCAACACCATTGATGATTGTGTGAACAGAGCCGTCAGCATTGTTTTACTAGTAAATTGAAGAAGGTTGGGGAGTATCACTTATTACCAAATAAGTTCCATTCATACTATCATTGCCGTTTCTTTTCTTTTATTTTTTTCCATACCATTTTTTCCATTCCACTCATTTAATCCATTTTTACGCTTTTTTAATTCATCTCATTCCATTTCATTTTAATTGATTCCGTTTCGTTCCATTCCACTTCATTTAACATCTTATAACACTTCATCACATTTCATCTCATTCCATTTCACTTCATTTCATTCACTTCACATCATTTCGTTTCATTCCATTTTATTTAATCTTATTCCAGTTCCATTATTTCTCAACATTTCATTCCATTTCATTTCATACCTTATTTCACTTATTTCATTTCTTTACATTTCATCTCATCTCATTTCAGTTTTTTTTAATTCTATTTCATTTTTTTTCCAATTCATTTCACTTCACATCATATCATTCTTTTTCGTTCCAATTTATTTCATTTTAATTTATGAATTCATTTCATTTTACTTTATTTAACACCTTATTTCACTCATTCACATTTTATCCCATCTCATTCAATTTGCTTTTATTTACCTCATTTCATTTTTCCGTTCCATTTCATTTAATCCCATTCCATCATCGTTTCATCGTATTTCATTTCATTCCATATTATTTTTATTACTATTTTTATTTTATCATTAAACACAAGCCCTCTCCTTGTAGTAACCCCCGTGCCCTTTTGGGGCCTTTTTCTGCCCATCTCTGATATTAAGCGCCTCATTTTATTTTATTTCATTTCATTTATCACCATTTCATGTCATTTCAATTCACTTCATTATTTTATTTTTGTTTGTTTCGTCTTTTTTTACACTTCATTTTATCTCATCCCATTACATTTCAAACCATTTATTTTTTCATTTTTTTTATTTCACTTGCATTGCATTCCACTCCATTTCACGCCATTTGATTAAATTCTATTCCATTTCGCTTCACCTTTTTTGTTCTCATCACATTTCATTCAATTTTGTTTTATTCTACTTCGCCTCATTCCATTTTTTTATTCCACTTCATTTCATCCCATTTCATTTCATTTTACCTCATTTCATCCCATTTCATTTTATTCCATTAAACTCCATCTCAGCTAATTTTGTTCGTTTTCACTTCATTTTATTTTGTTCCATCTCATGCCATTTTATCTCAGTTTCCTTTCATTTTCCCGTTTCATTAAATGCTATTTTAGTCCATCATTTCGTCTTATGTTTTTCTTCATCTCACTCCTTCTACACCGACTTTCCCAACCTTCGTTCATGTTATTGAGTATGATGAACAGTTGAACAGTGCCTGTGAACATGCTTCGTCCTATTGCCTGCAAATCGTGATTGTCAGATTGATAGAAGTACCAGTAATCACGCGAGGTTAAGATACATTCAAAATGCATTTAATCTACTGTTGAGATCTAAAAGCGGTAATTGACAGTAATTTTAATATTATCATAACATGCTTCGTCCATTGCGACGTTTTAGCATACTGTAAAAAGATTGTCTTGTGTAATACTATGTTATTGTATACTTTTCCGGCCTAAGAAGGCCTCATACACCATGTAAAATAATGTATTCTGTATTTGTAAATAATAATTGAGCATGAATAATCAGTCAACCTTTTTTCTATCGATCTGGTGAAGTCTTATTTGGCTTGTAGTTTACTAAAAAAGGCTCTTTATGTACTACACTCTGTCAGTGTGGAAGTGTTACTATTACGTGGCATTAAACCTAACATGACCATATGCAACACAGCAACAAGACAACTTAACCAATAAATACTTGATCCATGCACTGCCTTAGTTCTCCGGGGCCGGTTGTATGAAAGCTGGATAGCGCTATCCACCGGATAGTGGATTTTTCTATCGCTCTAAAATCGCCCGTTGTTTTCTGAAACTTTGATTAAATCTTAGTGTTCCTAAATTGAGGATCCTCTTTAATAATTGCTGCTTCCAAAGCTAAAATTTTTTTGCTTTTAAAGCATTTTTAGAACGGTTAAAAAAATCACTATCATGTGAATAGCACTATCCAGCCTTCGTACAACCGGCCCCTGATGCCTTAATTACTGATTGACCAAGTTACGTTTAGATTTAGCGATATGGCTAACGCACTTGTTATGCATATATACGTACAATATTATGCAACTTTGTATAATAATATTATAGTTATGATTGTTCATTATTTATATCATAAAATTGTACACCAGCTACTGGCTGTATTCTAAGCTGAAGATTATTCACGTTTATTGAGTGACAGAGGAATCCTCTTGAACGATGGTGAAACTCTCCCTTGACAATAATGGTAACTTGTTAATATTATTGGGTGGAAATGCCACCTAAGGGTAATTTCAACTTTTTCTTAATTGAGTCTTTATATAGAAAACAGATGTATTTTATGATCAGGATCCATCAAAATCCCGTGTCTGCTTTATGGTCGTGAAAATTTTCTCACTCTATGCGTATTTGTTCATGTTCAACCTTCTGTTTACCGTCGTTTTTCTCCACAGGCATACCCGATTCCATCTGGTTATTCTTAATGCTTGTCCAAATCATCTGAGTCGTATTAAAAGCCTTCCCAAATCTCCCTCTCTTATCAATGGCTATTACACCGCCATAGCCACCGACACGCTGCTCCATTTTACTGACAGCGTTTTCTGCAGATTCCTAAACATCGCATAATCAGAATTAAGATAAACAAGAAACCGATCATGCATGATAAGGAATCTAGCAAACTTCGTACCCAAAATCAGCCTATGTGTATCTGTCAGGGAAAAATGTGTCAGGAAATTACCACCGGCAACGACATTTGTTCAGTCGGAACATCAAAGCTCTTGTTATATGCTCGTTTTGTATTTGACACATCTAAGTATAATTCTAATATTACGTATAGCTACCACAAACTGCAGGTTTCAAAGGCTAACCTGGGCGTCTATACCGTGTTGCATCATGTAAACAACCTCTCTTGCCAACGTCACTTTAATTATCGACTCTCCTTCACCAGTTGTAGTTGCTGCTCCGTATTCATTCGCGTATCCCCCACAGCCAACTAACGGTGCATCACCGACACGACCTTTGTATTTTCCTGCTATACCACCTTTAAAACAATCATCATTGATCATTGCTCTTGTTTTGGTTTTTAAACTGTTTTGGTAACATGATTGAAGCGATAAACTGTTGTTTTATATCAATAACGTACCTGTTGAGGTGGCGCAAGCGAAATGACCATTGGCATCCATGGCCACAGCTGAAACTGTGTCCTGACATTCCATTAATGGCTCTCCTTTATAGTGATGATTCACATACGCCTCGTAATCTGGGTACTTAACATTCAGACATTCGGCACGTGGAGCTATCAAGTCTTGCGGATCAAAGACGGGAAACTTTTTTTCCTTTGCAAACTTCAGAGCTCCCTCGCCACTTAACGCACAATGCTTTGATTCTTGCATGATCATTTTAGCGAGTGAAACAGGATTACGAAAACGGCGTCCACTTATAACTGAACCTAATAAGTTACGCAAAACGAAATGCAAATGCATAATTAATATTTGGCATGTTACAATCAGTTCACACGTGCGATCATTGGTGTAAATTTAGGTGTGATTTTCTTCTTTCGACAGATGCAATTGAGTTAAATTATACAATATCTATATTTCTACTATACAACTCTACCATTGTTTAGCGTGTTTCCATCCATAATCATTGCATCACATTCCACTTCACGTTCATTGTTCAATAATGATCCACGACCAGCATTAAAATCTTCATCATCTTCCAAAACACAAACAGCTGCTTCTACAGCATCTACTGCCGTGCCGCCGCCCTGTTTAAGAATAATGCAAACCAGGCAATGGGAATGTCATATTGATCTAGTTTTATTAATACAAATTTGAGCGGTGAGCCAGCTGCATGCAATCTCGTTTTGTTCGACATTTTACTATAGCTAATATAAACATTAAGACAATTTTCTAACATCACATGTATGGTTTTGCTGTGTACTGTATAATTGCCAGAATTGTTCACAGCATCTTCGCGATATTTGTAAATGTTCGAGTCCGGCTGAAAATGGCGTATTCGACCATGGTCGAATTCGCCATTTTCTGGCCATGAATTCGCCATTTTCTGGTCATTCGCCATTTTCATTCGACCATGGTTGAGTCCGCCAGAAAACGGCTAATTCGACCATAGTCGAGTCCGGTGGAAAATGGCGAATTCGACCATGGTTGAGTCCGCCGGAAAACGGCTAATTCGACCATAGTCGAGTCCGGTGGAAAATGGCGTATTCGACGATGGTCGAGTCCGGTGGAAAATGGCGAATTCGACCATGGTCGAGTCCGCCGGAAAACGGCTAATTCGACCATGGTCGAGTCCGGTTGAAAATGGCGTATTCGACCATGGTCGAGTTCGCCGGAAAACGGCTAATTAGACCATGGTTGAGTCCGCCGGAAAACGGCTAATTCGACCATGGTCGAGTGATACTATAGTACATATACCTGCGTAGACTTTAGTTTTGCGCGAATGTGATGAAATCATTCCATAATATATATATATATATATATATATATATATATATATATATATATGTATATATATATATATATATATTAAATATAATATGTATATGGTCATAGAATAATAAACATCCATGCAATATTAACCCAATTCCTACCATCAATACATCATAACCCTTTTTGGCAGAGTCCTTTGTTGCTTGCCTATACTTATTTTCAAGGTCACCAAGCATTGTGCTATAACCACCACCTTGAACAATTATTCGAGGACTGAGGCAACTTGTCTCTTCTTCTACTGCTTTGATAAAAAAACATACGCATTGATGGTTATTATACAAAAAAAGGTGGGATATGAGTAACATTAAACTGATGCGTATAAAAGGTAAGCCGCGTCTTCGAAATCAGGATCCACTAAATAGCTACTTAGTTTTTAATAGCTTCTGTTTTTTGTAATCCATGCAGGAGCAAAAATACTTCAAACTGCTAGTACATGTCGTGTAGCCTTCGTATAGTCATGGGTAAATACTTAAATTTCTATCACATTATCTTGGTAAAGTTATTTATAAAATAACATGTATATATATAAGACGTGTCCTGATTGGCGAAGCCCGTTGGATCATCCAAACACGGAAATTTAAAGTTTTAAAGAATTTGAATTTAAATTCAGGCCTTGTCGTTGTTATTTCTTTAAAACAGGCTCGTGTTTCGCGCGCTTTTCTTAGATCGAGCAACATTCCCGCGTGTTTGGAGCAGGCCATCCAAACACGGAAACCATAAGTAATTGTATAGGCTTATGTTCCTTGAGTACAAGCTATTTGAAATTGCTAGGGAAATAAACTCTTAGAACAAAGTTGTTTATCCCATTTTAGGTCGTGATTATTGTGGACTAATTATAGGCCTAATAAGGGCAAAATCAATCAATAATTAATTAATTGTAAATATGGCACCCAACTTTCTTAGAAACGAGATAGAACAACCTTTGGATCTGTTCCGTTAAATTGATCATGAAATTGCATAATACAACATTTTGCGTTTTAAGTTTCTTTTAGCAATTTGTCTAATTATAATCAGTATATAAAACTATATGCTTGTAGCCGATGCATTGATCAACTTGGAACAGACACTATGAATGTTGCTAATACTGAATCATTACTTAAACCCTAACGATTTGCCAAAGTATAAAATTTTACCTGGAGTATCGTTGCCCTCCTCTTTCTGACATACAGCCATTCCTTCACGTCGTAGTTAGTACTATATGCACGTGTATCCGATTTGTAAACGTCAACGTATTTTGTAATATAATCAGAACAGGATCAATAATATATCTCACAATTCCACACAGCCAGGCACTGCTGCCACTAGGTTGTTTTCCACATGCAATACATTGGATTAGCTTAACCCATTTAAAGCCTAAATTTGAAGAAAATATAGGCGACAGCCAGCGTATTTTTCGGCTTCGTATCACCAGCTGCTGAAAATAGTTATATAGTTATGCATGTAAACTGTGCAACATTATATGTAAAGCGTGAACCCTTTTAAGGCAATATGCAAACGAAAGCGTCTAAAATTATTTTGGTTAATTATGAAAATGAAATTCTAACATCACTAAGGAGCAACGTGTACTGTCGCCATATTATGACTGCCCTTATCTGCTCGCACAAAAAATAGTGGAAAACAGGTTTAGGAGAGAGCAATTCTTGAATCTTGCTATTGCTATCAAGTCGGATTTTTTGGATAGGTCATCTTCAGAATGGAGAGGATTCTTTAAAGGAAAACTTCAGAAAGGACCGGATTTGGATTTAACTACCGATGTTTACACACACAGTCAAATATTACACAGTCCATTTCAAATTAAGACAGCGGGGCAATAAGCTTGGACACAAGTAAAAGACGAAAACTCACTTTACCTTAAAAAAGCTTATTTAATCTCCATGGTTGAGATACATGTACATTTATAGCTTTTTCTAATTGAAAATGCGCACACTCACAAATATATAATATACTTTCAAATAAGACATCTTTGTACAAATACTTTGTGTGAATGAGAGATCTCTACTTCTAAAACTACAATCGCTTATCATTAATTATTTATTCGGGCTGTATACAAATATTGAAATCCATTTCGTCTAGAAAATTTCATTGTCGTACTTTCTTGTGCGACGACACATTGTTAAAATACAGGCCGCATTTGGCCAATATGCTATTCTAAAGTATAAACATTTTTTTCGAAAAAGTACCTATAAATTGTCTACATATCTCGACAGTTGGTCGGATGGAGTCAATGGCGCAATCGCGTCACCATCTTCCTGGTCGAGTTCAGGCGATGCGAGAGGCGCCAATGGTTGTATTCTTCTGCTTGATCCAAAGAGCGAGGAATCCGTTAAGTCATTTGTATCAAGTGCACCCGACGATGGATGTGGTGAGGCGATTGTATGCGGTGAGGTAAGTGTTGGTTGAGTATGTGGTGACATGACAGACTGCCGAGGTGATGGTGACATAGCTGGTTGTCTTGGCGATGATGATGGTTGTTGAAGAGGTTGTGGTGATGGTGACATTACTGATCGTGGTGACTGATTAGGTAGTAGTGTTCCCGCCTGTTGCGGCGGGGTATTCTGCGGAGACATTAACCGTTGTTGTAATGTTTGTTTATTACTAAAATGCTGCTGAGGTGCTGGTTGTTGTGGTTGCAATAATTGTCCACCTGACATCGTGTGCTGTTGCATCATGTTGTTAAATTGAATTTCTTGTTGTGCCATAGGTAGGCGACGTTGAGTGTTCGATGCAAACTGAGGCTGCTGCATTGTACCGTGCATGTTCTGTTGCATCAGTTGCTGTTGTTGCATTCCTTGCATCCCGTTTGTACTTCCGACCATGTTTTGAACATTTTGCATATTCGCCATATTTGGCATAGTCTGTTGCATGCCCTGCATGGATTGAACAGGTGACATGTTGTTCATAGTGTTCATATTCGAAATACCATGTACATTGTTCATACCGTTAAGGCTAGCCATTGCTTGACCGCCTTGATGTAATCCCGGTAAATTAGACCCGGCTTGTTGTAACGTCTGTTGATGTAACTGTTGTTGTGCTTGTTGAGTTTTTTGTTGTTGAACTTGTTGTGCAAGTTGTTGCGCTTGTTGTAACTGTGCTTGCTGTTGTTGTTGTTGCTGTTGTTGCTGCTGTTGTTGTGGGGTTAGTCTCATTCTTCCAGGCCACTGTTGCTGCATCATTGGCTGCGGAACTGCTTGATTTTGCATCATTTGTTGCAACTGTTGTTGCTGCTGCTGTTGTTGAGCTTGCCGCTGTTGTTGGGCTTGTTGCTGTTGCTGTTGCTGCTGTTGACGCAGCCGTAGAAACATGGCCATGAGTTGTGGATTCGCTCGCATCATTTGAAGACACTCAGCAGTTTGCTGCCCTTGATTGTTTTTCAAAATGCTTAATATCCGAGTCATCTGCTCCTGGAGATGAGGACGTGATTGTCGTAATTGAGGCCTGGCTTGGCTGGGTAAGGGATTTGTTGCAGCACCGTACATTGGTGGTTGCTGGGACGTCAGAGATTGTTGAACCTGGTTATTACCGCTATACCAATTTCGCATTGTAGCTTGGGCATTTTGCATAGGCTGTGGCACATTCGTTTGCCCAACCGACACAGGCATATTCAAGTTCGGTCTCAATGGATTGCCGCCATTAATAGGACCATTCAAAGGACCGCTCAAAGGACCGCTCATAGGACCACTCATAGGACCACTCATCGGACCATTCATCGTTGGGGCGTTGGAAAATGGATTTACAGGTACGGTAGGCATACTCGGGCGATTAGCTGGCGTTGGTGGCAATCTTGCTTCTTCAACAATAGCTTGGGCAACAGCAACAGCAGCAGCGGGTGCTGGAGCAGTTACTGGGGTCATTTGAGGTTGACCATAGCTGGGTGGACGAGCTGGTAAAGACGAATGCTGCGGGAGACCACCGGTAGGATTGAGACGTTCCACCATTCCAGTTGGGTTAGTCGAGGGTTGTGGTGGCGCAGGTGTTTGCTGCATACTTCGCATAACCGCCATACGCCGACGCATTAGTTGCGCCTGGTGAAACTGTTGCTGCATTTGCTGCTGACGGAACTTGGTCTTGATATGGCGACAATATGGTACAACACATTCCTGCTCTCGACAATGTTTCGCATGATAACAGCAAAGAGCGATGAGTTGTTTGCAAATCGGACAACCATTGTTACCTTTCCTTTTGCAACTCTTCGTATGTTCCACAACCCGTTTCATTTTCATACAGCTAGCCATGGTGCAATTCTGCGCTCTGCAATGGGTGGCGTGGACAAGTGAATCGATGCAACGTTGAATCGACAACCGCCGCTGTTCTTGAGAATTATTTGGCTGTGATGTTTGGTTCTTCGTCGGCGTTTGTTGATCAACATCAAGGTCAAACCCAAGTTTCTCCATCTTGTGTTCATGCCCCTTCTCGTTGAAACATGGCACACACAAGTCGAAATCCTGATGAAATACAAAAATGAGGTTATTAAGAGAATAGGTACAGAAGCTACATCCGTACATCACCACAGTCCTAACATTACATGTTTTCGAAAATTTTATCACCGATCACTCCTTGGTCCACAAACATTGTTCTTAGTCGAAACGGTGTATTTTTGTGTTTATATTATCTGGAAGTATTGAAAATGGTGCTTTTCCTACCATGGAATACCGTTATAGATAATGCAATGGAACACTGTGTTAAATAAATACAAAAATAAACATCACACGTCTCACCTCGCATTCGCTGCAATGGTACCTGGTTTCGACATGTCTCTTACAAAGATTACACGAGTAAACGAAGCGATCTTGTCCTTGGTTATGCAAATCGAACATCATACACATTGTGGAATACTTGGCTCGCCGCAATGACGAGAACTCCCAGTGTTTGTCACGTGCCAGCGTCAGAAAAGCGTCACGGCCATCCATGAGGTCACACGACATAGGCTGGTCAGGATCAACGGTTTCAGGTAAGCCTTGTATGTCCGCATCTTCGTACATTCGGATAACAAAGAACACCTAGAATAACAGAGGTTTGAATACAGTCAAATATACCATGAATCGCCACAATATTGTCGTTAATGTCTTGATAAATGTAAAGTATTTCTCGTTGCCCTTAATTTCAAAATATAATCTGTTAGGTAGTTTTATAAGCTAAATGTGGGGTGGTAATCATATAAATTCTAAAAAACAATAATTATTATTTACAACTGATTATGATTGCATGATTGCATGATTGACATTATCGATTAATCCCTCACGGTTAGAACGTGACTGCCATTAACGTACCTCTTTGTGTTTCTCCATGGTGTTGTAAAGTCTCAAAGATAAATCACAAACGTTTAGGCCCAGTCCATTCGTCTTCTTCATATTTTTTCGTTGATTGTTTTTCTTACTACCTTTTTTATTGTTGTTTCTTTTACCTGCTTTGTTCTTATTACCTTTGCTGTTTGCCTGGACAAAGATATAAAAAGGTCAACACTACGCCTCGAAACTCGGTTTAAGTTCTCTAAATGTTCAGAAAACGTGTTCGTATATTACTAATGGTAATAATTATGGCTTATTGTTGGCTCTCGATCTTGCTAAATCAAGTTTGTGACAACTAATCGGCGGAGTTAAGGCCCTCACCCACTCATCGCAAAAACTTACTCGCAAGCTCCCTGCGATTAGTTTCGTCCAATCACAATGCTTGTCAGTCTATTTTAATTAGATGCAAGAACTCGCAGCGATCTTGCGAGTTGATTTTACGATGAGTGGAAAAGAGGCCTTATATCACGACCAACTTTTAATGTAGTAATAAAGCGAGTAAGTCATGGCCCAGTTTACTGAGAGTTTACTTGTAATTTACCAGTAACTGAAAAGCGCGAACTTATAGAAATAATTGGAAACACAAACTGGAACACAAACGTGTGCAAATATAAACAAGCATGCATGCGTACCATATCCCCAGCAGCTTCAGCTGCAGCAGAAGCTTTCCTTTCTTCCTCCTCTTGATCAAGTTCCTTGATACTGTCTTCTAGAGTATTTGGCCAAAAATCACCGTCAAAATATGGCAACTCAGTTGCCTTCTCAAGATTATCGTCTAAAGCCTGGGTGAGAATATCCTGAAAAAAAATCATGAAAGGCAGTTTAGCTGCTGGCTCATATATTTTGCCTGACAATCAATTCGAGTCCACCAAAAAACAGATAAGAAAGCGGAGTCAATTTGACCCCCAAAACGAAGGTTTGCAGTAGCTATCTCAAGATCATTAAGGTCACAGGAGATATGAACAGTACTAATTATTACCTTGTATTCCACAACAATGCTTTCAGCAGCAGCTTTATCTAACATCTTCTTGTACCAATCAACAAGACGTTTATGACGTGGGATCTTTTGCTCGGGTGGATGGCAATGAAATATATAGTCGTCACCTTCACATGGTGGACACGCCCAAATATGCGCCCAAACGTATCTAATGGTAATAAATGCACGATCAGTTGAAGACTTCAAAATTGTACGCAATGACATACATTGTCATGTTTGCGTTGGGAAATTGCTCATGAGTAAATGTTATGTATATTGTCAGTATAAATGTATATTTTCAGAAAAACTGGGCAATCTATTCATATCCTGATTTTACTGTATAAAATTTCCTACCCTAGCTTCCTCGTATACTCCAAGTATCCAATGAGAATCTCGTGATATACCGCTGTTCGAAAATGTCTTGGATGGAAGAAATGAACACTGTCCAAGTATGAAATATACACTCGACGAGTGTTGGGTGTAGAACAGTTTGAACCGTACTCCTGAACATGCATGCCAAAGAAACAAACATCAACACCATGAATTTCTTCAAATGCAAAAAGAGCCTTGGCGCGATATGGAAATCCGTCTTGACAAGCACTATTAAACCTGAAAAAGATATTAAATACGCGTTGAACTCCATATCTTGATGTGGCAAAACAAGGGAAATAATTCTGCACAGCTTCAAAGATTATGTTATGGCTTTGAAAGTAGTCGCCAATATATCATTATTTACACGCACTATGATATACATACAAAACAATAAATTTTGAACAAGCGGATGAGCATTTGCAACTTATCACTGGTTATAACAACAGTTGCATTCGTTTCGTAATATGCATGCCAAAACAACGAGCATATGCCAGTCGTTTTAAAAATTGTATACGAGGAAGACAACCGATAATCTTCACTTCATACCTTGTTTTCATTCCAGGTTTAATTTCCACGACCTTGTCAACACTGGACACCACACGTATCGTAACATCACCGGCACCTGCATTGTTCTTCTTTAAAAATTCATTCACTCTGTTTTCTAAAACTTCTCCTAACTTCGTATGGGGAAGGCCTGTAAAACAAATGTCATACGTATACGAAATTACGCTCGAGTTTAACCAGTCAATGAAAAGGTTCTTCAACCATATTTAATACATACGTTTTGAGTTATATTTATTTTCCTTTTTCACTAGACCTCGCCTTTTTAGGCACGAATCGCACTGAAATCTAAATCAGAGAAACAGAATAATTCAGCATTATCAATTCCAAAATCATGTATGCATTAAGTCCATAGTGATTTCCAACTCAGTAATAAGATCGCATGACGCAGTTTTGTTTTTGGTTGTTCAACAAGTTTAGTTCAAATTCAGTTTGGTTAAACGAAGGTTGGAATTACCGCGCAACAAACTGCACCACTCAAACGCACCATACATGAAGATAAGCTAGCTTTTTGGCAAATGGGGCAGAATTTCATGGTTTGTGGTTTGTTTTGTTTATTTTTGGTTGGTGCGTACGATCTCACGTGTGAGGAATCATAACAGTCCTTACCCACTGGACCAAATTGAATCATGATGTAAAACACAAATTTGATGGTTCTTCCTCCCGCAATCCACACACTCGATAAAACTGCAAAGTAAATAAAATGAAAGAAATTTACTCGGTGGAAACGATGTAGCCCTTAAAATTACATTATGATTTTGCTTTATAACGGCCTGAGCATAATTGTCTTCAGGCAACAAAATGTGTTGTTTCAGCAACCTGGTTTCTCTCTACGGAGGATGTTGCAACGCAAAGAAACGCACAGCCGTATTTAATCTCATCCCATCACAACATGACCCATGCGCTTTAGGTACAGTATGCAAAATACTCACGGTTCTGGATCCAGATGATTGTTCGTTAACTTTTCAAAACTTTCTTTCTTTATACAACCACTGAAAACAAATCAACAGTACCATTGTGCAACAATGTATAGGATTGAAAAAAGAGGAAATAAAAAATAGTCCAGAGGAAAGTGCGATTATAGATCTTGTACAATAAATAATAGGAGAATGTTCTACGGAATTGTGGTAGGTTCACTAACGTAAAGTGTCATACCTGCTTGGATTCATGGGATCATCCCCTAACTGAACACTTTCACCAGGAAGTTCATTAAAACATCTTTCACAATAATGATATCTAAAACGATAAACCAACATTAATTATCCGTTTAGAGCAAGATTCTGTAAGGTTAGGTAAATGTTTAAAAGTGGACGTCATAAAGTAAGTCAAATAGGAAATTATAGGATATTTTAAAGCAATTATTATTACCTGTTCTGATATGTATAATAGGGAGCATCTCTTGATATAGTACACAAATGCTTTCCAAAACAACACAAAACTTGTGGATGAAACACATACTGGAAAATGAAAAATGAAATAAAATATAACGTGACATATTCAGACCATCCAAAGATTTCCTCATGCAATCTTAATTCAAAATTTCATCCTGAAATATTATTCTACTTACTTTACGGCCACAACAGTAGCCTAGTTTTCGCATTACAGCATCTATCTCCTGTTCAAAACATTCAGCCAACTAAAGAAAAAAGATATACGAAGTTTAACAAACAGCAGCTTGCGAATTTTACCAGTTAAATTAATCAACCCTGTCCTTCCAAAATCCTAACCGATTTATTTTGACCTATTTACTCGTAAATATGGTTTCTAATTAGGCTTGAAAACATTATACTTAAATTAGAATATATTAGCATATTGATTTGAAGACTGACATGGGTTCATTTTTTAATCAAACACAATGGAGTTTTCATTCCTATATTTTATTATCTGACACATGTAAAAGGAAAAGAAAGGAATGACACTCACCTTGCTACAATATTTATAAACTTTAGAAGTTTTACGATTGTAGAGCCAGGCGTTATCAAACATTAACCAGACATCATCACAGAACTAAACAACAACGTGGAATAAAAACAAGAAATTAAAGGGCGGAGTTTTCAAATTTCGTATTGAATGTTTTTCTCTAGGTTCTGTCGTTTTGGAAATATATACAAAATATTCTATCCACTCCTACAGCCGGCTACATGATGTTTTCTTCATTGTGGATTTTGATTCCCACTGCGGTATATGGTATAGAACGTGCGACCGACTCTCTCGGCTGTTTTACATTCCAGATGCTGTGTAATCGCTTTGTTGTTATTTTCAGCTGTATTTACTAGCGAATTCGTTCAATATTTCTTACGGTTCATACCTCCCATGGATCTTTGTATTGTCCCGTATCCAACTTCCTTTTAATCGTGGACAAATCCATTGGCTTCTTTATGATATCGAAGTAATCCTACATGAATGGAAATTATAAAACCAACCTTATACCTTGCCTTCATTGTGTGGGACAAAAAATAAAATACATTTACATACCATACACCCTAGAGATTTGGGATCAACAGGATGCCTGAATGGTAAGCCTTCCGGATGCATCTGGTAAAGTTTTTCAAGTGTAGGCATAAGATTTCTTCTCAGTTCTTCAGGTAGGAAGTGTTTCTTAAATGGATGTCTCACGCTGGTACTGACGGCGGAATGAGATGAATTTGCAGTAGAAGAAGGAGGCTTCATGGCTTCATTTGGCTGTGTTGAAGGAGCAATATTTGGTTTCGTGTCGTCAACTTGCATTCGACTCGGAGAATTCGTAACAGCGGCAGTTGTTTGACCAACAGATTCCACAGACTGAACAAAAGGAATACTTTTTATTAAAAAGGAACACATTTCTATGCCTTTCTGGCTAGATACGGAATATGATTTTATTATTATTTAAGCGTGAGTTATACACGCTCAGTTAAAAAAAAAATTAGTAAAATGATCAAAGGATAGGACCAAAAGTGGTTGTGACTTACCTTCGGTGGCGTTTGTGCTCCGGGAGTTTGTGCTCCCGGTGCCTGTGAACTGGTTGGTTGTGCATTTGGAGTTGCTGTGGATGGTGTTTGTGGATTTTGCATTTGCGACTGAGCAGCAGCTGCTGGTTTATTTGCTATTGCCGGCCCAGGCGACTGACGAGGTGTTGCCGCTTGAGGTGACATGTGAGGAGATTGTGAAATATTGCCTGCGTTCTGGGGCGATTTACCAATATTATGCGTTTGTATTGGTGGTGTTTGATTAGGCATCATTTGCTGAGGCATCATACTTCGCTGAGGAATGGCTGGTGGCTGTGACGACATGGGCATTGTTGTTTGGTTTCGCAAGACGTTGTTTGGTAGTGATGTTTGAGGAGGCATTGGGATTGGTGTTTGACGGTTCTTCGCTGCAACCTCAACTGCTTGTGCCTTGGCCAAGGCTACATCGGTGTTGTTACTTATGTCTCCATTCAACTCTGTAAATGGCGCGACTGAACGCGCAGAAGTAGAGATGATATCTTTAATAATATTGCCCTAATCTTAAGGCACTGTAATATACTTAAAACACACTCAGGCGAGAAAACGTCTGCTTATAGAAAGGTAGGAAAAAGAGGGAATAAAAGACGCAATTTCGTCAAGATTTTTTCACACTAACCCATTCCCTATTTCGCGTATGCTGAGTAAATACTTGTTTACAAGCGTTGTGGTAATTGAATATCTATTTACGGTTCTACAGAAAATGCGTAAACAGCTATAAAACATTTTCTCTCTGACCTATTTGAAGGTTTATCTAACATTGTAAATTAACAGAACAACTTTTACTCCAGTTTCCCCCTGTCTATTCAGGTCTAATTTAAGGTGGTATAATAAAACAAAACATGATATATCATAACTCCCTAATCCAGCTCCACATTCAACTCCCTATTAGTTGCTGATGAACATTATTATACGATCAGTCGATCACTATTGTATTGTGCAAAGTACACATCCCTACCAGGAAGTGATGGTGCACCATGCGATGCAGGCTGTGGAACACCAGGATTTATATTACCAACAGCACCCATACGTCTCTTCTCTCGCTTTTCTTCAAGTTCTTTCTGAATTTTATAAATCTTTTCAGCCAGTAAATGATAATACTCCTCCTGTGAATCACCAATAAAACGTTGTTAACTTCTGGACAAAACAATATATATGGACTTCTACATCATATGCCGCAGAAAGTGTATCTTAATGTATTTCTCACACATTAATGGAAGCAATATACGTGCAATCAGTATATAGTATATATGTGGCATAGACGTGCCCTAATACAATCATGTCACCTAGGTCGTCGCAACTACTGCAGGTTCGTAGAATAACGCTTAAAATATGGCAAATAACTACCGTTTGTAATTCAATTTTGAAACAACTTATTGCACGTGCATGAAAAGGATCGTTTTAGATGAGTGTTGGAAGTTTGACTTCTAAGCAAAAGACAAAAAACGTTGGGAAGGTGTGATTCTAAAATACTTCTCACTTACCCTACTACTTGCTGTTTCATACATATCACCTTCAACCTTTCTGGCATATGCAACTAGATTGGTCATTCTCCTGTCTTTTAGAGCTTTAGGGTCATTTACTGGTGTTGGGAAAATAGCAGTGACACTACAGAAAAGAGTGTATTAGTAAGCTAAAATAGTACAAACGTACATACTTCCAATGCCACCAGAGGTACTATACCACTTTCTATAGCACTTACAGCTTCTGTACAAGATGGTTTCTTAAATCTGCTGTAACTTGCTGATGCCATTTCTTAGGTCCTCTGTTTGATTCAAGAGGTTTTTCTCCTGCAAAATAAAAACATACAAAACCCATTATTTCTATGATTTTTCAAATTAAGTTAAGGAGATATTGCTAATTATTAGTGATTATTGTGACATAGAAACTAGTCTGATTTAAAAGCTTTCCACAATAAACAACTGAGCAATGTTTTTAAATTAAAAGACATACACAGGAATAGTGAATTTTTTGCATGGAAAGCTAACTGTAACACAGTAATTTTTAAAAAAGTTGAAATGAAATTTTTTACCTTGACTACGTTTATCATTAGCATGTTTCAAAGGCAAACAAACAGGACAATCTTCTCTTTTACAATTCTTCCAATGGGAAATTATTTGTCTTGATGAAGCACAGTGAGCAACTGAAAATTGATGTAACAAAACATGTCCTGAATGTCCAGATATTAAAGTGAACTCAGGATGTTCTGAGCTAGTTAGTGTCCCAATCAAAAGTAAGGTAAACTGTAAACAGTAATACTGCATATTACAGTTTAAACAAAAAATCCTAAATTATTTTACATCCTTTTATTTCGTACCTTGACATGACTTTCCTGATGTGCACACTGTCATGTGAGCTAAAACATTTTTCATTGTTCGACAGTGTGGTAAGTTACAGGACTTTACTTCACCGTTGGTCATGTTTTGTTCGCGTCTCTGGCATTTATGTGCATGAAGCAACAGCACCAGCTGTTGCTGAATAAGTCGCCTTTTCTCAGGATCAGCAGTTGGTGTTTGAGAAGGCACATTCTAAAATGGAAGTAAACAATTATCACCAATTGCATGCCATGACTGTTCTTATAGCCTTTTTTATTGAATTCCTTTTACCCTAGAAAACATCCCTGCACAACATTACTCACCCCACCTCCAGCAACAGTAGTGATACCAGGCTCAGCCTTGGGAACAATGCTATCTAGATGTGATGTCATACTTAATTGATGCAGGTTTGTTGTTGAGCCTAAATTAGCAAAGTTTGAATAATTCCCTAAATGGTTCTCAATTGACTCTGCTCCTGGAACATTCATGATCCCTGGGTTTGGCTGCTGCAGTGGCATTGTACCAGGGTTCATTGGGTTTGACATTGGGGCCATGATCTACAAAAATATTATCATGATAATTAGGTATTGTTTTAAATATAAACTTAAAATACAAGTGAAAAAAGGTAGTATTATCATGTTTTTCATGTGTTTTTCTAGCACATGTTTGTAGACAACTACTAAAATTTTGCAATTCACAAACTCAAATATGAAAGAGTGAGATGCAATTCAATACAACTTAAATACAGTTTTACAAGACATTTATGGATTTGAAATCAGTGAATAAAATTTTGCCACTCTGGTACAGTCAATTACAACTAAAATGAACTAAGGCTGTACTAAAGATGCATTCTTCACTCTTAGGAGAATTTTTTTGACAGATTTGCTTAGTTTCAATTACAATACACTTTTTTCAAACATAAAGTTGCAGAACTTTTCAAACACAAAGTCAGTTTCAAATAAATGGCTGGATTTAGCCAAATCGATTAACTACAAAGTATATAACTGGTAATGTACCCAAATGTACCAATTTTTTTAACAATTAAAATTTAAAATACTTAAACAAGATAATTAAATAATTTTCTTGTATGATTGCATGGCGACTTTAGTAATTATAATAACTTGTAGGTACACCACGTAAGTATTAAATACTGCAAAGCTTTCGGTCCGTTAACCCGGACCTTCATCATTTTCGGAATTTCGGATTTTCGGTGTCTCTTAGTCAAATACTTGTCTAGGGCGCGCGCATTAATTAGAACTTAATTAAATGAAACCGTTTAATTAATAGCGCGAGCAAACTAATCACGACTAACATGATATTTAAGTGACGCGCAAACGTGTATTCAAGTAATTGCACTGATGAAGGTCCGGGTTAACGGACCGAAAGCTTTGCAGTATTTAATACTTACGTGGTGTACCTACAAGTTATTATAATTAAAAGATAATTAAACATGAAAATAATCAAATACTACCTAATTTTATTTTGATAATATTCATAATAACCAATATAATGTATGGTATTAATATATTGTAACAATGCTTTTTTTATCATAAACAAAGATTTTAATGTTTAATACAGGTTTGAGAAACATCATGAGGAAACATCACTATATTTTTGTTTGTCTGATCAACCTCAGTTTTTCTCACCACATGTTAATCCCATATTTACAAAATGGAGACAAGTTGGCTCAAGGAAGTTTAAATGTGATTTGACTGAAAAATTATCAAATGAATGTACCTAAACTCATTAGAAAGAAAGGGTTCTTACTTCATAACAACAGTTTACAATTCTCTGTGTAAATATAGTGTAAATAGTTAAACACTTATAAACCATACTGTAGATGGTTGAACACTTACATTTTTTCTGTTAATGGTTAAACATTTACAGAGTAATAAACAGTGTAAAACATTACAACAAAACAATTAGTTTTGTGCAAATGAAAACATGTTAGATTGGCTCAACAATCAGTGAAACAATGAAGAAAGGTCACACATATCAAACAATACTAGGTTGTTAACACTAATTATTTAGCTGAAAAAATCTATGTAATGATCACTTACTTCTCCTAAGGTCATTCCACCTTGATTCACTGCCATTCCACCTTGGTTCACAGGCATCCCAGGCTGTCCCATCATAAAATTTGGTTCAGCTTTTATAGTTGCCATAGTGTTACTTGCAAGTGAACTAACAATATGACCAGTTTGCTCTGATGTCATTTGTCTTCCAAAGTTATGCATGGGACTAGTGTTTTGGTTGGGAATTGGTCCATTTCTCATCCGTGGTGGCAACATAGCTGGATTTACTAGTCCTTGTGGTGACGAAGGATATGCCAAAGGAAAATTTTGAGGCATGCTAGTCAATGGTGCTGTGTTTGTAGTCATTGCATGGGAGGTTTGAGGTGCTGTTGGATTAAGTGGACCTGATGTAGGGTGATGTTGCGAGTTCATATTAGCAGCAGCACTCAAATTTGGTGCAGAAGGCTTGGGTGATGCCATTGTTGAACTAGTTGTAATCTGTGCTGGAGAAACCATTGCATTATTGTTCAAACTTGGAGATGATGCAGAGTTTGTGTTATTATTCAATGCAGGACTACTTGGATTCGATAAGTCTTTGCCAGTCATTACAACGGGATTTGCAGTTTGATGTATTTTGTTACTTGAGAAATTACTGTTCGGCGTTTCGTTCTCCAGTAACTGTTGCAATTCAACGGATTTACTATTATTTTCCTCGGTCTCTCCATTTGTCTCAAACAATTCTTCCGGTAGTTCATCCAAGAACGTGTCTGCTGACAAAAACTCTCGATTAAAAATACAAACGTTAAAACGAGCTTCGCTCACAGCGTCGCAATGTGATGCCTTACAGGAAGACTGGAAAATTTATATGGCGACATTGCCTGAACGAAACTCGTCTCAAAACAACTATAAACAACACAAAACTACAAATATGTCCCATGCTTGTGTACTACATACCTTCATTATCAGTTGGGGTACTAGTACTACCAACTTTCTGCTTCTTATTTGGAGGTCCGTCAACTTGTTGTTCGGCCATCATATCTACAGTACACCTCTGGCACGAAACACAACAGACCACTATAAAGTCTAAAGTAAAGCGACTTGTTGATCACAAAAATCCATGAAGAAGATAATGCGGACTCTGATCATCGTTTACTAGATATAAGATGGAGACAAAGATTTAAAAAGTTTACAAACTTGTTCGCAGAACCACCACATTTTTATTGCTCAAAAATACAAACAGGGACTTCAGGCAAAACACCAAAAACAAAAATCATGGCCGCTCACCATTATCGTTCCAACATGAATATACCCTAATAATCCAAGGCTTCGAGAGTGTTGAGAAACTCTCAAGCCTTCGCTGCTTATGCTGCTGCCACGATGAACCAGCCCAGGCAGAAATAAATGTACAGCAAAATTCCTTTAACTTCGATTCTCAAACAAAATATCTGTCGATATAAAATGGCCGTAGAACTAGTCGATGCCGTGAAGCGCAACACTGAGTTGGTTTGAGGGGGGGCCCAATAACATTGAATATCAGCAGCGCGGACTCTCATTAAACTTTAAAACTTTACATTGGGCATGCGTCAACTGGAATTTAATGACGCAGAGATTTTTAATTCTGTGAACAGGGTGAGTAAGAAAAAACCCGAAAATTTTTCAAAATCTGACAAATTTTTCTTTTTTTTTGTCCGTTATATATAAGTTAATGAACGCTTGGGAGAGTCTACAAATTTTCCACGAGTACTTTGATATATGTCGCAAGCGAGGAAAGAATTTTTTTAGATAATGTGTCTGCTCATCATGAGTCGTGATTGGGATGACTGAATGAAGCAACGTCTGATATTAATTTAATCAGTACTTCTACTTCTTGATAAAGAAGTCAAGTTTTGTTTGATAGGGTTCCTGATAATTTTTTATTAATATTTGTAAAAGGAAGAAAGGGCCCTGCGCATGCCAAGTTTCCCCCATTCTAAAGCACTAGATTTGGGGTTTTTTAAGTTTTAAAAGTGATGTTTACATATGTACTTATACATGCACGTATTTATTTTGTAATATTAATCTTAAAAACTGTAATGAAAACTTATCTTACTTAAAATGCCATAGTCTATCTTTCAAGTTTTAAAAGAGGATGTTCATTGCGTATTTCACGCACGCAGAAATTACTGTGTACGTGGGAGCAATCTTAGCATAATCAGTGAGATACATCATTATCACACACGAATGTGTGAGATACTCACAATGAACAACCTATTTTAAAACGATAAAAAAGACTGCGGCATTCTAAGAAAGGTTTTCATTATTATTAATGATTTTGAACTGGTCTCTTTGACAACGAGATAACCACTCCTCCCCCAAACAATTTCTACCCAAATTTGCTGACAACTTAATTGGGGTGGGGGGGAGATATATTCGAATTCGGATATTCTTGTATATGCATATATTCACCCAGAAACAATAGTGTACAAAATGAAGGCTATATCGTTCGGTTACGAATTTTGTGATTTGCGGTTAAGAAAGAGTGGCAGTTAGGGAATATGTTCAAAAAAATTTCGGGCGCGTAACATGAAGACAGTATTAAATGAAATCAGTCGGGTATAAGACGAATATATGAATATTACCCCCCCCCCCATCACCAATAAGCTTCTAGCTAGGGCCCTAACACAAACTGCACTAGTGACATCTTTGCATGAACATATTTATGCTGACATGCTGTTCAAATTCAAAAGAAATATGCACAGCTAGAAAGAGTATACTAAAATTAGTAAAATTGCAACGTTTCACAGCGCAAATTTATATACTTAGACTTTACTTATTACAAATTTATATACTTAGACTTTAAAATGTTACCATTTCGATCGGCCTTAAAAGTAGTAATTTCCATATGCACTAAAAATGAATAAAATTTTGCTAAATTTGTAAGGCCATATTTTCTGTATTTTGCATTACTTCGTCGTCAAACCTTACATTCTTACTAATGTTAGTATGCTCTTAGGAAGCGTCTTTTCATCGCCAAAACAAAGAGTTAGTTTACAGTAACATACATTCAAATTGTCCATTTCAATTTTCAACTCGTTTTGGTAAACGACCTGTAAAAAAATTGGTTTTGCAAGTTCTGAGTCATAGGAACATCTTCGAAAACATCCACGTTGTGAAAAGTGGAAAGGACAAGGTGTCTGAGACGATACCTATATATAAATACAGTGGTAATGGACGATACAACTGGTTTTATTTATCTTCACATATAGATCATATCAAACTGCGCATGTAATAGCATTACTCAAGGGACGTGAAGTTCCCCAAATTACACTAGTAAAATACAAGTATGGTATCTAGGAATAGTTTTCATAGGAAAATAATATCTTCTAAGCATTCATGAAATTATTCCTTAAATTCATATTAGACGAACTGGCAAAGACGATTCAAGATATATTGTACATATCATACAATCTTTTATTCTTGTTCATTCGGTAAAATAATTAAATAGCTATATAATACATTATCTTATTTCATTAAAATAGAATAATTAGACTTATCAATCGCCCAATACTAAATAGCAATGTTACTTCTTTGAAGATCAGTCTGTTGATGTGATATAGACATTTACAGTACAAAGCAGACATGAAATATTTTATAGCTTTTTTAAATTCTAAAGAGCGAACTGCTTCTTTTATATGACGAAGTAGTTTTCCAACGTTGACGATAACATCAGCAATATATTCAATGCTCTACCTAAGAATAAAAAATTGTAAGCTGATGAAATGTTTTAACATTTACCTGACGCGATTTTGATAATTTTTAACACTCCCTAACTCTCTGTGACGTGAGACGATTGCTAATATACTCCATCAAAAATTACGTGACGCTGAACCACATATAACCCTACCCCCCCCCCCATCACTGTTCTAATAGACAATTCGATCAGTGCCTCAAACACACTAAGGATAGTGTGTATTTTTTATTTTTTCAGATACTTGGGGGGTCAGACATTCCTTTGCTTAACTGCTAGTTTGGTCAGAAACAACTGGAACATACCAAATAGTATTTGAAAGGGGTAAATCCTGGGGCCGGTTGTATAAAACTATTTAACTACACGTTGCATAGTTAAATCCTAGTTAACTCAGAAATACACGACTCTTATTGGCCAATTTTGCCCTTAACTGCAGTTAAAAAGTTAACTAGCCTTTTAAACAACTGGCCCCTGGAGTCGAAAAAGTTTGGCTTGGTTTGATGGACCTAATTTCCTGAAAAACGACAAGGACGGAAAGAGCGTTGACGTTTCGTCAAAAATATGTGAGCATGCCTCTAGATTTGGCACGACACCTAATTTTACCTATCTACTGTTATGAAACGATCTTTACCTCAACATTTATTTCATTTTCATCCCTGTTCCTGAGAGGACCAACAAGAAGTGAAGTTTTAATTGTCCCTTTTCCTTTCACTGGGATCTCACCACGTTCTTCAAAATCGAAGAACTCCTCAAGCAGGTTCTTTGATGCTTCACTAACTTGAACACGACCCTCTACTCCAGTTGAGTCCATCCGACTTGCAATATTTACAGTGTCCCCCCAAATGTCATAAAACAGTTTATTTGATCCAATTACACCAGCAGTAACTGGTCCAGCATTGAAACCAACTCTTAGGATAAATTTGAATCCCAGCATGTGATCATTAAAATTATTAATTTCTGTCATCATTGCTAATGCAAACGTGATCAACTGCTTCAAATGATTCTTTCCTTTTCCATTCCCCTGTGAATTATTCAGGCCAGAGGCAGCCATGAACGTTGAACCATTTACTGTTTTAATTTTCTCCACCTCCGAAAAATCTGGTCTCTCAAGCAAATCATCAAAGTCACCAACCAACTCATTTAGAACTCTAATGCACTCCTTACCACCTTCGAAGTTCTCCTCATAGAAGTCTCCAAAATTTACTATGGATGCAAAAATAACACCAACATTTTCATAGTTTCTGGAATAAAGTTTTTCCTCTTGTAATTCGGCAATGACATGTCTGGGAATTATGCTTTCTAACAACCAGTCCGCTTGGGCTTTGTTCATTTTGGCTTCTTTCTTATCCTTTGCAGCTTCAGCATCAACAAGAAATTTCATGCGAATGCCAATGTCATTTCGATAGTTCAAGATAAATATAAGAATTGTCAGCAGTATTAACGTGGGAATCATATCTCGTTCAAGTTTTGCCTCCACATTACCACATGAACTTACTGTAGTTGTGATTATTATAAACAAAATAGCAAGTACTGCAACAAGAGCTGATTTTAAGATGGAAATGAGTTGTGTGAAGTTGCAAAAATGTATAAATGTGACAATCATGGCATTTGCAGAGAATGTTACAAAGTCACGACTAATTACATCCTTATCACAAACTGTAAAATTTAACATCACGGTTAAGACTGGCAAGCACATTAAAACTGTGCCTGAAATATGACTTGTCAACCAGCCTGGCAACTTTGAAAATGCTGCTAAGAATTTCAATTGCTGTGGATATGCTCGACTTATGTTGAAAATTAGGAAAAATATTTCTAACAAGCATGTAAATGCAAATACTATGTAGTTTGCAATAGATATGTATCCAACAACACTAAGCATGATAAAGCAAAGAATAACTACATAAACATAAACCAGAATAGATATGAAAACATCAAATATAAAGTTAACCTTGGGTGATGCAAATGTGGTGACAGTGGGGCTCAATAAAGTTGTGTCTTGCCCTTCTTTGTGATAGGACTCTTCTAGACTTCTATCTCGGAACCATAATGAACCTGTCACTAATGGTGGATTTGCGAATGAATTTTCACTATCCTTAATCAGAGCAACCAGCTCTCTATCATTGGATGTTCGAAGCTTAAACCGAGCAATAGCCTCATTTATTGTTCCACCAAGCACTTGTGAAGGCCTTCGATCATTATAAAGACCACCATATTCATCCTCGGATGTATATGATGAGTTCAAGATATCAGAATCCAAAATATCTTCACTTTGACGCTTCAAACTGCCGCGTGGACTCTTATTCTCAGGTGGAATCTGGACTGATAGAGAATTAGGGTAGCTTTCAGAGGGCACAACATCATTCTTGTCAATCCGTATGGATACCTTTTTGAAAGGTTCCTCAGGCTTGCTCTCAGATTTATGATGTCGACTTGATCCCTTCTTCTCATGTTTTCTCTTCTTACCGAGAATCAAATATGTGGTGATGCCCTCAAGTGCAACATGCCGACTGCTGCCATTACCATCCTCATAAATATATGTATCATCCAAGAAATCTTTGGTTGCTTGAGTTATATGTACTTTCCCAGGTACACCAGCAGTTTCCATTTTGTTTGCTAATGTTACATCATTTGACCACACATCAAATTTAAATCGCTTGTTGCCAATAATTCCACACAACACAGTACCAGTATGAATACCAACCCGCATACCAACTTGCTCATTATTCTCTTCATCAAATTCTTTGATTGTCTTTACCATAGCCAATCCCATATCGACGCAACAAAATGCATGATAAGAAATAGGTTCAGGGCAGCCAGCCACACAATAATAGGCATCACCTAACGTACTGATCTTCTCACACTGATGTTCATATGTGAGTTGATCAAAACGGCCAAACAGATCACTTAGAAGTCCAACCAACTGCTCAGCTGTCTTATTCGAGGACATCTGGGTAAAACCTACAATGTCTGCGAATAGTATACTAACGTCTTCCATACGATGCATTTTAAAGGGTCGGAATGTTAGTTCCTTCTTCTGAAAATTGGTAACGATCTCTGTCGCGATAGTTTCCGGCATTACCGAACGAATCATCGAGTCCTTCGCCGATTTTTCGACTTCTGCTTCTCGTTTTGCTATCAAACGTTGGCCAAACTTCCAGAAGGTGCTACGATCTCGTACCTGAGCCATGAAACTAATTTGAATCGCGATGATATGAACAACTAAATGTAGAACGGCTGTACATACAATCTTTTCAGCGCTTTCGTTTAAACCAACATAAGCGTACAAAATCTCATGAACTATCGAAAATAATGCCAAGATAATCATTGATACAAATAGCGGTATGGAATGCAACATAGTGTAAATTATTAAAATAAATGAAGCACACATCGTGAAGTGTGCAGCGCCGGAAAATTCCTCGACCCTTCGCACGAAAAATAACAAATCAATCGTGATTATAAGCATAGCTAGGAACAGGGAAGCTATACGAGGGATATGGCGGTAATGTGAGGACTGCACAAATGCGAGGAAGGCGAAAAACACGGCACCAAAACAAGCAATGGCGATCAAAACAGGTTGCCGGTTGTCGTCTTTCTGTGTTGCACCAAAATAAATCATCCATATTAAAGCAGCTATAAGCAAGTATATTAATATTTTAACAACTGCACGGCGGTTGTTGACAAAGGAAAACTCTTGGTACTCTTTTTCCAAAATAGAAGAATCAAATTTCGGATACCACCAAGCAGATGAAGCTCGCTCGAAATAAAGTGGCACACATCCTTTGTTGTTTCGTGTGTCAACTTGGGAAAACGAACGATCTTTTTTCACCAATGCATTAAAGCTTTTCAATCGTGTTTCAGGATTTCTAGAGTCAGCTTCAGACGAGGCCCGACTGTGATTGCCATATTCACCTGCAGTACTATCCATAATCTCTCGGTATTAATAAACACCGTCGCTCGTCTGCCAGGCAGAGTATGAGCTGTACAAAGTGACACCCCTTTACGGACTTCTGTTGTGTTTGCCAGCGCTTAAACCACCTTACCACAGGCTGGTAATGCGCCTCTAGCTTCTTGCACAAAATAAAAGTACAATTAGGAAAGAATTGACCAGATTACATACGAAAGTTATTTTAAAACATAAAATTAACTTCTCGTCGTGGACATTCAATCGCAATAATCCGAGCAAAATAATTACGATCATGTGACCTCGATGAAATATTATTATCTGTCTTTGTTTTTATCTGCCAATCACATTAAAAGTTTGACAATCAAAACACTCACGTGGGCACAGAATACCTACCAGAAGTGGAACTCTATACTATTTTTTCGTAAGTGTGATTCGTCATGATTCGTCACTTAGCAAGTGCATTTTTTTGAGGTAGTCACCCCCCTGCCAATGTCTAAAATCAACGCATATTTAGTATTGGCAGGGGGGTGACAGCCTCAAAAAAATGCACTTGCTAAGTGACGAATCATGACGAATCACACTTACGAAAAAAGTACAGGAGTTCCACTTCTGTAAGGTATTCTGTGACGTGGGTTTCTAGAGTTAAAAAAATCCGATTGATACCGAGCAGCAAAATCGTGGTGCGCAGCGCAGCAAGTGAGCAGACGAGAAAGATTCAAAAGCGTAGTCCCGCTATTTCAAACTATTCCATGATTGCGAGATAAAAACCTGTTCTGGTTTGCGGTTAAATTATGATGAAAAAATTATTAGTACAAAAAAAAGCATTTAGGCAGGTGCAAATTAATTGAACAGTTTGTGTTACTAAAGTGTTACAGTTTTTAAAACAAATCGGGCTCGCTTATCACGCATTTTTGAAACAACGAAAGCAGATGCCTTATTACAGCGGGCGGCTGTATAACATCGATGCCACTTTTCGCCTTAACTATAATTACGATTAACTAAATTTTATACAGCTCTAGTTTATACGATTTAGTCGGAAAATTGTACAATGCGTATATAAGCTTTCCTGTAGGTTAAAATCCGGTTTTAGACTGTAGAAGCACCTTTGGTAGGACGTCATCTGTTCTCGTACCGGGGCACTGATAGCACTGAGCAATGCCCAGTGGACACTAAATATGAAGAGGAAATAACTGTACGCATATGTACCTTAGTTCAGTGAATTAACCATAATCAAAATGGTGAAATCAGACTACAAACCCTAGAAATTGAGGCACTTCGTAAGTTCTCTTAGAATCCAGGATTCCGCAAGCCAGGGCTGTGAGGTGTCTAGCAAGTGGAAAGTGACATTTTTGAATGCCAAGCCTAACACAGCAAGCAATAAACAATTTGAAAAACTTTTAAAGTCTTTATTCAAAGTGAGGTGTCACAAGACTTCTTTACACCGCCATTCATCAAGTCCTAGACAGATGCTCGTTATGAATGATTGAGACGCATGCAGCTGTGTGTACATTTGAAGTTCCATCTTTAATCATATTTTAACCGAAATTGAATAAACGTATGAAAAAAATCGCTATAAACACATATCAAACTCACCTCCCAGAAAGACTGGATCGCTTGGATTTTCGCCACTCATCACTAAAAATGAATGAAATAAACAAAACGACGCGAGTTGTGTAGAAGTACTTAATGTTGGGTCTTTGCATCATGAAAATCAGTAACAACACACTTTCCAACTATAAAAATATGCTGGCAGAGAAGAAACCATGTTATACTACAACAAGTGAAAGCCACCGAGAATTAGGCTATGCTATATGCACATTCGTTTTCATACCAAAACGTTTTCAAACACCGTCAATTTACCATAGAAGACTAGAAGTTGAAGCTAATTTATCAGACAAAAACGATTTTGAAAACGCTCGAAAACGATGCCCGTGTGCACATAGCCTGAACTGTACTTTTAAAATAGTGAGAGGATTGGGTTGTATTCATTCACTATGGCCCTCGCTGACTATGCTTGTAGCGCTATATCTTTCTACTGAAGACTCATCCCTCTCTGACTTTAATCTGCTGGTTGCCATCTAGTGTGTGATTGTACCGCGGTACATCTGCCAGCCCGCGGAGTTCTGTTCTGACCGATCTGACGTCATTTCCGCTCAAAATGCAGTGTTGATCAATGAGTGTTGATCAGATTTTTGATTTAGGAACTCGTCATCATTGACACCGAATTTTCATCTTTTATTTTAGTTTACTAATAAAAAATGTAAGTTATTCTTTTTCTTGAATTATTAGTACAAATATTACAGGACGATAACGTCTTATTTTTTTGTAAAGGTCTAAGGTAACATTCAAGATTACCCTTACATCTGACCCTAAGCTGCCTTTCAAAGTGTGAGTACAGTATGTTCGATGAACTAGAATTTTGCTTATATGTTTGATTGGTTGTTGAGATCGCCCTTTCACACAAACTCTGTTTTTCTTCCCATCTAGATTAAGTGTACCCGAAGCAACGCCATTCACTCATGTTTTAAAATTTGCAGCTGAAGAGGTGAATAGAAATTATATACATGTATTTGTATATATTCTTATAGTTACTTTTATTCTGGTATAAAAGGGCTATTAAAAGCCATGGGCCCACATTATTACGTATATTTTGTTTCTTTGCCATTTCAAGACAGTTTACCAGTCAAAGTGAACAGCTGATTTATACAGTAATTTGTATATAGCATGATCTTGCTGTTCAAAATCACACCTGACCTGATGGATGCACAACAAGCAGTGTATATATCAAATAGAGATGATTCACCTGATTGCTTATGTCATAGACATAAAATATTTTAGTGGATGACTGTTAAAAAGACTGGCAATAGCCCAAGCAAATGCTTTGACTTCATTATTTTATTCCATGAAATGCAACAAAGATACTCTGGTTTGAAATATAAAAATCATCACATAATTATATAGCAATTGTCTTATTATTGTACCTGATTGGTTTTTACATGACTGTTTATAAAAAGGCACCTGAATCGCATTAAACGGATGCAAAAGCATGACTATTCAATGCTTTATCTGTTTATGTGTAAATACAAAAAAAAACTATAGTAACTTTTTTTGGTATATGTTTACAGTTTAAGGTTGCTCCTGCAACTAGTGCGATTATAACAAATGGTAAGTAAACATTTCATAAATATCAGTGTTTGACCTTACCAAGGTGCTTTGCAATATTTCAATGTGCTGTTTAACAAATTTGTTTTGTCATATTGTTCCATTTAGATGGAATTGGCATCAACCCATCACAAAGTGCAGGTAATATCAAAGTGTTTTTAGATCATCTTAGCACAGTGGTTTGTAATTAAGTTGAAATTAATGCTAATGAATTTATGCTGAACTGTAATTTTTTATCTATAGGAAATGTTTTTCTCAAACATGGCTCAGAACTAAGACTAATTCCAAGAGATAGAGTCGGCAATATATAAATAAACCAACTAGTTGTCTGTACAAGAACGTAACTTGGATATGGTATTTTAATATGGAAGAATATTTAATGTGCTCATTTACATGCAATTAGTCTGTAGATGAATATGGTCTAAATAGGAAAGATGTTATATAAATACAATTAATATTTTATAATACAGAGCAAGGTACTACAATCAAAATCTTAAAATGTTAGGTAGCGAAATTGAGACTTGTGGAATGAAAGAAAAGTTTGTCCATGTTTATAAGTATTCTCAGCAATTTGATTGGTCAATCTGTCACTGGAAATTTTTTCAAAATCCATATTATGGATGTAGTATATATTCTAGTTATTCGAGTTAGGATATATTCTAGTTAGGAGTAGTACGGAATTTATAATATCCATACTAATCGCCATTTCCATGGGTATAGCAAATTTCCATAGCATAGATTTTGAAAAAAATTTCCAGTGCATGTGTTACTAGAGTCTATGGATACGCAGATGATGTCACAATGTCAATAAATTAAAAAAAAAACATTGAAATTGTTTAGTAATTACATTTTCTCGTGTGTCATTTCGTCAGGTCGTGAAAACAAATAAAACACTTAGAAGCTCTACCTAATATTTGAACGTGTAAAATAGAGTATAGCACAGACCCCAGACGGCGAATTTTTAATTGCTGAGAGCTTTTAGGGGCACCGTATATAACAGGATTACATAACAGGAATGGAAGAGAAACATGCCGTCAGTTTCCCATCTTATTTCCCACACACCTGACCTGATTCTGAAAATTAGCGGCTGTTTTTATCACATGTTCACATTTCAGTACTGATTTTAGGCTGGACCTATCGTGCTGAACTGTCAACATTTAAATGGATATATTACAGCATATTATAAACAACGTTTGCTTATTATGTTGTGCATAATCGTAAAAATCTGACGAGTAAATAATTCACTTTACCTGCACTTCACTTCGGCAGTAATATACTCCCAAGACTGCCACATTCACTAAAGTGCCAAACAAACGTTTCCACTGAGCACGACCATGCTCCAGCAGTACTTTATCCCAACTCCATAGATGCGCCATACTCGCAGCAGCGGCATACTGGCAATTGTATCATACTCGTAGCCAAACCATACTTCAAGCAGCACCATACTTCCATCCAGCGTTGCCATAAGGGCAGTTGAACCATACTCGTAGCAGAACCATACTTCCAGTACAGCCATACTGGCTGTTGTACTTTAGGAGTTCATGTAGTACCATACTCTATTCATCGTTGCCATACTGGCAGTTGTACCATACTCATAGCAGAACCATACTTCAAGCAGTATCATGATCCCATGTAGCGTTGCCATACTGGCAGTTGTACGATACTGCATGCTATACCAGAACCATACTCCAAGTACCGCGATACTGGCAGTTGTACTCCATTTATCGTTCCCAAACTGGCAGTAATACTATATTTCTAGTAAATTTCCATACTCTCTTAGCAGTACCTGTTGTTTGTAAGAGTGTTGCACATCCCACTAGTGTCATATTCCCTCCCAGCAGTACCTGCTTGACCATAATCTAGTGAGTCGTGATCACACAAAACACCCTAGTCTCTATAGGTATATGTGATGTTTATGTTATAAAACTTTTTGAATAAAATATATTACGCTTACAAATAAAGAATGAATTATTTTCTACAAATATTTTGAACAAAACACGTTGTCTATTCCGATTTAGTAAATGATGATAAATCATAAATGATAATATTTCGTTAAATTATCTGAATAACTTGTCGAGGTAGGATACGATACGTATAAATTTCAGCGAGTTGCTCAGTCATCCTAAAGATTGAAGAAACATATATCAATGTTTCGACTAAACATAATATATACTTTTAGTCCCAGTGTATATGAAATATAAAACGTCAGTGTTTTTAGTCCCAAAACTCTTCAGTGTTTTTAGTCCCAAAACTCTTCAGTGTTTTTAGTAAGTTTCTTCACAATCATCATCAGAGAAAAATAAATATTTAGCTATGCATCTGAACATGTGGTTTTGTTCTACATTCATGAAGTTCCGTATTGTAATAGGAGAGAATACAATTTTTGCACTTTCGTCTTACCCATTCACTCTCATCAACTCCTTCTGTAAGATCCTGTGGTAATGGTACGTCATCGTAATTGGTAAGTTTGCCAGACATTGCATTTAGTAGCTAAAAAAAATATTGAATGCAAACATTGTTGATATGAATATTTCACATAAATGTTTTCATGTCAATGTACTGACTTTAGTCAAAGGCAAAATGGACGACTTGCGTTTTAGACTAATTTTTGATCGAAGTAACCTGAAGAAAAATCATCACAGCTAGAAAGATCTTACTTAAATTAGTGCAAATGCAAAGTTTGGCTGCGAAATTTTGTAAAATACGGAAAATATAGCGATGCGAATTAAGTTTGGTATACTTTTGTATTACGCGCGGAAATGTGTAATGTGTTAATGAGAAATAATGTGAAATGTGTTACAAACTTCCGGCCGTAATAAAAAAGTATACAAAATTCGTGAACTTCGCATGGCTACTGATATTTTCCGTAATTTACAACAACTCGCAGCCAAACTTGGCAGTTTCACTAATTTTAGTAAGCTCTTTCAGAAAATGTCCTTTTTATCGCCGAGGTAAGAAATTAGTCTAAAGCGCAAGTCGTCCATTGAGAAAAAAGATACTCTCAAGACCCTCATCACCCATCATCACCCTTGATTACCTCTTCCTTCTTTTGTTCATCTGTTTTATATTCTTCAAGTTCAACATTGCTTTGATACTTCTTTACCACTTCAATCTTTGGTGCTTCACTCACTATCAAATTGAGTTATCCTTGAATTTTAATTATTTAATGATATTTGTTCAATGATGTACAATGATGTACAATGATACAAATCTTAACTGATTGACTGATATGGCAGGTTTGTTTGACGTTTTTTTTTTAGAATTTTTTTAAACTAAAAAAGCGAAATCACGCTGTCTGACAGACAGACATACAACAAAAAATACACATACATAATTTCATGCCAGACGGTCTCAAGCTAATCTTTCGTTGTTCCTTGTTTCCACCGCTTAACCAATCGGCAGCGTTTATTGCAGGTTCCCACGTGACTGTTGTGTCTGAAAATATGTCGTCTTGGAAATATTCTTTCTATGGAAAATAATACACATATGTATATAGCTATTGATTTAATTCGTATATGAATTATATAAATACATAGTACCGACCGTACATCTGAGGAACGTAGAATATGACGTAAATTCTGACCAATTATGTCAAACTGTTAGCACTTTCTCATTACCCAGACATGTGATTCTAAAAATTTTAGAAACCTACCTGAACTCGAGGAACTGAGACCACAAATGGTTCTATGTAAGTCTTTGTCAAACGTAATGCTTTCATGAACTCTACTTCCTTGACGTTACAAGATGTCTTCCTGAGGAATGAAACTGCCTAAAAGCATGAAAAAATTTTGATCAATTTCTAAAAACTGAAAGAGATCAAGAAGAGACAAATCCATAATGAAGTCAATGCTTCAAAGGAAGGGAACAATGACCAGGTAACTAGACAAGGTAACAATGGTAACAACTACACAGCATTTACTGCACTCACCTGGTGGGCTTCAGGAACTTTGATATGAGATAATTCAAAAAGATGCGGAGGTTCTGAGATGATCTCATAAGTAAATATGTTGGTGTCGCCCTGTCAGAAAAAAGTAAGTAATACAAGTAAACAAAATATAAGAAATTCCTGTTTCAGACGTCAAACTTTTCATGCGCCGAACCTAATATTAATGAACTAAAGTTCATTTGCATTCGATTCGGCACCTAACAGACAAATTAGCCCCGTTTACACTGCACTCGATTTATTGGCACGGCACGGCCAAAATGGGTACCCGTGCCCATTTCATCCGTGCCCGGCCTTTGTTTTGGTAGCCTGAGCACTAATAAAATTGGGCACGGGTACCCATTTTAGCCGTGCCGTGCCGATAAATTGACTGTAGTGTAAACGGGGCTATTTAAACACATATAAAAAATACAGCATATGGCTTCACTGGAAATGTTCAAGCTGCGTGGAAAACGTTCAATAAAAAATTTCAAACCGTCATAACGTTGTAGTAACTTTAATAATTTTCAAATATTATTAAAATGGTTCATCATTACCTGGCCATCATATTACCTTAGAACTTAAGAGGCATACTCCAGTGTCCGGGTCCATATAAGGGATCAGGGTTGATGGCGCATTATCAAGTTCCACTCTGGAAAGTTCTTTCATTAGGTCCCGCGAATCGTACAGGGATATTTGCCGACGTTTCGACCTGCATGGATGGGGTCGAGTTTAATTTATAAAACATGATACGAAATTGAATATTTTGACACCTTTTATGCCTGGTTGCCATTGGCTGTCGCAATCTAGATCGATTGTTCCCTTGGGTAGGTGTTGTGAACTGCCAAGAAAGGTATACCTTTTCTGCACGACTACGATGGAGGGGATCAAGGGTCGATCAAGGGTCAACTGGTGTTTCTACCCCCACCCTCTACAAAACCACACTGGATTCATCCCTGCGGTTAAAACGGGTTATCTGCTCGTAAAAACACCTAGAGACGGGTTCGGTCCAGTACATGTCGAAATGATCCGGTTACGAGGACGGGTCCAGTGTTGTTATCATTTAAGAAAAACGGATTTCTTATGTCTGCTTTTAGATCAAACACAATTTTACATTGTTTTGTGTAGTTCGACCCGACACGTGAACATTCATATAATTGCACCTCTAACGATACCTGTCAAATCCAGTAACAAGAAGCCAGTCACCATAAGGTCCCGCCCAAGCAATACGACCACCTCGGCCACCAGCAGGGCCTGAGCCCAACTAATTCAAAATAAAAGATATCAAATGAGTACATTTTGAATTTTTTACTGTATATGTTGAGCAGACCTGTCAAATGAAATCACTCCCTTCTATGGCAATCTCTTGAACCCCGATCTTATGTTGATAAATAACCCGGGTCAACCTGGTACACCAAGGCTCTTATCTCATGGGACGTATAAGAACCGTTCTACGAGATTAATTTGAAATAGACTTCATACTCATGGAGCAAACGAGCCCTCGTTAAGAGATCTAACTCTTCTCAACAATTCTTCTCAATCCTGAATCTTTCGTGTTTCTATATTCTTCGTTTGCATGTGATATCATAATTTATCATTAGATGCTATCAATTGGTTGATTCAACAAAGTCTGTCTTCAGGAGAACAAACTAAGGTTTTCGTTTTTTTAGAATTATGCAACATTTGTTGGCTTTTATTTAAGGTGATATTTGGCGGCCTTTAAAATATACAGTAACGATAATAATATGATTTGTGCACAAGCATCGAAAAATTAACCATGATAACCTATTCGTTCATATAGTATCGGCTATGCATGCACAATTAAAAATTCTAATACATTATAGCTATAAATGCGTATTGTAAGTAATAAATAATGTTTTTTCTTCTTACCCCTTGTGAAGATGTACTTGCTCTTGGATCAAATAATCTGATATTCTGATCACGGGAAAAGGTTGCTAACAGGTCCCCAGTGTTCTTCCATGCGAAACTAAATAACTAAATTTATAGATTTTTTGCCATAAGAATCACTTCCCAGAAGGAGGGGAGGGGGGTGTTGACTCATAAAGAGGACGGAGCCAAATTGTACCTTCTCGATGAAGCTCGGTATAACCGACCATTGCGCCAAAAGGTGCGTGAAGACTTATTAAACACACGGTATATTGATTCATTTGATTGACTCACCGGTTCAAGATGTCCCCCAAGTGAAAGTGCAACCGTCTCCTTATTCACATCCCAAATATTTACAGATAGATCATAACTAGCTGACGTGAGAATATTGTTGGCCGTAGGATGATAACGCACGATCGTTGGTCGATCTCTATGTCCTGCGGTCACAAAATAGCAGAAGAAACATATTACCATGATCATGAATAGGTATAGTTTTGTATTTGAAGGTAAATAAAAGGAATTGAGTTGATAATATGATCATTTCATTGATTTATTTCTACCTGGAAACACATAATTTAAATGAAGAATAAGCTGGTGACTTGAATGAGATGATCCTATAACTCTCGATAATAGTACTTCTGTAACCTGTTTAGAAAGCTACTCTGCTCAGAAGCTCTTGTCTATCTTCTGACGTAGTATTGTCGCTAAGATCTTGATAACCTGATTACCAAACCAAAAAACAACTCATAGGAAAATATACTTTATTTTTTACCTTTGAGGACCGCGTTCGGTTCATCTGTTGTTTCTTTCAAGCCATCAGCACCAGTTTTCCATAATTTAATGCTCCCATTTTCACAAGCTTCACCGGAAAAGAAGTCGCAAGTTCAAAAAGAAGCGCTAGTGTCAACGTTTTTCTGTCAATATTCAATCCTTGAGACATTTCCTTGAGACATTTATGCTCAAGAAGGGGCGTAACAATAGAACGATAATGGGGGGGGGGGGATGAATATTCATATATTCAGTTCTGCCCGACGGATTCCTATTGTAAGCTATTGCACTTACAATAGAAATCCGTCTGGCAGAACTGGATATATGAATATTTACCCCCCACCCCCATATTATCGTTCCAGTTACAACACTGCGCTCAAGGTTTATAATTGACAATATTATCCCGCCTACTATTAGTACTATACTGTCCAAAATAAGCAACGAGCAGTATCATCTTCGAAGTTTAAATAACTTCTTCGTTTACATATATACTGGTGTACATACCTACAGCTATCGTTTCCTCATCAAATGGATTCATGACAAAGTCCATTACTGTGCATTTATTTTCTAATACGGGAAGACCGGTTTCAGGGAGACGACCTGTGTTAGCCAACTAAAGAACGAAATTTTAATTTTGCTATACATGTATTGTGAATTCGCAAGTTATCATACAATCAAATTGAAGAAATAACAAACAAACCTCTACGACAGCAATTTTTCCTCCTGGTCCCTCGAGGGGTATCGCTGCACGTTTTGAGTTGCACTGAAAACCATCGCATTCCCCAAAGATTGAGGTGTTGATGTTCCTCACGTTTTCAATATATTGACTGCGGTGCAACGCTGAGCCCTTAAGATGACGGAATTTTGAATGATATAAACTTAAAAAGGTTTTGTGTGGCCTTTTGTATGTTGCCGATGTATCAGAGGACCCAGAATCTGGTTGAGATTTGATTGAAGTTGGGGTATTAACTTCTTTGGACGCAGAAGACGAGACTGGAGGTGGGGCAGCTTCACTCTGAAATAATATCTTTATGTTAGCAATTATATCTACCAAGGATTGTGACAAAGTACATGCACATTAACTATATAGGCATTGAATATACAAATATAAAAAAAGGCAGTGTTTGTCAGTCAAACAAGTAGATTTGCATGTCCAGCTAAAAAAAAAATTGGCATGAAAAACAAGTCAAACAAATAATGTCGATAAGACTGTATCGTGTGATCGTAGTACGATGACGAGTAATCTTGGATTGTCTGTACCTTGACAGGTTTTGGTTTTTCTTGTTGAGATTTGACTTTAGCAGGTTGGTCATCTTTTTTCTTCAGTTCTCTTACTGGTCTTTTCGATGGATCTAAACTTATCTTTGATCTCTGGTAAATACATAACAAATCTTATGTCATGTCTTTACAATGAAATCTAGCCGTTACAGAAATAATCACCTACAAAATTCCTGCTACGGCGTCTAATTTTAGCTTTAATAGTTCGTTTTCAATCATAAGTTCCATGCAATGATTAATAGTTACGTATACCTCTGTATTTCCACCTTGGAACCATTCCTCTGATGTCATGGCAGGTTCCCAACTGTGTGTATCAGGAAACAGGTCAGCATGAAATTCACGATATGACTAAAGTTTCAAGTAGACGTTTTTCAATTTGAAGCACATCTAACAAATTTTAGTAATATTTGCGTGTTCACCTCGTTCATACCTAATGCACCATGCACCACCCTTAATACCAACAAGCCCTTCGTTTGCGGCACATGCAGTAATCGGGCCTGTTAGTACTGCTAGTGAGAGTGTACTGAGCTCGAAAAAGCTCTACACAACTTGCCACAAATGCCATATATTGTGACAAGAAATTAGAACTCAGTACAAAATTATATACTTTAATATATTATTATGAACTGTTGTTTAGTAGACGACCGACGACGATTGGAATATTTTGCATCTAAAATTTCAGGCTACATGCATGTATCTAGCAGCTATCCAATGGAGGGTTTTCAAAATAAGATAAATGATGGTGGAAATCGGAATAAAAACGGATTGTTTAAAATTTGTTTCAAAATGAATCATGGATTTAACCTTTCTAGGCACGCGGTAACGTATAGGCATAATAGAGGCTTTTGTTAGAACCATGAGACGTAGAACTTCTCCAGACATAACATCCAGTGCAAGCTTAGGGATCAACGTTGCTCCTTTTAATTGCTCTGTTACACGATGAGTGGACACTAAAGAAGATAAAAAATAGTTGTTGTTCCCGGTCGTATTGAAGTGTGTCTTCACGAACAACTGTGAAATATCAACTTTAAAGTAAAAATTATCTCTGCTCACGTTTGCACACATTGCATTAAATATGAACAAAAAATATATGAGGCCATGCAAAAATGAGGTACCATATCGAGAGAAAATATTTATAGTAAACGTTTTCATGAAAAAGATCATGATGATGAGTGCAAAAATCCTCAGGCGGGAAAAGTAAAAACCTATTAATAACGTATGAATTGTGAACCTTTTTTGAATCTAATACTGATATACAGCATTATTACCTGGATTTAAATGTGGTGCGTTACTTTTTACTTCAATGAAGTGTACACTTGTTTCACCCTAGGGAATTCAACATATTTAAACAGGAGCACAGAAAACCACTGAAATTCGAATCACAAGATCTGTCTGAAGTAAAATACGTCTAAATACTACGAAGTCTTCTTTTGATTCATTAGATTTAATCCCACAATGTTTCCTGTTACAAATTAGCCGACGAAAACCAGACTGTGTGGCTTTTGATTTATTGGCGACAAAAATATTACCTTGGCAGCCAGTAGTAACATGTTAGTGTCTTGATCATAAAACATCATTGGTATCCTATAAAGATTAGAATTCTTGCCATTCTGAAAACGGTAATTATCTCTTACGCACTCAATTTTTGGTATGCGTACAAAGCACTGAGCTATACTATAATTCTTGGAGGGAGTACTCCTTGAATTTCAGTAACTTCGCCGCCATCTTTTTTGCTTCACTCGATGATGGCGAGCACTCCATCCAGGAATTATAGTATAGCTCAGTAGAACAAAGGCTCGTTAACGTCAGCGGTATATTCTTTGGTTACTTTTTCTTACCCGGATGAAGACCCCACCGGCAACTGCTTTAAACTAGTTGATAGATTACGTGTATCCCACATTCCAAGCTCTTGTTGTCGTGACTAAAATATCATAGTTTAATATATATACAATATTGAAATCATCAGCAAATTTGTTTACATTTTTCAGGCTGAGCCAATCAGAATGGCTAAATTTATTTAAAATGAGCACAGGGGAAAAGGAAATCGAATCGCTCTGTCCTATAAAAGATCTAAGTGACGTCATGGACGTTTAAGGAAGGATGATATTTAATAATGACCTTGTTAATCCCAGTTGCAAGGATCTGATCTTCATTTCCAACCCACTGCACACGAGTTTCCTTTCCTCCACCAAATGCTGTAGTCTCCTGTAATATTTAACGCACGCATAGACATATATAAAAGCCTTGATAGTGACATTTTCTTTATTCTATACAACATGCAAAGAAAAGTCAGCTATGAATCCTCGCTATCCTGCTATGAATTCTCGCCATATTTGGATTTTTGTCAACAAATATCTATGAACAAAACCGAGGCGCGCAAGATGAAATTCAACCCTCCGAACACTGTTTGCTGAAATGCAAGTTTAAGGCTGAATAGTCGTCTGCGTCTATAGACATTCTCTTGCTTATCTGGCTTATTTTTTCATCTAATAATTCAAGCTAAAAGACGTCGACAAATATGTTAGTAAACGTGGAATGTCACACATTATGGGCACTGTTTGTTTCATTTTTGTTGATAAAAATACTCGGTTTCAAAGCTTAGTCAGTGCACACTCAATCTTTATCCTGCATTCCTTTATCTGTTTCTGCATGCACACGTCTCAAAGATCAAAAGATAAAACCTACTTCGAACCCCTATAGACTCTAGAGTCTAGAACAAGTTGTTCGGACATATGATTTCCAGATTTGAAATATTCTTAGCTAAAATCATTCCTGAAGGCATATAATATCTTACTTGTGCCAGTACTGAAGTACGTGGATCAATTATCCGGATCTTTTTATCCTACAAAATATTAAAATTATGTTTACTGTACATGTGTATTTCAGCTCACTCCCAAGCTTTCGATTTTCAACACTGACCATTTACATCAAGTAACACAATATAACCTATGTGTTTTATACATGTACATGGTACACGCCCAAAAAGGTTCAAGTTGTTCTCGGTTGATGAAAACATCGCTGTGATACATCTCGAGAACATAGTTGTAATCAAGCAACTAACAGCGGCACAACATTGCTTAGGCCCTGTCCACATGTATCCGGTTACTTTTAAAAACGGAGGTTTTTTATCCGTTATTTGGCCTTGCGTCCACATGTAAACGGCGTTTTCGGTTTTCGAAAACGCTGTCCAGAGTGGAGTTTCTCGTTCCGCTGTTTTATCAACTGGGAGCTGGGAACAACTTAAGCGTTTTAATTTACAGCCTTGTATCCAATTTCACAAAATTGCTATATTAGTCTCTTACACTTTATTCAAACCCATCCAGTTAGTTTACGCTTTCCTGTGAATGTGACTGGAGGAAAACGATCACTGTATTTTAAGTGAATGATCAGCCAAATTTCCACGCACGGGAAACGAACACGCAACTCATAATATAATTTATAAGATACATTCTCTTATATAGGACAGTTGGTCTAGTGTACCTTGCATCCTGTTGCAATTTGACTGCCATCTTCTTTCCATGTGATACTTTGAACAATATCACCATGTTCGTTGAAAGCTTTTTAAACGGAATTTTAGGATATAAGATTAACGTTAGGATTTGTTTTAGGGACGTTAGAAAAAGAGTAATAATATTAAGGGCAAAGATTATTATATCGGGGGTGCTTGGGGAGGTTGGTTTAGCGCTACAGAGAAAAGTAGAATGTTGTTGTTGGTCGATAGTTACAAATTTTGTCTTTGCCACGTGAGATATCCCATATTTTAACATCATTGCCAGCAATAGAAGCCAAAACCTTGTAATAAAAGTATAGAGGTGATGATCCCAACTGTAGAAAAGTTCCAAGAAAACTGCTTATTCATTACAAGGTAAAAACGGAAACCACGCATTCAATTATTGTTTAGCTAGGATGCCATTGTTGCGGCTAAACAAGGTATCCCGGTTCCGCTGGAAAGCCTAAATTCCTTAAAATTTAGCCTAGATTCATTAAAATGGGTGATTTTGATCTTGCTTGACTATGAGGTGGCCTGCTACCAGTTTTTAACACGGCTAACAACGCTCAAGTTATTTCTTGTTGATAAAACAATGCTGCGCTGCACCACACAACATGGTTGTTATCAAGTTGCAACAACTCGTTGTAGGAGAAAGCCTAAATTCCCTCGGAAAATTTAAAACTTACATTTTCAGCAGCAGGGTTGAATAAAACAGCTTCCACGGGTTTCTATACATAGAAAACAATTCATTATACTTTTATATACTTTTTATTATTAAATTTTTGTATACTTTTTTGTATTACAGACGGAAATTGTTACCATAGTAAAAAAATGTGCAAACTTTGCAAGGCTATGTTTCCCTAATTTTACAACATTTTGCAACCAAACTTAATTGCATTTTAGTACGCTCTTTTCAGCCGTGATTGCAATGTCACACATAGATAAAAAAGTAGTCGTATAACGTAGTAGTCTATAATGAAAAAGTCTATTGTTCTCTTTCAAATCGGTAGTAATGACTATCTGTGAACATCCGTAATTCTGCAGTTATAGATGGGCATGGTTAACAATTATATAATCATTTTTATAGCCAGTCACACTAAACCAAAAACTTTTTTTAATTTAGATTCCACCCTTAGACTCTACAACAAAATAAGTTTTTACTTCCTTTGATAAAATACACTAGTACAAGTAATATAAGTACTAATACAAATGGTTAAAATCTTGTTTTCATGTTGACACAGCCGAACATTTTACCTGTTTACTCAATGTAAGTTCTGGATTAGAGATATCATCTGCATTATGACTTTCTGGAATGGTCCAAATCTTTATCTACAGGAATGCAATGTACATAGGTATGAACATGTTTTTTATGGTAATTGGAAAAGACATTTTTCTCATGCAAAATAATGTGACCTACTGAGCAATCTTTAGAGCATGTGGCTAATAGAGATTGATTAAATGGAGAAAAGCTGAAGTCATTCACAAAATCTAAAAAGCATAATAATAAGTTCCTTTTCAGGAGAACAATATGAAGAAAAAACTTGTAAATTACAATGTTAAAATATGTTAATTAACAATTTGAATTCAATAAAATATAAAGAAAGGAGAAATTGCTAGCATTTCCTCCCTATCCAATGGCCATACTTCTGACAACAAAACAATAATACTATACATGCATGTGTCCAGATTTTTAAGCACTTTGTTCCCTTTATACTACCATCCAAAAAAATTATATCTGTCTTGCATTGACATTAATACCTATTATGGATTCTAATTTTCAAGTTACCTGCATGAGATGACAATACAAGAGGTTGTGACTTTTCTTTTTCTTGATATGGCAACACAGATAAGTGACCTCCTTTTAATTAAAAATTATAATTACTTAGTACACAAGTAAAATATGAATGAGAGTATGAAGACAATAAGACAAAGTGTGTTCTTGATGGAAATTTAAAACATGAGTCTGAATTAAGTTGGAGCTACTGTAATATGTAGGAATACGTTTTTCTCTTTAGTCTATGTAAAAAGCCATCTATGTCACGGTTAATTTGAACACAGAAGGCACAGTTATTCTAGCATAAAAATATTAAATTAATTCTGTGATATCCAACATATTAGAAATGACCAATTACTATAAAATGAGTAACTACCTTGTCCACCATCTGTGTTGAATGCTAAGAAAGTAGAGTTTGCTTTAATATGAGTTCCAAATGAATCAACATCACCAACTTTGATCCCTCTTATGCAATCCTAGAAAACAATCTTGATTAGTATCAAATAAGCACTTAATACAGTTATCATTTATGGCAACACCACCACCAAACCTTTCCTTGATTATACCACAACCATCTATAACTACTGACTTGTGAAAGATGCATCTTAAACAGACCACCCTGCTTATATATAACTGTGAAGAATTTGGATGTAAATTTTAATTTTTGTTGTAACATAATAAAAAGTGGTGCAAGCCAATTAGGGGCACAGCAGCATACCTCCCTGCAAATTCTTGGAATTTCACACTCTCTAAAACCCTGTCTGCATTTCAGACTGGATTATGTTTTTGTAAACTACCAACTATTTCAGTAAAGTTCCCCAGTCCTTGAATACAAATTGCCAGATTCTCAAGTGCAAATTCACTAATTGTGCTCATCTTGCTATGCAACTAACCATTTTAATTCAAAGGGTATTAATAAAATTAATAACTACTAATACTAGATTTGTACTAAAGACTAAATAACAGTGGATTAAAGTTAAAATATAGCCAAACAATAAGCATAATTTTATAATAAAGGCTTTCAGCACACAGCTACAGTCCCCTCCCCCCATTGTTTTGATTGCAAACACCTTGTTCTGGTAGTTGTCAATAATGTCAAACATGCTGGCCTTTAGCTTTTTAGGAGTGGTGACAATGACCACCGCAGCCATGCATGCAGAAAATTTTCCCATAAACACTAGGTCAGGACTTTCTTCTCTAAGTTTGTTAGTGCTAGTATTTTGTCATCAAAATGGCCTTTCATAAATTTTAAAATCACCCAATTGAAGTAAGCCCACACCTATAATCGTTGTTCCTCATGAAAGATATTAGTCATATTATTCGTTCTATACAGAAATATTTTCTGTATTTTGGGTGACGGTAAGTACATGAGCCTCAGTTTCGCTTGTGGCGGCGTACAACGATACCACTTTTAGTGCACTTAAATTGCACAACCGTGCAAAACATATATATTCATTATATTGTATTAAATATTTGTATTAAAAGCGAAATACTATTACTCAGTATAATTAAGTTATTTAAAAAACACCTATGCAGGCTATGCAATCATAATTTACCTGTGTCTCTGGATTCTTCGGTGTTGCGTTCTTGTATTTCCATGTTTTAAATCGACTCATGTTAAAGTGGAAGAGGAAAAAAATACTGAAATGTCAATGAAACTGAATGTAAGTCTGAAACGACAAGTCAATAACAATTTTTCTTACTTCCGGTTCCTCCGCGGCGCGTGGACGCCTTCGTGGATGTTTTCGCGTGGATTTTGGAACAACGCGAACGAAGCGAACGAACAGTCCGAATTCATATTCGCCAAAAAATGGCAAATACGACCATGGTCATATTCGCCGGAAAATGGCAAATACGACCATGGTCATATTCGCCGGAAAATGGCAAGTACGACTATGGTCATATTCGGCGGAAAATGGCAAATACGACCATGGTCATATAACTCCGAACCCATCGAACCAGATCAATGGTCCGAAGTCCGAACATGTACAACTTTAGCGCACGCGCTGAACGGAGTTGTTGAAATACAGTATGACAGAAAGTTTGAATAGCAATTTTGATTTTTGAAACAAAAACGGTTAAACAAACATTCGTTAAAAGCGTCCTAGCATTAAAGCACAGATCGAAATTATTATATTTTTGGACCAGGATCTGGTCCCTAACCGCTGCTAATCTTCTTCTTCTTCTTTTTGTTAGGGGGCGACGCTCTTTGAAAAAACCCTAAGGCTCTATCATTACTTGTTTGATCGGAATGAAACTTGGCACAATTATTCTAAGCAATATTCCGCATCGATTGACGGAGTTCGAATTTTTCAGTACTTTTGACCGTTGAAGCAAGTTACAAGCAATTCTTGACTATACAGTATGTGCAGCAAATGATAAATACATATCATTAATATTCAGCCAATATATCATTAATATTCAGCCTGTATAAGAATACGCAAACAATTAGAAATACATTGTCCTCTCTATTGTTGTAAATATACAATGCAGTTCAGAAACTCGGTCACGCAGTTCCTGGTCCACTATACAGGGTGTCCCAAAAAAACCGCAACCACTTAAATATGCAAGAATTTTAATATTGTTCGGGTTTGCACCATAGTTCAGCTAAAATGACTTTTAGCATTGTAAATGAAGGATTAAGAGCCATTTTCAATTCCCAGAGGTGCTTATCTATTGCGCTTTAGAGCTGTATTAATGTTCTGCATATTTAAGTGGTTGCTTTTTTTTTGGGACACCCTGTAGTACGATCGTACTTGTTGTTCAGAACAAAAGTTCAAACCAAAATTTACATAAATAGTATACACAATTACAATACAACGAAAGTTTAATTGTAGCGGTTGGTTAGTCCTTGTATATTGCGTAGACATTTGCCATACGAGTCAACTTTAATGAACGTCATCAGTAGTCTGAGGTACTCGGTTCTAACTTTCTCACAGTTTGAAAATGCAGCTATTATGCCTCCCGTTTTGTTCTTGAATGGAATTGGGGGCTCCAAATTTGGCCGTTTCTTGAAGGCGGGAGTGGGAAAGTCGGAATCGAGTCTGTAGCTTCGTAACAAATGAAACTGTGACATGTATTTTTGGTTTTTTAAAACCGGCGTGTACACTGGGTTTTCTAATATTGTAAGTATTCAAGGAATATCTTTGTTTGGAGGTAGAGGGTACGGGTCGCGCGCGTGAACTATAAATGCATGGGCCTCTTTGATCCGGTTCCGGTTAGATGTCACTTCACAAGCAACTGGGCATTGCCCTCTGTCGGTTCCTTTTTTCAAAAAGCCTTCGCTTACTGTTGGGGTGCGTTTCCATTGTCAACTGCATCGGGTACTCGAGTGAGATTTAGTGCGTCGAATGTGTAACGTACTGAAGGAATCTTGCTGCGTCGTCTTGCTGATATATTTTTGAAGAAAGAGAAGAGCATAACAGCACTTCCTGTGGCGATGAGAATGGCGATGAGGAAACGTTTTTTAAAACGTTGTATGAACATTTCGTTGAAAGCTTCTTGAGACGTGGCCGTCAGATGAGTGATTAATTTATTCTCCTGTCGGACAACCTGTATCGGAGGAATAGAGATATTATACGATCACTTTTTTTCTAATAGTCTAATACCTCTAATATCAATAACATATTGTTATTGTGGCAATAGTTATTAACAACCAAAAGATTTATAAAACTGATATACCCAATCATATTTGTTTGTCAATGAATGTTCTCCAATGAAACACAAGAACGCTATAAAACGACACGACCTTAAATCCCTACCCGCAGTATACACATACGACAACTTTCACACCTTCGCCTGGACAAAAACTGAACTACTGGGACGAGCACGAACAAAACACGCACGTGAATTCAAAGAAGCTTGGTTTAGTACAGACGACAATACTATTAACAGACATATCGATATTCCTGCAGTCTATCTGCAACTTAAGACAAAACGTAAGGACTCTATCAATAATCACATTAATGTAACTAATAATAACTTAAATCCACCCGCATCTGATACACAACAATCTAATCATTCCACAGCGACCATCCCTGACAACGAAATGCAGTCAACCATGACAACGCATCCCTCAACTACCACTCATATCAGATCAACTTAAAAACAACCAATCAGACGCTCTCAACGTATACAGAGTCTTAAAGAACAGCGCGAAACATAAATATATAAAGCTATACACATGTAAATAATTTAGATATTCTGAAGAAGACTCGAAGTACCGAGTCGAAAGCTCAATAAAAAACAATTTTAAATCCGGAGAACATTCATTGATAATATATATTATATATATATATATAATATATATATATATATATATATATATATATATATATATATATATATATATATATATCCCCACGAACAAAAATTCGCGAACAAGTCATTCAAATTTTAACAATAGTTGATTTCAATAGTTTTCGGGTTTTGGGGACACCCTGCACAGGTAATCCCCACAAGCAAAAATTGCGAACAAGTCAAGTAACTCAAATTTTAACAACAGGTGATTTCAATAGTTTTGGGTTATTTTAAACACCTGTATATGGCCTTCTGTACAAGTACGTCCGACGTGATGCTTCAAATTACTCTCATATTGTATAAGCATGGCAAAATTACTGTATATGCTGATTAATCAAGAGGAGTGCAGTTCTTTTGTTAATTGTACCGCAGGGTGTATGAAAAAAAGACTCGAAAAAAAGTCACGACTTAATATTCATATTGTTATTAAGCACAATAGTACAATAGTGCCTCTTTTTTTAACAGACTTTAGGTCTTTTTGAACCAAAAGATCGAGGTCCCATATTTCTCGGTAAAGACCGAGCAAGCGAGGTTAACGAGGTTAGTAAAAAGTTTATCTATATGGCATAAGGCGTATTTGCACTTGAAGGAAACAAGAAATGCATGAATTCGCATTAGTAGCCTGGTACGCATTTGATAAAATTAAAAACAAAATATTATTATATCGATTATTTTTTCGAAATTAATATATCCAGGTACAGGGTGTATACTAAAACAATTAGACAACTCGCCTTCGTTGTCTATTCGCTCATAGACAACTCGGACTCGTTGTCTAATTCAGTGTTAAAGTAGAAACACGCTTCTTGACCAATCAGCACGCGCGTACTATAAATGTTATATTATAATACGCATTGTTATATTGGTGCTGTGTATTAAATGTGACTGGTTCTTTCGTAGTCACATGACTTTGAATAAATACAATGTTTCCCACCAGGGAAGCAAGTGAAAAATTGTTGCCCGCATTTTTTCAGAACAAATTATTATTTTTTTTTTGGAACAAGATTGTCAGTGTGTGACATGTATGTTTTAATTCCTAAATCCTATATAACAAAGCACTTAACTGGCTTTGACAGCTGTTCGGACGATTGCTTGGTAAATTGGATTATATATTTCAAATGAGGCTATTTTATACTCTTTGGTCAGTGAGTAGCGAAAATGTGCTTAACCTGACTAATCCAGCGTGGTCACCGGCATACCCAGGTTTTTCAGATCTCCAGTCCATGGGGCCGGTTGTATAAAACTCGAATCCTAGTTACCTCAGAGATATATACACAACTCTGATTGGCCAATTCTGTCCTTAGCTACAGTTAAAAGTTAACTAGTCTTTTATACAACTGGCCCTGGTCTTTTAATGTGAAGTCGACACCCGTTGTTTGAAGATATAAAGCGCTTTATGTAACAGCTACCTTACAAACACTACCCTAAAATTTTACTTGAGAGAAGCTGCGTGTTAAAGGCCCGCAATTTTAAGAGACCTCCAGCTGATAGCGCGTTGTTATCGGTTGCTCCACCCACTAACTTATTCTATATACAGGCTTTACAGCACAGCGTTTCCAGACGGTTGTCTAAACATTGTGTGGCAAAGCAGGGTACTTTATATTTAATTAAAAAGAAAATACTCTAGGTTACAGATATCCTTCAAAGTGGTGAAAATACTGCATTAAAGGTACGCAAAGAGTTTCATTGACATTTGGTTTTGATATTTGTAACAGATAAACAAATAATCCTAGATTCCTAGTTCATATCGTTTGTTGGAGTGAAGGACTATTGAACTTTCTTGAACTCAACTATTTTTAATACACTAAATAAAATATTTGTATTTTCAAATATTCGTGTCAAATGATATTTAAGATACTCTATCAGGTTCAATAGAGGTAATAATCTAGCGTGTCTTTAATACATCTATCTGGCGACACACGAGGTTGTATTTTATTAAATACTTTAACTACCTGTTTATAGCAGTTGTTATAATTAATTGATAGGGTCGTGCGATGTCACATCAGTAATATGACTACAGTCTACATGCTTAGGATTAAGTTACTAGAAATAATCCTAATGCTTTTCATTGAATATATTTACGTTTAGGTAATCACTGCCGCTTATGTGCATATTGTAGCCATGGATATGCACTAAAATATTATGTTGCAAGAGTCGATTTTCCTATGTAAGCCGCAATGTTTACACTTACAGACTAGAATTGCAAAGCAAAATTTCAAGTTGTATTTAAATATAAAGCGCAGGTTGAAATATCAGGACAGAATTAGGGACAGCTAGTGTAAAACTCCAATGTTTCGATAGTTTGATTTGCTTCCTTTAAGGCTGTATTTCTTTTCGCTTGAAATGCAATGGCCAAAGCCAAAGCGTTGACGTTGTTACTTGTATATAATAATATATTGTTGTTTTGGTGTCAAATTCTTCCGACTGCTCGTTCTGTTTCTTAATTAGTCTTGTCAGTGATGTGCGCTGCATTTGTGAAATGGAAAAATGTTTTGCAATATATCGAAGAAGGATTTTCGTTGTTTATGCACATTTTATAGTAAATATTCTAAACACGAAAGATGCATAATATATCTATTGTCATTGATATGATTGTGTTCTCGAAGTACGTAATTTTGAATAAAACAGCAGGTGTAATTAGGCATTGTCAGTGCCAGTAGTGTTTATACAAAAATTCGTATTTTACCACGCATATAACCTTCGGCAATATTTTGTAATATATATCAACATAGACGACCGCGCTGTTCAAAACGCGGTTTGCTAGTGAAACAAGAACTCATGAGTCATGTCATAATATAACTCATAACTAGGTTCGCCTAAAGGCCGGGCGGTGGTATTGGCAAAAAGTCATTCGTGGCCATTGGCGTAAGCCAGTTGCTCTCGGACGCGGGCGACTTTTCCGGCGACGTTTGGCACGAATGACCGAAGAGCAACTGGCTTACGCCAATGGCAATGGCCACGAATGACTTTGCTAAGCACATAGCTCTAGTGTGCGCCGGCCTTTATAGTTACACTTATAATAAGCACCGCGGTCCACGTGTATAAAATTTTATAAAATTTTAAGAAATAGCTGCAAGTTCGACAACAGGTAAAACAAGTTGTTGAAAGTATTTCGGTTTCCGGACCAAATGCAATGCCAGTCTAATACTTGTGATTGGCATTTTCTGACAGATCGATTATTAAACATCTGTTAAAAATTCACTAGCGGCAGCATGCAAACTGTCCAAACAGTATGTTAAGGCTGGTTTCAGACGTCGAAATTTTCATGTGCCGAATCAATTCAAATAAACCTAGCATCAGTTCGGCACTACATGGTCGTCTTGTTCACATCTAAAGGTTCTTAGCGAAAAAGCGATCGCGATGCAGGGAGAAGTGAAGAAGGTTGCAACGAAGGCTAATTTTTTCACAAGAAACTGGGGATCCAAATAATTAATTAATTTCAGAGACAGAAAAAGAGAAAAGTGAAGTCTAGGTTGTTCTAAAGATCAAACACAGGAAATTCGAGTTTTTGAGGAAGGACTTAGGGAGACAATGTGTACAATGTCTTCTTACCTTTACCGGCTCAAGAGCAAGTGAGATTGATCAGTGTCGAGCCGGCTGTTACAAATGTAAGGCAAGTCACCCAAATGTATGGCGAGCAGTATACACACAATTATAAATGGCTTTGTATGCAAATGCCAAAGTAGGCAAATCATATCTTATATATGCAAGAAAATATACTCCGTGACAAATTTGAAACAACAATATCGCGTAAGGGCCGTTCACAAAATGCGTGACGCTCTCATAGATATGGAAGGGTGTTTGAGAGAGTGTCACAGTGCTACGTCAGGTGCCAGGATGAGATCGTTTGATGACAAACTCGCAAAATAATTGTCGTTCTTACGTGCAAAAAGTCGACCAAAGCCCATTTAAATGCTAGGAAGAATGTTTGTCGCAACATTTTTGTCACTTCGCTTCGCGCGAAAAAATTCGCTTGGTAAAAAAACGGGGCTTTTATATTAACGAATCAGATATAAAGCATCTTATACTGTGTGTATGGGAGTCTACTATTAAGGCTAGTTTCCACTCAGGAAAATTCTCCTTTGGATCGGAACGGACAGGAAAATTTCCTTTGTCGGTGAGTTCCCAGGTTGCATTTATACAAAGGAAACTTTCCTGTCCTGTCCGATCCAAAGGAGAATTTTCCTGAGTGGAAACTAACTTTTAGAGAGAGAATTATTGATATTCGTTACCAACGTCACAGAAGGATACGCGGTTGACAAAAAATGGCCAAAAGAGTGTCACGTTTTTTCGTGAACGGCCCCTAACTAACATACGTTACTGAATATTAGCTTGATGTCACCAATGATCTGGAAAAAGTCAAAAAGGTACTATAGTATATTTGGCTGTCTTTATAATTGGGCAGTGCAACGACCGGGCGTGACGTGTGATGCAAAATAGTTCTAAATTAATGTATTCATTTCACTCATTTTTACCTTATTTATGTAAAGTATACCTGCATGTGCGATCTTAAGTCTTAACAATTAAATAACAAAATAATATTTGCGGAGACGAAGGCTGTCTGATGGATACACTGTTTTCGTACACAATCGCACGGAGCACAAAAACTATATCTATGACTATGTACTAGCTTCTTTCGCCCAAACGAAATCGATATTTCCAAATTTTGACCGATGTAGCTGTAGCCTGCAGGGCAACTCCATGCATGAGCCGCCCATGAAATTGAAAATTAATTATTCCTGCATGCCATGTTATCCTGAAAAATATTTTTCTTTACATTGCCCAAGCTAATATTTATCTTTTTCGTCAATTTCGTGTCTAATTACTTTTTAATTTTAAAAATTCTATCTCATATATACATCAATATAATCAGATAAACTGACAGTTAACATAACTTAAATACTGCATGGCTTAGAGCTGTTTTCCACTGTCCCGTTTTTTGTACGTACGTATACGCATGTAAAAGTTTAAAATAATTTAAATGATACATAATCGAATTTTGATGCATAGGGTTGAATTCTGTCGATGATTTGCTGTGTTTTTTCTGGCATGTACGTACGTGCAAAAAGCACGGCAGTGGAAAGCAGCCCTAAGCAAGGCCTAACCAGAAGCGTTCGGCATAAAAGAAGGGATATTTGCTCCGCAACCGAAGGCGACATCTCCGGTGACAATTCACTTTAAAAAAATAAGTCATTTCTCCTATTGCATTGTGGTATGGCACGTTATTGTGTCATCTGTATCGTTTGTGTAGAACATCATCAACACTGACAGTCAATGTTTGGGTTCGTAAAGTATACTCATCATTACCACAGAATACCTATCAGAAGTAGAACTCCTGTACTTTTTTCGTAAGTGTGATTCGTCACATAGCAAGTGCATTAAATTGAGGCAATCACCCCCCTGCGAATGTCTAAAATGACACCATTTTTTATATTGGCAGGGGGGTGATTGCCTCAATTTAATGCACTTGCTAAGTGACGAATCATGACGAATCACACTTACGAAAAAATAGTATAGAGTTCTCCTCCTGTGTCATTACCGTAGTTCATGGATGTTAGTCTTTATTCTATAACGTTTTGCGAGCCGCATAGGGAGAATCGACATCGTGCGGTATGCATGCAGTTTTTTACCCGACCCTAATCCATTTTGCCTTATTAATCAAACAATTCAGCATCGCGAATAGCAATGGAAATCAATAAGAAACATCGTGAATCAGTCATGAAGATCTGACTTTAATCCCAATTTGAATGTGATTTTTTTTGTTTTAGAGCGTCTGTTGAATTGTTAAACCAGAAGATGAAGTTGGTCTTGTATGGTTTGGTTATTAGTTGCCTAACAGTTACTCTCGGCCATTCATCCGGAGTAACATCTTCGTTAAATCGGTATGACACAAGTCCTACTACCGTTGTATCTAACTCAGCAAGTGTAAACATCCAGCTGTCTGGCTCAACAGCCCATTTGACCACTCCTATCGAAAGTGCACCTACCAATCCTCCTAAAAGTACATTATCTACAACAGCTGCAAGTGTCAGTTTAAAAACAGGTACCAGCACATATTTTACAACTAAATACACCAATACAACACCTGCGAATAATAACGCAACGTTTAGTGCGAAGTCGGATTCGTTTGGCATGATCAACCCCACCCATTCAGTTGTTCCAACAACCACTAAGCCAAGACTCATTCCTAATTATACCGTATCTTTTTCAACAAATGTTTCCCTCTCGGCATCAAAAACTCTGCCAGTTTTGTCTAGTATTGCAAACTTCACGCTAACAATGACAGTACCATCATCTATGTTAAACACTAACACGATGTCGAAAGAAACTTCCCCTGTATCCACCATCACCACGGGACCCAGTTTATCAGTCCTGCCAACTGATATGACAACAGCAGCAATTGTTAATACAAGTATGTCAAATATGTTTCCAAGAAATAACACCACGTTGACAGACAAAGGGACAGGTTCATTGTCTGCGATGGACATGTCTTTCTCATCAACACTTGGTCAGAATACTTCCATGCAATCCACTATGGCTCTGGGCAAAACTACATCAGCAGCATTACGAGCAACTAAATCACCGACTACAGCAAACCTTAAAGCATCGCAATCCTTTTTGGCAATTAGCAAAACCGCATCACAAACATTAAATTTGACCAAGTCTTCGATAAAAATGAGCGCAAAAACATTACAATCGAGCATAGCCACGTCAGAAATACTAAGTACGACCAAATCACCAAATGAAGTTGATGAAACAGCATCACCATCATTTATGAGAATGAGCAAAACCTCCTTACAAACATTTAATGTGACTAAGTCATCGATGAAAGCGAGTGCGGAAGCATCACAATCGAGCATTACCACGTCAGAAATATTAAGTACGACTACATCACCATCATTTATGAGAATGAGCAAAACCCCCACACAAACATTTAATGTGACTAAGTCATCGATGAAAGCGAGTGCGGAAGCATCACAATCGAGCATCACCACGTCAGAAATATTAAGTACGACCAAATCACCAAATGAAGTTAATGAAACAGCATCACCATCATTTATGAGAATGAGTAAAACCTCCTTACAAACATTTAATGTGACTAAGTCATCGATGAAAGCGAGTGCGGAAGCATCACAATCGAGCATTACCACGTCAGAAATATTAAGTAGGACCAAATCACCAAATGAAGTTAGTGAAACAGCATCACCATCATTTATGAGAATGAGCAAAACCTCCACACAAACATTTAATGTGACTAAGTCATCGATGAAAGCGAGTGCGGAAGCATCACAATCGAGCATTATCACGTCAGAAATATTAAGTACGACCAAATCACCAAATGAAGTTAATGAAACAGCATCACCATCATTTATGAGAATGAGTAAAACCTCCTTACAAACATTTAATGTGACTAAGTCATCGATGAAAGCGAGTGCGGAAGCATCACAATCGAGCATTACCACGTCAGAAATATTAAGTAGGACCAAATCACCAAATGAAGTTAGTGAAACAGCATCACCATCATTTATGAGAATGAGCAAAACCTCCACAAAAACATTTAATGTGACTAAGTCATCGATGAAAGCGAGTGCGGAAGCATCACAATCGAGCATTACCACGTCAGAAATATTAAGTACGACCAAATCACTAAATGAAGTTAATGAAACAGCATCACCATCATTTATGAGAATGAGCAAAACCCCCTTACAAACATTTAATGTGACTAATTCATCGAGAAAAGCGAGTGCGGAAGCATCACAATCGAGCATTACCACGTCAGAAATATTAAGTGCGACCAAATCACCAAATGAAGTTAATGAAACAGCATCACCATCATTTATGAGAATGAGCAAAACCTACTTACAAACATTTAATGTGACTAATTCATCGAGGAAAGCGAGTGCGGAAGCATCACAATCGAGCATTACCACGTCAGAAATATTAAGTGCGACCAAATCACCAAATGAAGTTAATGAAACAGCATCACCATCATTTATGAGAATGAGTAAAACCCCCTTACAAACATTTAATGTGACTAAGTCATCGATGAAAGTGAGTGCGGAAGCATCACAATCGAGCATTATCACGTCAGAAATATTAAGTACGACCAAATCACCAAATGAAGTTAATGAAACAGCATCACCATCATTTATGAGAATGAGTAAAACCCCCACACAAACATTTAATGTGACTAAGTCATCGATGAAAGCGAGTGCGGAAGCATCGATGATAACCACGACACAAATACACAATACGAGAAAATCACCAGAATCAAATGTAAGTACAAGCAAATCCACAACACTAACATTTAATGTGATTAAATCAATGAGCGATACAGTGAGTACAACGAGTAAAGTTGTTTCTACAAGTGCTTATATTACATCAACTCTGGTTGTGAAAGCTAGCATATCAGCAGAAGCACTATCGACACCAAAGAAAATCACATCGTCTGTTACGACTACACCCCCTACAACCTCATCAATGTTACCCGGGGCCACTAGTTTCTCGTTCACAGCCAGGAATAATTTGCTATCTACTACCATTCTGACGACCAGCTTGACAGTAACACATGTGTCGTCATCATTATTAAACCTGGACACCCAAAAGATCCATTTCTCGTCCCCTTATGTTACCTCGATGGCATATTCCTTAAGTTCTCAAGTATCGACGCCTTCCCCTTCTTCGCATGAAGTGGTCTTAGTTCGCCTTACTATACATGGAAATTGCAACCAAGCACTTGTCCAGTCAACCGAATTTAAAATAGCAGTTAAACAATCTTGCGGCAAAGTCCTGAAAATTTCAGATTCTAAAATAAACATTTCCAACATCAATTGTGGTTCCATTCTTGTGGATGTGGAAATAAAAAACGAGAAGGATAAAAACGTAACTCAGTTATTGACTGATGCTGTCAAAGACGAGAAACTAAATTTTAACGTAAGTGGAACAAGATTTGTAGTAACCTCAGTGAAAGAATTACCACGATCAACACCACCATTGCCGACGACAGGTCCGACTAGTAAGGGTGGCGATGGCGATGACAATACTGCATTAATAATATACATTGTATTTGGTTCCGTCCTGGGACTGGCATTCCTAATAGGGATTATAGCATTAATCGTGCGTTGTCGTCATGAGCGATCAACTGGTATGTTTCATCTCCCAAGCGAAGAGAACCTAGAGCTTAGTGGGTTTTCCAGTGGTGGTAAATCTCGTCATGGTGGAAATTTTTACGGAGAGCTACAACCTCAGCCAGAGGAGCACCACCGGATTCGCGGTATCCCTAATGAATCTGGTACCCTTACCGACGATATTGTAGAGAATTCCACAGAAAATAGCGGAGGTTTTGCGGGCAGTTTTCTTCCTGAATGGCATAACTTGCCAACAATGGAGATGTCAGATGTTAGTCATGAAGATACCAGTAACGAAAAGGACACGGTCCTCGTAACATATGGGAAAACAGGTGGTAGGGACAATAATGATTCAGGTAAAAACAACCCGGTAGTGTTTTATGAAAATATTGGTACAGTATGATTAATGAAAACACAGCTGTTGCATACTGTGTATAATTTACAACTAAAGTCCAAGGCAACTAGAGATCGTTGTTGCCTGCCAAACCTTAGTTTAGTGCAACAATATTTTTCTAATGGTATGGTATAGATGGTTGACTGTTAGAATAAAGAAAAGGTTTTCAGTCATGCTGAACATGCAAATATTTAAAGGCAAGGGTCGATTCATTCTTACCATTTCAAAAGCAAAGTAAATGAATATGTTTTGTTAAAATTAATCTTAAATGCGGGAGTTCATGAAGGAATAGGCCACTCATGTTTACGGCGTTACAAGCAACAGAGCAAAGGTCCACACGTTGAATTAGAATTTTCAATCACTATGATTATACTCAACCATTTAGATTATATCGGATGATAAGAAGTTTTAGATGATAACGATGTTTCGTGTAATGCCACCAGTTTGTTACACTTTTGCCTGTATTCCAAAAGCTCATCAATCACACTCAAACTCATTGAGTGCACGAGAGATCCCAATCTCGTCCTAACGATTCTATGACGGTATTTCAATTCAGCTTGATTTTAGTTCTTAACCCTAAATCATTCCATTGATTAAGAATTGACTTTGACATTGATCAGTAATAACAAAATTTCTATGTTACATTCAATGAGTTCTAGACGTCGGAGTTTGTGAACTAGGCTTCTTTTATCCATAGCCTCATTGGCCCTTAAGTTAATTTCACACAGAAATGTCAAATCGTGATGGTTCTATCTATGGCTTGCGAGAGAACATAATGCGCATGCATGTAATCAATCAAACTATATATAGGATTAACAATAATGGTAACCTAGCTCTATAGTTAGAGAATCGATATTTAATGAACTATTTATAATAATAAATCATAAAATAATGATGAACTCTCAAGTTAGATAATTGATATTTTGTACCTAATAAATCCTCCGGCGTCAGCGACGGAGTTGAAAATTCGCCTCGGTTTTATTTTGTTTTTGTGCTTTTTTTTTTTTTTTTTTTGTTTTTATTTTTCGTCGTCGCAAGTGTGTTTGGCGCGAAATAAACTGGTATTTGACCGTATATAGCTACGTCACAGTTTTGTCTCCCAAAAGTTGTGGTGCACAGCTCGAAATCTAATTTTCCGATGTGCGATGTGATTTCGCTGGCATGATACGGCAATCCCTCCAAGAGGAATAAACCGTTCTTTTGATGCTGTTCGATTAAGTTTCGATATTGGGGTATATTTAACACATGTAGATTCTGTTTTGTTTTATAAATATCGCTGCTATTCGCCGTTTAACAAGATATGGGCGTGTTGACACATCGCAGTTTGCACAGGATTGGAGATTTAATATAAGCACGAAATCAAAAGTGTAAGAGAAATGAACGTATCATGCGGTTTATTTACATTTTTGAACAATGGAACTTCTATACTTTTTAAAGTACGATGTGCTTCTGAATGTCGCGATCGAACAACATTTAGGTTCGCAAGGCATCTAAATGAGTATGAACTGTATTTATGTTCAGACTTCAGAAGCTTTATATTGAAGACTGGCACATGCGCGGCACGCCAGAACAGGCGTCTTGTTTTCTAAGTTCATTTCGGTGCCAAAAAGTTATATTTATTTACATTGGTCATATATATTATTTTTGAAATAAAGCGATATATGACATGTCATAGTTTTTAATTTTGTCGTGGGTATATTATATCAATATATAAAAGAAATGAATTATTAACTACCTATGGGAGTTTTAGACGCAATCTACGTTCTATTTACGACAAAACGTCGTTTATTACGTCCTATGTAGAACGTCTGCACTTCAGGACCCAGTGAGCGCTGCCTCGAATTAGGCTCTATAGAAAATTGTCCCTAATGTTTTCAACGTCTTATATCTCGTTAAATTGGTACAGTTGATAATATAGAACAACGCTTCAACATAACAGTTATTTAAAGGAGTATTCCAGCCACGTCGTCGTCGTGTTGCCGTCCTACATGCTTACCGTATTTATTTAAGCGCCGCGGCGCTCTTTAAATTTTAGAACTTCAGGTGCGGCGCTTAATTGAAGGCGCGCTCAATCGGGGATAATTCGTAAAACAGTTCACCCAAAGTTCACCTGGTTGAATTTAGGATTAATTCCATTATAATTCCATAAAAAACACATTTAAAACCATGTAACTAACAAAAAACAATTTTTTTTCAAATTCGCTCTGCATCTGCAGCAGTCAATAATTGATATTCACCGCGGTTTATTTACATTATTTACAACGCAAGTATTTTGGCTATTCTTTTGAAATAACGGATAAATTGTTGCCATTATATACATGCACTTCATGTAGTCACAGTTGTTTGACGAAGAGAAGAGACGTACATGGGGTTTTTTGCCGAACCCAGTAATACTAAACTGAGAAAATAGCGCCCGCTTTGCATGAGCAACTAAAATAATTTAATATCACGGCTAGTTCTTTATATTTTTACTGGGATAAGTCAAAACATTTATGTTGGGACAAATGTCTGGTTGCTTAGCACTGTCTATTTGACTTTGCACTATCCTTGGATCCCTAGTTTTCATTGCCCCAGCCTGTGAGCTGTGAACACGACTGTCACCCGGAGGCTTCGTACACCAAATTTGAAAGAACACTCTCCTTGACGTGCATGCATGATAAACCTAGAACCTATTACTTGCAAACGTTTGAATCTTCTTCGTCGATATTCATACAAAGTAATTGTTACACTTACAGTATTGAAGGTACTGTAAGTTTTTACATTTATTTTAACAACATATATACCTGATGACGTAAATAAGGCATGCATTTCGGTTCAGGAAGCCTAAATTCTTTCATATATATATATATATATATATATACCAAGCATTATTCAATAGGATCGCCATATATATTTCTTCTTGTGGTCCCACTGGAGTCTATACAGGTAAAGTAGAAACAATCTTCAAGAATATTTTAACAAAGCATTGCAGTGATGTACACTGTTGTATTATAAAGGCCGTTCGACTCATTTTTGGCGGCGGAAGATGGCGCGGAGTTACTAACACGTTACTAACGATTATTAAATTACTGCGCGATTGGCCGCGTGTGGGAGAGCAAGCCTTACGCAAAAAACAGACCGAAATTCATGACCTGAATTATTAAGACTCACTTGAGCTCGAGTAACAATTTGCAGAAATTTTAATGTATCCGCATTTGGGTGTTTCGTTTGAATGAACCAAGAATCATGGACTATAGATTGGGTTATGTTAGAACAACCTCCCAGTAGTTCAGACAGGGAGAGGAGGCCGAAACTTGATTCACTATCCCTTGATTTGTTAGGAGAATAGGAGAATAACACACTTCTTTACCTTGATTTCTTTCTGGCGAAGTGTTGTGCTCAGTGTCATATTTTGACCGACTTTTATCTTCCTAGAAGAAAAACTTTTATACTTTAGTCTTTATAATGGTCCGGAATACGGATGTTTGGTAAAATAGAAATATTTGATAAGTGAACTGTGAGGGTTTTCTTTTTTGTCAGCTCAGCTGTCTGCATATGTCATAACAACTCTTACTACTCTTTAAAATACAGAAGAGTTTTCTTACTAGTTTTCTCGTAGATCGTATAGGAGGATATTGATCCATATTCCATTGCTGTCTGTGTTGCTTGCGACGTTCTTCAAAACTTAATCTGTCTTTTATTTCGTCCGCGTTGTGCTTGTCCGTTGATGCGCTCCTTGCGTCTTTTACACTAAGAAAAATTTGTTTGCTTAATTGTGTATTGATTGTAGCAGCACATGTCTTTATGTGAACAAATTTTTCATGAAAACATTTTCTATGCTCTTTGGCCATTTCCAACAATCTGGAGGCTGGAATCTGGAGCAACCAATCGGTTCAATCCATCTATGACAGAGTTCAGTTGGTTATAAGCATTACTTGATCATTACTTGTAATTCCTTGATCGTTGTTGGAGCATTCATATCTACACATGCTTTACCTCCAATATCATCATGATGTGAATACAATAGTGGTAGGGGCTGACTAAATCTTGTAAATTGTAAAATATACTGTATTACTGTATATACCATACCTTGATAAATATGGCAGGGTTTCTTTATGAGATTCATCTTCTTGATTGACAGTTGAATTATACGAAATAACAGCACTTTCTAATAATATCAAACATAAAGTAAATATTTAAGAAAAGAAAGAAATTGTCTCAATATTCTAAGCTCGTCAGATGATTACTGACAATACAATCAAATTGTAATTAGGTGAAACGTATAGTCACCAATCATCTCATTATACTCAATTATCTACAAAATTACAAATAATTGAAGATTACATATGTACCATCGAATTCTGAAACCTTTCTTTGACCTTGCAGACCAATGTATTCCATACCAGATCTGTTAAAGATTGATGATATCATTGTATATTCAATAGTCATATCTGAATGAGATATCTTCCTTCAACTGAGATGATTCCAGGCTTATAAAATAGTTGCGATTTTAATTGCAAAATAAAATAAATGCAAGAAGAGATTATGACATGTTTTATATATTTAACTCTCAAACAGACTCTAGAGTGTGGTTATCCATGCAGGGAGATTTGTCACCTTTTATAGTATTCACGAACTTGTTCCGCCAACACAGAGTTTTCTAGCTTCATGATTTTCTCCAAACATGTTTTTCTATATGAAGCGACTCCAAACAATAATCCACCAGTAAATGCAACTAACAAGATATTACAATAAAATATCTTAGTAATCCAAGAAGGATAGTAAGGTCATCCAATGAAGATGGTAAGGTGGATCGATTTATTGGTAAGATGATTGGTAAGTCATATTGTGCAGGAATTTAAAGTGCCTAATAAGAACAATCTGTTGCCACAAAATTAGTGTAATTATTATGCACCATCAATCGGACATGTGAAATTGAATACTATCAGATTACCTAACCATGCCTACAGAAAATAATTTAAAAAGGTTAAATATAATGCAGATAGCAAAATCAATTGTATTATTTGGAACAATATACCTCCATAATAGAAACGTGACCAATGGGTCAAATGAGGATATCTACCTGTAGAAGCAATATAAAAATAATTAGTCATATATGCATGATATATATTTAGTCATGCATGATATATAATTGCATCTCTAACCTGTAAAATTGAGTTTATGAGATTGAGTAAGCAAAAGTTGAGGTTAACTGCAATTATGTTAGGTGAATGTGATAGTATTATTATTGTATCCAAAACAGCACTCACCACTTCTGACAGCAAAACTAGTTATGAGTGATGCAAGAATACCAGCTGGGATACCTGTGAATTTTTTACATGTCATTAAAGTTAATTAAAGTTCAGAACAATTATACAATCTAAAGCAATCGTCAAGAAATAACCTTGACTGCACAGTGCACAATACGTCAATTGTATTCTTTTTAAAAGTGCTTTGTCCTTAGGTGACAAAAGCGAGAGTTTTGCTTTCCCCCACAGTACAAAGCAGGCATAAATTATATCCCACGAAAACACACTGGCTGGAAATACAGAACTAAAATTCTTTAGTAGGTCAATAATTTGCACATTTCCAGGAAAAGGATGACAGTAACCCCCCTTGGTGGCTCGCCCTACCCCCAGCTCCAAAGGGCCCCAAGGCCCATGGGATACACACCTCGAACAAAGCTGTTCATGCGACATTCTCTCAACACTTTCATTTCTTCTTCTGTTAGCTGTCAAAATATGTCAAGTGTTTGAGGACAGCAATAAATTGCAATATAGAATTAATATATACTTACTTTTAGATTATCGACATTTCTATTTCTGCGACGATCATTAACATCCATATTTACAGTTTGTTGAACTTGAAGTTTTTAAAATAAAAATATCATGGCACGAGATTGCGCAATACCTGCCCTTCTTCCCAGGATTCCTTGGTAACTGGGAGCGCGGTAAATACTATAATACAACATCGTTCTGAGTATTGTTTGTTGTAAACACTAAACATTCATCATTCTTAAACAAGTTATCATTATTAGAATTATTAAGCGACTAAATATTAAGAAGCTGAGGTCAACAAGTGCTTGAAGGAGGTGCCAAACTCTGCATTAACGTATCGACAATGGTATGTCTCAATAAATTGCTCCATCGTATAGTGTTTATCGTTGTATGTTTGGAAAGATTTTAAGGAAAGATATGGATGTAATTTCGTACGTTTTTATACATTCAATATAAAGCAGTTAAGCAGGTTGTTGTGTTGTGTGTGTTCAATGTTTTTACTCTAATTCAATATTCATTCGAAATTTTTTTAAAGCTCGTATATTTTACTCGTAGTGTTGCACTGGATGGAAATAATTCCTATTTGGGACAGGCAGCTTACATACAGTGTTTCACTGTTTCCCCAAAGAAGTACCCTTATAAACAACAAAAGAATGATTAAGATAGAGGGTACTTTTTTGGGGACACATGGTAGAAGGCATCAAAAACAGAATTTTTCTGTCATTTAAACTTTGACTTTTAAAAGATCTTACATGAAATGCTTTTGTTCCACTTTATTTTGCAATCACATATTTCAGGTTAGCACCTTGCCTCATTCAAACAGGCTAAAAATTCAATCAATCGACTATGTAATTAAATCTTTAAAGTATCACCACTCAGAGTAGTGGACCATAGCAAAGGAGGTAAAATAGGTTTTTCTTCGACTTTCATAGAAACCCTTGATTGAATGAGCACATTGATTCTACTCATAACAACAATTGACCCACTGATATAAAAGTTGCTTCAGTAATTAAGCAAAAAAGTAACAATTATACCATGAGCTTGAGTCATATATTAGTGGTGGGAGAGAATAGTATAATTGTTTTAATAGATCATTTTTCCAGAATTGCACAAAAGCTGCAGAATCATAGCAGTCCCACTAGAAGATAAATTTAAAAAACGTACCGAAAAGAGTGTTCTGGGTCTTCCACTTTCAGTATATTTTGAAATAAATTGTCAACAAAATACGAAGAGCAAAGGCACATCATTTGAAATTTGAAGGTCTACACGGATATAGAAACCCTCCTGAAGAAAGTTTTAAAGACTTTGCAACTCTGCATTTTACAGAAGTCTATAAAAATATTCACTAGAGGTACATACAGCAGATGATAGCCTTGATAGGATAAAGCATGGATGCAGTGAATATTTTGCAATTTTTGCCCCCAACTGCCTGTGAAAATGACCAACTTTAAATTCCAACACGGGTAAACATTACAAATCATTACAGATAGTCATTATCATTACAATAACTTAGAGTTGTGGTGTTCGCGATTAGACGTTGTTACTTGTTAACGTTACGAAAGGGGCTCAGTCAGTCACGAGGCACCACCATGATCGACACCAAAGTATAAAGCCTTTCTAAACTTGAAGCTTTATAGTGTTGGCAGAGACAGCCTTTTTGACCTGGGCTAATATTACTCTTTCTCTCCCCTCCTCGACGGCAATGCTAAAGGTGCAAATTCTTATTGTTGTGCGTCAACTCAATTGCTTTGTTTTGCTATGGCTTTTCAGTCACCTCTTTCCATATATGGGTTGAAAATTTACCCAAATTGTTGTCCGTGTATAAATTTTTCCCCTCCCTCTCTGCCAAGTTCGCCTATATATGGATAATACAGAAAGGCGGGAGGGTAAATCCTTCCGAGACCTCGAAAACTTGCCTTTTAAATGCTTTTGGATGCTATGTTCTTCTATATACGCTGCTTGAAAAGGACCAATATGTGAAGACATGTCACCGGGAATTATCACGGCATACGGTCAGCGTGCGCGCAAATTTCGCGCGTGTTTTGAAGTCCAGGTGCAAATTTTATAAACAGGAAATTGTATAGATAAAAGTGGAAATATTTTGAATCATTCTGTCTGATTCTGATGCTGAATACTGACTTAACTTTCAAAATTGCCGGCTGCTTTTTATATAAGGATGCTAAACGAAAGTGATGGAAATGACAAAAGACAGGCATACCCTAAAATACCCGAAAGTAACGTTGGGTATCAATTGCTGCAAAAATTGGGCTGGGAAAGTGGTGGATTGGGTAGTGAAGGAAGTAAGGGAATAGAAGAGCCCATTGTTGTAAATGGGTGCATAAATAGACAGGGTTTGGGTATGAAAAATGTCAAAGAACCACACAAACAAAAGCATTCAAATCCTTCTCACCAACAGAAAAAAAAACAACAGGGGCCAATCATGGCTTCAACCCAACTCAAAGAGGTACAAGCATTGCAAGAACATTCTTGTGGCAGAAGAAAAACACTCAGAACACAACCAATTATTACTAATCGATTCATCAAAGAATTCTTAGCAAGCAATGTGAAGGAATTTACTGTGAGCGATGAATTGATAGATGAAGATCATCGACTTTTGCAAAAATGGTGTGCAAAGTATCATTTGAAATACGATTTTGTTGCACCGTTTAATTATCTGGTTTTAAGAAAGCCAGACAAACAGGATTCAACACAACCACAAAAGACAGTAGCAAGGCAACGACATTCTTGTTGCAAAAGAAAAAAACGCAGAAAACAGCCAATCATTACTAATCGATTCATCAAAGAATTCTTAGCAAGCAATGTGAAGGAATTTACTGTGAGAGATGAATTGATAGATGAAGATCATCGACTTTTGCAAAAATTGTGTGCAAAGTATCATTTGAAATATGATTTTGTTGCACCGTTTAATTATCTGGTTATAAGAAAACCAGACAACCAGGATTCAACACAGAAGACAGTACCAAGGCATGAACATTCTCGTCGCAAAAGAAAAAAACTCAGAAAACAGCCAATCATTACTAATCGGTTCATCAAAGAATTCTTAGCAAGCAATGTGAAGGAGACTCATGTTAGGGAAGAACTAATAGATGAGGACCATCGACTTTTACAAAAATTGTGTGCAAAATATCATCTGAAATATGATTTTGTTGGACCATCTAAGCATCTTGTCATAAGGAAGTTGGGGAAAAGTTGCCTGGAATCATCAAATTCAATCCCAAGCATGTTGAAAACAAATTCACCTGTAAAAAAGTTTCCTGGTGTACAACAAAATAGGTTACTGATGAATGCAGTAAAAGATGCCACAAGAAGTGTTGCAAAGTCATCTAGGCGTGAAGATCTTGTTATAAACTGCAACTTGCCAATGATAATTTCCCTCAGGAAATCTATGATATCTGTTCTAACTGGGCAAACCAAATCCAATGATACTCAGCAATCAGTGGGAGCTATTAAAACTAAAGAAAATTCAAAACAAACCCCCTTGAAAAAATTACCCAGGGAATAAATAAGATTGATGAAGGAAAACAAACAATCAAAGAATCCTTTGTTGTTGAACAAAGCGCCCAACCCATCCATGATTGTTATGTTGGTGAAAGAAATAATAGGAAGAGATTATTAAGAGATTGCTGTGATGATGATGAACCAAAACAAAAGAGGCTGGCCACAGTTGAAAGCCACAACTCACATTAACTTTTCCAGTCATTTTATCTGGCTTGGTTTGTTTGGTTATATGGGAAACAACCACAATCCGCTGACACTGAAGCCATCAGTTGTGTTTCTTTTTCTTTAAAATAAATAACTTTAGATACAGTATATATGATGTCTGATAATCATCAAAATAGCGATTGATGAAAAATTTTAAGAAATCAGCAAAAATGTGCTCTATTTATTATTATTTTTACATGCAGTATTAAACATTCTCTTGATGGCATATGGCTATATTAGTGCCTATGCTTTAAGTTGTGTTTGGGTTGGCATTCAATTTAAGTGTGTTCATTAAAATTTTTGGGGTGAAATGATTGATCGTATAGATATCCTAGTGTCAAGGAACATACTTTACAATAAAATATGGTCATACGATGAGAAATTAAAAATTTAAATCTCTGCTTAAATAAAATCTATACCACTATTGTGTTTCTTATATTGTATGAATTTCAAAGGAATAAAAACCCCCTGAAATCCTGGGACGATTTGTGGGCATACTCTCCGCCGGTTGAATTCCACCTCTTCCATTCAGAGATGATTTTTTCAAAAATTTGACTCGTGGTGGGTTAACAGAAGCCGAAAATACTAGTAGTTGTCGTTTGTTGTCCTTTCACACCTTAACAACGACCCCGCACACTATTGCATTTTAGTATACACCCGACTATTGTCTATTACAAATCCTACATCCATTAGCTACTCAACCATTGTCTATTCGTGATGGTGAACGTTTGTGAAAGATTCGCTCGCGCGACCGTGTAAAATTGAATTAAATAAATCAGTTATTTTTCGGTGTAATTGTGGTGTATCGATTATTTTCTCGAAATTAATATATGTAGGTACAGGGTGTATACTAAAACAATTGACAACTCGCCTTCGTTGACTATTCGCTCATGAATATGACTTGTATGCGAGACTGCCCTAAGTTTATTGAACTCGGACACTAAAGGCCCTGTTTGTTACACGGTGCAATTTTTCTTGCAACTTGCAATGCTTCTTTTGAGAGATGTAAATTTGGCAACTACCAAACTTTTGTCTTAATTACACTTCATGGTAATAGCGTATCTTACACTTACATTTTCAAGACTCTTCACTAATTTATATCTCTTAAAAGTAGAATTGCATTGCAAGTTGCAAGAAAAATTGCACCGTGTAACAGGGCCTTAAGAATAAAGTTCCATTGTTATTTTTAAATAGAATTTCACACCACCGGAACCGAATCTATAGAACGTTAAACTATTATCTAAACTGCACCTACTGTATCACAGTAAACTCGTACAACTGGTCCTTGCGTATTGTCACATACCATTTTATACCAGTACATGTACATATTTAAATCAATATAATATTTATACATAGGCTACATCTTATAGAAAGGCAGCTCTTTCAACAGGATCGAGAAAAAAAACTGGTAAGAAATGTTTGAAGCTATATTTTTAGCTCCATTTTTCACCCTATAGTTATCATTTTGATGTGGGGAAGGGCATTATTGTTTCTTGCATTTATGGAGGCCTTTAAAAACGATTATCAACAGAATATGTCCTTTATTTAGGTCCTAAACCTGAGCTTACTGAAGAACAAAAGCTAGAAATCCGGGAAGCATTTGATTTGTTTGATGCTGATGGGTCTGGAACAATTGATGCAAAAGAACTTAAGGTTATCTTATCAACCTGCCAATACATTGTTTATAACTTTTTGAAGGTTGTATGTGCAAATATAAGCCTTCATCATCGTCTTCACCCACTGGAAGGCACAAAGGTCCAACGTTCGGGGGCTTTGACTGGCATATACATGACGTATACTGGGAAAACCCAGATAGGGAGCACCGTTTGCAGCTGAAACATAAGCAACAGTCACTGAAAATGGGGAGCCAATGAGCATATATAAGTATAATAGGCACACCGGGAAATTTCATGGTATCCTGTGGGCCAGTACGCAACAGGTCCAAACCCTGAAAGTTTGTAGAGTATTGCATGAGGTGGTAATAAAAACTCCTATAGTGATGAATATTGTGTACTAAAAGTACACATGCATTTTAAAACATGACCATGCATGTTCTTTTTGTTAGGTTGCAATGAGAGCATTAGGTTTTGAACCAAAGAAAGAAGAAATTAAAAAGATGATTTCCGATATTGATAAAGACGGTTCCGGTGGGTATAGTTTGAAATTGTCTTTTTATCATACATATTTATCACTATCGTCATTATATTTTTTTCTTAAATATCTATCTATATATGTTCTTTTTCAGGGACAATTGACTTCAACGAATTTCTTCAAATGATGACCGCTAAAATGGTAAAAACACGCAGCGAAGCAATTGCTGGAGTAACGACAACGCCAAACTATTGTTAACTATTTTTGTTTTCAGAGTGAAAAAGATTCAAAGGAGGAAATTTTAAAGGCCTTTAGATTATTCGACGATGATGAAACGGTACGTGACATTTACGGACATATTTTTTCCAACTATTCAGGTGCACAATATTTTCTTCATAGAAATGTGATGTATTTGCATGTTACCAGCCTAAAATTACAATTTTTCACTTAAGGTTAAGTTTCTGGTTGATTTTTTTTTCAGCATTATAATACTTTTAAACGTAATATCTTGCGTTGATTCCCATACTTGAACACATTTAGGGCAAGATCTCGTTCAAAAATTTAAAAAGAGTTGCAAAGGAACTTGGAGAAAACTTAACTGACGAAGAGTTGCAGGTGCAGTAGCTACTTGGCGTGATGTTTGAATAATATAATATGATTTGGTCAAAACTGATCACCATACCTGTTATTTTATGAGAACATTGGTATCATATATCATCATCTGAGCCCCGGTTACAGTAAATTTAAACCGCAAACTCGCTTTACGTTCTATATCGCGTAATTGACATAGTTTTAATTATATTATTCATCTTTCAGGAAATGATTGACGAAGCAGACAGAGATGGGGACGGAGAAATTAATGAGGCTGAATTTCTTCGCATCATGAAAAAAACTAGTCTTTATTAAATTATATCTTTATATTGCATCAAGTATCACTGTACAGTTACTTCATTACAAAGTGTTGTTTTATATGTCATAACTATATAGCACATGTATTTATTTGAATTGTCATTTTGAGTTCATAATATTATGTAACATCTGTAGATAAAACAAACGCCTTTAAGTGTGTGAATTTTCTTTGATTATTGGTTCTTCGATGAGTTAGGAAAATTTAATATTGATCTGATTTAAATTGGGAAGAAAATTAACCATTGTAAACTTTAATGATAGTCGGTAATATTGTAGCTGAGAAAATGGTAATTCCGTGCTCAGTAGCTAAATCCTAAATACACGAATTTAATCTTTGAGATTACGTTGGGTTTAAGTTTAGGGTTTACCGTAATCAACCATAAACTGTAAGAACTAATCCTAACCTAATTCGTGATTTCAAAAAATGCATGTTAATCCCAATTATTTATCTCGGATATTCACACCAATGCTTGCACATTTTCTAATGGACCTTTCCCTTTTTAGCTTTCAAGCGCGCGCAATGCGCAACGGTAGTTGGATTATCAAGCGATTTTGAGTTGCGATTTTGGTTGTAAGAAAACCTTGCTGATTCTCAACTACCATCACGCATTGCGCGCTTGAAAGCTAAAAGGGGAAAGGTCTATCATAAACAGGCGTTGAGATTAGTGTAGTTGAGATTATAGTGAAGATTCTAGTATTCTGTAAATAGAAGCATCGCCACGTTTTATGGCATTTGATAGAATACCGCCTAAGCAAAGCACTTGAATGATGATAAAAAATATTCATGGCATGCATTTCCAAGTACACACCCTCTAGCCATAAATTAGTCTTTGGTGTCAGCCTGTCAGGTCAGTTGGGTGGAACTAGAATATAACGAACAGACAATGTTCACAAGGTTCAACTCAACATGGTAGAATCCAAAAAGATTTGGAATAACTTCGACAATAGTTAACATGCATACCTAATCTTTCGTTTTTAACAAACAATCCACGCTAATAAATATTTGTCAGCACATTTTACACATATGGACATGTGTTGTTTTGGCGATAAAGAATTGCCAGGTGTCTGTGACTTGCGTCAATGCTAAACATAGAGCAGACATAATAGAAATCACAGACTCACAGTTCATGTTTATTCCGTTGCAATTTTAGGCTTTCACCTCTACGACTAGGATCTAATTCCTATCATAATTTCATTACGTTATTTGAAGTCCTACAAGCTAGTACAGTTAGTGTATATAGACAGAACAATTTTACAGACAGAACAATTTTAAACGTCTTTTAAAAGAACTCTTATAAGAAACTATGTCCACTGAAAATGATTTAGTAAAAGATCTGATACGCATAGCAGCTGGACAGCGATTGGTAAGGGTCACCTTAAATCGAGATCGGTCAACCCGGAGCCACAGTCAAGGTTTGTTCACACGATCCAATTCTCTTCTGGTAGATGTTTCACAGTCCGTTGTCTTGTAATATATATCAGCAGCAAATCTGCTGAAGCCAATGCACTTCAGCTTCATCAATAGCCGACTATATTTCATACGTCAAAAGTGAATTGGAGTTGTTGAGCGATGCACCTCCTGCACTTTGCCGGCATAAATGCTGAATTTTCATTTAGCAGCATTGTAAAGCTGGCTTACTGCCATCACGGTTCTGTCATGCATCATATATAGTAACCTTCACCGCATGAAGTAGATTAATTTTATCAGTTGGCACAAAGATTAGACGGCTTTTAAATATGTATAATTAAAAACTATTGTCGTGTTTGAGTGCAGTTTGACCTACTATGGAGAAATCAATATTTATGAAGAGCATTGCATTACTTTGGTCATGTGTGGCAATCGCATGCACATCAGTCATCAGTTTATAACATTAACCCGAAAGCTCACAATTTCTGTACATATAGTTACATTGTCAATCTCAGATGCATGTATAAAACATTATTTTAATATTGTGAGACTGGAGAAATCAACGAAAAACCCAAGATGCAAGCTCAATTACCGTTCGAAACAACGAGTTTTCGATCTTCAACTTCTAGGGGTGTCTAGTTAAGATGAAGGTTGATTGTGAAAACAAGAAATTGAAGAAACGGCTGACGCCCATTAAACAACGCCCATTAAAGTAAACTTGGCATTTCGTTCAGTAATAATTTTAATTACGACGAATTGCCATAAATTGAATTGAAGCGTTTTCCGGGAGTAATTATTAAATGCTTTGAAAACTGATTTGGCAGTTGCCCAGGTGACAATAAGTCATAAGTGGCTGCAGAACTGCCTCATTGGATGTTGGTCATGCAGATTTCTAAATGAAAGACATTTAATTAAATCCATTCTAATCCTATCAATGAGCTGTAACCAGTCAAAGGAAAGCTAAGTTGCTAATGTCACGATTAATTACGACAAGCCTTTCATCCGGGTAATTGTTTTTTGACACAACAAAATGTGCTGAATGAGCTGTTGGTGCAATTGACTTGTGCCATTTTGCCAGCGTACGGACTACGTAGTCTAGTGAGGAAATCAAGATAAGATCAAGCGAGATCAAGTGCAATTTATAATTTGCTTATTCGGCCGCGTGTATGGAAGATGATCTCTCTATAGTATAGAAATCCAGACTGACAGGTATATTTCTCCATTGTATTGTTGATAACTGCAGCCTGGCCCTTGAGCTCATTTTAATATGGATACTTTAAAATTTCTAACCCCGTCTGGTTTTATTATATCACATATAAGACCTTTCTCATCATAGTTTTGTCGTATTCGCAGGTGTTGTTCTTCGACTACACTTGAGATCTACATTTTCACTGAGTGGGCATCGACAGGCTGACAGGGAAAGTAAGTAGTGAGTGCACTGTTAGGCGGATACTGCTTAGAATACCAATCAGAATTGCATTGGCTGCTGATAAACTACAGTTTATAGTTTTTTCTATAGTAATTTGAAAAGGTTCGCACAATTTGAAAAGGTTCACGTTAGACTTGCAATTATATTAGTTAGGATTTTGTAATGTCGAAATCGAATAGATGAAATAAGGTAAATATCCACAACTGCGTACTCCAAATCATAAACACAGATTTTATGAAATTTGATCCTTCGCAAATCGCAAATGAATGCGGGTTTGTATGAAGAGAATTTAGCCACGATTTCTTAGTGTGTATAAAATTTCTTATTATAATGAACGAGGATTTTTGTGAATCAAAATTCGATGGATGGCTGTGATAGTCATGGAGCCGAGGCAAGATGATGTTACTATCAGTTGTGCAATATATTTGCGTGACTGTTGTGGGATCTTCAAAACAAATACAACAACGCTCTCGCAAATAACCCTCTTCACTTTTGCTGCGTAACAAGTGGCAGTTGTCAGTGAGATCTGTACCAAGAGATGTAAATCCTCTGCAAACAAGTTGAGACCTAACAGGAAAAGGGTGGGACGGTCACTATGCCAAAGACGTAATTTAATAATCCATAGTAAAACAAGTAGATTACTCAAAACAATAATATAGGAACAGCTGCTGTTAAAATTGGTCTCATATTTCAAATTAGGTATTAAATATTTAAATCCTTTTTACTTATGAGAAGTTCTCCAAAACGGGTAATTTATTTTCAGTTGTCTTATTTGCCCGACACGATCTTTCCAAAGCCAATTTCCAAAAGCTAACTGGTTGATATCATATTTTATTACACTATATGTATGATCAACTATGGCTCTACTAAGCAACATATATAGAAGAATACGCGATGTGATGAACAATGGTTAGGGTACAATATAGTAATTTCCTCCACCTTGGCACTCAAAATTAGCCATTTCCGGTGACTTCAACTGCATGCATAACTTTAATGAATGTGTTATGTAGATTTTTCATATATGGGATCACTTTTATTGATATGAATTAGAAGAAAAATCACAAAAACGTTTTCGTCAATTTCGTATGCGGCAGGCTCTAGGCTTCTAGCGTTGGTTCGATTAATGCCGGAGGTCATAAGTTTTATAATTAATCACAGTGTTCGTGATTTGATAATCTTTAACCCTTTTTGTTGTCCTAGCCAACCATCTGCATATTACTTGTGTTTACTGTCTCCAACGTAATTTAAAATATTGACAGCACTGGCTACTGGATGTCAGCCAATGAAAAATAAAATTGCGTCCTGCAATATACGTCCGAGAGTTACAGATAGACCGATAGACTGAAAAAATTCACACTTTTTCATAAAAACGAGCGAAACTCGTCTATAAAGCCCTGGTCAAACGAAAATGATAGTTGATGAGAGTTGACGAGAGTTGCAACTCTCGCTTGCGTTTGACCGCGAACTCTCATACACTCTCGTGCACTCTCATCAACTCTCATCGACTTTGAACTGGTTCAAATTTTGATGAGAGTTGATGAGAGTTTGGGCGCGTTTGATCGGTCATGAGAGTTGATGAGAGTTGCAACTCTCGCTTGCGTTTGACAGCGAACTCTCATACACTCTCGTGCACTCTCATCAACTCTCATCGACTTTGAACTGGTTCAAATTTTGATGAGAGTTGATGAGAGTTTGGGCGCGTTTGATCGGTCATGAGAGTTGATGAGAGTTGCAAAAGCGCCAGCGGTTTGCATTTCGTAGCAGACTAGACTCTGACTAGTGACAGAACAATAGTGTAAAATGTTTGGAAAACTCTCGTGCGAACTCTCGCTTCTCAACTCTCATCAACTATCATTCCCGTTTGACCAGTGCTTAGGTCGACGAATTTTCGGTAAATAAATTATAAATAAAATAATATAAATGAATGAATTAATGTACTGCATGTCCTGATGCTGTACGCCTCCCAGTCGAAATTATCTGGGCACGTCCCTCCTCTTCCAATTTAAACACTTTTCTAAACATAAAAAACTATTGTACTATAATTTTATTTCGTAAAAAACACAATTCCGACCCTTACTTTATCGGTTCAGTGCAGATAAAGTGTAGCTCATATTGAAAACTCATGCAGACTCTTATCTCTTTCACAATGACACACAACACTATATAGAATAAACCACAACTGATTTGACAATAATTTGTATGCAACAAGTATGTACATCGTGCATTGAGCGTTTCGCCCTTGATATGGAAATAATTTTCCCTTTCTCTGACGATGTTAAATTGGTTAACGCGTATATAGCTGATTTTACACTGAAAGACGTGTGCAAACACGAATCGTCGTGTCATGCAAGTAAAAAAATCAGAAGTATTTCGATTTGCGAAAGAGGTGCGACAGTTATATCGTAAAACTAATCTCTCGCCATTTCTCACTTTATTGAAAATGCAAACAGTACGATTTCAAACATTCGTATAGACATTGCGAAGACCACAAAACCTTAAAGTGAGATTTCCGGTGTTTTGTCAACATGGCGGCTTCTGAATTTACTCGCAGCGATTCTTTATGAATGCAGGGTTAAGAATTATTCTTCAACTGTAATTGTCATGGTTACTTGGCACGGACCACTGCTGGCCTACTCAGACTGTCATTAAACATAATTATATATTCTACCTCGTTATATCATGTTATCAACTCTTTATATTCAAGGTTACAACCAGACCGATATCAGGCTCAACTGAACCAGTCGAGAACAGCTACTGGAAAAACTTCAACACAGCGTCAGTTCAAAACAGCGTTATATAGTAGTTCGCTGTCCCCGTCAAGTGTTTATCGTCAAGATTTTGTACTAAAGTTATATCTTCATAAAGGTATTTAAACTGCTAATATACATGTAGTTTCTTTTGTCTATTGTTAGATGTTATACTTATAACTGAGAACAAAATTTAGATTCATTTGTAGACAATGCATGTTACTACTTCTCCGAGCATAAAAAATTATAGAAAAACATTGGCGAACAATGTCTTGGATTTAGATCAGGGGCTTGCCGATGAGCCTTGATCACTGATCAGTTATTCGTTAATTCATATAATGTCTTAACTCTCAAACTAAACATGATGAAGACGATATTGGACTGTAAGTCAAGAAGATCAAATCTCTCCTACCCCCATTGTGCGACAGCATAGTCTTCCCTATAACTGCATCAAGCATGTTCTATGAAACGATGTATGTTGTTGTAAGAAAATCTTCACCGGAACTCCCTTTTATATATTTTAACTACTGAATTCTTTGGATAGCCAAGTGAAAAAACATCGAAACTTCGATTCGCTGTTCAAATACACATATACGATATTAATAAAATGAGTTTCGCCCGGAATCGAATTGGAATCGTAAACTCAGGTTTATTTTACTTATTCACGGAACTCTTTATAGCCTGCAACAGCGTTTCTAAATGAATCTGGTTTGGCTACTAACAAGCTATATGCATGTTGTCTAGAATTATAATAAATTAATTTTGCATGAAACGAAGAATGATACATTCCGACGACTTGATGTTGGAGGAAAAGTGGTTTTATGTCGAAATAAAGCCTATTCCTATTCCTTAAGTATCTTTTGGACCCCTAACCAATCTGGACAAATGATATTAATTTTTTAGTCGTCGCGTCTTTGGCTTAATTTGCATGGAAGGTTTTTTAGCCCAGAAGTTGATGACATGCATGTAGTACATTATCTATTATATGAAGTTGCATAGACCGGCGTATATCTGGTATATACTTTATGCAACTATTAAGGCATTCACTGACACTGTATCACAAAGACTTTCGGATAGGGGATTCGTGGTTATCGATGACCTGTAGCTATATTTTGAATTAATTTGAAAAAAACAAACAAAAGAGTCTTGGAGTAAAGCCAGTATTCGTAATAATATACTCTCATTTTATCAGGAAATGTTGCTGACTTATCTGCATGTGCTCTGCTGAAGAGTATACAGATCAATAAAGTATATTCCTTGTTTTATATAAATGCAAAAGTACAATGGCACGGCAGTGTCCATGATTTTCGTGCTATATGTCATTTCCAACAGAACCATGCATTGTTATATAGCTGTATCAGTTATACATACATATAGTTATATCGGCTCATGCATGTCTCGGATAATATTATGCCGGTTCAGTTGTGTCATTATGTAAAACTCAAATTTTAGTTAAACGGTAGTTTTTTGTTAGAACGGTAAGGCTGATAGTGATAACCAAAAAATGATTTGAAACCAAACCAAGAATAATTTTACGCTGCGTTGCACTGAAGAGCATCATGCGCTTTCTTAATTAAATCGTGAAGATCGTTTTGTTTTCATTTCTAAGCTTCTGGAAGATTCACTTTCATTTCAATGCAGCAGGAAGTACTAGAATCACCTGATATGCAGGGGTCTTCAAAATGCCTTAAAACATTTCATGCAACAATAATTTACATATATACAGTCGTTCAGTTTCGTAGTCTATAAAAATCCTGAATTATATAGTCAGCATGTTTAATCTTGGGCTACATCTTAAATATGGTTTTCACTTTGATTTGCCTCAAACTATAGCCCATGACTGGCATGACCATGCATACTTGATACTTGCCGGCAAACCTATTTAGTGAACATGCACATGTTTAAAAGGCTTAATCTGTTTACTTCTTGTCTGAACAGCCATTAAAAACGCATATTGTTTGCAGTATTCATTTAGTTTTCAAATTCCATGCATGCTTGTAACACGTGTGCATGCATATATATCAGTTTCTTTTAGCGGTTTTTTCCTCATTCACATTTGAATGATAAGATTATTAACACGTGATCGCAGGCCAATTTGGGCGCAAAATTTAACTTCGGCACGGACTAAAGTCTAAAACGGTCTTTAGTCAGAACATATTACATATATACTTCATTACTTCAAAAAACATATATACCTCCATGAATATCAAGTGTATTATTAAATTAGTGGAGATGATTAGAGATTTAAACTTAAATCAGTCGAGATGCCCCATTATACGTTCGGCACATATGAAGAAACATGTTTGAACCTGCCTAAATTATATCAAGCATCAATCAGGCTTGCATGCAGTTCACCAGTTGCATCACTGCTGACTGCCGGTTGCGTGGTATGTCTGATATCATCGAGTTTTTGTGGCATTTGTTTTTTGTAATTTGTATTAATACTCAGTAGTTTTGAACGTTTGCATGCATGCGTAGTTTGTCGTAGAGCACCTGCTGGGTTATAGAAAAAAGATAGGAGTGAACTAATTAATTATATTTATGTCGTGGGAAAAGGTGCTGGAGCTGTGGAGCATGAAAGGTACAAATGTCTCACTCAGACATAAAGATTGACTCTTTCATGTATTCTTAAAAGTTTTTTGTCATATATTATTCGGATCGAATATATTACTATAGTATAGGCCTATGTTCATATATAGTATATTGTATGAAAATTAATATAGTTTCATAGTATGAAAATATTAACATAACTATTATGGCGGGATATGTTTTTTTCGATTATGGTATACTTGCAAAGATCGGCTTTTAAAGTTCGTAGTACTAAAGAATAGTATTAAAATTCAGATTAAGATTTATCACAAATCACAATGGGCGTCAGGTATTTAGTTGATAAGGCAGTTACGTACATAATCAATAGTCTAAAGTTTATAACTAGACCATGTCTGAGGATTAAAACAAAAAAAAAACGCATAAACGAGTTTATGCAAAACTGATTACCCTGACTTGCAGTTTATAGTCATCACCGAGTGGTACTAAAAGTTTTATTCTGTATACGTACCGCAATATGATTCTCCATGTACAACTAACTAATCAAGGAACTGCATGTGATTTACTTCACTATATATGACATCTGGCGATATTAAACCAATATATGCATGATGACAAATCGTGATCATTATAGTATTGTATATGTACTTATGCATAAGAGGCAGGTATCCCTGATACTTTGTGTAATCATGGACAGATTTCATTAATTTACTGGGTGAAGGCTGTAGCTTTTTGCGAATATATATATGCATGGGTAGAAATTCTGTCGGTTAATTGTTTATATATTTTATACGAAGTGATGTATAAACAACTGTGTGATGGCTAATTCTATAGCTGTTGGATCTTTCCGGACTGTAAAGACATACACACTGATCATATGAAAATGATTGATTTACGTTGAAGATAAAGGTGCATGTCTAGACCGCAAAAATTTGTCGAAAAGCAATTAATTTTAATGGTTTAATTGCATCCAAGCAAACACTGCATGTATCACGTTTACATGAATGATGCTCACGTTTTTACGTTCGCCCACACTTCAAAATCTCTTCGGCGTGAGACCATTGAATCGCTCGGTTTCAACTATAACATTTTTAAAGAGCGTTTTCTTTCTACAGCCTCAGTTTACAAGTTGTGTTCGAGATTATATTCGCTCGATTAGTGTGACTTGACTTTTCCACCCTCAGTGAATCAGTTAAATATCCACGCAATATAATAATTCTCAATTCATGGAAAAGCAGATAATTGTTCTTCTGAAATTCTCTTATAATAATTTCCATATATTTTCCTGAAACAATTACGTAATTATTCTGCTTTGTCATTAGTGGCCAATGAAATTACCCTAATGATTTGTTCTCGCCTTTTGGCTTAGCCTAAATGTTAGTTCTTTAAGTTGTTGATCAACCAATTTGATGAATCTGCTGCCTGTAAAGACCCCTTCACGCTCAAACTGAAAAATTTAGTTTCATTACCTATTTACACGATGTATGATTTATGAGCTTTATACGTAGGACTTTAGGAAATTTAAACTTGAGGTGGAAGAAATCTTGTGTAATAAGTGCGTTTTTTATTGAGCTTTCATTACTAATTAATCATATAAGGTATAGGCCTTTAGGTCACCTTATTAAGCGTATATAGGTTACCTTATTTGGCTTATTTGCGGCTTAAACGTAAATTTGAAGCTATTTAGCATAATCGGAAACGGTAGAAAATCCCTTAAACTTGAGGCTACGCACTCTCTCTCTTGCTGTCTTGCATGGTCTTGACCGGGATGGCTGAGGTAACGACCTCGACAGTTAATTCATGTTTATTCTCGCTGCATGCATGTGTACGTAGTATTTTTTTAGTAGTATTTTTTTAGTAGTATTTTTTTAGTAGTAGTAGTAGCTTCAGTCCTTGGCTGAGATCTCTGCACAGGGTATATAGGAAATACTGCATGGGAATGTATGGACAGCGGAAATAAATGTACGATCTCTGCGTCTTTGGAATCATTGCGAAATCAGGCTTTACTTTAAGCCACTCTTACCGTGCGTGACTTGGACGTATCAGGTATATCATGGTAAGTAAATCTTCGAAAATATGCACATGAAGGGTTGCCACTTGACTAGAGCCGCCAACAAAGCTCACACTGAATGCTTCAATACGTCAATCGCGTCAATACTCAGTTTCCACATGTCGCTAGATTAAGTTTAATCCTCATCTAAAATGACGCTAATCTTTCTGACCTTAGGCCTCTCGAGTGAAAGATCAATATTTATACAAAAAGTGATGACTGCTAAAGAATATTCGAGTGTTTTTATTTCGCACACAAAAGAATGCTTCTATAATCTGAAGTATTACTTTAGGCTCGAGTTTTCATGCAATTCAGATTTTGAAAACACATTAAAAAATATGCTGTGACTCTTAATTAAATGTATATAAAATATTTTTGGAAAATTGTTTTAACCGTTAAAGAAAATTGTTTGAAATCATATTATCATTTTAAAGCGAAGCCCTAGAGCAATATATACATACAACGAACATACTGACTATATTGCTGCAGTACCTTAAAACAAAGATCTAAATTTCAGAGCAAAGATTTCATTTCAAAAAAATTTTGCAAGCCCCATTTCCTATAACGGCCAAGGCAATAATTGAAAATTAGTTCATCCACCGCAAGCAGGAAATTTATTTTATGTCTACCAATTTCTAATAAAAAAAAGAAGAATGTAAACTGAGGAAGAGACCCCTCCTATATGAAAAACAAAAGCATCTAAAGCCTAGGGTGGGAGGTAACTATATGAAATAGAATCTAATGTTAGGAACGCATGCAAGGTCAGCTATAGTCATATAAGTTTAGTCGGTTGAAACCAACTTTTGTTCATATAGGTAATTCTGTTTAAAGGCTTTGACACTTGGCTTCCAGCCATGCGTTATATATATATATATATATATATATATATATATATATATATATATATATATATATATATATATATATATATATACACCCGTTTGCAAAAACGTTGGCCGCAGATAGATATATAGATAGATACCCAAAATCTAATTAGAATTGCATATGTTGTGTAATATGATTGAAATCCCATGCAAATGTAATCATATGCAATTCTAATTAGACTTCGAGTATCTATCTATCTATCTATCTGCGGCCAACGTTTTTGCAAATGGGTGTATATATATATATATATATATATATATATATATATATATATATATATATATATATATATATATATATATATATTTCTGTCGCCACTTTCATCTCTATAAGCAAACTGATATCGCCCGCATTTAATAAATAATTAACTTTAGGAGTCGAGCTCTCGTATACAATTTAGATATGACACGGTTATAGTCGGTTACAAGATTTTATAAACAGCACTTTATCCAATTTTCCGCATAGTCCATATTAGCAAGCAACGATATTGGATTATTGAAATGTGGATGCACGAATGTTTGCTAGTATGGACTATGGTGTATCAACTTTTTGATAAAAAAATAGTAATTACTGTAAATCATTTATACACCGCCATGAATGGTTTCGTGTGGCAAGCTTAAAGATATAATATCACTAAATTTCTGTTTAATTCCTGTCAGATTTTCTACTTGATATGTATGTCGTTTCTTGAAAGCTGTACTCGAACCTGCATGTACATAAGGACTCCAATTTTAATCCCTCGCGAATCCTATAAGGCTCTATCTATATTAATATTTCGCATCCTTGGACAGTGTTCGTGACTTGTATTGTAAACGAGCGCACACATCATTCATCAATAATAATACGACAATTCATAGAGTGCCGATTAAAAAAACAGGCGTTAAAGTACACGTTTTTTACATAGCTACTTCGTATCGTTATAAATGTGAAATATACTAAATGTGTTATACTTGTCAGTGAAAATGAATAATGCAAGAAATTTAATAAATTATTGCTGCAAGTTCTTTAATGTTCTTTATGAAATTATGCGTTGAAATGTAAAATATAACACAAATGCCGGAAGAGAAGATTTGGTAGTTAATGCTATTTTTATTTTTTACTGTACTTAGTGAATTCATTCCTGAAAGAAGACTTATACAAGACCCTAGGCTAAGTTTTTTAAAACGTCTTGCAGTGATCAGAACAATAAATGTTTGAATGAGTCACTGAGGTATTTGAACAGTAAAGAGAGTGTCTAGTTTTGAGCAGCAAACAAGTTTTAACTCTCATTCTTATGCAGTACGTACTTAACAGTATAAATTCAATTCACATAAAAAGGTGCCTAGTTAGAAAAGCACAGTGAAACAAAAATCCATACAGTTTTCGGTCTCATTATGAAATCTATTTCGATACAACTTCCAAAATTTCTTGTGCAAGTGGACCGACGTCTCAAAATATCGGTAGCCTCTATTATTTGGAATCAGCTTTCGTGTCGTAACATATTTAGGGTGGCTACATTTGGCGTGGTGTTTCCGTCGGAGGATTTCACCCACTTAAACTAGTGCATTTTAAACTTAAAGCATGCATTTCAATAGAGTATCGTCTAAAGACTAGGGTATCGTCATGGGATTCATTGATATTGTGTTGTCTACAATATGTTGCCATGCCGATAAAAGTTCCTTTTCAAAGTTCGCCTCTGCCAAAAAAAGTCTTGAAGTGTATAAACAAAGAAAAACTCGCACGTACTTGTTACCCACTATCAGCTACTATGAAAAAATATCTGTGATATAAAAACCTAAGTAAATCATATTAGTCTCAGGAAGCCAAAATGCTTTCTTTCCAAATAAAAATGAAATTTCAGATAGATAAAATGTCAAAATTCAGACGAAGTTCTCTCTGGTTTGGCTATGTTCTGCATCGCTAGTTTTGGCACTTGATGTGTGTCAAATAACGTCAAAGAATATTTCGAGTTTTTATTTAATAGTTCCACATTTTTATCAAACATTGCAGACAATAAAGCCCGGTTGACCTTGATGCCTTCTATACTATGATTGGTGTTGCTGGCATCTGTTGGGCTGATTGATCGATAAATATAGCTCAGAGCGGATTTGTCATAATCATCTGTTAGTCTCCAGCGGTTCATATATAAAGGTCATTGTGCCAGTCAGTTCATGAACCGCGTGATTCCACAGAAGTAACATCAGAGCTTAAACGTATTATCACCGCATCGCAAACACAGCGCTTTAAAAGGTGCGATAATTGGGAACAATTTCTAGCAAGCGTATATCGAATGCCTCATTTGGTTCTAATAGACCTCTCTAATTTGTTACTCCTACTTTTATTTGTTGCAGTATTCACAAAGAATGGCATATTCAATTTCGTATTATTATGATCCAGACGACTTTGAGATTAAGATTGAAGAAGTAGATACCTTATCAGAGAAAGCAGAGATTCAGAAGAATATTCGTTTCTCGACGATCTCCGCTCAACTTCTGCCAGATCCTGATTGGTGTAAAAGTTTTATGGGCAAGAGGAGTAGTCGAAGACGGAGATTAATCTGTCGAAATGGTTATTATTTAGCAGTTCATCCAAATGGCACAGTCAAAGGCACGCGTTGTAAGAGCGATCCATACAGTAAGTACATATAACAACCGCTGATAACAATGTTTTGATATATACAATTATTAGTGTTAGCTATAGTCGCAGTCATAGAGAGACTATTGTGTCTGGATTAAAGTCTTAAGATTATTGCCACTGGTTTGTGTTATCACGTTGGTGATATAACCGGAGTGGATCCTGTATTTGAGTACCGCTCTCTCTACTAAGAGTGTTCTTTCCCGTTCTTACCACACTTTGATTCAAGTCTATCTATTTTGGCGTTGATCCTCGTGATTTTTAATTAAAAATAATCTATTTACTATATAGCTATTATGTTTTTACTATGTTTACATTATCTGGTTGTATGTACGATCGTTTAAAATATCAAAGGGGGGTCGAATAACTGGTTGTGCAGAAGAGACAGAATTTAATGAATTGTCGTGTCAGAAATTAGACAATTTTTCTTCTGTCTAATGTCTACTGAATGTGTCATAATTTTTCACACAACTATCAACGATGTCACCTATAAAGTATAGTGACAATTTTAACATAGTGCATGATCGGTCAACGTTTCCTTCAGAGTGTGCGTGTGTTTGTGTTCAATATCCGTATATACAGATGCTGCGATATCATAGTGACAAGTTTGCATTTTCCTAATACTTGGAAATCATTTCGTTTTAGAATTCGGTTTCCGAAATCCAATACACCAGAATTTCCGCAATTTCATTTCACAGTTAGCAAGCATTGACATACAGCTGAGAAAATTACCAGATAAAGTATGCTATTTATTCGCGGTCAGCAGGATTTAATTGAGAGAGCAAAGGAACAATATTGGCTTTAATTGAGACATTAGGTCCTAATTTTTTAAGTATTTGAATTTGTTTTGGCTTATGTCGCGAACGGGTACATGTCAGGGCGTATTACTTTCGATATTTTGGCACGGACTACTTTTTCCGCTAAGCTGTTTTATTGCTGTCATGTATCGTCTACTCAAGTTACCCAAAAAATTCCAACACCGCAAATTCGAAACTACGAGCACGCGTGATTTTGAGGATTCCAATAATCTAAGGCCACGAGGTGTTGGTAAGAGGTAAAGCCATATAGGTATGCAAAACAAGGGATGAATATGTCAAATGCAATTAGACAGTAATAAAAATTCTAAGAGAGAATTAACAACCTTAGTATCGTCTGTATTTATAACACCACGGCTGTTGCTAATCTCGGGTAATCTTGTCTTTCCAAAATTTACGAAAGACACTTCTTAACAAAGGCGTTCGTCGAGGAGTTAAACCAAGACCTCGTCACGAGAACTCTGAAGGTTTTCTAGTTGTTTAGGGTTAGCTGTTTATATGGGTTTTTTTGCGATTGCGATTTTGAAAGAGAAAGAATACGTGATTTCATGATCTAAGTTTACCAATTTTAAGTCTACCAACTATTAATATTAACAATATGCAGGGGACTTCCTGCGTGGGCTACAAAAATTGGTAGATTACCCAGTAGGTGGCTGTTATGACTTGTACTTTCGTGCATAGCTATGATTTGACTGACGTACATTTGGGTTAGGTCCAAATAAATTCACTGACACAGATCCCAAGTGCGTGGGACAAATAACTGTTAACAAAGAGATTGACGTTAGCCCTTACACAACTGTTGAGGGTCCCTGAGTCACAGGAAGAAAAAAAATTTACCGATGTCCTCGGTTTGGAATTTTTAGGAGCTTTAGTATTATTGCATCACACTCAAATGATATAAGGTTTCAGGTTAAAATTTCAGATGTATATATCATCCCCTCCCCCCCAACTCCCATGCCCATCCCCCCTCCTCCCCAACTCCCACGTCGTGCTCTGATTATCATTACGCGTTCTTTTCATTGCAAACCATATCCATGGCTATACACGTTTATCGCTATACATGTTTATCTTTTATTTTTCAAAAAGATATTATTTTTAGCGAAAGGATTCCGATAAAAAGGTCTTTGTAAAATAAATTGGACTTCCAGGATGAAGTCATGAGCATGGCTAAAAAAACACCATAGGCTAAATTTTTGTTAAATCCTTAAATCTATAGGAATGTCGCTGTATTGGAATGCGGTTATAGGGTATCACGTGATAGATCATGTCCGTGAATTAAATTAAATTAAATTTTGTACGCAATGTTTAACTATTAGAAATTTAGCGTTTATAGACTAACACCTAGTTCTGAATACTCCATACCAATCACCTCCGAACAGTCCGTTGATATAATGTGGATAAAGTCATATAAATTTTTATTACCATTGCTTTTGTATGGCGATGTACGGCCTATAAAGGTGGTCACATACTGAACAACCAAGGTTCTGCTAAAATAAATGGAAGAAATTAAGCCACAAAACTTAAAGAATAAAATTCGTAATATATATGTCTTTATGTGGCATCTGCTGAACCTTGTAATTTATTCATAATACTTGGCGAATATACTCGAGCTAAAACTACTTGCGAATCATTTAGTTTGGTCAATCTGTGTTTCATTACAGTATTACAACTACAGTATATAGTATACGCCAGAACAAAATGTGATGATCTACAGTCAAATCTCACAGTCTGCAAACTATTTTTACCAGACTACTTTAAGAGGATTAAAATGATCCAGAGGACGACAATCCACTGGTATAATTCGTCCATAGATTTCATGTGAAAACTTGGAATTTGCCTCTTGGTATTTACCGAAAGTATACCACGCAAACAATGTCTGTTGCTGTTAATCAGTAAATCAATTTCGTTTTACCGTTGTTTCTTCTGGCACATCGTGATAGAACAAGAAACAAGATGACTAATACCCCATAGTTTTTCTAGATATTTATGGCCAAATTTTAAAGCAGCCTCATTAATACGACGTAGCGCCATCTGTGGAATTATTTGTGGGTGTGGCCTCTTATTCTCCCCGCGCTCTTAATATAGCACATAAACTAATATTCCCATATGTCAATGGCGCTTATTCAGCTCCAGGACGACAATGCATTCAACCTAACATGTTTTCTGATTATCTTTTTTAGCGACGTTGGAAATTATCTCTGTTGGTGCAGGTCTGGTTAAAATGTTAGGAGTGGAAGCCGAATTGTTTGTTACGATCGACGACAGTGGTGTTGTTCGAGCTACGGTAAGCATTTAGCATTTTTAATACAGATTGTAATGGTATGCAGCACGATTTTGACAGGTTTAACTGTAACTCCTGAATGGCCATCGTATGATTTTGCCCGTATGATTATAGGTATATGTATATTTCCGTTCTTTTTCTCAAGTTTTTTTTCTCTAACAGAACTAATTAATTCACTATTGACGCAATAGTAAATCACGCAATTCGCCACTGCGTCATTCGTCTCAATTTATTATCATTTATATTTACTTCCATATAAACCTCTAACCTTGCTTTGGTCCACGTGACATAATCATTGTTTTGAAAAATTGTCACTTTTTAATTCATTTCAATTAAGATTCCTATATAACTGGACAAAATTCATGATTAAGCCATAACGCTCACGCGAGCAGGTGCCAAAACGAAAGTGAAATAGGGCGTGGTAGTTATTGTGCAGTGTGCCGTCGAGGGGGGGGGGGCGCAGCTTGTATAATTAATCCAATATCCCAATATATGTGACACCTGTGATAGTACTTGATAGAACTTGCTCAAAGTCTCTCTATCACTTGCTAGATCCACTATAATGTAAACCTCGATGACAGGGAAGTGCAGGGCAGAGAAAAAATTGACTTGTTAACTCTGGAAATTATCTTTTCAGAATTGAACAGAAGTTGCAACTTCATCAATTTTCTTTATCTGTTAATTTTGAAAGGTGTAAATAACTTGATATAACACTTAGTCAAAGCATGAGGCGCTTGACCTAACATTACGTCCGCTCTTTGTTTTTGGCAACAGTCAAGCACGACGCATCAGCAGGTTTTCTCAGGCAGTTTCGCCCGCGCTAGAAAAAGTGAACGTGGAGAACAGTCTTAATAAGAAAAATTCAAGAAAAAATTCAATCACGTCTAATAGCAGCTGGATTGGTCGAGGCTGAATACATTTTCGTAAACACTATAGTTAATTATAACGTAACTTGTCGGGAAGCCCCACCATTATTGTTGCCAAAACAATTAAGAAAACCGCATGCAATTATATGTCTAGAATTCCTCCCCCACTTCCGTGGTTTCTCCCAACGGATGTTACGGATATGGATGGAATCCACACGAACCTCTATAGAGTCATGGAATTCCTCCATAGAATTGATCGAATTACATAATCCTGCATGGACTTGATGTTATACTGATATATTCCTATCTCTATTCCATAGGATGTCGACAGTGAAGAATGTGTTTTCGAAGAAGCAGTAATTGAAAATTTCTTTTCGATATATCGTTCATGCCGGTACTCCAGCGAAAGATGGCTTGTCTCACTCGATACGAAAGGCAACGCTCTTACGTCTTGGTTAGGAAACAGTCCGTGTCTAGAATCAAGAAGTCATTTTCTTGCTCAAATTGTTAGCAGCGCGTGACGATCAAGGAATTAGTACTCCCCTCATGAAATTTTGACATCGTTCTCTCCAAAGTTTAAACTTTAAAGAAATTGTATCTCATTATTGTACAGAAATGCATTCATCTATAAATCCATGGGTTGGGTTGCTCTCTTCCCTTGTATATTTCAATCTCCTTTTTTCCAGCAAAATAGCTCATCCTCGCTCCTCGTATACTAAAGATAGTTTTAGACGGACGTGGGCAGAGAGATCTTTCCGTTTTGTTATGATAGGTTTAGCTCACATGATTTATCATAACAATGATTCATTTTAATTCAGTGCAAAAAGAACTTAGTTGTCAATATGAACTGATGGTTCCTATTGTTCATATTATATTCGACTTGTTCACATAGTTCTAAATAATGTACATTCTTCTATATTAGGGTTTTAGTGAAATGTTTTGGACAAAGATGTAGGGATACACGTCATTATGCAGATAGCGTTGATCATGTAGTATTTAGTTGGGGGTGTAAACTAGACAAATTATTTATGAATAGAATGGTTGTATATAATTACTTAAAAGTTATAAAAATTTAAATTATGCTCTGGCGACGAAATAAAATAATTTTGATGTATTACGTAGTTTTGCTTGTGAGAATCCATAGTCCATAGACCTTTATAAAAATTCCAATGCTTTGGTCTGTAAACTGCGTAATAACGCAGACTTTTATAGAGGTCTTTTTAATATACTTCCATATTATTAATTTTCATCTTTAACATGCGATCACGTGATTAAATACGTAATCAATGTTGGTCAGAATCAGAAAATTTAGGCCATTCTTTTTTTCTCTCTCTCTCTCTAAACCTGAAAATTTAAAACCAAAATTGTTCGATTTGCATTTTTTCTTTGAGTTTAACGGCATAAATACATATACATTCACCTGACTGTTTTCAAAGAAATTTATTTGTAAATAAGAGCGAACAGTCTCTGAAAGCGTGTTTTTGTTATATTAATTTGGCTCGTGGTCAAAACAAGCCTCAATCTTGTTTCCCTAGCGCAAGGAAACAGAGGAACCGCGGGCTCGGGGAACAAGATTGACCAAGCCTGCGCTGTGCTTTTTTGCCGTGCGGTATAGATTTGCAGTTATGCGTCATGTAAGAGGACACCCCATCATCCTCTGCGCACGCAATGCAACACCACTGGTATTTTCTGAGGCTCGACCAATCAAAGTTTGTATGAATAAGCAGGTGAGTGAGGTGTGAGAGGTGAGACTGTCTGAGCAGTGAGCACAAAGCTAATATCTCGGATTGTATTACACCCTTAAAAATTTTGTCGCAAAACTCATTATTCAATACCAAATTATTTTCCGTCAAAAAATACTGTGAGAGGCAAATACCATATCTACAGAATGGGTGATCTAAGCGACAAAGAATTGACACTATGCAAGGATGTATTCTCCCTGTATGATACAACGGGAACGGACAAGATAGCGCTTAGTTCAATGGGCGAAGCATTACGAGCGATGAAAACAAACCCGACTGAGAGTGATATTCAGAAGATAACGAAGGATTTCAAATCAAATGAAATAAGTTTTGATCAGTTTCTACCAGTGTACAGTTCATTGAAGCAACATCAAGATCAACTTGGGCATAAAGGAACTCCTGAAGGCATCATTGAATGTTTTCGCCACTTCGATCGCGACTTGAACGGCGTGATTTCCTCAGGCGAACTTCGGAATCTTTTGACAACGCTTGGAGAGAAATTGAGTGACGAAGAATTTGATAGTCTAACTTCGGGTTACATCAACAATAAAGGCGAGGTCTCCTATGAAGAGTTCGTTCGTGGTGTAATGGAAATGTAGACCATGGAATAGCTAGACTGCTGTTTAGTTTGTACAATTAACCGTCACAAAGACTGAACACAGAATAACAATGTTTTTAAGTTTAAACAATTGTCCAGGTTTTATATAGGAATATTAGACAACACTATGTAAAATTAACATGTCTTACACTTATATTTTGTAAACTGTAAGAGCAACAACAGATTGTCATTGTTTTATCCCACTATTCATACAATTATAACATTTTTATCTATGACTGTACATAAGGACTTTTTATTATAATGACTTATTATTGTGTACTTCTTAGTTCGTTGTCATCCTTTGTTGAAGATTTTACCGTTTTAGCTAACAAGTTTTTAGAGTAAATATCAGTTTTTTTTCGGTTTAGGATGAGGGTAAATTGAAAACTCTATTACTTAATTGAAATAAATGCGAGATTTGTCAGAATGTTTACATATATCTTTGGCGTCAATATAACAATATTATTATGGACAACAAAGTTTATTTGAATTATTATAATGAGGATACTTAATAATTATTGATCTTTGTCCAAATGAAATTCTTATACCAAACAAACGCTTAGACCTTACTTTGTGTAAGCAAGTCTGTATAAGAACTGACAGGAGTACCTGCCCTCAAAAGAAAGATATGAAGAACCTAGGAACGAGATTGGTAAGAACGAGGGATTCGGAATGAACCGGCTTACACAGCACATTTCACGGGATCAACCGATCATTTAATTTATACTCAGTTTCATGCTGTTAAAATAGTTTATCCTATTTAATTCAATGACTTTGGAGTCTTGGATCGCGCGGGGGCCGCTTCGATGTTCAAAATGGGTAAGCTATATATAAGTCATATATAGAAGTCATAATATACTCCCTGATGTCCCTTGTGAAATACATGTTTCCATATTTACTACCCCTATTCAATGATGGCGGCCATGTTGAAAAAGATGATCAGAGGCTAATGATGGATTACTATCTTTTTTAGAAAAACTAAATAGGAAAATCAATGAATCAAGCATAATTTTTTAAATGAAACATTGAGGTTTCCAATCCTATAAAAATATGCATAATTTTCCTGGCTAACTTTTCACCGACATTTCATATCCCCTCTCTAATTTAATATAACTATGAATCAATAGGCTAAATATTCCTTTATCATAAAACGCATAGAAAGAAAATGAATCGAATATTTAAAAATTAAACTTTCGGGTATTGGCACCCCAAGTACCCCAGGCCACGGGGGTAGTCCATGTGCCCTTGCACGCGTTGCGAGGGTTTTTGTACCTTCGTCCGAAATGAGTCGAAATCGTACAGGACCGCTGGAAAACAGAAATCGTACAGGACCGCTGGAAAACACACACAAATGTTTATCCTTATGGTTTATACCATAGACAATCCAGAAGACATGTCTTCCGGATTGTCTATGTTTATACTTACAAATTTTACAACTATCTACCCAGTAAAATTTTAGACCAACTAGGTAATATAATCGGACATGTACTTTTGTCCCTTCCTATATCTATCTGTCGATATCCCCGGAGTAAAGAAAAGACACAAGGAAAACGTTCTTGGTCGCAACTTCAAAACTGCAGAAAACAGTAATAAATGTTTACAAAAAAGGCATATTCTTTATAGTATATAGTATATTTGATAGTTCAGCTGTACCGGCAGAAATTCTTGCCAAATATTAAAATATGCAATGACCAATATCAAATGTTCTGAAAAAGGAGAAAGGGTGTAGGATGACTGTACCCAAGCCTATCGGAGTTTACGGTAAATTCGACCAGAACACTTCACAGTTCACAGTAGCGCAAAATACAAGCTGGAAATATATCACGTTACCTAAACCCTAATTCCTGGTGATCGATCTGATCATTCGATTAGAAATTCACAGCTTAACGCGCGCAGCAATTGCTATAAAAGGGAAACTATTTCCCTTAATCGAGAATTTTAACATTCTTTATACGTCCACATTTAATGCGCTTGCAACTTGATAACTGTGAAAGTCTTAACAACTTGAAGAGATAAGGAGATTTTGCCGAGAAAAATTTTTTTCGACTAAGATCCTCAAATTCCCCGTTTGTTTTTATTTGGATAATTTGATCATGTTTTTCCGCTATTATTTTGGTAAGCCATTTATGAATAAAGTATCTTAAAACCAGGAAATAGATTTCATTTCCCTGAGGCGAAAAGTTCTTCACACTTTGCTTCAGATGAATGTGCGTAGGCGCTACAGCATTGCAAGTTCTATACTGTCTGCTCTTCCTGCTCTCAAGCAAGACGAAAGGAATTAACATGAATTGAACGGAGGGAATAATCATAGCACACGAGCAAACGCCTCAGACAAGCCTTTAGCCTTTCCCCTCCACTCAGCATAAGCTGAAATGCAGCAATGAAATACGAGTACCTGGTATTGATCCTGGTACCAAGAATACAAATATTCGTGCACCGCCTAATCTCCCCCCCCCTCGGCCCCTTCTTCCCTGTGAATTTCCGTGATCTCAGTGCTATCGACATCTACCAGTTTTAATTCTCAGAACAAGGGGTGCACCTTCTAAGCCAAGGGTAACATTTGCACGACAAATAGGTCGAGGACAAGAAAAATGATGTCAGACTTCGCTTTTAGATCCGTTCCATGTTTCAAATGATTGATGTTTGATGAAGTCTGGCAAGGTTCAACTTGTCAACACACACAGACACTGATGTAACTGACATTACCCACTGTCACAAACCTTAGGAAACGGCTCAGTGTCGGTTCTCTTAACCGAAGCAGGGAAACCCATATCAGCAGGCTTTTTCTAATCATCTTCATCGCCCTTCATGGTTTTTTAGGTTTCATCACCAATCTGTGGAGTAAGAGAACATAATATGAGTATTAATTTAGTCAACTTGGTAAAATTTGTTTCACTTATTTGACAATTGATTTCCCCACACATGCTTATGCGCCCTTTCATTTGCAGACAGATGAAATTCCTGTCCAATTTATTGAGGAAAATCATAGGGATGTTTTAGAACATTATGGCAACATGCCTTTACGATATGCCTTTATTTTAACACGATGATTTTAAAGCTACTAAGCGTGTGGGGGCAGTAATAATAGGACAACCAAACAAGCATATGTAATACAAGACTTGGAATGCAATACACGGTCAACAATTTTAACACACTGAAGCTCAGCCTTTTATCTAACTGGAATAGCAAACGTATTTGTCAAACGTATTTGTCAAACATTTCCTCACTTCTTCACGCTTAGGCTGACCAAAGAAACTTCGAAAAGTTTAATGGAGCTTCTTTCTTGGAGCTCTTGAACGGTACTTTTGAATTTATAGCCACGAGGCTTTAACAGAGAATGGTGAAAAATAAGTTTTTAAAATTTGCTTTGCAAATTGTACCACATTCTGACATTCTTGATTCCTATTGGTGAAATTTTCCAACGAGTCATTGGTTGGTTGGCTTCGCACAAAAGAATGCATGAGCCTATGGGCTTTTCACAAACAACTTTTTAAAAAGTTTTGCTAATGTATTTTTTGTCCTGGAAAATCTGCACGCATCGCATACTGTTTGCAATCATCACCCAAACATGAGAGCTCACTTGAGGTTATCTTGTAATTCTCTACAAATCATTATGCAGACATCGTCCTAAAAATCCTAAGAATCAGTAGCGTAGCCAGCCTGATAGTTTAGCCATGCTATGCTGATATTTTGGCGCTCATCCGGCTTTAAAAGCAATGAATTTCTAAATGGTAACTATTTAAAATCAGACTAAATCGTTGGGCAGGCTACTCCACTGGAAAAAATATCAAAAGCATTGTCAAAGATAAGGTAAATTTCAAAAAAGGCAAATAATACTCTTACTTTGACACACAATTTTGACATTTTTGATGGGGGGGGGGACATACCAGCATTGGAGATATTTTAAGATATTCAAGTGAAATGTAAGTTTAAAATGAAATCAAATTTAATCACCAAAATACAATATTCAATATTAACAATGAATAATCTTATTTATCTGAACCTGATGGCTTACGATTTATTAGATATACTTTACAAATTCAATGTACATTACAAGTAAAATAAAATTAATAGTCAAGGTTTATTTCTTGCGGATTGGTCTGGAAGGAACTTGCCTAAACAATTGAAGTAGAAACAAAATTTAGGGGTTGCGTCCATCCAGAGAAAAGGGTGTGGTTACCGCTTGCAGTACATTCCCCTCCCCCCTATATCTCATATTCATAACAAACTAGCACAGTTGTAAAAATTCACAGCATGAATGGGCCTGTTTGGAACAGCCTTGTAACAAGTCTGATGATTCAACAAGCTTGTTTCAACTTGTTAACAAGATATCCAATACTTGTTGACAACATGAAAAAAGTGCAAACACAGCTTGTTGACAGCATGTTTGCAGACATATAACAATATATGAGATTTTTTCTTGTGTAGATGAGACTATCTTTAATATATGGCTTAATTTAAAATAGCACAAAAGAAATAAATTTATTAAGACTAACAAAAAATTAAAGACGAAAAGAATACAATACTAGTAAGTATAAAATAAGTGCCAAAACATACCTCTTTTTTGTTGGAGCATTAGTTGCTTGAAAAACACTTGATGCTGACATAAGATTTTCTATATACTGACCAAGAACCTTAAGATGTAAGACCTTTTGGTAAGTGTTTATCATTTTGGTGCCATCCTGATGTATTATTGCACCAAACAATTTACATGAGATATACTACAAAGTTTAGTCATTAGTCATAGTGCAATGACAAATAACAAGTTCCCCAGTTTTGTATTGCATATACCTGATTTTCTGATTTCAATTTGAGATTTTCATCTTTTACAGCATCAACTCTTTGAGACAAATCTAAATTTAAAGATGTGGATTAATATGTATTTTATAATATGTATTATATTGTATAAAGATATTCTAAAGTTATACAAGTTGCATTAAATTGCTTTAGATATTGTTATCTTGCCACATGGATATATTTTCTTGTGATCTTATTATGTCAACTAATACTTGATTTTCACTATGACAAAAGTTTCTTCTATTTCTAATGAGCATTTCTTTTCACAAAAGACCTTCACACTTACCATCAAGAGTGTTTTGAAGTTCAAGTACTTCATTAATTAACTTGGCTTTTTCTTCCCCCTCATCATCATCTTAATAAATATACATATAAGTACCCAATTACACAATTATGGCTATCAGTTATGAGGACAATATTCATATCAAGTTATTAATTAACTAGTTTGAAACAATTTATTTGCACACATGATGGTCACAGATGTTACACAGTACATGTAATATATTCTAACATAAAACTGAAATATACATTTTTCAACATTCAATAACTTCAAAACCTTTCAGGGGGCTTGACACGGAAGTACAAATTTTAATTGTATTATTTTTTTGTTTCAGACTGTCACATCATATTCTATGTATTTATATACTTCAGTTCTCAGTATAAGGACGATTTGGCATCATACTGCATGTCTATATGCATCAGTATAAGCATGGAATTATTCATCACTGAACTGTTATTTATACCGGACCAGCAGCAAATGTAACAAAGGTTGTGCTGGTAACAATAGCCTGACATGCTGTTTCCCATTCTTAGATCTTTAAATAGGGGGTTGAATATTCACTTATGGCCACTGACTCTTGCAAAGTGATTATTTTCTACCTAAGGCATATCTACCTATAACAACACTGCTATCCAAAGGTTTATCATTCAACGTGCTTTCTGCAGAACCTAAATATAAAGGAGAAAGTATTCTGCATTTATATAATCATTATAATGCATGTCTGCACACAGCATGTAACGGTCTCTAGCTCCTTAGGGATTTAATTCATTTATACTTGTATTATCTGATGAAACTCTTATACTTTCTCATAAAAGTAAGAATAGATGACAAACTCGTATATAAATTATTGCATACGTACCACAAGCACCCGATTCATCGTCCGAGGAGGACAAATTTATTGTCTGAAGATTTTTCTCATCTACGCGTGGATTAAAATCTTCCATACTCATGTTGCCACAGTTGTGCTATAGTAATCAGCAATACTGCGTTATTTTGATCCAAAACAAATACACATTATTATTTTTTTCTGCCGAAAACCTCCGTTTTAACTTTTAAAACCTGAAAACAACCATTTAAAATCACGCCAGCAAAACAACGGTCAGTGGAGATATTTAAAAAAAGATACGTCATTTAAGATTGTGGAATGTTGTGGCATAATTAATCTGACAATATTGCTGACAAATCAACAAAGTGAATATAAAGATTGAGTCAGGAAATAAAAGTAAATTATAAAGGTGTTCAATAATGGCTGTTTTATCTGAAAGACTACCAAATATTTATCCTCATGGAAGGTTATTCTTATGAAGGTGAAGATGGTCTCTTTCGAGCCAATGGTACATGCACATTGATAACAGGACCAAAAAATATAATTGTCGACACTGGAAGCCCAAGTGACAGGGAAAAAATAATAAATTCTTTGAAGGAGCATGGCTTAGCTACATCAGACATTGATTATGTTATATGTACACATGGTCATATTGATCATGTTGGAAACCTTAATCTTTTTCCTGGTGCAAAATTTATTGTCGGCTATGATATAATGGATGGTGATAGTTATGCAGAGCATGATTTTAAGGGTGGAAGTATTTATAGGATTAATGACAATATTGAGGTCATTCCTACACCAGGGCATACTCACTCTGATGTTAGTGTGTTAGTTCGCAATGTAGAGATCTATGGCACAGTTGTCATTTGTGGTGATCTCTTCGAAAAAGAACATGATGAAAATGATTGGCAGAGTTTAAGTGAATGCATTGAAGAACAAAAGAAAAATCGGGAGAAAATTTTGAAGTTGGCAAATTATGTAATTCCTGGGCATGGTGCTATGTTTGCAACAAAATAGAAATTGCTGTAGCAAATATAAGTGTTCTGTGTCTATAGTATATATGTCAAAATTTGGGAGGAAATTCCCAAACTATTCTGGCTATAATTTTAGACTGAAAATCAAAGCCTTTAACTAACAACAACAATAAGACATTTTTAAATGACATTGTTGTTATGATAAATAGTAACTGAGTAAACTGACACTGTACTGTACATTAGTACAATGATGAAATGAATATAAAATGTATTCCTAAGTGAGTTAAGGACAACTGAATAACAAACCTTCATTTTTCTGTAGATCACCGCAATGTTGCAGTCTGCTATTCAGGCTATCCTGCTTTAGACAACTTTAAAACAGGCTCATAGCTGAGCAGGGGGAGGGAGTAGTTAGGTGGCTGTGTCCCCCATTTGAGAATAAAATTTACATTATGCGACTACCAAAGTGGACTAAAAAGCAACTTCCAGAAATTTTTTTTGGAGTGCCCCACCAGAAGTGGAGATCCAGCTATGGGCCTGCTTTAAAAATGTTTGTCTAAAGCTAGGGAATACTTGCACATTCAATTATACAGTGTTTACTAATTAATAGTTATACTGATCAATAATGTAAATGTCACAATTTGAAGTCTGCCAAAACAATAACAATCAGTCCTTAACAATATACTGAGAATAAAATGCTTCTGTACCTATATGAAACTGAGATGCCAAATATTACCGTCTTTTCTATTTACAATAGTATGATCCTCTAAATGTCAAATAACTTCAATTCATAAAACATCAATTCATACATCAATAATAAATCAACATACTTCTAAAGTGTTCTAAATATAATAGACGAAGCTTTTTCGATTCTAGACCTCAATTGTAACTATGTGTATAATCCCTCATGTTTCCTACAACTGATCAAAACGTTCAAAGTTTGTTATGGATACAATTTACTGATACAGTAATGTCTACGGAAGTATTTCATAAAAGCAGTTGGTTGATGCAGGAAATCAAGAAATAGAAAGTCTGAACTGCGATATACGACGTGCCAACGATTTCAATAACATTTCAATAACATGATCTCTAACATTGCCTTTCAAATACTCGTTTCATTTAAACAATCCATTTAATACTTTATACTTCGGTTCCACGATCCTTATTTATCCACAGCCGGATTGGCCTTTTACTATATTCTGTGCGGCCTTATATGGGATTTCCATGCCTTTCTTCAAAAAGTTTGAAAGATCAACACAAGCACTACAACATGCGGCAAATGGTGAAAACATAGCGTAGAATATCGCCGCTAAAAGTCCCAAAGGCCAAGCAAGCGTTAGCAAAATCAAAATCCAAATAAAACTCCAAAACCATCCGCAGCTTGAAGTCGCCATACCAATGATTACTTTTTCTTTCATCAGTACTCTTGAACAAACAGTGGTAGGACACTCCTTTCTTAATCATGTTAAAATATTCTAATTTGAGCATAAATTGCTACTTAATAAAGTGATTTAACACTAGACGGGTTAAACTAAAGTTAGTTTTTTTGGAGTGTTAAACACACCAACCTAGGTTGGTTTGAACAAAGGTAGGTTCGCATTAAGTCGAACAAGTAAGTTGTTTAAAAACAAATAAACAAATAAACAATGCAAAACGCAAGACAAAACTCTTCCCTTTGTCTCCAGGTCTTATTCATTGGTTTTTAATATTGCATTGGGAGGGGGGGGGACAAGGTGGGAAACTATAGAAGTGGACAAGGCCCATGGCCACTACCAAAAATTTTCACAAAGATATTCAGATACCACCACAATTTAAATAATTATATCTGTTTATTTTACAGTTTCGTAATAAAAACGATGATTATGATTCGTTGATACCGTATTCATCATATTCTGGATAAAAATACATATTTTGAATATACATATCGTAGGGTGATATACAGTCTTATGAGTTATGTTCACTTAATATATATTAGCTTTATTAGCTGATAAAATTTTAGTTATTTTTGGTAGTCGCGAGTTAACATACGAAATGTTAATAGTTATCAGTTGAGATTTAGCCCTACACGCAAATCAAATTGTTACTAACAAACGAACATTTGAGAGCATAATAAAAGGAATAATCATCATCGCAAATGAACCGTTATCTATTCTCGATTATTTCGCATAAGTTTGTCAAAGTTGTTCCCAAATTGTCAAGAAATCTACGAGTATTGTTGGACGAATTAAATGTTTGCAGGAATCTTTGTGAAAAACAAATCCTCTTCCCACAAAAAGTGTTATATTTTCGCATACTATTTTCAGGAATACGGTGATGTCGAGTACCTAAACGTTTTAATACGAAAACAGGACACTTTTCTGGGGCAAGAACATGCAGGATATAGTGATAAGCTTGTTGTTTTTAAAGAATACCTACTGGCTAATTAAATTTTAGTAATATCACTAATATGCACTAGCACTACAGCTGTTATAGGCTGCTTATAATCTTTCGTAATGACTCCAATGAATCGTAAACTAAGTCACATTTGTCTTTGTGTAATTCCGTGGTGAGGTCGGAGACAGGCGTTGTACTCCAAGCGTTTGTCGTAATCAAAACATCGATATGCTTATCAATTGAGTCTTCTAATTCTGATGTGAAATGTTTCATGCTGTATTGAGCATTGTACATCAGAGCACATGATTCTGTTAAATTGCTGAGAGATGACTTTGTTATGAGAATCGCTTCTACGACATTTATCTCTTCAGCTGATGTTAGATTCTTAATTTTCTCAATACATTCCTCTAACCTGTCAATTACATCAAGCATTACTTGCTTCTTGCTTCGTAAAATTTCATTGCTCGTTCGCACAGAATGATTTGAGTGTTTGAGTGTGGTTAATTTTGCTTTCAGCGAATAGAATGTCTTCAACGTTTGATCACAGGCATCAGAACGGGTCTTGATGTGTCCCTGAGAATTACCATCCATTCACTTGTGGCCTGTCCAACCGTTAAAGTGACGTCATCGTGAATAATACATTCAGGAATATGATGTATATTTGGCAAATATCCCTATAGGACGAAATATAACCTGACGACCTCCGCCGTTTTTCTCTAAATGATTTTATATCACCGTTTGCCTTCATCCCAGACGGTAAGCAACCATTTTGAAGAATAGGGTCTTTAGAAATGCTACGAGATAATATATCTAACCTATTACCATCTGTTTCATCAAACTCATTAGTCTGGGCATTTCCAGTTGGACTATCATTTTCTCTAGTTTTATCATTTCCAGTTGGACTATCATTTTCAGTTTTATCATTTTCAGTTTCATTTCTGGGTAGCTCCTCATTGTAATTGTCTGTCATTGCATGTTTTACCATAGCTTGAACATTAGTGTTTAGAGTATTGTCTTTTGATTCACTGGGCGAAATAATCTCTTTCGACGTTTTAGGGTTTGATGATATAGCGTTGGAAATCGTGAGCGGTGAAGTCCTAGGTGAATCATCACCTAGGCTTGAACTCAATGACGAGATATCATCACTCGTGTTACTGGAAGACGATTGCAAGTTCGGAGTTAAAGGAATTTCATCCTGGACTTCGTGAACATTGTTGGTTAGATCGCCATTGCAGAGGTTTTCTGAGTTTACATTCGTGTCAACATTTTTCATTTTGTGGGACGGAGATGAGATATGAATTGATGTGTGATTTCGTACTAAAGATTCTGTTGAATCTGTCAGTTGAATATTTTCAACTTGTGTAGCCTCTTGTTTCTCATGAATTATAGTCTCTGTTTTTTCTGAAGGCCCTTCATCGTTTGATTCTGATGCCAAGTCATCACTCAGCTGCAGATATGAATTCCTCTTTAGTTCACGAATACCATTCACGTATGATGGCTTTTCTGGTGAATGTGATAACAACAACCCAGTGTCGTCATTTTTCGGAGACCTTGGTGACAACGCTTCCTCTTCAATAGATTTTAGGCTTAGTCTTTGATTATTACTCACACGAATACTTAAATGTGTTTTAACACTTCCATTGCTCAAAGAAGCTGCATGTTGCGTGTTTTCACATTGGTCTGCAAGCGAGTACATTTCATTGCCCTCAAAAGTGGGTTTTTGTCTAAATGAAATTTCTTTTACATCCTCCTCTTCATAATCGTTTTCATCCATCCTGTAACTGAAATCGTCACGTAATACTCGATGTGCGTCAGAATACGAGGGCACTAGAAGGGAAATCCAAAAAATCGTTACGCAAAACAAGTACCATTCAATGAAAAGTGAAATATTCATAGCGTTTTAAACGAAATAGTTAACATAAAACATCTCGCCAATACTTTCTTACCTTCATCCACGGGTTCCTCAACATCGTCAGAGCAAGTCATATCAATGACTGACAAAGGTTTGTTACTTTCCACCAAATGTTTATGATAACCAGATATCAAATGGACTAAATCCCTTGTTTCAAAAATTGGTCCCATGATGAGAGTAACGGACTAAAAGAAATTCCAATGTGGTAATGTAAATTCACAACATTTGCTTTTTGATAAGTTTTTTAAGTCTGTTGCCTGACGGATTACTTTGGCCGTTAAATTATACAATATCATATCAAACTTCTGCCAAGCTATAACTTCCCCTTAACCTACGTAACATTAGAATGCTGAACTCGGCTCTTAACCATACCTTGCTGTTATTTAAGAATAATTTGATATTTTGTTTTCCCTCAGTATGTGGTGTAATCACCAAGCCATTAATTTGACTGAATTCGGCTATTTGCTGCATCTGAAATGTTATAAGAAATTAGTTCAGTGTTGATGATTGGTGCTAAATTATTTTGACAACTGATGCAGGAATCTTGGTCGGAAGTTACATAAATTAGTATTAATTGAGATAGGATTGACTAACCGTGAAAGATCTTGGATTTGTCACATGAGCTAAACCAACATTTGGGCCAACAAATATCATCGAATTAACTTTCTGATCCTGGAAAAACTAGGTTAGATAAAAACAGGAGTGTTATTGAAGTGATATTTGAGATTATATACAGTAGTAAAGACAATAGTTTCACAGTGTATCGCATTAAAATCATATATCTTTTTGTATAATCATCAACGTAGGTTAACTAGGTTTTATGCGACTCTACACCCAGACTGTACCCTCGCTGAATATTAACGTCGCTTCTGTCTCGCGTATGTCATGTTATAAAGAATGTGGCAGATGCCAAGTTATTTTTGGTCACATAAATCTTGAAAACTAGAAAATCATAAATTTCCTTCCATGCAGGAACTGAAATGATCTAAAATGCTAACATTCATTATTATGGCAATGATGCAGAAGATCCTAATATTACTTACTACGTCACTATTCCCCAATATTTTTAAGTTACAAAATACTTAACGAAGACACTTTTTTACCTTCTGATCTTCAGCTGTCGGATCAACAACCACAGCACTAAACTGTTTTCCGCCATACGTTTTCATTTCACTACAAATCTTCAAATACTGCAGTTTTGCTTGTAGTGGAGAAATATATTTCTGTCCCGGAGGGCAGAGATTACGTGTTTGCTTTATTTGTTGAGTTAAAATCCTTTGTAGGTCTTTCTTTTGCATCGTGTTAATGAGAGCAGTTGGTACAAAATTCTCCAGACTTCCAACTTCTCGTTCAATTGCTTTCACAGAGATTTTCCCACCTTTTCCAATCTTCTCCTCCATAGCGTACTGTTGAAGATGCAATGCCGCAAGTTTGATCGCAATGTCGTATTTTAGTTCCCAACCGAAACGTCCCTCAACAACTTGAGAACACATCTACACAAACACAGGGATGGAGCCAATGTCAATTACACAGGATTTTATGAACAAATTTATCCGAACGAACGGCTAACGATTCGTGATTGAATTTAGATTTTGGTGTGAAAGAAGAATTGGAAGAAACAGAAGGACCTGCTTAAGAGACAGGAGAAGATCTGAAGGAGAACAGGAGGATCTAGAGAAGGAAATAAAAGATCTGAAGGGGAACTAGATGATATAAAGGACAACAGAAATGAATTAGGAAAATCTAAAGGAGAACAAGAGGACCTGGAAGAGAACAGGACGATTTCAAAGAGAGCAGGAATTCTGAAAAAGAACCTGGAGGAGAATTGAAGGATCTGAACGGGAAAGGATGATCTGAACAAGAGCAGGAAGATCTGAAAGAGGAGCTTGAGGATATCAGGAGAAGCTGAAGGAGAACAGGAGGATCAAGCAGAAAACCAGAAGACCTGGAAAATGGATTTTCGTCTGGTGAAAAGGTTTTTAGCACTTTATTTAACCATCTCAGAGACAAACGTATATACACAAATAAATATAGTGCTATAATGACGAACCTGTCTATAAAAATAATCAAATGCAACCGGGTCTTCCTTCCAAAATTTTTGAACATCTTTTGGAGCAAAACTAAAAGGAGAATAAATACATTTAGTCCGTTATAGTTTTCAACATTTTTTGTCGTCCAATGAGACGATAGACGCCAAGCAAAATTAATTTTACGTTATAAAACGACAAAAAAAAGTTAGATTTGCCAGGAAAAAGTCTATATAGGATAGAATCTAAACATGAATTTATCGTGACTTACATCAAGAGAAGCTTTGATAACCAAGCTGAACTACTACAATTTCTTTTTGTATAAACCTTATAAAGATGAAAAGTTTAAAATGAGTAAGAATATGTTAGCAGCAGCGTAGACAGTCTAACGATTTAGCCTAACGATAATCGTCAGGCAAGCTATACGTGTGCTTGAGTAATTGGCCCAGGGGTGAATATTTAGCATAGCAAAAAAATTACCTGGGAAACACGCTCATTGGCCTGAACAATATAATCATTTAACGTTTGAGTAGCTTGTAATACAAGTGCAAAACGATCTAATTTCTTAAGGCCAATCTTGTCAGCTAGAGATGCGAACAAATCCTGAAACAAAGAAGTCATTAAGTTGTCAATATACTTCTTATCATCAATAATCATCAGGGAATTAATGATAAGACAAAATTTCCCTTTTACAGATACTGCATTTAATTTAGTTTTCGCGGCCGCGTTGGGCAAAATACTTGCACTAGTGAAAACAAAGATATGACAAGCACAAGAGGGAAACAATGCATTCAAGATGGCGTCCGAAACCCATTATTAGGGTTGCTATTCTTATTCTTACAAAATGACGTGTCTCAGAAATAATCTGGGTGGCAAGAGTTTGTTATTTAACCGCGGTTGCTAAAAAATCCTGGGAACATTACGACCCTCTTGAAATAACAAAAGTCGCAGTGCTACAATCTACGCCGGTAAATTCGCATTCAATGTTTGTTGGCTTTTAAAAAAAATTTTTTTTTTCAATTACCACTTAAAACGGCAGAATTCTACAAATACAAACATGACGTCATTTTAAAGGTATTACAGTAGAGAGCATCGTAGAAAATTTCTACCTTAACAACAGTAGTGGGATTGTACAGAAACGATCTGGTTTGTCCATTCTCCAGAAAGATTTTCAGTACATTCGGGATGAGTGGTAGCGACGACTAAAAAAAGGTTAAAACAGATTTCACGTTATAGGATGATAAAAAAATATCGCCGTATTGCATGATCCAAAATTGAACAGTACTGTCGTATAGTGCACGTGAACAGTGCATGCTGTAATTATCGCTAAGTACTTAGTCGATAGTATTTACATACCCGTCTAAATGGATAACTCGGAGGAGATCCGACATATTGAACGAGCACAGGTGTATCAGCAAAACGAACGCTGACTGGATTGGATCTGCGTTTTTCCCTGGTTGTGCGACTCATGATGGAAGATTTGCGTTGGCCCTGTAAAAAATGATTTCGTCAATCATGCACGACATATCTTAATCTCATTTAAGGAATTTAAGAAATGAAAGCAGGAAACTCGATTAGTTGGGAAATACCACATGCGAAAAAACATGGGTAAAAGGCGAACTCGTTCTCTAAACAGAGTATTTAAGCAGTGAGTTTTGCCTTTGGGCTGTTTATAGTAAAACTATGTTTTGTTTACACCGCAGTTGACCAGAAAAAGCGTTTCTGCTTTTGATCTTCCCTATTTTGTTCGGCATAGAATTAACTTATTTACCGAAGAAGGGTGTTGAAGGTGCATATCAAATATGACTGGATTTTTGTTTCCAAATAAAATACAAGACGTGCATGGAGGAGATATTAGCACGGAATATGATAAACGGATCTGCATGATCTCCGAGCCACGTCGTGTAAAGTAAGACTTCAATATGCACTGGAGTAGCATAATATTGTCTTCCTTACCCGATTTCTGACATCCTGAACATCATCACTAGCGATAACTTCAAGATTTAGTTCTTCACTAGACTCCCTGGAAAGAAAACGTGAAACACACATTGTGACAGCAAGTCGCAAACACTACACGAGTATACTCTTAGCCTAACTTATACCATCACAGCAACCCCTGAAATAATCCTCAGTGTAGTTCAAACTAATGCCTAAAAAATAAACAATTCTTACTTTATTCTCTGAATAACTGCAGACTGGGGCATGTCGCCAACGTCTTCTTCGTTAATCTTCAGTATCTGATCATTCGCATATAATTTTCCAGCTGATGGACCATCTAGGTATAAGACAAATTTATTAGTAGGGGATTTTAATCCATTAGAGTTAAAAAATGTGGATACTTGCTGCGCCAGACTGACACAGAGAGAAAACAATGATGTTAAAAAGTGAAATTTAAATTATAATAATATAATAATATAACAATTAACAAAAAACAAACAACGTTTCGGTTGTTGAGGTGAATTGTATGTTTACAAAACCCAAAGATGAACACTCTGGTCCCTCACAAGAGAAGTCTAAATGGGAGACGGTTGCAATATCTTGAGTTTAAATTGTACATTATGCACATTCACGATCAAAATTTTGGTCAGGGAAGAAATTTCCGATATACTGATAGTGTACAAGGTGAATTTATGTTGTTTCTTTCAACATTACATAATGACTGATATTCAACATATTTTGATAAGTTCAATAATCGAAAAGGTTCTTTCGCCTACGGAATATTCGAACAAAATAGTGCATGAAGTTTATCAGTTGGGAGAAATTGGACGAAAACGGAAATTAAACTATTTGTGTCGGCGAAATAGTCAGAAGTCTTTCTGGAAAGACATTGAATCCGTCACAAATGGCTTTCCTACTGTGTTTTAGGATCAAGCAAAATTCCTTTAAACAAAGACCATTATGTATATTTATAAATAAGCAAAAATGTAGACATTCTTCCCTTGTGTGTCCCAACCCATTACATTTATATGAACGATTTGTTCAAATTTTGTGGCATGGTCACCACCATGCATGCAAGCAAGCAAGTGTGCGATTACGTGACAATATTTTATGATACGTTCCAATATAACCAGGGAGCAGCGTGGCAGCGTCTTCAGACAACTTAGCATTAAATGTGGTATAACAACTGCCTTAAATAGGCAAAACACTTCTCGACGTTTCGACGTTAGGTCCTTCGTCAGGAGAGTTACTATGGTTTACATATTAACTCTCCTGACGAAGGCCTCGGTCGAAACGTCGAAAAGTGTTTTTGTCTATTTTAGGCAGTTGTTATACCACATTTGATGCTATATTTTATGAATTGTATTTTTTTCTAATGACACGGTCCCAATGATTATTAGGGCCCAATGATTCATTACGTTAATAACGAGTACCAAAGAGAAGACATTTTTAACAACTTTCTTCTCTCATGTAAGCCTATTATTTTTCACTAAAGCGTGCTTTATGATGGATATGCTATGCATATGAATGACAATCACTTTTACTAGCTCAAGGGCCAATTAACTATTAATTGGTTGTCTTTCTTAAACAGCCTTATTGTTTCCTTTAAAGCGCCACCCTTTAAAGACCTGGGGTATTTAGGTTGTTTCAGAAGAATTCATCTCGAAGCTTTCTTGGTATCACTGCTGTCATTTCCAAGCGTGATTAGTAGTCTATCCTGCAGGGTTGGTATGTTTGATTTCCAGTCTTAAATGAGATCATTATCCCCAATGCTTGGTTCCCACATGCCCTTTTACTTGATAAGTTTAAGAAGGAAGAGACGCCCTCGTCTTCCTACACTAATGTAATAGTGCTTTGCTACTTTAAGTACCAATGCTATCAACTAAAAAATACTTGTTTACACCCCCCTCGCCCAGCAACAGCCACCTTGACTGCAGCATACTTTCATATTTTGAACAGCATTGGCCAGGAAAAGTGCATGATATTTGCGGTACAAATCTATCCGCACAACAGATACTGATTTGCATGGAGTATATATATCTCAGTATCTTAATTGTTGTACACTATTTACTGTTTACCTCAGTATCATACTGTTGTTGTACACTATACACACATGCATTGGTTATACGATTCATTTTTCATTGCTTAAAAGAACAAAACATTTTGTCTACAGTAAATGTAGCTGATAAAGATTCAACGAATACAAACCTTCTGCAACCGATCTAATGAGAACAGGTTTTTCGCTACCAGCAACAAAACCATAACCTAAAATAAAGATTTCAGTCAAAACATGTCTGATATGAAATAATATATCAGTGCAATAAGTGAAGTCTAAAACGAATTGAAAACAACAACTATGTATACACGCAACTTCACTTAGTACGTTCTTTTGAAAACTAATCGCATCGGAGAATTTTCCAGTGCAATTTTATTTCCCGTCGATAAACTGCTCTCGACGTCCACACAAGGACCATTAATTGTGTTTGGCTATCTATATACAGCTATATGATGCACCACATGGGTTAATACCACTGAAATACATGGTTTAAAACACTATACTTCATTTAGTTGCTTAAGCTAAGATCCATGCACGAGTCCTGTGTTACCATGCAAACATACAAGAATATTATACGAATATAGTTGATATCTACATAGATGTACAATACACATAGATTGTACAGGATCAGGATAGAAGCTGCGTGCATATAAGGTATTTATTTATAGTTGGGTACCTGAGCAACGTGCTTCCTGTTTATACAAATTAACGTTCGTATATGAAGGTTAGTATACTCGAAAGTGCTTTTCTCGAAACGTCGAAAACATTTTACGCATTCTTGGCCTCGGATCCTAAATTTTACTATATATAGCTACGAAAACTAGACTATAGTTAACTAAGTTAAGTTGTCGCCTAACGGACATGTTGATTTTAAACAGACACATGCACGAAACAAAACTTTACGTTGCCCAATTGAAAAATCTAAATTTCAACCGGGGAACATTTCACGAGAGAACGTTTTTAAGTAATTTTAGGCCCGTATCTGACGTCGAACTTTTCATGTGCCGAACCTAATGTTAATGGACTAAAGTAAAGACTTTAGTAAGTACTTTGTAAGTTCATTTGCATTCGATTCGGCACATGAAAAGTTCGACGTCTAAAACTGGCCTTACCCTTTGTAAAATATGGATTGGTTTTGCATAGTTTGTTTCAACTCTGAACTGTTAAAATCGATAAAGATTGCACTGCAAAGCGGCAGGCATACAGCCTATATAGACACATGCCTCAAAAGATTTAGTAAAGTATGATACCCTTTCTTATGGCAAAAATGACAAACTCGATATATTGTTATTCTAAAGCTATACAAACGTCCCGTTAATATCGCTCCTTATCCGATAATGGATGTTCGGAATTGTTGGTGTTGTAATGAAATTGTAATGTATTAAACCATACCAATATCGGAGTGTCGTGAGATGACCACTTTTCTTGTTCGTGGAGGAATCTGTAGAAGAAAGTGTATTTCAGTACTTTTATATATCCCTTGTCATCGTGCTATAATCCTCACAAAGTTTTACAGGTAAAAAATATTAAAGAACAATATTAAATCAACCTTATAGAGTACCATGATAAAGTCTGCATGTAGTGAACCAGAAAGAGTCAATTGTACAAGTTATCGCGTTGAAATATACCCGCACATGCAAGAGGGTCTAAAATACCCACAGGCTACACTTGTAATGAAGTCAAAGGAATATTATAGAACCTAACTACAGGCTCCTATGATGTTAACAATAACTGTTAGGTATTCCAAAACAAAAGAGCAACAGACAGAGACGACCTCCTGTTGTAAAGACAAAGACTCCACCCACGGGGTGTCATCCAAGGACCAAACTCCCACGCTATAAATACTGCATATTGGTATGTTTCTTCGAAGAAAATGTTTTCGCTCCCACAGTTAAGCAGCATACTGTTGAAATAGATACACGAATTGTATGGGGTACATACAGATAACATTTGAAATGATATGTTTACTACACAAAAAGACAATGAATACACCAGTTTATACTGAATCGAAAGAGCTTGATTTACTTAAATGGAACTTAAATGGGATAAAAATATGTTGATTCATTACATTCCTAAAAGGTTGAGCCGTATATGTAAATTTCAACACATATATAATATATTTAATTTCCTCACTGGTCATGCCGAGTAAGAAACAATCAAGGAAGATAAATTCATAAGTTCTTGCTTTGTTTTGCTGTCTGCTTTTTGTGCATCCCTATTTTTTTTAAAACACACGGGCTCGTTACAAGCATATTTTCAATTAATTATATAGCAATTACACAAAAAAATGTATTCAAACTTCAAATCTCGTTTATCTTAAAATGTTTAATATGGAAGTGTGAAAAATTAATAAATAATAACTCTGCCTGCATGGGACGAGAGGAGGAGGTCCAAAGTAGCACAGTTTAAATGCACCTTCAATATCACGAAATATTTTCCTCTTTCCTCAGTTTAAAACCAACACCCTGACCTAAATTCAACATAATTACTTTCTGTACTTTGACCTAACATTCATTTTACAAATGATAAACATACCATGCAAAGACAAACAGTTTAGTATATTTTCGTGAACCAACTAAAACTAAAGACTCATCAGTAAAGGCATGCATGTTCCACTCGCGATACTCAGAGGAGACTTTGAACCCTGTCTAAGTCGTCTTTGTTAGAACATTCATACGTTTATTAGCTACGATACACCAGTTCTTTTTCTGGGCGAAATATAATCTAATTAAATATCGTTCAGTGAGCCCAGTCTGTAGAGTATAAGTTTATATCGAAATAAAAGTTAATGAGGGTCTTGTAATAGTTGTATGTATAAATAGCTACCAGCCTACCATCTTAAAAAAAAACTTTCTTTAACCATCTTAAAAAAAAACTTTCTTTAATTGAATTAATACATATAAACTTTTTAGTATTCGAACACGAACAGAAATCACATCAGTATAAACAATAAAACAATCTAGACTTTAGCTATATATTGTTGATTATTGTCAACTATAGCACAAATTATATAGGAATTGTAATTTGTATCATCGCCAGTATATGTAACAGTACATTGTCATTGGATAAATATGACTTTGCGAGAGTTTTTACATATTTATACAACAGCATACAGCATACAGCATACAGACATTGAATGTTATGAATTGTAACTTCAGGCCAGACGTTTTATTTATCATGCTTAACAGATTTGTACTGAGAGAAAACCAGGTCGGTATTTCGAAAGATACTTGAAAAAATACACAGAGAAGAATGATAACGGTCAACTGACCGACATTTTGCATGACACATAAATTAGGCGTTGAATATTTCCCAGGACTCTCGACTTTTCCGGACTTTTGGGGATGGCGGAAACCGAAGAAAAAAAGGCATCACAAAAAATTGCGATTCACGCAATAATTTTGTATTAATATCGACAAGAAAATTGAGTTTCACAGGTCGGGTAACACAGCTTCAGTAGCTATACAGTTAATGCATCGGCTAGCTGATAGCGAAACTTTGTTCATTCTCACTCAGGCTCTTCCATGGTGAAGGAGTAGACGTTGGTGATTATTCATTATGAGTACGGGGGGGGGGACAACTGGCTACTTATTTTTATATCGGGGTTATCTGTGCAAGGGCTTAGGCTTGTGGCGTAAACCTTAATTATTTCGAGAATTCTCTTTAGTAATTGTTTTCTTCGAATCTGTTGTTTTATTGCTTTCAGGCATTTTTACAACGCTTGAAAAGATTATTCAGTGGATAGCGTTAAGGTCTGTTCCCACGACCCAATTTTGTTGGATCCAATTCACTTCTGATGGATGTTTTATAGTCTGTTGTCTTGTAATGTATATGAGCAGCAAATTCCATGAAGCCAATGCAGTACTGCTTTATCAATAACCGACCATATTTCATACGTCAGAAGTGAATTGGATCCAACAAAATTGGATCGTGTGAACAGATCTTTATCCAGCCTTCGCACTGACAACCGGCCTCAGGGGAATTGTTCTAGTTTGAGCGTCTATATATTTATTCCTAATTTACCATCTTTTACCTCATGAAAATAATCTTACCATTGCACTCAGAAACATTCATATCTGAGATTGACTAAATTTCATTATTTAGCGATAAAGTTTTATCAAGAAATGCTATTCCATGACTCAAAACATTCGTAAATGCTATTCCATGACTCAAAACAAGCGTAACTTAATTTACGTGTTTTCATTAGGCAACATTAAAAATGAATTAGCAGATTACTTGGTTTCTTTTTTTTCTCAGCCGGAACGTAATTACACTGAACGCAATAATACGCTGAATTATGCAGACTGTGGCTTTTTAAGGAGACTGGCTTTAATGGTTTGTTAGAGAGCACGAAAGTCACACGAAAACGCGTTGGATTTTCCCACAAAATGATTGATTGCAACTGCTTATGGTTACTTTAATCCCTGATAATTGGCCCACATGAATATGTGAGAACTTACTAATAATGGTTAAGATCATTCTAGGAATAGCCATACAAATTCATTTTATTTTTTCATCAAGTTTTAGTTTATAGCTGATGGTATTCCAGTATCAAATGTAGAATCAAAGACATACCATAGTAGTAGTTGTAGTATTTAAATCTGATTGTGCAGGAAGGCTTCTACAGGTTTCTTTCTTCAAATGACTAGAGAGTAAATTGAAAGAAATTATCAATATTTCATTAAAAATATCATGTACCAATTTGAAAATAATAATTCTGTTTTAACAACGAGCAGTCACAGGAAGCGTGCCAACTAACAACAAGCATTTGCACACATGGAGGTAAATTTCCATTAAAACTGTAATTGCATGTGAGCTGTCTATAAGATACCACTCAATTTTTTTCCTATCAAACGGGTAGAGTTGCAGCTCCTCGCAAGAATGATTTTCATTGGCTGAACTTTACAATACATTTCTGTTTCAACCAATAGCATAGCTTCGTTCTTTAGAAAGCATAGAATAGCATTATCCAATTGGATGAAAGCTTCCGAGCACTGCGACATGACCCTCTAAAACACTGTGCACTGTTGAAATGCGTTTTCAAGTCCTATCTGCATGGTAAAAAACTTCTGATATAAAATTTGTATTTCAATGGAGGTGTATTTGTATCAACAAGATATAAAAAATCAGAACTTAGGCCATATTGAAACTGTTTAATAGTTTATGAATTTAGGGTAAGTTGTATAGTACCTGTTGTTCAATATAACCTACATTTAATCTTAGTTCTCTTTAATAAGGTTCTCTTTAATACTGGTAACTGTTTTAAATCTGTAACGTTTTGACATGTTTACAATCACTATCTGAGTACGGTTATATAAAACTTCTCAACTAGATTTTGAGTAGTTAAATGGTAGTTAAGTTGAAAATACAATATTCTGATTGGCCAATTCTGCCACTAACTATAATTAAAGGTTAACTGCCTTTTTATATAACCCGGCCTTAGGTGGATAACACCACTTAGCTTTTATGTTTTCTGCCCATTTCTAAATTTTGTAGCAAGAATTAAGCGTGTCAACTAAATTTCTAGTGGCATATTCGAAACGTCTTAATATTGTGAATATTTCCAACTAAGACAGCTGAAAACGATTTAAAAAGCCCTGCACATATTTGAATAATCTTGTTGTCCGCATTTTTGTAAACAGTGGAATTAATTATAAGTACAATTATATAGCATTATAGCATTCAAAGTAATGCTTGGAAAATACTCAATTTACAAACTTTATCAAGAATAAATACATACAATGAGCAAATATAATAATAACTCAATCCATATGTTTCCTTTTATTGGCACTTATAAACCCCACCTATTATACTTATGTGTGAAAGTGTGTTGCAAAAAGTAATGAAATTTAGAAGAAGTAAAAAATTTTTAATTGCATTTGATAATTCTCATAATCAACACGTTTGGCCACACATTGACCATACTGTGCATTGCAAATTTAAAAAAATCAAGTGATATTCATTGCAGTGTTATTGAGTGCTCAGAATATGTATTAGGTGGTCACCAATATTGACCACAATCTAACCTAAATTGATTGAAAAAATGCAGAAAAGTGCTCTCTAGTTGTTCATGATAAAATATTTAGAGTTCAACAATTAACTTTGGCATAATGCAATTAAATTTAGTCGGAACTCAGATAATTAAAAATTTAAGATTATCATAGTCAGACACTTCTTCCATAGTAAATAAATGGTGGGATCCTTTCAAAAAAGCTACACTTCATATTTATATTTTATGCAGTTGAAAATTGCCGAAATCTAAAAGCGACGCTGTTTTGCACAGAGGTGCGATTTATTGTTCGGAAATATAATTACCAAAACACTACAGCCGTGAAACAATTCAACCCAAGTACCGTGTCGATAGAATATTATAAATCATAAAAGAAAATAGAATGAAAATGTGTAACACTTTATATTGAGGATAAACATCTAAACGGTCTGAATTACGTTTCGAATAACGGTCTGCATTACGTTTTGTTTGATAGCAGCGAAAGTGTTAAATTGTTAATTAATTCCATTCATACAAATGCATAATATTCAAAACATTTACTTCTGAACTAAGTTGGGATTTAAAACGAACCAGTTGTTTTTGATAATATGACACGATCACGCAGAAATCAAACTAAATATCATAATATACATTCGAACCCCAAATAAATATATATACAAGCTTATTACTTAACTGCAATTTAAAAATAAACCTATAATCATGTTTATTTCTATATATGCATAACATTCTCTGGTATAAGGAATATGCTTCGAGGAAGAAATTCGACGATATTCTGTGTACTTAAAAGGGTAGCTTCTGCAATTTTTGACATGGAATTATAATTATTTGCCAAAAATATAAAAAAATACTTCGGATAAGCAATCTTACTTGATGTAATAACGTCTGTTATCGGAACTTTGGGCAATTTCCCAGCCATAGGACAAACTATGTCGACTTTTCCAAGCTTCTGCAGGAGGCAGCCAAGACCAAGTCTTATCGGCTTCGCTATATAGCGATAAAATATAGTTACTTCATTAAAACCTATTTATCGTGAAAACGAAAGCCTAAATACAATTTAAAATCTTAACAAGAATGAGCTGATTTATCATTTTCGTATTAATAAATATTGTATTTAAAACAGTGTGTCTGCCTGCATTCGAGACGATCGCTGTCAAAATATAAGACAAAATATAAGACAAAATATAATACAAATTAGCTATACATTTCGAGAAACGCATGCAGAATCGAATGGTTTTAATCCAGATTAGCAATATTTTATGGTCCTATTAATCTCTACGGATTCGGTGAAAAGTAATAAATAAGCAACATATTTTAGTTCATTATATAAAATTAAACCCACACATTTTATGATTCAAATGCTCCATGTATTATAAAGACATAAAATGCCAGCAATGACCGATCTTACATCATAATTGTTTATATTTTTGCGTATTTACGACATAAAAATGCTCAAGTATCACAAAATTCAAGTACATTTATTACATGTTTAGATAGAGTGATCGATTTTGCTTGCTATAACGATTTTTTGACAGTAATTACAAGTCTCATATTTCTAGTTTAATACAAACTTACTTGATGTAAACCAATCGATCCTGTTCAATCAAAACGAATTTCCATCCTTCTGGTAAAACTATACCGTTCGTTTCAGGTTGAGTTACTTTGTCAATTGTCTCCTCCATTCATTCGAAGCTATATGCTTATAATGTGGGTGATAGCTGTACGATTCATTTGCCAACAATATATTCAAGCCGGACATATTTCATCTTGAACAACGAACACAAATATGTACCCCTGATAAAAGTGGGCATTTTAAAGTCCGCAAAGAGCATTAGACGTGATTATTTTTTTCGTATCTTATCTGCATATTTACTACATACACAATAATCGTGCACTACAGGAAAAGCAAAATAAAATATGCACAATAATATTTCACGTCGCCGCACGATACGATTGACAACAAAACGAACAATGCTCTTGTTGTTGCCCCCCCGGGAAATCGCGTCGCGGAAGATGAGGCGGAAACCCGCAACAACCCGTGAAACGTACCTCGGGAAAAACAACGCCAGTGTTTATGTAAATTGCTTTACATTTTACACACAATCTGCGAGAATTCATCGACAATATATTAAAAATATGTGCCAAAAACGTGTGCCAAGAACTAACTAGTGAAGACATGCAGCCACCCGCGATTTCCTGGCCAGCCCTCGTTTTTGATAGAAAGAGCTGAAGGGCGAGAGCCTAGAGCCTAGGGTGAACAATCAGTGAGTGAACCCAGTCCTCTATAGAATCTTAGAAAGTTGTTTTAATCAAAGTTGGGCTTAATTTTAGTTTCGCCCTGCAGGGCAATATACATTAGTATATCAAAAAGTGTTACAACCTTGGCAATACATAATTACGCAAGGCTATGCGGGAACGCGCGCATCGTCATGATGTCATCGTTTCCGAGTGTTTTCAAAAAGGTCTTCCGCTGTCTCTTTGATCGTTTCGACGTCTGTTCACACGGTTTGAGTAGAGGAGAAGATTTCCAATATATTGAATTGGCTCCAACTTCTGCGCGTGAATTCATAGTAATTTGTATATTAAGTTATAAACGCCTCTGATTCCGTTTTCCTAACTATGTTTCTAAAGGAACCTGTTTTGTTCCAAATATTTCTTTGGCCAAACTCTATACGGAAGAAAAATAGTTTCCCAACTTTTCGGCCAACTTCTATAGAAAAAAATAGTTTCCCATCTCTTTGGCCAACTTTTATGGAAGAAAAATAGCTTTTTTGCACGACAAGAACAATTATAATGAATTGACGGATAATAAATACCGAATGTTATAAACTTATAACTATACATATTCGTATTGTTGATTGTTCGCACCCACTTTTACTTTGTCTATTCAGTCTACGCCATAACTCTTGTCATTTTCTCTTCAGCCCACCTCGGCTTTAAATAATGACCGGTAAAAAAAGGTCCTAAAAGGAACCTATTAATATCTGGGTCTGGAGCTTTTGTCCCATTTACCTTTGACCAAATGACCCACACATTCCTACGTAACACCGCCACAGCAGTATGTACTCACATTATACATCTAAAGCCGTTGTTGAAGGAACTAGAGTTTGGTCCGAAATATCGATCCTGAACCGACTTGACTCGAAACTCAGACTCAGACTGTGATAAAAGACATCTAGCTACAGCCTGGTTTAGACGCCGTAGACGCCTGCTCACCAGCCGAATTTCTGTTAAGTACCTCTTGTTCATTTTCATAAACTTTAGCCCATGATCGATAAGCTAGCGCTACCTCCTCCGCAGGCTCTTTTCGGGAGAAGCTAGCGTATAATCCAGGCCTATGATTACCACGGCTCAGTCTGGTACGACCTTTAACCCCGGATTTTTTCCCGATAGTAATATCGTTATAAAATAATTAAATTTCCTTTGGCAGAGTTCATTACATTTTTATCTCACCACACATGCCCATCCCTGGACGCCCACTTGTTCCGATGAAATTCTAGAACTATCCAACAGCAAATTCTTTTGTTTGAACGCTTGACATGAATATGTATCAAATAGGGGCAAACGATACATCATGTTGGATGTAGTTGGATGAAAGAGGGCTAAAAATTTGGGACATGTGACTAAAAAACGCTGACTACTTTGACTAGTTCCTTGTAACTCGTAATTTAATTCTATTCAATCAATCAAATACGATAGGTTGAGAGGCTATATGCCTAAAGTACCAGGGTTTATTTCCAGTTTTATCTATAAATTTCATAATTGATCAAAGAGTAAAAACACATTGAGATCTCATTCCCGACGCTTTATATCTAGTATTTAATTCATTAATACAGAAATATTAAAAGGTTTTATTATATGGCAAGCGTCACTTCCAAGATGAAAAACAGAGAAAATCTGAAAGAAAGAGGCACAAATAAATGCTCAAGAGAAAATTTAATTGCTTTTACTAATAAGACGTCTCCAGACAGTTTAGGTAAACTAAATAATTCAATATTTTGTTTTGTTTTTATCCAATGCTGACTTCAGTTCACAAACATTACGAGATGCAATGGCTGTAGCTACTGTGCAATGGCTGTAGACGAATTCATGCATTTCTTGTTCGTTTTAAGTGCAAATACATGCCTTATGCCATATAATAAAGTTCTTATTAACCTCGCTTGCTCGGTCTTTAACAAGAAGACCTTACTCTTCGAAAGGTACAAAAAGACCTCGGTCCGATATTTCTCGGTTGAGACCTCGCGCTCGGTTAATAAAAAGGTTATTAGCCCCTGATTTTATTACCTTCATGCATGCTTCCATTCGATATCAAGTTTAAATGTTTTGATTTCCATTGCGTTTAAAATGACGTCGTACTTATCATTGGCATTGCGACTCGTTTCGTGTTCCGAATCTCGTTTCCAGTTTTTTGTATTTTTTCGTTTATTCTTTATCATATTTGCACTGAGGTTAAGTTCAGTAAGAGAAAGGATAGTAAAGTCTTGAAACAAGCCTTTCAGTTGAACAGTAACAGGCTTTGAAAGTTCATTATCCTCGTCTACCGCAAACTGATGTTCTAGACGCAACAACACAGCTTTGTTAAATTTTTCCAACGTCAACAGATGGACATTATCCGGTAGTGGACGAGTTAATCCACAGTAACTTCTTCCTGCTTGCTCACCGCGTAATTTTCGTTGAACTTTGTCATTACCAAGAGCCCAGCTAGGAGCTCCTTTTGAAAAAGCGAGTTGTGGTCGCAAAAATTCCGCTTCAGCAACAACGCGATGTAATTTCGCAGAATTTTTGGCGGTTTCGAGTAAAACTAAAAACCTTCCCCGAACAATAAGTCCGCGACCGTCTCGACCAGGTTCATTTAACGGTTCTCCACCAACAGCCCCATCGTTATAAAGCAATCTCCGATGAATCATGAACTCTAATGAACCATCCCTTAAACTGGCACCCCCGACAGAACGATCTGATATTATTGTCAGTTGAATTCCGGTGTCACCTTTGATATAAGCTCGACTATTTACTGGGTAATAGTTTCCTGCTACGGGTTCTGCATCTAGAATAAAACGAGAACTCCAGTTTTATTAGAGTAACGTTGCTTGACTTGCCAACTGCCAAGTGGTGGTGCAATCAAACGCTGCCACTTTGCAGTGTAAATCTATTAAGGTCAGGGAATTTAAAAACTTTAAATTTCTAGCTTCGGAAACCGTATTCAGTTTTGTAATTTATGAGTATTAGTTTCCAGTATTGCACGCTACAGTACATGTTATGAAGTTAAAATCATGAAGAAAATTGTACATCCGTACTATTTCACATCGGTGATAAAGACGTGCTCAGTGCCCACGATAATTACGACAAAATGGAAATTAAGTGGCCGAGTGGATGATTACCTGACATGAGATACCTGAAGATTTACGACGTGACAGCTCGGCGACGCGCATTAATCACATTTTTCATGCATAGAAAAAATGAATATTTGTGGTCGCAAGTATATATTAGACATCGTCGCTGTTTTTCACCTAAAGCCGTTATAACGTCTAACGTCTTTTGACCAAAGTGAAAGTTTGCTGCGACATAAGAGGTTTAACAATAAGCAGACAAAGTTTTTACCGAAATTTGCTCCCCTATCAAATTGACGAGTGTCAAGCATTGAATCCATTAAGCAATTTTAAGTGTTTTTTTCTCAAGTTGATTGTCACTGCGTCGTCGAGCGTCTGCATCGTAGATCTTAAGCAGGCATCTTAAGCTAAGGATGTTATGCTTTTTGAAGTTTCCAGGGTTGGGTCATTTCCATAAGGCTTATAGAGCTACATACTCGCCCTGGTAGCTTCATTATTTAAATCCATGATATTGAACCCTTTTCGCATACCTGTTATATTCAACACATTTTCAAGAGCACAATAAAATAGGTCGTGTTACGATGCTGTACACATAATCATTTGCTTGTTTATATGATATTATAATTGATCAACTTACTTTCATATGACCAGGTGGGACGAAAATCACGTTTCCTCGTTTGCATTTCACGTCCATTTGCATCCGTGTAGAATATACCATTAGTCTTTAAATTTGTATCAAATCTTGATATTACCTCCATACCAAGTGCACCGCGAGACATTGTGATTGGTCCAATGGTGTATTCAAATTCTGCATACGGTTTATTAGAATACAACCTAACAACCTGGCTAACCCAAGGATTGAAAACTTGTTGGATCTCTTGTACAACACTGTTTTTGACTATCGCTATTTTTGCATGGTTATCAAAGCTAACATTAAAAGCTTCACTGGAGTTTGGCCTGAAGACATAGGCATTGGAAGCTTGATCACTCACTTTGTTCCCGACACTGGAATTATACCAAAGGAATTGCTGATCGACTGATTGTTTGATGCTAGAATCCAAATTTTCAATTTCAACAAGACGACCATTTTTGGTCGAAAACGTCAACCGAAGATGTTTGTTTGTGATGACAAGATAACCTGTACTCTTTGCGATGAAAGAAACCTTTTTTGATTTAGATTTTATTAAATTTGAGGTGATATTAACTTCATACATACCCAAGCCAAGTGGTGGTAAATTCACAACAGGAAAGACCAACTCGTACGAAGCGTTACCACGTTCACCTCGAATAATCCTAGTCACTTTTGTTACGGGTTGTATCGAAAACGACACTGGTTCACCATCCGGGCCATAAACCACCATAGACCTACTGGATACTGGAACTCGAATGTTCGTCTCTATTGGTCGAGCAATTGGGTTGTATACAGCAATAATAAAAGTCTTGGAGGTTTCTGTAGCAGAACAAGCACTGACATTGAGGTAATCACAGAAAGTGTATTCATAACTTTCCCTTTGGATCAATTTGTTCAGGGTAGAGTTGATAACCATCTACATGTGACGTAGATAATATATTTTGATAACGGGTACAATGATAATTAGAAGCATTCCTTAATTAAACTAGCTTAATTTACTTAGTTTAATTCATTACGAGACATTATCAGACAGTGACAATAGCTGATGTAGACGAGTGATATAAAATAGGCGGTTTATTTAAGAGGTTTTTTAATTTAATGTCTGCTGTTTTTTTGTATATTTATATCAGAGACCCTAGAGCCAACAAAGTGATAATCACTTCAACTGAGCTATACTGATTGTCGTTATGACGATATGCGTAAAATATTTCACACAGGTGACGCGGTGTCTCAGTAGACGTGGACCCCCCTCAAATCTACTAGCGAATATGCACTTATGGAGGTCTTTATTCATTAAGAAAACTGGACTTCTTGCTTGCTTTATGATTGTATTTAATTTATTTCAAATATCGTACGAAGGGTTTAAATCATCTAACATCGAACGAAGATTGTAGATAAAAAATATCCAGTGCATATAAATTAAAATTTAAAACCTTTATTACGAACACCGTTTCCTGGTATTTTTAGGCAAAGCTTGTTATTTTGGTTCGTGAATCTACATGATATAATGATATGATCAATAATTTCATTTCATTATAGATTATGCCCAACTATTCGTAAAAATAATCCCCTTTAATTCCCAATTTGGAATTGGATACATAATTTCTACACTTCTGTTTGAATCTGCATGTTATTATAGATTCTAGATATAAATCAGCAATTCGAAATCTGCTGTGACGCTGGGTAAAAATGTTTCATAGCAGTACCCGAAACATTTACAGATTGCTTGTCATGCATATGAAATTTTATTCAACCCAGTCACAACTAGTAACGTCGAGAGAGCGGTAGGAGGTACCCCGGGGCCCGGGACTACTCCGAATGTACTCTCCTTATACTTTATTTTGATCAGTTTGATCAGTTCCAAAAGAGTGCTTTTTTAATTCCAGGAGGGGGTGAAAAGCATTTGGGAGGGAGAATGTTTGTATAATTATACACTCGTAATTAAATTTGATTTAAGGTCTAAGGATAGCCGCTTACGGTAAGCGCCATTGAGGCGCTATAGAAATATTTAATTTCCCCCTTGCTTCGCAATAAACTTTATTACCTCAAAATAATGTTTTATGCAAATTATTCGGGGAAAGGCAGCCCCTTGTTGCTACGGCCCTGAATTTAGCCATTCTCGGGATTCGGGACCCGCCTAAACTCTCGACAGTCTGTTGCAACTTGTCTAATAATGCCAAAAAACGATTTTAGCGTTGCATTTACAAGCTATCTTCATATGCAATTATGATTGCTAAGTACAACTGTTAAGATGTCATTCGGCAAGCAAGCATTGTAATGACTAGTTGCACAAAGCAATAACTGACTGCATAATTCACGTAACAACAATTTGCTTTAGAAATAATTAACTTGCACACTTTAATAAAAGCATCTTAATTCGCGATTGCATGATTTATTAGGTAAGGAAAACATCTAGAAGAGGGTGTAAATAGATTTCTATTAACTATGCATATAAACTACGTGAAAAATGAAATTTTGATTAGAAACAGAAGACTACTACTTTTCTACTACTAATACTCAAGCTAGTGTATTGTATACCTTGCATTGTTTAGCTCCAATTGCCAGTCGTTTGGCATAATCATTTACAACATGTTGTTTTTCTGTTCCAGTTACCGCATCGTGATGTTGAGCTACAGCCATTGCATCTCGTAATGTTTGTGAACTGAAGTCGGGATCATGAAGATTGCCCAGGACTTCAAGTTGTTTACATACCTGATGTTAGGAAAATGTTTATTAAAGTTGATTATTGAATTGAAGGTGAGTGATGAAGGCTGTTGGTGCTGCCTGTAGGGCTTTTGGAGTGACGAACGTCGGTGAAGATGATAGACGCTCAGGCTGTCAAGACGTTAGCCAACACCAACAACTTGTTCTTTTAGTCGGTCAATCAGGGACGCCAAAAACATGTTGGGCAGCACGGGCAGCTAGTTGCCCCCTTGCGGCGTCGTTGGCCATCGTTCAATCAGGCCGGCGTCCCTGCGGTCAATACTACCCTAGCCTTATATAGAAAGAGCATCCAGTGTGCAAAGTCTAACTTTTGCCTTCGTCAGTAAAGTAAAAATGATCGCGAAAAGACCCAAAACATGTTGTCACGAGAATACCTTAGCCGACGTAAGCAATTCGTCACATTTTCCGGTGTGCAGGTAAGTGAAGTAATCGGCCTGGGGCCGGTTGTTTAAAAGCCGGTTAGCTTTCATCAATTTTTTTAATCGCTTGTTTATGATGTTGAACACGTTTTTTCATAAATATTTTGTGGATCAATAGAAGTCTTATTTTGTAAAGACTTAAAAAACAAACAGCGGTGCAGGAGCACATAAACCAAAACAGCGGAGTAAGATTTAACCCAGGGTTAGTGCTAAACGTACAACCGGCCCATGAATGCTACTATTGCTACAGTAACAGCGGGATGCCAAGTTTTCACTTAAACTCTTAACTGCTGAAAATAGCATACATACCTGCAGTAAATTGTTACTTCTTCTGACATAACCTTTAAATGCAGGTCTGCTGGTGAAATATCCAGACCAGTAACAGTGCAGACAATTGGCATAAGGGAAAAAATCATCTTTCTTCAATTCCAATTCAATTCCTTTTACTGCATCAATATAATTTGATGGTGTTGAGTAAAATACATTCACTCTTCCATCCTATAAAAAATATAATCAATTATCTATCACCTGTCTATATGGCACAAAACATTTGGAGTAAGTTATAAAGAGTAACTAACTATTATTATAAAGAAAATACCTTATTTACATAATCAATTAATTTATCCAAGTTCTTAAACCACATTTCAGCATTTTGGTAATTAAAATCATCTCCCATTGTGAGCATAATATGTCCTGACTTGTAATGTAGTGCTTGTTCACATGTTTCATTAATAAACAATTCCACTCTCTCTTTTACATTGTTATCAAATAACTGAGGGTCATCTTGAATGGGTGGGTCATCACAAAGTATGTCAAAGCAGAATCCTTCCAGTGGACTATAACCATGGTATAAAACTCCTGTAAAAATTTCTGAGGCTTTACCAAGACTTTTGCTACCCTGCCACATGAGTTCCATCCTTTGTTCTTCAGTTCGCTTTTCCATATCTGCATGATGTATTCGAGAGAAGAAAAATCCTTCAAAAGACATTTGTGCAAACAAGGAAGCCTGTTCGGCTGAGTGACCAAAAGTGTCAATATGCCATGCAACCCGTGGTTGAGCTTTTGAGCCAAAATTGTTTGCAATAAATTGTAATCCATGGGTCATTTGGTCAATAATAGCATTATAATGAGTTGTTCCTTCATCATTCATGCACCAACCTCCGTTAACAAACTCCAACTGACCTCTTTCAACTATTGCTTGGACCTGTGCTTGCATTGCAGGGGTCTGTTGGACCCACCATCTTTTAAAGAACGCCATTTCCACATAGATGAAACGCCTCAAGGGGTTAGAATCTAAAGCAGGTATCACTGAATCAAGAATATATTGCACACCAGCTCTCTGAATGCTATTGTTGCCCCCATAATAATACTGATCAACAGTCTTCAGCCAGCCTACATCGTCATGCGTATGAGGTACAATATGGACTTGTAATACCTCGTTAGCATTTCTAGATTTTTCGGCGTAATTGCTGCAAACGAAAGCAGTCCCAGGACGAATATAGAACACCGAAGAAGCAAGAAATAATATTAAAATTCCACCTGATACACCAGACGCAAACATAATGATGATTGTCAAAACTATGAAAAATATTACTTAAATTTATAACCTCGATCAAAATGCTTATCACGTAGTACCAACACGGAAGTAACTAACAAATCTGGTTGTAACGTGATTTCCCGAGCAATAAAACTCATCAGGAGGCCAATTCAAAATATAAAAATCGTGGCTTGCGTGCCGGTTTCTTACCTGCCCATTTTTAGTAGCTGTATCGCTTCCTAAGCTGGTCAAGCTTAGTGTTAGAGAAATGTAATATTAAATGAGCATACAAAGCTATGGGTTTCATTGCAATCAATTTTCGTACATGGGTACGAGCGCCTTTGACAAAATGGAAATAAGGGAATCACAGTTCTTTCTTGACATCTTGTACTCTCTTAGTCTTGACTTTAGATTTTGATTTTTGTATAAATATTTCGATTTCAACATACATTTAATTACAAAATTCATTCATTCGTCAAATTTACATTCATTTTGGTTAAAAAATTTCTCGCAATATCGTTAAAAAAGTGGTATGGTCTTTCGTGCATGGTATACTTAATATTTTACAAGAGATTGGAAGGTGTACGTACAGAGTAATTATGTCAATTATAAAAGAGAGATATATACACATTGCGTATTGTCCCCATATATACAATGCGAAAAAAGCACGTGGTGCTTTCTGTAGTGTAAGTACGAAATTTAAAACTAGTTATTTCGTTTTCTTCTCATCCAGGACTTGCACACTCAACATTTTTGACTAGTTGAGAAAAACTCTATATAGCCCACTATTCAGCTCCTCGTATCTGTTGAACAAAGAAAAATAATTATTTTGGAATTCTGTTTTATATAAATGACATACTAAAGTTTTTCATATAATACTACCCACTGGTATAATTTCTCACCAAATGTGGTATAACAACTAAGACCTAACGTTCTTCGATTGCATTATAAGACAGAGAGATGGTATAACAGATCAGTTTATATACTAAACTCCCCTGACGAAAACCCTTTGGTCGAAACGTCGAAAAGGGTTTTTTCCCTTCATTTTAGGCAGTTATTATACCACGTTTTATGAGAAGTTACGTGCTGATAAATATCACCAATCTACAAATATCTAAACATGATACCATGCACCAACAAATATGCATGGTCCTGCCCACTGCTATACTGTATTTCACCATTGCATGATTAACGATATGAATATATATGAAAATATCCAGTAAATCAGTGATAAAGCACACCGCTTATTGATATGGTACACTAACCAGTATAACAAGAACTTCAATGTTTCGAGTCGATTCAAAATGTAAGACCGTCACCTTCGGTAACATTTGCGTCATTCCAAAAAGCAATCTATCATTACGACATCTATCTTTTGTCATGAACGAATGTAAAATGTACCTGTATCCTTTTCGCTTAAGATAGTCCATGACGGCAGGTTTTATACGTGGTTTGCCATCACGACTGCGGTTGCCACGACCAGTTATGACTTCAACATATGATAGCGAGCGTTTATTAGGGCTTCTCCGCTCTATATAAAAGGTTTTTTCCGTTGATTAACACAGGAGGAAGATATTGACTAAAACATGACTCCAGCCTGTATCGTAAACGCTCACTCAAGTTTAATATCAATACGAAGATGGTTTACCATTTCTTCTTTCTTCTAAAACGTTTTCGAGGACTTCAATAGCTTCGTTTACATGCAGTTCGTGAAGATCTAACGTGTTGGTGTGCATCAAGTCGTTATTTCTGAAAATATCATCAATTAAATAAACATTTTTTTTTCAAAATCTGACGCAGGTTGTATGAAAGACTACGCAAGACTGACCTGCTTTCTAAAATCTTCTCTGCTGCTCGACGATTGGCTTCTTTATTCTTTTCACCATGACTTCTAGCCTTTGAAAGGAACAGATAGAACTGACTGCGAGTTACAGGGTTTGATAATGATGAAATATTACACATGCATGGGTCAGAATTAATTTTAAGAATTAGAATTCGTAATGGATTAAAACTTACTTGTCTAAAAATTCAGATTGTTAATCACTATAAACAATCCAGTCGACTGACCTGATCAGCATAAACTTTAGCGAGCTCTCCTTGTTTTTTACTGTAGGCCAAAGCTGCTTTCTTTATGCATTCATTTCTCAATTCATAATGTGTCTGGGCTTCAGCACGGTAATCTTGGTATGATGGATCATGAAAAGACTGAAAATTACCATCCACTTCACTTTGATACTCTAAAAACATATCAAGATTACTAAGATCTTCACATTTAACCACTCAGTTCAAACCAGTTGCAGTTGAAGGTTTGAAATCTGTGTAAAACAACTTTTGTGACCCGATATTGTGAGAAGATCGTTCAACCCGGCCTTTTCGTCGATGAAATCTTTTGAAGTAACCTTGAAATGAAAGTTTTTGTACGGTACATACCGACCGAGACAAGTTGATAACAAATTTACAACATGTCCTTCTCGATAAAATTATACAAGGCTCCTGTAAGGAGCAGACTATTCTGCAGAACATACCTGATGAACTCTGTGATGTAGAGTTAGCCTAAAGATTAATTATAAATAAATATGTTTTTAACAAAAAATTGTTCGTGAGAGACCAAGATTCAGGGTTTATGTAGAGTTGTTGCAATCTGGCTTAACCTGGTTTTGCCCTTCTTTATTATAACAATGCATTTGCATGGTTTAGATATTTAGTACTTATACCTTATCAAGATAAATATTCTTCAAACCTGTTTCTTATTGGAGGAATGATTAATTGTGAACGACTGGTCCTGAATCAAAGCCGTGGGTGTTTGAGTAAGAGGTATTCCACATGATGACTGCACTTGGCGTGTGGTTGTATCTAGGTCATAACTACAGACAAAAGTAGGTTGGTACATTTGGTGGCAACTGGCAACCCTTACCAAACCGCGCAATAAATCCAGATAATTATATTGGCATTCGAAATTGATTATTGTAATCAACATTAAAGCACTTACTTATTGGCTTGAAATATTTCATTAAGAGAAACTTTATCAATATTGGGGAACATTCCATGTAGTCGACTTCTTTTAAGCTTTGTCGACAAATCAAGTTGCTGCTCAAGGAATCGTTTCTCTATTTCCTATAAAAATTATTGAAACACCATAATTTACTCTGCTGTCAGAACAGCTGGTTGCCATTCATCAGAACTAAAACCTGCATATATGCTAACTAGTACAAAATTATATATATAGCTATAGTTTGTGCACAATATCTGTATCGCAGTTGCCTTGGTTATAGCTAACTACATCATGACTAACCTGGTCTGATTGGCTAACATGAATTGCAAGCTGTTCATCCATAATCTCTTTAAGGGAAACTGGTTCTGAAGCGACAAAAGATGACTATAAAATGGTACGCATTGCCTCTGGATACAATCGGTCAAACTCGCAAGGGTTTTTTCAAAGTGCATGGGTACGAGGTTGTAGTGTCTGTTGTCAATTCCGTTACTGTATCATACCAGCTGGAATTATATGGGTGTTTAACCTTATGGATCATACCTGGTTGGGGTGCAACAGGCTTTTCAGGTTTCACCGGGACATCCTCAGGGAGATAAAATTGTCGTGATTGTGCCTTGTATTTTCTTCTCATATTACCATCTGCAAATAAAATCCATACACACTCAGAAACAGTTATGTTTCCTTCCTTCATTTCAATAATCTCATGCATATTACTTACCTGGAGATGATTTCTTAAAGACTTCGGTTTTCTTTCCTTTGTTCGTTGCCTGACATAAATGTTTAGATAAATCTTAAAAATGCTACAAACTCACACTGATTACCCTGAAAATACGATAACAAAATAAGCGAAGTAATACAAATTACAGTACAATATAATACCTGGACAGTCTTTCTCCATTTAGTGTACAGAGTTTTTGCGAAATCTTTGTCAATTTTAATGCATCGGGTACTCTCAGACAGAGGATCTTAAAACACAACATATATAACAACACAAAACATATAAATGATTAAAATCAAATCCATCAGGTGATTTCAGCATTAGTGAATACGACTCAAAACACACACGCACATATACAAAAAGGATAGTCTACGACTACAAGAATATTAAAAAATTTAAACACGTACCTTTTCCACTAACACCACTGAATGCCCCGAACATCTCAAGCAACTGCAATGCCAAAGCTGGATCAAGAGTCAGTTGAAGAGAATCTACAGAAATCTCTTGAAATTTCCTAGGAGTACTTGATGAGGATATTGGGGATTCCAATTTCATGTTGAAAGATGAATTCCGATTTTCTTCGGGTGTTTTCAAATTACCACTGGTATCTTGGATATGATTTTCTGCTGAAGTTGATCTCAGTAAACTATTATCGAAATTGTTCATTGTTGACTGCTCATGTTGAGTATCATTGTAATCATCTAAATTACACTCCAGTAGACACTCGACAGTTTTTACTAAATCTTCATCGCACGAATTAAAAAACGACTTAAGTATATCAATTTCACTATTTGGAAAACAATCTTTTAAAAAATTGATAGGATCCAGAGCATCTTCTTTTCCCGTACTCGGGAATCCAGAAACACGAGATTGTCCAGAAACACCACTTTCCAAATCAAAATCAACATCTTGAAAATTTTCTTTGCGAGTGTTAGGGACGGGAGCATCTGCGGCATACGTGTCAGAACTTTTTCCATAATCAGTCTGGTTTAGTTCAGTTTTGGAAGACCCCAAAGCATTACGGACATCGGTTGCAATCGGACTATTTTTACAAGGGTGTTCTTGATTACGCCTCACAATACCAGTGCCGTTTCTAGACGCACCAGAATCAATACCAGAATCTCCCTCGTTACTTTCACTATGACAATGCTTTGCGTCACGCTTTGGGACATTCAGTCCCGTGTGTGAAAGGACTTCAGAGTTTGGATTCACAACTAGATCCGGAGAGCTTGTTTGGATTAAAGCATCAGACTGATCACGTTCTTGCACACCAGAAGAAGTGGTTGCTACAGTTTTAGTTGGTATATCTAATACACTTGAACTTGGATTGCTTTGTGTATTACTGATGGAAAGTAGCGAATCGAAATCAGTTCCCGACTCAAGGTTTCCAGTATTATTGTTCTCGCTGGATGTAATTCCACGTTCTTCTTTTCTGTCAAAAAAGAGAACTTCATGTCCAACTCTGATAGTTGATTGCAAATCAGTATCCGGCAAAAACATTTCGAATGAAATCTTCTTAGCTTCAGCAGTGTTTTGTTCAGCAGAACTAAAAGCAATATTTTCATTATTCCGAGTTGAAGGTAAAGATGGTTGGTTAGCTGGGCAAGATGTTATGATGGCTTCATCTTGTTTATTAATGCTGTCACTATCGCTTTCTTCATCTGCACTATCAGAATGATATATGTCCGTATCTTGTTCTATTCTTGTGGTGACTTCACATTCCTCCTGGTCAGAAATGACTTGAGTTTCCATCACTCTCTCATTCTTTGATTCTAGCAGACCAGGTTCTATCATAGCCATCCTTTCATAACCCTCTGTGTCAGTCGAGGTTTGGTGATCGCCTCCAGGATCTTCTTCTTTAACGGTTGGGTCCGGATTATTAAATAAACTGTTAATAGTATCCTTGATTTCCACTTGACCATCAGACGCGGAAACGTCACCACTTAGCTTATCACCACCGAAACTATGTTTATTTTTTGAGTTATCATTCCCTTCGTTTAAGTCCATTTCGTCACCACGTGTGTGCCTTGGATTAACAAACTTTGATTCGCTATTCTTGAAGATTTCCTGTAAATTTGAATTGCTTTCGTTAGAAGATGTTTCACGTGCACACACATGATTTATTCCAGTTGTGGTTTGCTCGTTCAAAACCAAAGCATCACAATTCGATTCAGTATCCAATTCCTTATTCTCATGAATATCTGCAAATTCTTGCGCACTATCACTCGGCTTCCCTGTTGTGTTATTTAAGCGTTGGTCAGTATGTTTATTATCTTGTCTATTGTTTTCTTTCGTACCATCGCTATCGCCAAGCAAACCCATAGAATTATGAACCCCTGAAAAATTCGCCGACAAGGCAATCGTCTTCTTAGTTGTAGCTGTTCGTTTTGTCTGCCCTCTCGGAGGCTTTCCTTGGGCCTGCTTAGAAACTGATTTTGACTCCATCCGCGAATGTTGTTCTTCTGTGTTGGATGGTTTACTTCTTTTTAACGCATGTCCAAGTTCTTCTCCATCTTCAGGTTTCGGAGTTATGACTGGCGTCGATGGGGAGTTGACAATTCTTTCAACAGTTACATTCTTCTCATATCGCTCTAACATTCTTTCTAAAGATTGTAATGAAACACCATGCGTATTCCTCCTAAATAAAAGGAACGTATAGTCAATACACATGCAAGATGAAAGATACTTGACATTGTGTCAACGAAAACATTGATGCATGAAAATAGTTACAGTGCGGGAAATAACAGAAATTATAGCAATAATGCATATTGCAACTCTGAGTTACTAATCCCGGGCAAGCTGAAAAAAACTAGTGTGGTCAAGCTATAATTTCTCAGCTTGCAGTAACTTCAGAGGTAACTAGATTAGCACCACCACAAGAACAAAAATTAGTCGACTTAGAAGGTCTGTAAATTCACAACAAAACTAGGTTTTACCCAGGGTTGACTCATTTTAAATTGTATCATATTTTGATCCTAAGCTTACCCTTATTACAACAGTCAGTCACAGACCTAAACCCGGAACTGCGAACAAAAAACTGCTGGGGGCAACTGGGCTACCTACGATTTCCTGCGAGGACACAGGTAAACTAATATTTTAACGAAAAAACTGAGAAGTTATGCCTTTCTAGTTCTTTTATATTCCATTTCCACCAAGTGTCTGGTTCTTTGATATCAATTTTATATCCACACTTTAAGCCCTAAAAAGAAAATATTGGACAATTTCCTCCAGTCATATAAAAGATTTCAGTTTCAGCGTCATAATAAACTAAGACAAAAGCTTTTCAAGGTAAAAGGAAGAGTTTTCTTACAATTAAAACGTATGGTCGCATTTCCCAGGCTTCAGTATTTGTGTTATCAACGATAAGAGGAGACAATCCTGCTTCCATAAATGCTTTTGCTAAGAAAAAAAACCCAACAAATACCAATAAACGTTTTCACATAATAATTAATTCAAATGTTTATGTTCATGAAACCACAATTAAGACGAGAAATTATAAGATTATAGCAATTAAAGTAATAAGATATAGAAAATTTCACGCTATGAAGAATGAAAATGACTCAGGTGACCGCGTATACAAGTCATCACCGCTTTACGTTCATAATAGAGCGATGGCCGTAGTAAACGTGCATGACCTTCAAAAATTTTAATAAACCCACGAAGAACTTGTTAACATGCAGTATCAATTTGTTTGAAATAGCAATCAGTAAATCTAATTTCCAATTTAAAATAATACGATTACTTACCCCTTCCTTGGTTCCACTCGTGAGCTGCAGTCAAATCAACAGGGTTAAAACAGTATCTACAGAGACAGATATTTACCAAATTATCAACCCTTGGGCGCGAACCAAACGTAAGATCCTCGACCCCACGTTCCGTTCATTGCATTTTCAACTACTTGATTAGCAAGCAATGAATAATAATATAAACCATTTAAACCTTTTATCCATAAACATCCTTTGTTACAACATGTAATTTAGGACTTCGTGGGGATTGGAAGATATTGATGACAAAATCAAAATACATGCGTCTCCCAAGACCTATGGTATCCCCCATAGAAACTGATAGACATGAATTTCTATGGTATCCACATGCATTAATAATAGCACTCACTTGTTTCCTTTTTCGAAATAATCATCAGTAGAAATGATCATACCACCTTTTGCGGCCAATTGTCTAAGGAACAAAGAAGGCTTGGGATGAGTTGAATATGACAATATTCAACTATAGTCAAATATGAAAAGCGAAGGAACACAGATCTTCCTAAATAGCCACCTTGCAAAAGTTGATTTTCCACTTCCAGGCAATCCACGCAGTAATGTCAAAGATTTCACTTCGGGCAATGTCGGTTTAGCTAACGCGAAAAGGAATGAAATTAAGGACGTGTTTTACAAAACTAAAGACACACTTGAGTGAATCCCTACTAATGTGGATGACATCAATTAAATTGTCGAATGTTGTAATCTAGCAATCAAGGCTGGTACTTTCGTTCACCATTTTGGCTTCATTCAATTTCAATTTAAAAATGAATACTGATAAAACTAACCCTTGCTATTTAACGCATTGTACAAGCTTGGTATGTAATTTTCATTAGTACCTTTAATATATTGTACTTCAACGACCATTAATACACGAATGACTTACACTGTACCTTGCCTAAATGATTGGTGACTATTATTTCCTCTGACCACGTCATTAGATTCTTTCCCGTTGTTCTTGGAGTTTGGGGGATGAGAATGATTTGATACCTTGGTTGCATTTGCTGGTGTTGCTTGTCGATGCCCTTTGTTGCCACTCGCAAGCGACGCTCTAGGGTGCAGATGAGGTCGATGTATCGGGCTTGTTTCGGGCATAGCCGCTCGTAAGGAGTGGTTTGAAACCTTACTGCTATATTTTACGGTGGATGTGGTTGGGAAGTTAGGTTCCTTAATTCCATGAGTTGGTCTAGCACTGTTAGTTCCTTTTCTACCATGCCCAATGGTGGTTGGTATAGGATCATTCGGTCCATTTATACCATTTGCTGGTGAAGGGTGGTTAGGTCCTTCACTAGTTGGTGCGGAAAGGACCGACGTGGCATTGTTATATCTTCTAGAACTAGTGGCTACAGTAGTCCCTTCCTCGGGATGATTAGCTTGTGACGAGGTGATTGGTTCCTCCTTGTTAGCAACAGCTACAGAGGTTGCTTGGGCAGGATAATTACGCATTTTAGCACTATTTGTCCTGGATTTCGCTGATAGAGGATTGTTAAAAGCTCTGAGATCTGTTTCCACAGTTGCTGGGTGGGTAGTTGTTGGATTGAAATGACGAGGTGCTGGTGTAGGATATCGTGGTGTAGGATATCGTTGGTGCTGGGTTGGTCTCTGGTACTGCCCAGACGGCGTGTTTCCTCGCGTTTGAACAAACTGATGAGAGCGTGGGGTTGAAGTAAGATTCGAAAAATATCGCGCTTGGTTTACAAAATATCGATTCGGTGGTAAATTAAACTGAAGTTCAAATGGATGCGGGCTATTTGTTCTTTTACTATTGTGTATATTCACTGGGTTGTTATCATTGAATGACTGGTTTTCGCTATTCTTGTTCCTTAGAGAGTTTTTACTACGATTCTGTTGGACCTTACCAATACTTTTATCATCAACACTTTCATTTTTTCCACTTCTATCAATACGACTAACAGAATCGAGTTGTTCATTGATATCATCATCTGAGACATACAATTCATCTTCATAAAACCTATCACTTACTTTCCTAGGTTCTACTTGTGAAGGGTTTCTTGGTGGAATAGGATCATAATTTGGAAACATTGGCCTGGCAGTACCAGAGACAGGATTTCGTTTGGGTTTTGGAACAGGGAACTGTGAATTAGGTAACGATATAGAGGAGCCTAATTGATTTTCAGTAAAATCTTTAGTGTCAGGATGAAGATATTGGTTCATATCAGGCAAAGGAATGTCAACTGGATCGATATCATCAAATTTACGACTTGAGGAAGACATACCAACACTGTTTTTACTATTCATGCTTTCACTCAAGGTTAACAATTGCATCACTGTCTTTTCCACTATAAAAGTATAAATGTTGAACAAATCATTTAATTTAAATTCTCTGTTAAATGAATGTCAATTTCATTTTAAGTTTTCCTAATTTAGTAATGCCAAAATTAGGTTGAGTTATATCTAAAATATATTATATCAGTAAAATACTTCTTAACTTTGAAACAAATTGGTTGCCCTTATATCCTAGATGAGAGTCTACAGCACAGGGTGCAACATAAAGGTTCCATCACTATTAACTGATTTATATCGAGGATGGGATGACATGAGAATAAAGTGTGATGCACCTACATAGATAGGGATGCGGCATGCCATTCATTTCCCATTCTCACATCCCCATTCCCAATCTAAATATGTCTATATATGCCATTAATATGAATCTGCTTATTCTTAGCGCAAGCTATGTGCAAAGATGCAAAGCATCCTTCTTAAACACATGCATAAAAGAAAATTTTCTACTTTAACATATAAGTGCAGAAACCTTAACATGGAAAAAAGGCTCTTGGTCTTGGCCCAGAGGCTTATTGTCCCATAATGGTCTATTTTCACATTTATTATCCAAAAGAAAACTCTTCTTCATACTGTACATGTGTTCAAGAAGGATGTTTTGCTCTTTTAATTAGATTAAATTAATCTATTTAAAAACAATAAAGTTGTGAGGTGATTACAGGAGAGCTCAAATTATCATTAAGTACTGGTAAGAGAAGTTTCTATAATATGCTGTGCCTTCCAAAACAACAGAATAAAGGCTGAATAAATTTCATATGTAATAATTTGTTGTATTCACATGTTGTATTAAATCATTGTAATTCATTGTAATGCGAAATTCGACGGATGAAAACCAACATACGACAAATTACGGCAAGCAAATTACGCCGAAATACCATTTACCAAATACAAAATTACCATCATGAATTCTGACATTCTGTCGGTTCTGACACATACCATCGTACTGAGACTCTGTAAGAACAAGTTTAATTACATCTTCATCTACTTTATCTTTAAACATTTCCTGCATATAAACTAGCGTTGATTTCTCTTTTTCTGTCATATCGTAGAAAAAAAAGAATAGAAAAGCACAGATAACAAAAATACACCGGTATTAGATACCCGAGATAAAACGTAATTTTAAAATATCGCTGGTCCACTGGACACTGATAACAATCATAACATAAAGTATTCCAAAAGCAGCCCAAATTTGCGCAATTTGGACGCGAGAAATTTTTCGGCAAAAATATTTTCGAAAAATTTATTGCGTTCGAATTACCACGCAAATTTCAATTTTGGAGCCTTTGGGCCGGAAAACGGCGTATTCGACCATGGTCGAGTCCGCTGGAAAACGTGTTTGGGGTGTGGTTTCAATGGTATGTTAAAGATTCAAACGTTGCTCCCATCGTGCTACGGTTAAAAAAACGCCACAACTATTCATATTACTTGAATCCGAAAATCTCGTCTCCCGAGCGAACGATCCTCTACAAGCTAGGATTAAGGAAAAACAGGGACCCAGTTCTGGCAGTTCAAAGTGTTACGTGCAATAAGGGCAGGTTACACTAGGTGGAATTTTTTAAACGAACGAAATTCTCCGTTTTGATTTTCTTTTCAACTTGGAGGATGCGACCGTAGCGGATTGTTCGTTCGAAAATTCAGGCTAGTGGGGAAGCAACCCTTGACGAATTTCGAACCCATAACTTAGAACAAGTTCAACGGTGAATCGAGAATCATTCACAAAATGTACGGGTGGTGGTCCCCTTTCCCCCTTGCTTCCTACACACGCCTACACCACTAAATGTTTGTAAATATATAAAAATATGTAATTGTGTGCATGCAATATAATACAATGATCTGAAGATCAAGTTCATTAACCTCCGAAGTTCGAAACGCTGTCAAAAAACATCTTTGGTGTCATGACGTCATGACTGTCATCAATTATTTCATCAAGTGACCAACAATCAGGTTGGCCAGGTTACCAAGCGTTGTTATCCAGACCGAATCACGTGACCAAATAGACATTTCTCACTCTCCGACCTCTCAAGGAACTGGCTATAAAGAAAGAAATATTAACCAAAAATTAAAAAACAACGATAATACTTAGTAAGGGTTTCTAGTGATTAAAATAAAATTGTGCAAAAAATATGGCCAATATTGCTATTTCAAGAATAAAGCGTGAGTTTCAAGAAGTTGTCAAAAGCGAAGAGGTATCTTCACGAATCACGATCTTGAATATCTAGCTTTTTAAAACATTTATACATAATCAGTAAACCAGATCCTCTCATCATCCTGCTACTACCATTACAACATTGCATGTTTATTTGTTATAAGACTTTTACCCAATATTTTCTGATGAAATACAATTTCTGGTAATTCTAGAACTATATGCGTTATAATTTATACTTGTAATTTAATTATACTCCGTTCATAAACCAAGATTCCTGAATAGAACAAATTAATAGTGTACCGTACATGATTGCACTTCACACACTTAAGATAACTTTGTATGATAAATTTTTAGCAAAAAATTTAGATGACCAGGTATATGTGTTTTATAGTTTTTAATATCTATTGTTTCATCTGGTATGATGGTAGGTTTTTCCTGGAATTGCTGGTTAAAGCAGAAAAAAATATTTCAAACTCTTTAGGGCATTTTGAGGACCCTTTTAGTGTAACTGGTCAGGCTTTTGCAACATTGCTATGTTGCATTTCCAATCACAATCTGATGAATCCTACTTTTTTTTTTAACTTTAATATAGGGATTAAAATGTGCTATTAATGTTGAATTGGTGGGTGATAGTTTTTCTAAATTAAGAGGTGATCTTGCAGGGCCACCAGACACACCTTATGAAGGTGAGTATAATACAGTGTTGAAACATTATAGAAGTTGAAAATGTGTTTGTGTTAGAAGGTAATGCTACAGTATAAGACCAATAAAATTCATCATTTTAGCATATTCCATAGTGGCTTAGCATATAAAAGTATTATATTGTTTTATGATCAATAATGCACTTGTATTCAAGGTGGTCGATATGTTGTTGATATTTCTGTTCCTGAGACATATCCATTTAATCCTCCAAAGGTAGTAGTCCAATATTCCAGATCCTGTTCTAAAGCATGTTTATTGAAATTGCCTCATACAAATTAATTGGTGGCACATTAGCACAAATCACTAGCATTGATTTTTGTTGTAATATTAATACTGTAGGTGAAATTTTTGACTAAAATTTGGCATCCTAATATAAGTTCTGTTACTGGTGCTATATGTCTTGATGTATTAAAGGATCAATGGTATGTCTTTGACTTGGTATCTACATTGCTTTTATGACCAGCATTCTGAATACCTACATTACATATGTCTACCATTGTCTTGTTTCCCTCTATTAATTGTTATCACTGGAAACACAAAAATAGTTGTTGATGTAATGATGTAACCCTTTGTCATCTCTTATTAGGGCTGCAGCAATGACACTTCGGACTGTTCTTCTGTCAATTCAGGTACTTTCATTTCAGATTTGTGAGGAATACTTGGTTATTTGTCATGAGAATTTTTAAACTTGGTTTTTCTTTTGACATATGTAATTTATAGATGTTGTTAGCATCACCTGAACCAGATGATCCACAGGATGCTGTTGTTGCTAGACAGGTACTGTTGTTACAAGACATGTCCTGTTGTGGTGAATACTAGATTAAGACCACTAGCTAGCTACAATTATGTCTTCTATTTAACCCAAAATATTTCCACATTTCAAAATTCCTCATAGTAATCAATCATCCTTGTTTTTTTTAGTGTAAAGAGAATCCAGAAATATTTAGAAGAACAGCAAGACATTGGGCTCAGGCTTATGCTAATGGTGCGTCTACAATGCACACCTCACCGCCTACAGTACACACCTTGAAGCCTAGCTATCAGCCCTTCCTTAAATCAGCGGTGGACTTTAGTGGCTTTATAGTTAATACCTACCACTATTAATAATATTAAATATTGTGATCATAAAATTCATCCATCACCTTCTCTTTGTTACTGGTTGTAAATCTAGGAAGCTAGTCACAAAATATGTTACATTGGTTTCCACTGTTCTGTTTTTTACAGCTCCAGGTAACATATATGATTGTGAACAAAAGATCAGAAATTTGCAAGAAATGGGATTTGATGAGGTATAGAGTGTAGATACTCAGAGCATATTATTTATACCAAAATAGCAAATTTAAAAAACATTAAAACATTTTTAAAAGATCTTGTATCCAGTTATTTGAAATAACTTAATTACAGAGGCATATGTTGTAAAAGAACATTTGCTGCTAACATTTCATGCTATTCTTTAAATACTCCGCAAACTGAATTTTAATATGAATAATATCTCTTAAAGTTTGCAGAAAATCCTCCCTTCATATTCTGTATTCTCAATAATTTTCACATAATCACATTGGGTTATGAAGACCTGCATGAAGCCTACAGACGGTTGTGTTTTGCACTTTCTTCAGTTTTGATAAAAGATCTAGGTCTAGATCTAGTGAGTTTTTAGGAGGGTTTTTATTTGTTGTGAATATAATCTATTTTTTTAGAATAAAAGTCGAGTGGCACTTTCTACACATAATTGGAATGTGGAGAGAGCAGTGGAATCTGTATTTAATAGTTAGTGTTATTTAGAAAGCTAAGAAAGGTATCAAGAAAATGTATTGATACACTAAATTTGTTTACTAGGACAAGTACAAAATTTCTAATAAACAATAAAAGCTGACCCTAAACATAGACCAGTAAAACAAGGATGAAAAAGCTTAAGAACTCCGTGAAGTTCCGAATAGTAGAGACCTTGTGCAACATTGCATAAGAGTTGGCAAGATTGTATGGTACATTGCCAACCTTGTTTATTTTTTTTAAGTCACAATAAGTTAAAAAACGTATTACAGAATATATAGGGTCTAGAAATACCTTAAAATTTTGACAACCACTGAACCACGTTAGGTTTATATTTGGAAGTTCACGGTATACTATAGTATTGTACATCAGATAAACCTTTTGCTTATTTGGTTTATAATATATAAGGTCAACAGTTTTTTTGTAAATAAAGCATCAATATTTTGAATGGTAGTTTTTGAATTTCTAATACATTATAATACATCACCGTGGAAAAGCGTGGTACCCATACAGTGGTGGATCCAGCGCTAGTGCACTAAGTTGCATTAGAAAACAAAGTGGTTATTTTTAGCAGGTTCCTTGTGTTATGCAAATTAGTACACTAGTACTGGTTCCACCCTGGTGCCATTTAGGTGGTAATTGTAATAATTGTAATTGTAATAATTTTAAGTTTGGTCAATTTGGTTAACCCGTTTGAATCAATATTTTCACAGCATGTTTCTATGCTCAATGTTTAACTTTTGTGTTTATCGTTTCATTGCTGTATCAAACATTCTTTCGGATGGCTGTTGCGTTCACCAGACCCAACACCTTTTCTGTTGTGTTTGGTGAACGAAATGGTCTCTAACCCCTTCCCCCTTCCCACAAACTAATCGGTAAATTCTGTGCCTCGTTTCAGGCCAAGTTGTAAAATCAATAAACTTTGTATTTTCTCATTCAAATGTTGGGAAATTAATCTATTTTTAACATAAACCCTGTTTGTTTCAATCGCGTAGATTATGTATAGTTTTAGGCGTATATAGGTCAGAGCATCGCTTCTCCTGGAATGAGGGTCGAGCCTGATTTTTCAGCAGAGAAATAATTTTATGCACCATTGACAACAATTAACCATGAAAATCCCCAATTCTTACGGTTTCTACTTTTTTATTGTTATTTAATCTTACAGGTCTGCCGTTGGCAAAAATCTTAATTCTAAAAAGGGGGAAAATTTTTTAGTAAATGTGTGTAAATCCGATGGATTTGAAGCCGGAGTTACCAAGACTAATAAATATAGATTTATTCCGGCTTGGAATATTTTATGTCACGGTCAAGCATTTCACACATTCAGACGTTTTAGTTTTTCAGTCGTCAGTGCACTGATCAACTTGATATGAAAGTAATTCGCTTCCCAATTGTGTGAATATATTTATTTAATTTCTGATAGTGCGTGAAAGCGATAGTCAATATTATAAAAGTTAAATCATGGGCATGCATGCCTTCATTGCCCAACGATTTGCATGAGCCGGAAATAATCTACAGTAACTCTGGAAGTAGGAGTGTCGAATTGAGAATTCATACGGTGCTGTTTTTTTAGATGATTTAACTGATTTAACTATAGCCTCTTCTTGCGTGGCATGCTCTTAGGTGATGTTTAGAACATTTTTGACCGTTTGCATTTGGTATCCTAGCAGCGACTTCTTAAGATAAGCATTTGCAAGTAAAGCTTTACTCGTAAAGCACAATGGAAATTACTCCTTTGGGTCATTCTGGATTTGGCTTTTAAAATTTAGTTTTATAATTTAAATCTTTTGTATTGAGTAATACAAACATAAAGTACAGAGCATGAAAATTATTATGGTCACTCAGCATACCATTTGCCGATAGTGGAAGTCGTTTGGTCACAAGAATCTCGATAAACGACGAAGATTCATTATTTCATGTGTTTGATATGAATCTAAGAACTTTCCATGTTTTCCTGTTGTTTTGTTCGTTTGTGTTGGCACAAAATAAGTTTGAACAAGACAACAATGTAGAACTAAAAGCTTTTGAGAACAATGCCGATTTTGCCCAAGAAAAACCCGATGAAAATCCGACCCATGGCCATGTAATTGAGGACCGCAATGTTGGCATTGACTCTATGGAAACTCCTAAAGATGGAATTGAAAAGATATACACGGAGGAAACGCTTGAAAACGACAATAAACTGACCCAAAAAGAACCTGATCAAAATCTTGCCGAAGATGTTTCAGAATTTACGATTGATAATCGCGGTGCCAACACTATCAATGCAAAAACTGCTGCTAACACTGTTGACCCTAACCAAGAAACCAACAATTATCCGGGCGAAATACTCGCTGATGTCGGCATTGACTCTTCAAATATCCAAGAACAGAACGAATTGGTACAAGATCACGATAAAAATAACATCGACAATGTTGGTCGTGTTGATTTCAGTCATGTTGAAGATGAAATAAACGATAAAAAACACACTGATGAAACTGACTCTTCCCCCATCTCGGTTCAAGATGAGTTAGACGAAAAATATTACACAGAGCCAGAGGGCGTTGATAATAACGAACATATTATTGAAGTTGTCCCGAAGTATGAAGTCGATAATAATGTACATGACGTTGGAATTGATCCTACAGAAATTGTAAACCAGCCGGACAATGCATATTTTGATAATAAAAGTGACAAAGAAACTCAGCAAGATCCTGCTGAAGTTGACATTGAAGAGAGCGTTCTTGGAGAGGACGCGATCGAAATCGTTGGCTTGCCTGAATATATCACAAGCCAAAATCTGCGGCTGATAATCCGTTACAGCACTGCTGGTCCTCGGATATTTGTTATTGATATATTTACTGTTGGTATCGATCATGCAGATACCATCTACCATACTGAATGGATAGAGGTGTCGCACTATCCTGGCGAAACCAAAGAGAGAATAGTACGAATAACATTACCAGATAATCTAGTTTACAAAGAAGATAGGATCTTACACATATCTCCAGATCTACACAGCGAATCTTTGTTGTTCCGAACTGCCATGGTTGACTACAAAAACCCGTCAGTATTAGTGCTATTCAAAGAACAACCCCTTATTTTGATTCCTCCCTGGAGCAGATTGCCAAAAAACAACAAACACTACTGCAATTCCTGGATAGGTATGTTTTATGAAAAATTAAATGAGAATAAAATTCCAAAATGCCCCAAAATCGACGATGTAGTTGAACTACTTTCATACCCGGTTGCTCTCGTAGGCAGCGAACATGGATACAAAAAATTCTTTAAAACGCTCCATGAACCAGAAGAAATGCAGAACCATTCGCCTCAATTTACTCTTGCAACTTGGCTGTACCTTACTAAGCCGTGCTCAAAAGACATGTGTCCGTTGATGTATCATATTAAGGAAACAGCCTACCAAACCCCGCTTATTGGCTTATTGAAAACTGGCCACATACACCTTCAATTCCATTATGAAAACGGAAATGGGTTTGCTTTTCTTGTCGATGCAAAAATCTCTGTTCACAAGTGGATTCATATCACTGTAACAGTCAAACATACTGTGGTAACTGTGTACGTAAGATACGGTAAAAATCTCGAGCATGTTAATTCGTTTGTACATTCAGATTTCCCTGCAGGACTATATCATTATAATGATACGGATGGTTATTGGGGTTTGGGAGGTTCCCCAGGATTTATCTCGACTCATGGTTTTATTGGTCCTGCACGAATCTATCGCAGACATGTCTTGTCGCAAGAGGCAATTGAGGCAATTTTCAATGCAGCGTCGAGGCCAAACCTAGGGATGACGGATCACTTTAAATCATGTCGTAAACTGAGAACTGCGGTTAGGATTTCCCTAAGAAAAGAGATTAAAGCGAAAAGTCTTTGTCCTGCAAGAGTTTTGTTGACACATTCTCCGCGTTTGCTTTGCAACGTAGGCACCCGGGGTGTAGCAAATGAGGTTGTTGAAACTTTAATCGACACTTTAAAACTGAATGAAACAACGGGACCGAGTAAGAAAACACAGGATGAAGTTTATAACTACGCTTTCTATTTGACGAAAACAGATAAGAACAATGTCAAAGATGCGTTACTCTTGTTATCCTACACCTCGTGTCTTAGGCACCCCCAATCACTCTACTTGCTATCTGTGTTGCACAGAACCGGGTTGGGGGTAAGTGCGAACACCCGTTTATCGCAGAGATCTTTGTTACTTGGAGCTTACTATAACCACCCATTATCCCAGATGTCCTTAGCCTACAAACACTACATTGGTGTAGACAGTTTTCCGAAGGATCAAGAGGTCGCCAGCACATATTATCGTTATGCGGCAGTACAAAGCAATCGCGCACTAGTTGAACACAACGAGGTTGACACCCACTCTGAGGCTGTGCGACTTGACAAAAACGAAGATCTTGATAACTATCGCGGACCAGACTCAAACTGGTTTAGTTGGCTAAAACATCAAGCTAAACGGGGAGTCACTGACGCACAAAGTGCTTTGGGCGAGGTTTTCTACTATGGTTCACGTGGATTTCGACGAAACCTCACAAAAGCTGCTGAGTTTTATGAGATGGGTGCTAACCGCGGGGACGCGCAAATGTTATTTAATTTAGGTGTGGTCAAATTGCGAGGTCAAGGAGTGGATGTAAATGAGAACGAAGCCCAAGATCTCCTAAAGAAATCCGCTGAACTCGGGTTTGCTCCCGCGTACAACGCATTAGGGTACTACGAACTAAACGTTCGCCAGAATAAGTCAGGGGCTGTTGAGTATTTTAGATATGCTGCCGAACATGAAGACAGGGATGGTTTGTATAACCTGGGTTTTTCTCTAGAGAATGGTCTAGCTCCAGGTACTGTAGGAGATCTGAAGTCAGCTATGCCGTATTACATTGGTGCAGCAAACAAAGGCCATACTGGAGCATGCGTAGTGGCGGGTGATGCTTTTAGCTCAGGACAACATGTTGACCGGGATATTAGCACTTCTATCATTTTTTACAAGTTCGTCGCGGATCAAAACCCAGAGATAGGTTTACACCTGAGAAATGGTCTCGATGGATTCTTTGAAAATGCTTGGTACCGGTCATTAGTGTACTACCTCCTCGCGGCGGAGGCTGGTATGGAGATTGCGCAGTACAACACGGCGTTACTTTGTGAGTGGGATTGGGAACAAGTGTCACAAAGCACCCAGGTAGATTGTGCTTGGCGTTATTACAATCACTCAGCGAAACAAGAGTGGGTGCCATCTCTCATAAAGTCTGGCGATAACCACTGGTATGGAATAACAACTGAGAAAAATATAACTGCTGCTGCTCGATTGTACAGCCAGGCAGCTATTAAAGACGAAAATCCTCAAGCAATTTATAATTTAGGATACTTGGTAGAAAATAATTACCCATTAGACGGATTAGCTTGGATGCAGTTTTACCCTTCGATTGTCAACCCTGGTAATCTCACATTAGCTGCAATTCTTTATAGAAAATGTCGTGATAGTAGGGACGAGGCATTAGTCCCTTGCTCACTTGGCTTGGTCCGAGTTGCTATCAAAATGGCCTGGCAACTAGAGTTGGTCGGTAGCGAAATATTCGTTATACCTTTGATAATATTTTTTATAAGTCTTGCTCTGCTGTATTATTTATGCCGTTTATCAAATTATGATCGTCAAATGATAGACTTGGCATAATTGTTATATTAATCAGGAGATATATAGTAATGGATATCATGGTATATCTTTCTGAAGTAGTACGGAATAGTAAAGTGAGATTAACTGCTCTAAATAGCTTAATTAATCCTAGAAATATAGCATTAAACGAATATAGGAATTACAATTTAGTATATAGGTTATAGTATCAAATTCATAAGTTAAAAAAAATAGTATTTAGAAACATATATGAAATAAAATGTGAAATTATTATCAGGATCGTACGCTAATGATAATGCAGGCTCGTACGCTAATGATTGATAATGTCATTGACATTATGATCTATCCGATTGCAAGAAACTTCAGCCATGCAGTTGGCGTTAGGAAATTAGGTTAAAAGCACAAGTTTCAATGCGAATGAAGATCAATTAAGTTTGAACGTCATATTATTAACAGCATTTTAACAAGATTTGAAGCTATGTTATAGCCCTCAAGTTTAGATTTGAGTCCTGCAAAATCTGTTTGTTCTAAAAGGTGTTTACTATTGCTAATCTCTTTCTTATCCTGGTAACGCGTACACAAATATCGTTCTGAAAATGCCGATATAGCTAAAAACTGTCTCCTATCAAAAACGCTTTCCATTTTACAATCAATGATATCCAATATATCATCCAAACATTCATCACCTATTGAATTTGAATAGAGATCAATTAATGCTTGACGGAGCTCATAACTATTGATTATCCCATCCAAGTCTTTATCAGTTTTAACAAAAGTTGTTTTAAAAAGGTACTTTCTTCTTGAACTAACAATACAATAATGTGAAAGATACTTTATTGCGCTGAGGTTCTCCAAGATTTTCAGGTCCATAGGAAGCTCAAACCTGCAACCTTCGCAAGACAAAGGTAATGGTCCTGTTAGCCAAGGTCTTCGTTTGTTCCGTAAATCGTTTGGATTGCTCGTATTTTTTAGAGAACCGTCTTTTCTATTCTCAGTTAGAACATTACGTGCAAAACATACTGATTGTGCAATATCGACGAACTCTAATCCCGCCATTTATAAATGATACAAAACAAGTTTTTTTAAGCCAAATTACCCTTCTCGTTGTATAAGATATACTGCAGTTTTTGAGCTTTTACCATGTGACATATTACGATATTCTATAACAGCTGATAAAGTATATCCCAGAGACATTTGATGATCAATGTATGTTTTGGCTTTTATCCAGGTCCCCGAGGAATTTCGAGTGCTTTCATTCCAGTTGAAGTAATTCTTCACTAATTTTAAAGCAAGTTTATGATATTAATTATCGATTATTACCAGTTGTCACTGATCCAGGATCTATACCGTGCTATATAGCTATGTATACACATCAAAACAGACTATGATTCAGCTTTTTACTTTGAACTAATTAGAAATAAGTTAGCTGTGGTGCTTTAATTAGACGGTGCGAATGTAACTGTGTACATACATTATGTACCAACGCATTAACAATAAAAACGCCGACAACACTTAAACTTGAGAAATAATTATCATGCATATAGTGTTGTTCAGTATGTGCATTTAGAGACACCAAGGCACCGGTGTGTATATATTTATATATAATATTCAGTCGTAATTTCTGTTCGGGAAAATTTCAAGAGAGAAACATACTCAAAGTGACAAGGTTAATCTAACTGGCGCGCGCATGATCTTCGAGTCGAGAATAGTGAGGGGAGGAGAATTTAAAACAAAGTGTAAACTTGGGAGGGGGAAAAGGCTAAAATGCTCATCAGAACCAGGGAAGTCGAATGTACGGAGCCGAAAAACTTTGCCTCTATGACAGAATATGGTGGGTGTTGGCAGTAGTTCACAAACGAACTAGGTCACAGTGGACCATATATGGGTCTGGGGATTATTTGACGGAGCTACAATACAATGTGCTTATTTTATTTGCTGATATATGTTTACGGGTTGTTTACGGTGGAAAAAAAGTTCAAGTTACGCGAAATGTCTATTTTTAGCCAGCCACCTAAGCCATATATGGCTAGTTGAATAGCACGTTGATACTTCAACGAATTGTTCATCGTACATTAAAGCAAGTTTCTTATGCTGATTAAACCTTAAAGTTCTTATTATAGACAAGCCAAAATACTAAGATTTTTTGGAGTTTTCTCCTTCACCACGCATCCCCCCCTCCGCCCCCTTGCAGGTTAGTTATAAGAGTAAAGTTAGTAGATCGTTTAATTTTATAAAAAAGGATTGCTCGACTTTTCAAACGAAATTGGAGCTATATGGCGTGTTAACTCATTGGTTACTTTATAGTTTGTTGTTATAAAATATCTAAAAATCCGGCTTTTAAATACAACGTCTGTTTTTTAGTGGCGTCATGAAACGAGGCATTATCACAAATTATGCCATTAAATATTCATGTGTAAAAAGAGAAGCGTCGTCTTGCTAAGAGGTTTACATTAAAGATTAAAAGAAACAATTTGTACTACGTGGGATATGAAATTTTAAGCCGTGCATTATCTACTAATCTACGGTAATGCAAACAAAATGAGTTGCTCAGTTAAAAGGGAGGAATCTTCCTGCATTTTTTCAGCTTTAACTTGTGCGGTATTAGTCAAGGCGTGTGTAAGGAAAGGAAGAAGGTGGGTTGAGGGGGGATTAAGCTTAAACAGTCCTTGTTGCACGTAAAGTTTCAGACGATGATGCACAAAAGTTTCACGAGAGCTTGCATGAAATCTCAATATAAAAGATAACATGGGAATCGTTAAAGCATTGCTCATCTGATTCCTCCAATATAACGTCTATATCTAGTTTTGAAAGAAAATCAGGATTGAACTCAGTTTATTTACTCAACAACACACATCAAGCTTCTTCCGCGAATATTTCTTGCCACGTTTACATCATTGCTCTTCTTGTTTTAATCTATTAATCGGTACCTAAACACGCAATGCACTGTGTAGGACGTGTAGACTTTCTTAAGTTGTCAAATAAGAATCACACATATATCTATTTTTCGACGTGTGCATAACAATGTATTCTCATATCTCATTCAGTTCAAATCTTTTAGTCAACATCAGTTCAGTCATATACGCATCACGGACATATTAGTGGATTTTTTCTTACATGCATATAGGTATAACATTAAAAACGGTGACTTTTATAGATACATTCCGTAAAACAAGTTGAATAGGTAATAGTTGAATTTAGGTTATTTTAACAACTAATTTCTAATGCTTGTAAAACAATTTAGGTCAGTAAACTCAGGCTGAAAGAGCCGTCCTTCCTATTTAGAATTTAATTTCGTTAGTTCTTTTTTCAAGTCATAACCTAAAAAAAAAATTCAGAATCAGATCAGATTACGGTGGCGACCATCCAAAATTTCAGAGAATCAAGGAGAATTTCTGGAACATCACACTGTGCGGGGAAGGCCATGCAGTCACACAATCCTAACAAAAACATGTGTAATATGCATCATAACGTCGGTATAGAAGATGCACATACACGCTCATGCAAAAACCTTGCTATTGCATTGCGCTAGTGTTTGTATAGTTCAAATCGGCGAATGACAACGTCGCGTCAAAAGGTATTTTGCCTGATTCACTTTGTCGTGTTTTCTAATTAAACGTTTCGCATTAGACTGTACATCATATATGCACGCCAAACAATGAGCTATATATTAAATATTTTTAGGCGGTGAACATTTTCATTACTTTCATACACACTTCGATAATATATTAGACACATTACAATTCTTAATATCATGTATCAATCATAGAGAAATTACCAAGTCGTGTTTTACAACTCTTTTAACTGCGCCTGCATGCGTTTCAGTTCATGTTGTGCATGCCGTAAATCAATTTTGGCCACTATGTATACACTACAGCGAAACAATGTTAAACTCTCTGTCAATAGCAAATATTTCAGTCATTATAGCCTTATCCAATCTGACTTTTGCATCATCATTGTTTTGAAAAACCTTGACAAGTAATTAAAATTTAAACAAAACAGGCAGACATTAAGATTAGCGCGAAGTGTTGCTTAGAGGCCGAGATGTAAAAACCAATAAACGAGTTGCCTGCAAAGTCTTATTGAAAAGCGATATTCCAAGAAATAATCGCGTTCAAAACGCCTCTTACGAAACAATAAAGTATCATTTACACATTCGTTCAGTTACAACTTACAAGCGAAAGAATCCATGCAATCGGCTTCAGACACAAATCGAGATCAACAGCTTAGGGAGAAATACTTACGCAGCGTGTTAACATCTCGTGAGGGGACGGGTCACTCGACTGACAGAAGAACAAGTCTTTCTCGTCAAACTACACTTAGTGGGAGATTAAGCACAGAAACGTTTAACACTTTTTCAAGCAGGAAAAGTTTTCGCGATATAGTTCTAAAAGCGGCCGAGCACAAACCATTTCTAGAACGACTTGACACAAGATCCAGAAATCGTCTGGCTGGATTTGGACACCAAGCACGACTGGAAAAATTTCGCCAGATCGCGACCCGTTGGAAAAATAAAGCTACAACTGGTATCCACACATTACCTGAGGAAGACTATGAAGAAGAAATGCCTGAAAAACCACGTTTTTGTGCAACACTGTCAACCGAAGCACAGTATGCGATATTCAAAGGTTATGAAGATGTCCTGGTTGATAAGATTTCATCTTCTTTACCTTCCAATGGGAGTACTTCACGTATAAAACGTACGCCGAGTGCATTGCCCAAATCAAACAGAAGTATAAACAAATCGACTCTTCCCATCATAGAAAATAGACCAAATATCGTATTGGTCTCGTCTGGAAAGTCCCTGGTTGAAGATAATGATCCTAGGCTCGATCCTAAGGAAGGTGTATCATCCGCGCGCCTAAAAAGAGACCGTGATCAACGATATATGAGCACACACTTCAAACAAGCTATGAATATTTTGGATGAAATAAAGCGACAGAACTCCGCAGAACATACGACTACTCCAGAGGGCAATACAATCAACGCACAGAGTAATATTTACAGACAATATCACGCATGGAGTAAACGATGGGCAAAGCATTTCGAATTTTCATGTTGACTGCAGTGGAACACATGTCAAGTAGAAAGGATGCATGCAGGTGGTCGAGATGTGTGAGACATTCGGCGCCATAATATTATTCAATATTCATCAAACATTTTTTGTGTCGAGAGGAAATGACATTACATGCAACTTTAAAAAGAAGTTTAGCTTCCAAAAAAAGTAAGATGGAACATGGGAATGACCATGTGTTGTAAGGATATATATATAGGTTTCATGCATGTTTTTATCCAGACTACATTATACTGATTATTTATCATTTATAATTATACGTATTTATGGGAGTATGGCGGTCGATTTTAAGCAACAGTTACTATGACAACAACTGTACATTAATGTTTTAGGTTTTTAGCCGTTGTTGTCGTGAACATGTCAAGCTGGTTGATGTGACAACTGAGAAAACGTTGTTACGTGTCAAGCAATGGTGTGCAGTCAACAATTACCAATTTGCATGCATACAAAAAATAAAGACAAGTCTACAACAGGTTTATTTCACAACGCTGGAAACTAGGTTAACTTGCTCGTAAACTAAAATATTATTTAAAATGGAATTAAATCCATTGATGTATAACTAATTATTCTATCATGCAGTAATTATTAGCTATGTTCCAGCCTCGTCCCCAGTCACTTGCATTGCAATGGACATCAGTGGCTGCAAAGGGGATGATGTGGCCGCGCGGGACAATTAGCGCGCGCACATGTGAGGGACTGTGGAGGAGACAGGCTATGTTCTATTTTTTTGTGGGGGGGGGGGAGCTGAAATGAAAAAGATGCATTGTGTTGTCTGACTACCACCAAAATAATTAAAAAATTGTTAACAATACTTTATGGTGTTTAGGTGGTGGTAACAAAATACGAATGTATTTCCGCCGCCACTGGTAGCTAATTAGACAAATAAGACAATGAGTCGAAAGTAATGATTTTAATAGAACTAGAGGTTACTATCGCAAGGGGAGTGCTGCCATACGCAAAAAGCACTTTGTACAAGGTTGGCAGCTAATGGTGCAATGAAAGTGAGCTGACTGAGTAATGTAATGAGCAACAAATATAAAATCAGTACAATTTAATAATGAACAATTTATATATGTCGAGCACCAGCGAGGCAGCACACCATTTTCATCAGCCCTTCGCGTGAAGCTGTGTACAGTAAAGTTGAAAATGGTTTTGTGTCTGTCTGATTGTCGTAATTCCGAAGAACAGTCGTTCGAAATTTCTGAGCGGGGGAGGGTGTTGATTGCATGCGTACTGTTTTGGAATCCAAGAAGCAATTCTTTTGTGAAATAACATTGGTTTATTTTTACTGGCGATTTTTATTTATGTTTAACTCTAGAGGTAGGCAATATGGTTTTATGTTTTCATCCAAATGCTAAAGTTACATACCGTAGAACACACACTTAAAATACCGTAGAACACACACTTATGATAATTTATAATATTTACAATATTTACGGGTCAATGCACGACACCGTACACGATATCAACATCTTGACCAATCTACCAATTTTTCAGTTCCCGAGCGCACCTACATCACAGCACTGCTTCGACAACTCTCGAACTACACTGTCTACACGCACCTAGTCGCGCGGCGTCCTCTCTTTTGAAGGGGCTGCTAGGACGACCCTAATTTACCAATATATCATATTTCATCTATATATTTAATGTTGACATTAAATAAAACAGCACGACACTCTCTTGTGCCTGATGTGCAGGAGCGTCATTAAAAGCTGAATACGAGGTTGGATTTTATTCTTGGAGTTAATTCAATTCCTGGTATAATTCAATTGTGCAGTGATGGCGAAACAAACTTTTTTGTTAATGCTGTCCGTCCTGCTGGTCATCTCTTTTTGGTCTTCAACATTTGCAAAGGAATACAAAGCTGCTGCATTTGAACATCAACCATACTTTGAAACACATATTAAACCTCCCAGCAGAGCAGAAGCGTTGGTTATAATGAGACGAAATACAGCAGTATACAGCGAGCAAGCAAGGGAAGCTTTCAAACAAGGGGCTCAGATAATTGTATTTCCAGAAGACGGGATTTATGGCATAGACCACAGACGAGACACTATAAAACCCTACTTAGAACCGATTCCCGAAGTTTCAAATGTTTCATCCATCAATCCATGCATTGATCCTCAACCTAACACCGATATTCTGAACGAATTGAGTTGTATAGCGAAGAATAATTCCATTGCTCTAGTAGCTAATATGGGAGATATCCAACATTGTAGCAAAAGCGATCCTAATTGCCCGAAAGACGGAAGGTATCAGTACAATACTGATGTCGTATTTGACAGGAATGGCAGGTTGCTTGCTAAATATCACAAGCAACATCTGTATTTTGAAAAAGCTTTCAATACTCCGACTAAATGCGAATTTGTTACATTTGTCACGTCATTTCAGGTAGAAAAACGTTATATCTCTAAAATGATAGTTGTAATTACACATTTTGTTATACCAAGTTTGAAATATAATGCATGCATGAAAGCTGATTCATTATTTTTTTTCAGGTACGTTTTGGCGTGTTCACGTGTTTTGACATGTTGTTCAAAGACCCTGCAATTGATCTTGTGCAAACCTATGGTATACAAAATATTGTTTTTCCCACAGCTTGGTTCCACGGGTTTCCTATGATTATTTCCATTGAGTTCCAACAAGCCTGGTCGCGTGTGAATTGCGTAAACCTCATCGCAGCGGACCTGTATATTCCGGAAGCTGAATTCAGTACTGGAAGTGGAATTTACGATTGTGGGGAGCCAAAGATATACTTATTCAACCAAAAACTGATTGAAAAACGTCTTCTTGTAGCTACACTAAATGGAAACAGAAATGCATTAAATGGCATTCGTGGTCGCCAAGCAAAACTGTATCGGCGTGATAATACAGCGTCTGACTTAGATGATACATTTACGACTAGAAATATTGAGAAGTTCCAAATGAAGCAATATAAGAATGTAGATACATTTAAAGGAAACGTTGCGGGAAATATGTTCACAATGAGCAAGCTAGTTTCTTCAGAAAGTGAAATATCATTGTGTGGTGAGCATTTGTGCTGTCATCTTAACTATGGTCTACCCAAGGGAAAAGAGTTCACAGAAAGTTTTGCCTTGGGGGCTTTCTTGGGTGAAAATCGTAATGGGTTCTATTGGGAGGTGTGTTTACTTCTGAAATGTTTCTCAAGTGAAGAAAGCTCGTGCGGCAGGGCTGTCATGGATTCTGAAACAGTATTTGAATCATTCACCATGACAGGCAACTTTTCTAGTAATGCTTTGGTTTTCCCAACAGCTATGGGAAACGGTTTTTCTCTACTTTCTACAAATGAAATAAAATTTCAAGAAAATAGTATTTCAGGTGATGCATTAGAGCAACCGTTGTTGACAGCGGCTCTCGTTGGCAGAGTGTTTTCCAAGGACAAACCACAGGATTGACATTGATGAGCAAAAAACTCAAACGTTGAAATAAAAGTAAAGAATATTTCTTTGCAATGGTATAATGCGATGATTGAAACTTAAAACGTTGTTAAGAAAACATTCCAATGAAATTTTTCCGTTAATTAATAAAAAGTAAATCATAGTTACTGTTGGTTATTTTTGTTTCCCAAGAGTTACCGATATTCATCCATTCCCGAATATTAGCCGTCTCTCTATTCACAGTTAAGCTCCAGAGTATCAACACGACATAGAGAGTGTGAACGTGAACTCTCTCGAAACCACCGGCAAAAACTGTTATATTCGTTTTAACTTGTAAGCGATCCCGAAATGTGAAAATGGATGCAAGTATGGTTAACGGTAATCCTAGACTTTTCCTACAAATATTTTACTACACTCTACCATCCATTGCTTAAAATGCCCCAAGGCCCCCAAAGCATGTATTATTGTATAATTCCTTATGACTTTGTATGAAAAAGCGGCGAAGTTCGTCGAAACGAAGCGAAGATGCATGCACGTAGAATTGTGTTCATTGTAAAATACTTATACATTTTACTGCCGAGGTAAAGACAAATATTTCACAGTTTTCTACATTATAGTTAATTTACTTGCAGTCGTTAATATCAATCCAAAAGTAAACAATAAATTCCGCAATCGATATGGATGATTGAGTAAAGCAAGATGTGAGCAACGGCACAGAATAGACGTTATACCAGAAGCCTCACTCTTTGCATTTGGCGACTGGCGTGCGAAATTTTTTGAGAGTGTTACCGTCACCTAATGCAAGCCAAATACGGCGAGCACACGCAAGCATAATGGCGCTTAGTATCCAATTTGTGTCTTGCTCACGCAATCCTGGTGTGTGTAGGAACTTTTTCATGGGGGTACAGAGTTCCTGCACACCAGGATGGCGTAAAATTGCGTAGAATGACGTGTGCGCTTCTGAAAAATTTCGGACACGAAAACGTTAGCAAAATGCAAAGAGTGAGGCTTGTGGTATAATGTCTATTCTGTGCCATCCTGGTGTGTGCAGGAACTTTGTACCCCCATTAAAAAGTTCCTGCACACACCAGGATTGCGTGATCAAGACACAAATTGGATACTAAGCGCCATTATGCTTGCGTGTGCACGCGTATTTGGCTTGCGCAGTTGCGCGTTAGGTGGCGTGTGCCTCAAGAGGCTCCACCATAAGTTAGGGCTCCAAGCCTCCACCACAGCACCACAGTTCGACTTCATGCCAAAACATGCTCGAAGACCACAACATGAAACACTAACAACGTTTTGTAAGTTATCTACCGACAAAAATTCGAATGCTGGGTCTTGAACTAAGTCTATTGACCTATTATTCATAGCTCTTAAGTACATTTTGTCTCCTTGCAATAGACATAATTTAAAGTTGTTTTTGACCAATCTACCAAATTTTTAAGTTCCCGAGCGCACCTACATCACAGCATTGCTTCGACACCTCTCGAACTACACTGTCTACACGCACCTACTCGCGTGGCGTCCTCTCTTTTGAAGGGGCTGCTAGGACGACCCTAATTTCCCAATATATCATATTTCATCTATATATTTAATAATGAAACAGCACGACACCGTCTTGTGACTGATGTGCAGGAGCGTATTTAAAAGCTGAATACGAGGTTGGATTTTATTCTTGGAGTTAATTCAATTCCTGGTATAATTCAATTGTGCAGTGATGGCGAAACAAACTTTTTTTTTAATGCTGTCCGTCCTGCTGGTCATTTCTTTTTTGTCTTCAACATTTGCAAAGGAATACAAAGCTGCTGCATTTGAACATCAACCATATTTTGTGACACATATTAAACCTCCCAGCAGAGCAGAAGCATTGGTTATAATGAGACGAAATACAGCAGTATACAGCGAACAAGCAAGGGAAGCTTTCAAACAAGGGGCTCAGATAATTGTATTTCCAGAAGACGGGATTTATGGCATAGACCACGGACGAGACACTATAAAACCCTACTTAGAACCTATTCCCGAAGTTTCAAATGTTTCATCCATCAATCCATGCATTGACCCTCAACCTAACACCGATATTCTGAACGAATTGAGTTGTATAGCGAGGAATAATTCCATTGCTCTAGTAGCTAATATGGGAGATATCCAACAATGTAGCAAAAGCGATCCTAATTGCCCGAAAGACGGAAGGTATCAGTACAATACTGATGTCGTATTTGACAGGAATGGCAGGTTGCTTGCTAAATATCACAAGCAACATCTGTATTTTGAAAAAGCTTTCAATACTCCAACTAAATGCGAATTTGTCACATTTGTCACGTTATTTCAGGTATAAAAACGTTAGTTTTTTAAAATGATAGTTGTAATTGCACACTTTGTTATACCAAGTTTGAAGTATAATAATGCATGAAAGCTGATTCATTATTTTTTTAGGTACGTTTTGGCGTGTTCACGTGTTTTGACATGTTGTTCAAAGACCCTGCAATTGATCTTGTGCAAACCTATGGTATACAAAATATTGTTTTCCCCACAGCTTGGTCCCACGGATTTCCTACTCTTATTTCCATTGAGTTTCAACAAGCCTGGTCGCGTGTGAATTGCGTGAATCTCATCGCAGCGGACCTGTATATTCCAGACTCTGAATTCGGTACTGGAAGTGGAATATACGATTGTGGGGAGCCAAAGATATACATATTCAACCAAAAACTGATTAAAAAACGTTTGCTTGTAGCTACACTAAATGGAAACAGAAATTCATTAAATGGTATTCGTGGTCGCCAAGCAAAACTGTATCGGCGTGATAATACAGCGTCTGACTTAGATGATACATTTACGGCAAAAAATATTGAGAAGTTCCCAATGAAGCAATATAAGAATGTAGATACATTTAAAGGAAACGTTTCGGGAAATATGTTCACAATGAGCAAGCTAGTTTCTTCAGAAAGTGAAATATCATTGTGTGGTGACCATTTGTGCTGTCATCTTAACTATGCTCTACCCAAGGGAAAAGAGTTCACAGAAAGTTTTGCCTTGGGGGCTTTTTTGGGCGAAAGTAGTAATGGGTTCTATTGGGAGGTGTGTTTACTCCTGAAATGTTTCTCAAGTGAAGAAAGCTCATGCGGCAGGGCTGTCATGGATTCTGAAACAGTATTTGAATCATTCACCATGACAGGCAACTTTTCTAGTAATGCTTTGGTTTTCCCAACAGTTTTGGGAAATGGTTTTTCTCTACTTTCCACAAATGAAATAAAATTTCAAGAAAATAGTATTTCAGGTGATGCATTAGAGCAGCCGTTGTTGACAGCGGCTCTCGTTGGCAGAGTGTTTTCCAAGGACCCACAACCACACGATCGATCGTAAAGAATACGTCTTTGCAATGGTATAATTCGATGACTGAAATTTAAAACGTTGCTAAGAAAACATTCCAATGAAATTTGCCTGTTAATTAATAAAAAGTAAATCATAGTTACTGCATATCATTCATGCATGGTTATTGGTTATTTTTGTTTCCCAAGAGTTTCCGATATTCATCCATTCCCAGATATTAGCCGTCTCTCTATTCACAGTTAAGCTCCAGAGTATCAACACGACATAGAGAGTGTGAACGTGAACTCTCTCGAAACCACCGGCAAAAACTATTACATTCGTTTTAACTTGTAAGCGATCCCGAAATATGAAAATGGATGCCAGTAACATTAACGGTAATGCTAGACTTTTCCTACAAATATTTTACTACACTCTACAATGGCTTAAAATGCCCCAAAGCATGTATTCTTGTATAATTCCTTATGATTTTGTGTGAAAAAGCGGCGATGTTCGTCGAAACGAAGCGAAGATGCACGTAGAATTGTGTTCATTGTAAAATACTTATATATTTTTACTGCCGTGGTAAAGACAAATATTTCACAGTTTACTACATTATAGTTAATTTACTTGCAGTCGTTAATATCAATCTAAAGTAAACAATAAATTCCGCAATCAATATCGGTGATTGAGTAAAGCAGATGTGAGCAACGGCAACGCTAAAATGTATGCTGACGAATGAGCCGCTCGCGGGCTATAAATAAAAAACCCGCTTACAATGATGTACAAATAGGTAAATATCAGGTTGCCGAGACATCATCCCGAATACTTGTCTTTTAATGTGTAATAACAAGTTAACAATGTGGTGAAGTAATTGAAGGGGATGTTCCTGCCTTTGCAAAATTTGTGCAAAGACAAAAAGGTTTATATATTGCAAATGAAATTAAGAAAAAAGTCCATTGGAAATTGAGAATGTGCTTTTTCAACTACAATTGCTGCAAAATCCCCATATATATTTCTCTATGCGTGGATGTTGGAACTGTCACGTATATATCACTTAGGACGAGAAAATATTCGATTTTGGCGAAGCATAAAGAAAAACTAAAGCTCAGCGCATGCAAGCATTCGATTTCATAATAAGTTCTAAAAGTTTTTTAGGTGGCGAACATTTTTGAATACATTTGTTTTTCCTTTTCTTTCTGATCTTTGATAAGGTTCTTCACCCGAGCGATCTCGTTTCGAATGCCTTGAGAAAAGGAACAATAGAGCTTATAGACTTCACTTAATGTTGCAGTTTAAAGAAATATCTTTGTCATTGAAACCCTTTAAATCCTTTTAACCTGCTGTGTATAATATAGGAAATAGTAATTGGTAACGGTAATTGAGGAAATCTCTTTGTGTGGGTAATCTAATCCGTTGTATCTTACATGCATGCACAAGATTTCGGGACATTTCTGAATTTGAACATCATTCTTAAGCTAATGTAAAAGTTACGTTACAATAACCCAACATTACAGTTTATAACGTCATATAGCGATATACTTGAAAAAACAAAATAATTGAATCGTATATAAATAGGAAGTGGCAACAAACCTTTATCTGTTGGTGAAAGCTTTGCAGCAGATTGGAGGTCAGTCTAAAGAGTCAGAAGTAATTGCAGAAGTTACTAGGGGTTGTGAGAGGTTATCTGAAATAAACTGAAACTAAAATTCTTCTGACCGTTAGCCTATACTGAAGAAAACAATGTTCACAACAGTTCTCAGGTAAGAATGATATTCAGCAATATACATTCAGTATAAGCATGGAATGATTCATCATTGAACTGTTATTGTTGAATTTGGTTGAACAGCGGACCACATGCACTCTAGCTGACTCAACACAATGACCCATCATCATCACATTGGGACATTTTGCTTGGTTGTTTGATGAGTGTATTAACTAAATCAAAACTTCCTTTCTATCAAGCAGATAAGGTATATCACAGTAACTATGAAACCAACTCCCTACTATCGTACCAATGCCTTGTTAAAATCACGCAAGAACGCATACGCCTGTCCTCTTCTGAACAGAGCTTTAACATTATCTTTTTCAAAATTTTCAATTACCTAAAAAATATAAAAATATAACAAAAATATTTAATCAATTTTAAATACAAAATAATTGTCCTATTTTGGCGAGACGAACTGCGCTTATTTTTATGGGGCTTTTTTCAGTTTCTGCCTTTCTGGAGACCAACAGTACAAGTAAACAACTGTTAATCCGCTAACAGAAACTTGACAGTGGTTTCGTTGTTGTTTTCAAAAGTTTGCGGTGATTATCAGAAAATTATAAGCTTCATGTCAGATACGATAGGTTCTCCTCGAGGAAGATGAACGGCAATCGCCAGGTGTATCTTTAAACCATACTTGCTAAATTTCACATTTTCCCAGAAAGATCATTACACAGCATAGTTAAGCAAAAGAAGAATATTTTGTCTCCGTTGTTCAATGTCCACTACAGCGGAGATTCAATGCTTACTTCATCGCAGTTAGTAACTGCTTCTTCATAACTTTTAAGTTTTAGGCAACAAGCAGCACTAAAAAGATACAAAAGATTTAGTACATTGAATTCAAAATAAAACGTTGTTGATTGACCATCACAGTTAGGGTAATTTGTCCTTTTACCTGTTCAAGTAACACGGTAACACCACAGATTTATGTCGTTCTGTCTTTTCTTTGGTATCATTATTCTCTTGATTCTTTTTATCTTCTTCACCAGATGAAGATGAGGAATCGGAATCCATGTGCTCCAAATATCTTAAAAATCCAAGTAAAATATACTGTAGAACACATTTTTTCCCCACATTTTCTAATCTTACTGTAAAATTTACTGTATATTGGTACTGTATTTATGTATATATATGCATATATTACATATAGCAAAGATACCTTAAAGCTTTTGAATATTTCTTCAGAGCAACTTCATAGTTTCCCAACTTAAACTGTTCATTCCCTATTATCTTGATCCTTTCAGCTACACCAATGACCTCGTTAAACTAATAGTGAATCAAGAATGAACTACCACCAATAACATTGCACCAATTAAGGATACTGACAAATTTCACTTTTTCCTATTTGTCATGTAGTCTCCATTTTGAGAGGCAGAGAGCCACACTATAGCACTTAGGGGGTATTTATGATGAACATATAGATCTAGCACACAGGGCAATTTCAAATTAGATGTTTTAAGATCATACAGTAGAAAAACATTTGCAAATGAAAGCCAAAACTTTTATGATCGCTTTATAAGAAAACAAAACAGAGTGCCATACTGTAATTACACTTGCCAAAAAAGCTACACTGAAAGGCAACTTACTACATCTAAATAACTTGTATGCACCCTGGAAAGTTATGAATTTCAAACCATGCATACAGTAGCAGTTCTCAGTTTAAGAATAACATTTTCAGCATTATTGACATTCAGTATAAGCATGGAAATGAATCATCACAGAACTGCTCCGGTATTAACTTAACATACCGGTACCTATATTTTTTGACAGAGTAATTTTGCACACTATACCTTCTGAAATTGTACGTTTGATTCCCCTGGATAGTCTGAATATGTATCTCCTGTCCCATCATCCTTCACAACCATAATATCTTCATCTGGTGGAACATCACCACAATCAGCTATAACACATGGCTACAGGTGGTGCAGAAAGGAAAATTATAGCATGCATGAAGAATAAACAGTGTTGCACTATTGAAACACTGCAACATATTTCAGAATCTAACTTATGTCAAAGTCTATGTAAAGGCCATGTTGCACAGTCAAGTTTCTTGACGATTAACTTATCCATTTATCATTCCTAGTTTGCATCATGCAACGGAAAAAAATCACAAATGATTCAGATTGAAATCTATTGTCGATTTGAAATCTGCTCAGTGCTCACCTTTTTTGGCTTTTCACCATCTTTGTCCACATTTTCTAGGGAGCGAACTACATGCATTCCTTTGATAACTTTACCAAAGACAACATGTTTTCCATCCAAGTGAGGTGTAGGTTCACATGTTATAAAGAACTGTGATCCATTTGTGTTTGCACCAGAATTTGCCATGGATAGAAGACCAGCTTCTTTATGCTGCAAATTTCATAGAATAGTTTTCACTTTTTTTACCCTCATATTGGCAAATGGTGTCAAAGAGTCAATACAAAAAATCAGAAGCTGTTGGGCTTGTTATTTCTTTATATTATGCTCAATTTCATTCAATAATTGCTAACTATATAATATTGTTAGCTAAATTTTATGCCTGCATGATTCACTGCAATAATTTAATTACCTTCAGTTCAAAATTCTCATCCTCAAATTTTTCTCCATAGATTGACTCACCACCTGTTCCATTCTGATTAGAGAAATCCCCTCCCTGTATCATGAAACCTTTTATGACTAAAAATAAGTTTAAATTCAAGGATGAGATTAAGTTATCACAAATTTCAATCACTGTTCAATATTATAATAGTACCAATGTATATAACCAGTGGATTCATGCTAAATTGTGTTCACAACTCCAAAGTTCACATTAGTACCATATTTTGCAACTATGAACATGGCAACCAATAATCTTAGATGGTTACATTATAATTAATATAACTAAAAAAAGCAAAAGTAAAAGGTACCATGTACATACAGAGATATAAATTTCTCCTATTCTACATTTATTTCTGATATAAAATGCATTGTATCATTTGTATGTGCATCTAATCCAGTTCTAAAGCTTACTTCTATGAAAGGGACATCCTTTGAAATGCAAAGGTTTCTTAGTCGATTCACCAATGCCTTTATCACCCACACACAGAGACCGGAAATTCTCAGCTGTTCTTGGACACACATCAGCAAACAACTCAAAGTAAATTCTTCCCTCTAAATAATAGAAAATATAGAGTGTCCTTATCAGACATGTGGCATAAAAACATTTAAGTTTATCAGCTAGTTAGGGGGCTTGATTGCTACCATATATGAGGCATATAAACCAGCAAATGCTAGGGAATTCATACCTGATTGCTGGATTGATGATCAGATCAAAAATATAACATACTATAGTGATAGTCTATAAAATACTCATACTTCTTATAAACACGTGGTTTAATACCCATTTAACACCATGCACAAAAATATGCACTATAAATACCTGGCTTATTGCCGATGGTTACATCAAAGAAACAGCGAGGGTTTTTTTTCTTTTCCTGAGTGTTTTTATTTTCATCTGACATACTTCTTTTGTGGTTTAAACTTTAAAATAAAAACTTGCGAAACACTTTTGAGATTTCAGAGCAACGAGAACTTAATGAGCGGAACTAATCGGACGAAAAAAATGACGACTGAGAAGAAAAATACGGGAAAATGTCGTTTTCTTGACGGGGCCCGACCACCATCAGAAAAGTGATTAGCTTTGGTAAAAAAGCAATAAAATGAATAGTATTTAATACCATCACATTTTAGCTATAGCGTTCATTTTAGTGGCAGTGCTAAAGATGTCAAAAGCCAACAAAGGAGCTCTAGTAATTGGGGCTTTGGTCACAGCAATTGGTTTGGCACTTTATCCTGTTGTGGTTCATCCCAAATTGTTCCCACAAAAATACCGTAAGCATCGAATTGTCTATATAGCATAGGTCTCTTCAATGCGAGACTCTGCTTCAATGTTTATTTTTCATCTTTAGAGCAAATGCAGAAAGAGTACAGAGAAGGAGTGTCTAAAGATGACATTCAACCAGGGGGTAATATGCATGGACAAAATTTTATCATTATAGCCATGAGCCATCCATGTCTGACAGCATTTCACATGTTCACACCCTAACTACCAAGTCATTGTTTCACCACCATTTCAGGGCATATCAATACCAAAGTACTCCTGTACAACATTTTGCCTATGCAGTTTGATGCTATCTCTTCTCTTAATAGTTCATTAATCTAAATCTTTGGCATGCAATTTGCAAATGCTAAATTCATTTAAAGAATTTTTAACCAGTCTGTTTTCAAGGGAGATGAAAAACAGTGAGTCATTAAGCCTATGGCAGATAGTTATGTCAATTGTCAACCATTTTTCATATTTTTACACCATCACTGTCCATATTTGTGCTGTGGTTTTCAATAATTATGTCTCAAACTTTTCCTTTGTTTTAAATAAAAATATTGAAATTGCAGGAATGAAGGTTTGGTCTGATCCATTTAAGAAAAAGTAACACCAAAATAATCTCACATGATGTTCTGAAGATTTGATGTCCAAATTGCAGCATGGAACTTTACTGTGATCAACACTATTGTCCCTGTAAAGATTAAAGTATGGATGTAAAAGAGTGAAAGAACCAAGAACGTCATCAATATTGTCAGTAGTGTAGCCAGCCTGAGTTCTGCTATGCTAATAATTTATTAAAGGAATACTAAATGGTTCTCCGTGCAGGATTGTCTCATACTGCATGCCTACAAACTAATCAAATTGCGTGTTTCATTGTAGTTATTATATAATGTTTATTGACAGTCAAAACAATTTCTTTTAAACAAGTGAAAAAAATGTAAACTAAAATTTGCATAGCAAGACTAATCATTGGGCTGAATATACCACTAAATATTGTATATGTATTATAACATGCCATTTATTAAATAAATCATAATGCCTATTTGCACAAATTGATGAAGTTAAAGACAGTTGTTTCACAACCTTGTACCCAGGGTACAATCTGCATTTCTCCTGTTGATCATATAACATTGCAAAACTTTGATACTACCTGCATTAATACATATCCAAATGATTTAATTTATGACATTGTGCATGTCTTTTCATCTCTCCTTCGGTTCTATGAAAGAATAGTATAATGAAATCAGGAATGAATATTGTGATGGTGCTACTCTGATTCACCAACTGGGCAAGCTGAAAAAATTACCACAGTGGTATTTAAGTACATGATATTTCGGCACTCGAAATCTAGTCTCTTATGCAACTGTGTGTTTGGAAGTGATACTATCACTTTAGGACATACAAATATGCAAGGTACTTGATTGAGTTCCGAAATATCACCTATAAACCATCATGGGTTAAATCAACTGTGGTGAAGCTATACTTCTGCTTGCCCGGTTAACTGGAAACAGCACCATCACAATATTCATACATCTGAATCATATGCATAACACCTAAAACCATGAATGCTTGCTACTAAGGTTCTTTGATTGACTAAACGTGTGGGCATGTAAGATATACAACGGTTTTTTGATAGGTTATTTTCCTGAGACATGAGAGCTCTGTAAGTTTTACGTAGCTCTACTATAAATCTTTCCTTGAAAACTCTTTTGAAAGCACTTATCAGTATTTGATCAACCAATTATCAGTACTTGAATTAACTACTCTATACCATTTCTTGACGCTGTCTGTTTCTGGTTTCTTTTTCTGAGTCTGCAAGCGCTTGAGCCAGTGCACGATCCTCTTCTTCCTGACTGCTGGATGGTTTAGTTGACGAACTTGGTTTAGGCGATGAGCTGGATTTAGCTGGATCTGCCGTTGAGGAGGTGTCGGCTAGGGAAGCTTGAATTGCTAATGCTAGAGCTTCATCGTCGCTCTAAAATTCAAAATATTTCAATGTCATCTTTGTGTATGCGGTATGTACTAATTAACAATTTAAAAATGATTCAGTGGAATAAGCGATCGAAAGCGTGATTTAGCGAAGCCCTAGTCTACTATCATATCTAGAAATCGAGAGGAGTAATTTATTGTTTTTATAGTAAAAAAAATTATTTTATTTATTTAGTAAAAAGTAGTAAGAAACGATATTTCCACAAGATTTGATTATTTATGCGTGAAAAACTCCGTAGCCAAAGTTAGCGTAACCGAGCTAGAACAGTGTATATTTATCGTTTATGTAAATGTTTACAGCAAGTGACTTAAGTTGATTTGGCAAAGCCAATAATAAATAAATAAATAAACAAAAATATGAAAGAGAAGATTTTTGGTTATCCCCATTCGCAAATAGTGGGTAGCGTAGCCAATCAGTATGCAGCATTTGCAAAGCCAAAGTGCTCGCGCAAGTTTTATTGGTAGCTACTAATAATATTCTGTGCAATTTTTTTTTATTAGCCTGGTATTTTAAATGCTGTTTTTGTTTGAGCTCATCCTTTAAACAGCGAGGACGAGGCGAATGTCGATGTTCAAAGTGTGCAGAGCCAGAGAACGAATATTGAATTAATTCTTGACTTACTAAAGCCCGCTGTTGTCCACCCTGAGGTGTCCTACTTGGCTGTTGTTGGTTTGTAGTATTAATATTTGATGGATTAGCACGCTCTCGTCTTGCCCTGAAAAAAAATTGTTACAACAAGTGAAATAGCCAATCGACCAGACAATCTAAATAATTCATTTCTACCGAATACCTTACTAGAGACAATTTTGAAATTCATATTTTTCATGAAACAATTTTTTCAACAATTTTACTATAGCCTATAATAAGTAATAACTGTCTTTTCTTTTGGTGTTTATCACTAGTGAAGCAATAATGGATTTAAAACTGAAGCAATAATACTCGAATGCAATAAACACATTACAACACTATAGTTATACATTTATACATGTATTATCGTCTCCTGATTTTTTTACCTATCCAGCTCCCGACCTAGAACGCTTAAGGGCGTTTGTTGTGGTTTGTTTCTCTCCACTTGTGCAGTGCCTGTCCTGTTTTTTGTCGTTTGAGCTTTCCTACAATATAAAATACTAATGAAGCCTGGTTTTCTTTATTTCCTATGCCGTAATTCATCGACGATGTTCTACGATCCATCGTCGCGGTAATCAATGAAGGCAATAATCGACAGCAGCCAGATTACTCCTTCCAAAACTTAATCAATGCAAAAAAATCTACTTACAAATAATTCGCTTTTCTTGCTGTTGCACAATCATGGTCTTGGGGGTGCCGATGACGTAGGCAATAGTTCCGTCTACATGAATCACATAGGACGGGTACAAGCTAAATAATCGATAAAGTATTTTTTTTATGTCATCAGGATAATTTATTAGAACTGAGAAATTCTATGAAATTTAGAAAACACTTACTATTGAACAAATATACCATATGTTGTATTTATCAAGCAATGTTCCTGAAAATGGCAATTGAGGCTCTGGGGTGTGGGGTTAATGCAGCTCCCTTTGTTAGAATTTCACATCATTTATCACAAATTCTTCCAAAGCAGATAATTTGGCCATTTGAAAGGGACTTAATGAGCTCCAAGGAATATATTATTGCATACAGTCTTTTTTTCTGAGAAGTTCATTTTAATAAGCATGTGGAGTCTCGCACACATACTGCCATTTCTGGTGAAGCAGAATGTCATTTCTCAGTTTTGAAGCAGACTTTATAAACCAGGTAAACACATATCACCTAACAGATGTTTCATGCAGCCAGGTTGCATGGAGAAACAAAATAATTTCAAATAGCAGAAGCATTATATAATGAATGTGTGCACATTATACTCACCTCATTTTTCTTGCAGCCTTTTGCTGAACATCTGTTGGAATTAAGCTACATAATATATAATAGAATTTTTCTCAATCTTAAAATATGAACATGAACTTTCAACATGACTTAAACTATCAACATGAACTTCCTTCGAGCTTATGGTACATATTACAAACCTCTGCAGTCACAAAATGCATTTACATGATTAGACTGTGGATTTTTTAACTTATCTCCTTAAAAGTATATGGAAAAATCATAGAAGTAAGCTTACCTTGCGTTTTTCTTTAGCTGGGTCTGACTCACAATCACGATCAATGTGCTCACCAACCTGAAAGAAATGTAGGTTAACTTTTATATATTTACACAAAGCTTATAGTTAGTAGTAGGATACCAAAGCATAATGTCACAAGGTTTCTATTAATTCTATATAAGACTTTAGGTGTTAGTTTCAAATTTGATAAGTTTGCAGAATTGCAGTGGTAAGTTAAGTTATTTATTAGTGGACAGTGGACTAATATTTACAATTTTTTAATTATTATAATATATTTAATATAATATAAATAATATTCTTATTGTAATACTATAAAGTAATATATCAGACCTTAATATCTGGAGGTTCTCCACGGTTTACAGGAACTGGTTTATTGCACAGTGGGCATACAGGAACCTGAACATCCTATTGGAAATTATTTTTATAAGTTTGTTTCACTGGCTGCGTTGATCAAAGCATGTACTAGCTCTTATAAATTATTAAAACTCTCAAGTTAGTCAATATACAGAAAACAACCAAAAAAGTGACCAGCTACAAAGCATATACCTTTTTGTAGGCACTTTGACAGTTGTGAGAGTAATAGGTAACATGGTCATTGCTAAAGACAATAGAAAAGACAATACAAAATATAAATATATTATAGTTATAAGTTAATGCTTGAGCTTGTATATAAATATTGTCAATAATTGTCAATTACCAAAATGTTTTTTCACAGGCATCACAATTCATTGGCAAGAAATCTAAAAAATAATGTAGCATCAAAAATATAACATTTGTTATACTGATACATATCTTCTAAAAGCTAAAACAAGCTGTTCTGTTTTAAGGGATTACCCTCAAAATTCCATTTTTGACATGAATATGAGAAATTTAAACAATTTTTGGATGGTACTCTAGCTATGGTAAACAAAATTTAGGGCCCTATTTTATATATATTAGATATCACCCATTAGTATCTTACCAGTCAAGGTGAATCAATATTGGTGAATTATTTCCTTTGATATCAATGGAACCACATTTAAACAAAAAAACTAATCACTATGTACTTTCATTTTAAATCATTTCATATCAACAATAAAAATATTAGATAGAACATGACTTACCTAAACGTTTACAAGAAGTTAATGTACAGTGTTTACCTAAACCCGGGAATTCCATAACTAAAAATCAAAGCGTTTTGTACTGTATTTTATTTCATTTTATTTTATTGTATTGTATGCGAATAAAAAATTTGACAGATAAGGATTTTAGTTCATAAATTAATAAAAATTTATATAATTCTGTACTCATGTGACTGGTGTAAGTGTTTCCCCCCCCGGTACTGTCCATGCGAACCAAGATGGCAGCATTTCGACTTGTCCGACCATTTCATACTCTTGTAAGAAGACTGCAATCAGTTCCTGTTTTAAAATCCATGCCGAGAACTTTGTTGAATGAGAGTAAGTATTTCTTTCTATATACAATGGGAAAATTTTATTCATTATATATTGTGCTACTGTGTTTAGTAACCAGAATTTTAGGAAAACGTGCAAAAGAAAATTTAAGATTACACAATTTGATATTGATTTTATTATAAACCTACAATGTTTCTTCATTTTTTAGCATTTTTTGATGGTCAACAGTGTAAATATGCGAGTTCATTTAAACGGTTTCAGTCAACAGTATCTACTGAAGAAGGCACCGATACAACAGAAGAAACAGAAAAACCTAAATCTTGGTTTATAAGATGGCTGCACGGCGAAATCCCAGAACAAAAAGTGGTAACATGAATGTTATTTATGTTTATAAACTAAGACCTGAGTGTTAAAAATACTTAAAAACTACTGTACATATATGAAATCAACAAATAAGTTTGGTTCATAATGCTCCTTCATTGCTGTGGCATTGTGGCATTGCATGTGTGCAATCACTGCAATGTGCCATTGTGCCCAAGATCTCTAAAAGTATGAGTAGATAAATAAGAGACATCAGCCTTGGCATCCCTGGCATCTTAGTTTTGTGATACATACTTTCTGCACTGGTTAGAAAATAGTATTTTTATTTGATAATATGCCCAACAGTGAAATTGGAGGGAGGGGGTGTTTGGCCGTAATTAAAGGAGAAAAATATAATTCATGGCTAAAATGTTTACCTGTACCCAATTTTATATGTGCTCAGGCTACTGAACCAAACATTGCATGCAAAATTGGCATGGGTTCCCATTTTAGCTTTGCATGCAAATGAACTAGGCAGTGGCTCCTTCAACCAATTTACTGAAAGAAATAGATAAAGGATTCTAAAAAAGGTGCTTCAGACTAGCTTCCAAAATAAGATTTTCAGGCATGCTTTCTTCTCCCTTAATACCTATAAGTAACCTAATATTTTTAGGCAACTATAGAAGAAATAGATGAACGTAGAATTCTCTTGGAAAAGGTATGTACAATACTTGTCATCAAAGGCTATTGGCACAGACTGGTAAAGAATACTTAGCTTACATTTATTTAGACCTTTGAAATTCAATAAAAAACTCTACTTATATCTTACTGTTTGAAACCTAAGCTAGATATGACAAACTGTTAACAGTGTACATTCTTTTTATCAGACTTTTTTCACAAGTTTTTCCTTTTATTTAAGGTTCAAGAAATGTACTTCTCAAACCCACCCAAGGCTCCTGGAATAGAATTCTATACAGAAGCATTTCATTTATTAATAAAATATAATGACAGGTACCTAATTTGACAAGCTATATATAGTCCTTTAATAGGTATTTCTGTTTATTTTGCTACTAAACACTAAATGACCAGGCAAACTATATTCAACAGCATAATGAGACATATTACATCAATGATACCCTTCTAGTAAATCCTGCTCACTTATGCTCATTGCATAGCTCCCTAAGTTCTTTATGTTGTATCCAGATTCATCCTAGGTATTTCCCAAAAAAAACTTAACTCCATAATAAAATGTTTGCTTTTCCTACAATGCTAAGGGTTGGAGTTGAAAACCTTTATGAAGTGATGAAGGAAGAGAAGATACCTGCTGATGATAAACTAATAGAGCAGGTACACTTATGATGTTTGCTCTGCAGATCTTGTTAGCTATGTTATAGGGTGGTAACCAGTTGCCAAGGCAGCGAAGATTGTAGCATTTTGTTAATCTTTTTAAACATAAATTTTTACAGATTGAATCATATATTGTGAAAGCTCGAGAAGAAGCGTGGTATAATTAATTGTGGTTGCCATTGTGTTTTCAATGAAATTGCATTAAATGTCACCACTATTTATGTTCCAATATTCAGGACTTGGTCATTGCAAAATCATCTTGTGATGTACCTATGCTATGTTATCCTACAAGAGGCACGGTATTTGATGTTTTAGGTTAAAGGCCTTATGTTTCTTAATTCAATATATAAGGATGGAAACTATGTTTTGACTAGATTTTAATCACCATAGCTTATAGTCAACTTAATTTATAATCAATATAATGGTGACTGCAGTCTTATCAAAACATATTGGAGTCAATGTTCTTTTGTATTTTATTAAAAGTATGGGACTGTACTTCCCATAATTATAATTAAATATTTGATAAGGTTCAATAGAGTGCTTCAGATCTACCATGGCATTGAGTTAAGTTAAATCCTTTACACAAGTTTGAACTTCCTACATTCATTTTTTGATTTATTTCATCCAGTCTTAATCAAAGAAATAATCCGAATTTTGCAACAAAGTCAGAAACATCACTCTAATTTTATTAGATACAACATTCAATTCATAAATATTTATGATAAAATCATATTTAAGAAACACTGGTGTTATATATATAGATTTTAACTATCACAATTTGAATGTTTTTTAATGCAATAATTTGGAATCTTTTTAAGAGCTTAACAAGGATTTCAAATGCAGAGTGCTTAGTTGTAAATCTGAAGTTTTCTGTCAGCCTGTTCAAGATGATTTATATGTCCAGCTTGAAGATTTCAAATTATTTTAGCTATATTATTGAACTATTAGGTTTACAAGCCAAGTAGTATTTAGTTCACTAATTATGTTTGCAGATGTTTTTACAAAATTTGTATTCTACAATGTAGAAATTAAATAAAAGTGTTACAATACACAGTGTTAACTTGGCATTAAATATTTTATTTTACAGTAAATAGCTCATTTTAAACAGCACTTTAATCTATTAGTCTCTCTCATTTTATATATTAGTGAAAGGCTTTAATTCTCTAAAAATACTATGGAATTGTAAGACCTGCACAGTAGACATTATAATGCTACCGCAAATAAGAATATTAAAATGAAGATAGGTAATGTTAACATTAAAAACATGTAACCCTATGTGGTAGAATGTCAAGACATTGAGAAAGAGGTACAATATAGTGTTGTGTTCATATACAAGTAAAGTAGGAACATAAAATGAACATGGCCAGCCTAGTGACAATAATAACACATCAGGGTCTTTGATTGCATAATTACAACTCCTCTTGTGCAATTGTACTACAATGTACCATATCTGACAACATTTGGTTTTTTTCTATCCATTACTTGAACATGTTTGATGACGTCTTTTTTTGTTATAATACCAGTTACACCTCTATAAATGAAGAATTAGCAAGTGTACAGTTTTTGTTGTAAAGCAACATTTCCTGAATCTTAATGGTGAACCCTTGGCTCTATATCACATGCACACATGTTGGTTTTTTGGGTTTCAACATTGGTGCACATGTTACAGTACATATGGCATATGACTCAGGAGTCGTACTGCAGTGGTGGATCCAGCACTAGTGCACTAATTTGCATTACAAAACAAAATGGCTATTTTGAGCAGTTTTCTTGTGTCATGCAAATTAGTGCACTAGTGTTGGATCCACTCCTGTCGTACTGTATATTGAAGGGACTACAGGGTGTATAAAAAAGACCTTTAGAAATTAACCTATTGTTATAATTCAAACTCGGAATTTGACATAACTTCTAAAAGCAAAATTCTGCACAATATGCATGGTCCAGACTTATATCCAGATCTAAGGTACAGCTGTGGTACAAAGCGCGTTTTGAGAAAGGTTCTTGATCGAAATCCAACGCCGGTGCGAAAATAATGAGCAGTATTAATTCGTGCCATGCATTAGATTTTACTCGGATTGTGCATGTTTGCGCAGCGATGGGCTTGCAAAATTGATCAGGCATTTAAATTATAACAATAGTTTAATTTCTGAAGTAAAGGTCTTCTTTTTTATACACTCTGTAGATTGAGTTATATTAGCTAGTAAACTAGTAACTGGTAACTGCGAGGAACATACCCGTCCCTCGTTACCAAAACTTGTCTTAAACCCAGTTTACGAAACATTTCCACCACAACTTCCATTGGTGTTGTATAGGAGACTTGAAGAGGACTCTATATATATAGAAAATAAATGAGCTGATTAGAGTTGCGAAAATATCTTGTGAAACCCTTTGGGGGGAAAGGTGACAACTGCATGAATTTAATATCGAAACAGTCGGTGCCATATGTAAACTATACTTGGTCGTTACAGAAATTACATGAAGTTGTTTTATGAACATCGTGCCCAAAATAATGAATACAACTTGCGCTTATAAATACCTCATCCAAAGTGTGTCTAAGGTTGACAGGTGGAGGATGCGATATTTCGATGCGTGGAGCGTGCTTGGTGAAATATCCTATGGAGAGTGACACCACACCAGGGTTTTTTGCACGAGCATTTTCTGGAAAATGAAAATATAGTTTATTAATCACTTAGGAAATACCTACTGTACTTTACGTTCTGTCGCTAACTTTGTTTTTTTGCATGTGTTTTATATCTCACCAAGGGCTGTTTTCCAGTGTCGCATTTTTCCTGTTTTCCCACGTACGTGCAAATTTTTAAGTTGCTATATAATTAATTTTATTGCAGAAAAAACATACCACATCTTGAACAGTATCTAACTCTGTGCATCTATTCAATCGTAGATTTTATAAGTATAATTTAAATTATTTTAAACTTTTACGTGCGGAAAGCAGCCCTAACTGTTAGTAACCCCCCTTCCAAGCTTCCAAACAATCTAAACAATAAATACCAATTATAAATACCTCGTACCCAATTCCCCTACCTAAAGCTAACACCAGCTCTTTCCTTCTCACGTAACCATATAGTCGCATACATTCCATGTCATCAACCACTGGAAAACCTTTGAAATTGGTCTCTTCCAACAAAATTTCTGTAATCAGATTGATACATTTACGCTTATAAGTTTTTGGAATAACTTAATAATGGTATCTTTTAGAATTTCAGTTCACTTTTGACTCACTGTTGTCGAGAAAATTTCGTTTTAACATTTAAAACTATCTATTATTCAACCCACAGCCGACGGCCTATAATTTGGCATATTTCGGAAAGAAACAAAATTTTTTTTTCTGCCGTGATATTTATTCTCAGAATGGTCCTGATAACTTATCTGATATCACCACACATTTGGTAGTTGGCGTAATGCCAATTATAGCGAGTTTGAGCAAGGAAACGAAGTACGAAGACGTGATGATGCGCAGACGTTAAAAAATTGTGAAGTTTGTCTTCGTCTTCGTACTTCGTTGCCTTGCTCAAACTCCCTATTCTTATCGCCGGCAGCGAAATTGATCTTACCTAATTGTTCGATGGTAGAACTATCTTTTGTCACACAACTGATCGCAGGTTCAAATTTTCTACAGTGTTTTATAGAAAAGTAGAACAGAAAATCAGTGGAAAATACACAAACCAAAACAAAATTATTTTATACATTATATATGCACACCTTGGTTTTGCGACGTCTTCAGCCAGCGAAGTATAAGCAAACTCTTCTTTGTTGTCCAAAAATGGATACATATTAAGCGCGATATGACTATCATAACTGAACGAAATGTCAAGGGTTTGCTTGAGGAAAATCTTGTTGATCAGTACTGAAAGCGCTCATACTTCACGTCTTTTCATAATCGTATAAACTCATTCGGTGATGATAATTTAAAAGGATACATTCCCCCCTTGCCAAATGCATCACCAACCCATTTACTCATAACGACTGCAAGCATCATTGGTACAATATAAAAGAGCCCCCCAGTAAGCTCGAACATTATCACAACCAACGATACTATAAATGCAAGAAAATATACCAATAGGCAATATTGCATAGTCAGTGATTGGTACTCTTGTTCTCGTGTGAATGATTCCTAGGTTAAACGTCGCATTTTGGTCGCGTTAATGAGATGATAAATTGATAATAAAGCTTGATTAAGTTTATCATCTCATTATCTATTGTTTAAATTGCATTCGACGCGACCAAAATGCGACGTTTAACCCAGGCCTAAGCGTTGTTCTAAAAAAGTAGAACAGAAAATCTAAAAAATCCCATTCATTATGAACGGAGTTTCACATAAACTTGATAAGATACTGGACTAAAATAGTTACAGTACCTGTCATTCTTGTGACTCCACCTAACGCAGCCGCAGCACCGACCATAGCGTAAAGACCAGGTTGAACGCAAGCACCGACAGTATTACGACATGATATTTCAAATATAGCGAAATCAGGATAGTGGCTGCCATAAAAACACAATATTTTATGAAGTGAACGAAAACCTGCTAGTAAATTAGTAATTACACGCTACTGAAAAGATTGTTCACGTCTAGTTTCTGATTCTTCAAAGACTTTCACAAGAGTTTTTTTTACTTGTAGTGAATCTATTCTTGAGATTCTAAAGCCCGCTATTGGTTGCTAAGGTTTACTGTATTTTTCTGTCTAAATGATATGGTCATGCACATTTGTATTCAATGGAGTAGGCGCGTTTTGTAAAATAAAATGTTTTGCTGCAGGGGTGTAGGAACCGGGGGAGGAAGAGAGAAATAAAGAAGTAAAGAGTAGCGTTTCTAACTTTCTAGGGTATATACACCGATAGCTAAGTGGATATATACTATTGCATACTTACAGAACGAGTTGTTCCACCCCAATACCAGTAATACGACCAACACACGCGCCCACTGCCATTGTTGGAATAAACAAACCAGCAGGCACCTTCGTGAGAAAAAAAAATAGCCGCTAAAGCGATTGCTCTGCTAAGTACAGGACATGTATTTTGGGCCGAAGCCTATACTATACGTTTAACGTTTATGTCACTGGATTTCATTATTACCTTTACTCCAAACGTAAAGACAGTAATCACCGCTTTAAACAACATAGCTAAGAAAAGCATCCATATTGACCTGATGACACCTGGACCAGCTTCAGCAGCAGGATATTCACCATTATTCACGTTAATCGTTGTGTTTCCTTTGTAATCACTGCAACAACAAAATAATATTTCGGATTTCTTGAAAAACATCCACCAAAAACTTCCAACAAAATCATAATCTACATAATACACTATGTGTACAAAAAAGAGAAAAAATTCCATGGGTTACTACTTATGCTTGGATTATACCTTACCACAAATCACTTAGGTCGTCAGGTTCACACTGTTGAAATAATTCCTTTATAAGCATGCTGGTATTTTGTCGTGTTAATGGATTGGGGTAAGCAACTAAAGCCGTAATTAGCGTGACGACCAATACCTACAACGGAAAGATACAAAACCCTTAGAGATCGAGTTGCCGCTTTTTTGAAGAGTATTTAAACGGTGTGAGCTGGCTGAATATTACATAAATTCTACCTCAGTTGTTGGATATTTTCCTAACAATGTTGTCTTTCGTAGTTTACACCACCACATATTTAGCTTGTTAAACCACACGCCAAATAATCCCTATAAAACAATTTGCTATTAATTGCTAGTCATCTGTGCAGGCAGGCGTCTACCGCAAAGCTTACAAGGCGATAGTTACGGCCAAATTTGTCCAGTTAATTAATACCTTAATGTTACTATAGTCTTTGCAACTACAGTAAACAACAGTACCATCGTAAATTACAACCCTAAGGTGAAGCACAATTGTCGACATATTATGTACAAATTTATACAAATTGATAAACTGTACAAAAAGTTAACCTTACCCCAAAAATTCCAAGTAAAGCAAAAGGTACTAATTCAAAAACTTTCCATGGGGTGGTATATTGTACATAAAATAAGACAAGCTTTCCAGTTCCATATGGATTCATGTACTTCAAAGTTACTGCAGCCACCATTGCACAGAAAAATGATCGCCATAAAGTTTTCATTGGAAAGTAATAACTAACCTAAAATACAGGGAGAAATATATTGCATTATGAAAAAAAGGCAATATTTTAAAAACAATGGAGTACAAGGTTTGAGTGAAGTGTAAGGTAAGTAGATACAGATAAATGTTGCAATTTATGTGAGTGTATCTTGCATTTATAGTCATTTAAGAAAATATGTGAGCAAGTAATTTTACAGAGCAATCTTTACCAGTTAGAGGGGAACCTCCATAATGCTCTGAAAGGCTCATGATCGAATAATGTGATCATGATCAAATAATTACATAAGTCTAACAATTATTAATGTTCAGGTAAAAGCAGGTTGAGTGTTTATATGACAAAAAGCCTCCCTTGTAAAGAGGGATCCGTCTGTTCTTTTATAACAGCACAAAAATACTATACAAAAACATGTGTAAACACACCTGGAAATATGTTTAAATAATAAAAAATGCTAATAATTTCTTAAAGCTCACTAGTCCTGGCCATGCAGGGTTAAGAATCTGAAATTCTCCTACCTCTTCCAAGCTAAACAACACTCCTCCAATTGGAGCTCCAAATGCAACTGAAACTCCTGCTGCTGATGCTGCAGACAAAACCTGAAATTATTTGTATTCAGTTATTGTGATCAGAGGCAAAGCTAGACGGATAATTAGAAGGGAAAATATATTGATTCTTTATAGTATACAAAATATGATAGTATACAAATACATTATATCTGACTGATTTATACATGCAACTAAGAAGTGTTATAACAATGATTATTTTAGTTATTGTGTGTTCTAGTTATAGAACCATTATTCTTATCTACTTTTTCATCCTTTACCTCTCGCTTTTTTGCCTCATTCTTGCGATACTTAGGAAAGAGCTTTGCAAAGACATTTCCACAACAACAAGCAACATGTACCAGTGGACCTTCCTTACCAAGACTTAACCCAGCAGCAACAGCCAGCATCATACCAAGAGATTTTACTACCAGAGTCCATAATCCAAAATAACCATGAATTATAAAACCACCAAGCATGGTCTTAATCTGAACAAATTCAAAAATAACTTTATTGCAAAACAAAGTATAACGTGATCATATGAACAAATTGCAACGAGCAGTACATTGCAATTCTAATTAATGTACACAATTCTGTATGACATATCAGAAGCCATTAAATCTATAGACCTCTGCATACAGAGTACGTCAGTGGCACGAAGCTGGATATGTTTTTTATATTACTCAACTTTCAGCTTTTTTTCAGCATAGGTTAAAATTTGATATTCTGTCAGATGTTCTTATTGCAAATAAATGGTTTCTTGGATTAAATAAAATTTCAATGCAATGTCACATACCTCTGGGATTCCACTACCACAAGCATATGGTGCAAATGTATGAACCAAAGTGACACAAATTAAGGCAAACAATATTCCAGAAAAAGTGAACATAAAGTAATTTGAAGCATATGAACTAGTTTTACTGCTCGCTTCAAACACTTCTGACCATGTTTTCCACTGTGAACACCCATCATCATGGGTATTGAACGATGAATTATCAGCCCAACAACATGATTCCTTATTGAGCCAAACTTGACTTGCACAGACACCTTCCTTTAAATCAAACATCCAGTCTGCCCCAATATCAATAACCCCAGCAAACAATCCACAACTTATTCCAACTAGTAACACAACAAGCCACCCAGACCATGCATCATGGGCCTCCGCTATTCTTTCAAAAAATGACCCCCTTTTTAATTCTTTCATTCTTCGAATCCGAACCTGATCTTGCTGTCTGTCTCTAGTCCAATCTATTGTATCAAAGTCGTCATATTTTACATTTATGTCCACATGGTCATCATCATCTGTCTGATCTGGATGAATACGTTCAAGTTCTACCTCATGTTCATCATGATTATAATCATTTAATTCTTCAAAAACTGGCATTTGTGATGAACTAGTACCACTTATATCGTCATTATATCCACGGTAGCTTACACGCTGGTAGCGACTTGATCTACCCGAGGAAGGCATGTTTTATGTTTTAACTGAGTAAAATTTCAACAATCTTATATTAAAAATAATTCTGTGTGTTCCAAATAAAACGTATAATTTTTTATACCCAATGACTCCATTTTATTGATCCATTTGTATTATCAATCAGCATAAAAACTGTTACTAAAAATGTTAAAATATAAAAAGCTTTATAGGTTTTTAGAACTGTATAATATACAAACTTTTCGAGTCGTGAATCTTTTTCGTCTTTGGTTTCATAATATTCATAATATGTATATCTATTATATTATCATTAATCATTGCTATGATTTCATAGTCTTTCCCAACTGGCAACTTCCTCCTACGTATGGGCAAAGTTTCAACCCCCCCGAGTTGGCCCCCCGAATATTTTAACCATTGAGATGAATAAACTCATCGTGAATTATTAACCTAATAAATTAAGCTTAAAATCCGCAGAAATCATCTACAGAAATCATCACATGCTGTCATGCACGTAAGGTACAATCGTCCAACGTTCGGTTACTGCTCTGCCTCTGGTTTATTAAATAGCGGTTTCGCATCGGGCACTATAAAGCATATATTAGGTGTTAACTTCTTTAAATAGGTTCAACTGTTTATGTTTATTTTTTCTAAAACAACAATCTTAGCAAGGTCGCAATCAATGCCTGGGAACCGGAATTTGTCAAGAGTTACAGGCAGGCCATACAGGATACATTTCTACACTGTTGACATGTTCGGATTACTGTCTGGTAAGTGAATATTTCAGCATGCGGTTTAAGCCACACTCCATGGATTGTGAAGGACCAATTACAATTGTCAATTGTGATTTACGAGGGCACCTTTTCTCATGGTCCTAACCAAGCTCACATGACTCAGTGTACTAACACAGACGATTTCTATAAGAAATTTTGATATAGAAATCACGCCTATTCCACAATCAGTTTTTGTTCTTAAATTTGATACTTGCACCTATTTCTATGCTGGGACCCCCAAACGCGTAGCCTCTCGCCTACCTCTCGCTACGCACTTGTTAATTCTGCGAAATATATGACGTAATTGAGTTGTTATCGCTGCGGATATCCGAAAAACTAATCATCCCAGCATGAAACAGAAAACAGGACACATACCTCATTATTTTCTTTCTCTGACTTCAGAACAAAGAAAGATAAATTTAGCGATGACTGTTTTTGAGGAAGGTCTTATTATTATATTATTATCACGTTTTAAAAGAGTCGTTAAATACAGTCATTATAGGTGACTGTTGAGTAGTTGAGTTCTTGGCGAAAAATTACGCCTGATGTTTAGTAACAGCCAAAAGCCGATCTTTTGCAATCTTTTTCAATTTATACTTGCCACCAAGGAACTTCATCGTACATTGGCATTTTCATCACAGCTAATGCGATTATGCGTGCATGGTTTGGAAAGTTAAATACGTGGAAGTTGCTCAGTATGGTCTATGGTCACGCACCTGTTTACATGCGCCAATTTGCGCCAAATTTATCTGGGCAAGTTATCTGGTGACCAACACCGTTACACGGTACCGCTCGACAGAAACGTGCACGGATAAAATATTTGTTTTAATACAAATGAACTCGCTTATGACAAATCTAGTCAGGAATACTGACTGCTTATGTTTTCGAAAATCTCAAAACATTTTTCGGTTAACTTTTAGCTACTGTCTGAGGACAAACTGTAGGTTACAAAAGCGTAATTACGAGTTTCTTTTATTTCTATTTAGGTAAAACAGTAGTTTTACTATCAGGCATCTACAATCTTTCGAGGAATAAATCATTATAGAATCTTTCGGGAAAAAATCATTATCTTTTATATATATATATATATAGATCAGTTATCATCGGTAGGCATGCATTGCATGATGTTGTTATCATACTCATTTCAGTATAATTATAAAGCTCATACACAATCGATCTGCCGACGCCGACAGAATTTTTTACCGTATGGCTATCATTGTCGTTATCTAGTAACTTCAGTTTTAAAGGGTTACATCAGATAAAAAGTGAGTTCTCCGCTAATCGGAACCGTTGTTGCCATAGGCATTTCATTAAACAGTCAATATTGGGAAGACGTGCACGATAGAAGTAAGTGGTAGCTAATTGGTGATAAGTTTTACTGATTATAGGTGCACGTCATATATTCTATACTCTACATCATTGGGCTGTCACAATAAAATCAAGGTAAAAATGTAAACGGCAAGTTAGAATTCAAAATTGGTTATTGGAAATGTGGACATGTTAATCAAAAGATGTTTATCATGATTGATGCATCATGCTGATACCAAAAAATTACCTTTGTTAGACGCACGCTTGATAGTTTCTGGATACTTCTAAAGTCGCGAAGGGGTCCTACTAAGCAATATTTAAGATGCCAATTATTTGGTGATGATTTTGTCTTTAAAATTTAAGATAACCGAAGTCTATCCTATATGATACTAGCAGTTGCCTTTTCCAGCTGTCTGGGGCCGGACAGTTAGAAATATACAATGGTAGCTCCGAAGGGAATCATGATTCCCTTCTTTCAGGAAAACGAGGAACTAAGAAACACGGAACTAGCTGTCTTGGAAGCTAACCAACAATCAATATCATCCACTGACTTTCAACTGAAGAATCTTCATACAATGTTGGCCAACCTAATTTGTGTACTTGTGTCTCATGAAACACTTAAATATTTAACTTGTATTCTTTATTAATCATATGTCCGATGACGAACTAGCACGTCTAATGACTAATCTCTTTTATAAAAGTAATAAAACATTTGTCTTTGCGAAAAGTTTATTTCCTCAGTTTGAAGCCGTTGCAGCATGGTATAAAGACGCTGCTCTATAAGAAAGATGCCGTTTAGCCTTTTAGAAAAATATAAAATATTTGAAATACCACGGATATAATTATTAAATTATCGAAGGAAGCGGTTAAGTGCGTACGGCATGCGAAAACAAACGACATTCCAAAAGAGCTTCTTTGTGCGTGTACATGTCATACTGTGACGAGGTTGCCACGGATACTAATCACCAACCATCTTCACTCGTGATCTATTTTGCATTTTATATATTGTATATATTGTGCCTGTGGTAAATTTAGCCATGACGCTCAGCTTATAAAGTTATAATTAAAAAAGGTAGACTTGTGGAAGACTAAAACTAAAAACTTCGCTTACATAGACATGCATTTCGGTAAACTCGCAAAAGATTATCGGTGTCGCCTGTTTTAAATTGGGTTGCAGTGAATATTTCAGAACTTGTCTCGAAATAGGTCACCTATCATTCCACGCTCGCTGAATGTTTCAGCTTTTGTTGTATATCTGGAGCCCAACGGGGCAACGTTGTAATCACATTCACAATGCAATATAACAAACCAGCCTTGCAGATCAGGGTCTTTTAAACCTTACCTCGTAAGAGTGTTGATAACTAATAACGATAGCAAGTTTATCGTAACTAAAACCAAATACAGTAAACGGTGTATTATGACAGTATTATATAGATTCAGCTTGTTCCAGTGGCAACTAGTGCGTGGCCTGTGGTTTAATTAGACTATTTCCTGCCTGATTTCAGTTAGCACTGATTAATTTTAAAATTGTTAAAATTTGTATAAAGACAAATACACGTATATTCGCAGTAAAATATAAAACAATATATATTGATTTGTTATCTGACCAGTCGGTGAGTCCAACGTTTCTCATTGCTACTCATTATATCGTTATCTATTATATATACTGCGAGGATAGCAACCACCATGTTTGTGTCTTTGACGGTTGGAACCTTAGACCTTAGAGTCACCTTTCTTTGCCTTTTTCACTGGTGGAACTGATCACTTGCAAAAGATAACCCAAGGCCAGGTGTCGCCTTATCACAGAATGCTTCTTCACAATTTTCCTTCCTTGACTCTACCTGCTAGTAAATCATTTTATCCTCTCAGTTCCCTTTTTTCCCATCACTCAGCTTGTTGAATTGGTGATAGCAGAATATTTATTTATTGAGTATATGGGTAGAGATAAATGTTGGTCAGAATACAGATGGCAATTGAGTATGGCCCTATCCAGAGCAGGACATTTCCTTATAGGAGATTGTCAGCCAGGTAATCAAGTCACATGTCTATTAATTGTTTGTGTTTTATCTTTTTGATGTGATCCGTAATTTGATTTACGTGTTTATATTTGACATACGAATCGACCACCAAGTATAAATAGCTAAATCTAAAATTAAAACCCTGTTTCTCCGCATGCACTCAAACTGATCTGTCAACGGACTTCATAGTATGTGGACAAAACAATTAAGATGAAAATGACACAATATGTACAACACTGTGCACATGGAGTTTATATTGAGTTAGGGGAGATAAAATCATTGCCTTTATAAGTAAATACCATCCAAAAATGAAAAGTGTATGTGATTCATGTTTTTTTCCTCACTGAAAGTATTTCAAAGCAACCAATAAGTATCAGAAAGTACTGTAAGGTAAAGACTGTTCAAATGGCATATGGGTTGGTATAGGGACCTCTTAATTTATAGTTGTTTCCATCCAGACCACTGAATTAGTCTAAACGACATGTTAATTTAGGCATTCAAACAAAGCGGGTCATCAGTTTTGTTTTTCTGGTTATTCATGATTTCTATAATTAACTAGGCTGCCACAAAAAAAAAACACAGTAACTTCGGTGGTAAATAGGAGTATAGGATGTTGTCGTTTCCGTCTACCAGTCGCAGGTCAGGGTTAAAAATGAAAAAAATGATTTATATTTCAAACGTGATGAAGCTAAGGTTATGTGCACCATGACGTTTTCAAATGTGATTTCAAGCAACTAGGCATATTAAGAATCCGACTAAAATGTGCAGCAAATTGATACATATTGGAAATGCTATGAACCGTGTGGGCAGGTTTCAAGACAATAAACGTAATAAGGACACAATGAAAATGCTCGAAAACAACGTGCGCACACTGACAGACAGTCTAAAGTGCCGTGGTACAATAATTTTACAACAAAGATTACCAAGGTCAGAAATCAGAATGTCGTCCGCAAACATTTGTTTGACGTCATAAGAACACCAATGGGGTGTCTCGGGAAATGACATGTTACAATACAGCCAATCAGATTCCGTGTATCCACGTCAATAATGATCAAGCATGCAGGCAGTCGTTCTCAGCATTCTTGAGAGTTGAGACATTTCGACAGACTCCAGCAGTACTTGTGTAGGGTAGAAAAGGCTATTGGGTTTATGAGCGTTGAAAGTGAAGGAATTTGGAAGAACCTGATCTATTTGGCTCACAAAGATAGAGCTTTTTAATCTCTGATATCAACATTTGAACTTGGTATCGAATTGTTATTATATCGAGACAAGGAATTCGAGATTGTATTCTTACAGTGCTTCGGAATTTCTTGCTTGTATACCCGCAGAATCCTAATCACGAAACGACTAGCTTAATACAAGAACAAACAAACACTTTCGTTATGGAGGGAATGGAAGTGGAAACATCTTTGGATGTCTTATCAAGAGCAGCTTCGCTTGTTGAAACAGAAACAGAGACTGAGATTATAAAAGCACGGCCTGTAGAGAGTAAGTGCTGTGCGATTTCAATCACCCGATACCGTGGCAATGCTTTAAATGGAATGCTCTCTTGATTAAACTAGAGTGTTTTGAATACCGGTATCGTTCATAATTATGATATCCGCCTAACCATATATATGAATTCATCGAACTAGAAGAACCCTAGCGTTTAATACAGATTTGTGTATCATTTCTCGTATCGAATATTTCATATAAATCCCCCTCGTACTTCCTATGCCGAACTGGTAATGGCATGGTTTTTGTTGTTTGAGGAAATTCATAAAATTGCTGGTCTTTAAAATATGTAGGCGAAGGGCAAGAGCAAAGCAAATAGATCGCCCCTCAATAAAACTTGTTCTAAATTAAATAGCTTTATTATGTTATGTCAGGCAATGATTATGAGTTCGGGAATATATAATTGCGACTATTTGGAACAATAACGCAGAATGCTACATTCCACCGCTATCAAACAGTTCAATAAAACATAGAAATTGTATATTCAAATTGCTATAAAACTAAAATTTCAACGATTTCCATATAACGCATGTGAATGAAATATTCCAAATCTTCTCCTTTGATGGGCAAGAGTATGTAGTTTTTTACGCTTTATCTTCATTTGTCTGATTAAAAAACATCATCTGTTCACTTGTGCAAGTATTTGGGCGATTTTGTCAAATAACGTAAATATGTTGTGGGGATAGGAATGTCGATAATTTATGTTCGTTGTGTGTTACAAAGTACATGTTTTAATAAAACAACGCTATTGTATTTTAATGTTTTGGTTACAAAATTAAATTCTGACATGTTTTCCGCTTTAGGTTTCGATACCAAAATCGAGCGTGGTATGGAAGGCACATTTATTCCAAAGCCAAATACTCTTCTATCGCAAGCAATGGAATTCAAAGAACAAACACAATCGATGGAGGTGGAAGAAGAGCCTAATAAAGATCAGGTCGTTTATCGGCGAAGAAAAATGAAATGTACCAGCACCCAAACTCTGTAAGTAGATACTAGTCTATTAACGAAGGCTTTTAATCTCTCGGTAACGTGATCTGCTTGTCGAAAATGCATTTATCCATTTATAGTCAGAAAGGAAGACAAAAATTTTACTCCTCTATGACAAGGGGGATACCGTGCTGGGTAAACGGCTATTTTTGCCCCTTACGGAATGACAGAAATGTTTTGAAGCGCGACCAATGACACCTTTTCAATAGAAATTAATTGAGAAATAAATTGGCAACACTTTCCCATCAGGAATTCCAATACATTGGTTTTTGTAATTTAAATACAATGCTATATCTCAAAGACAATATAGGAATATAATAGCTGTGCAAATTGCTTCAGGCAATTTGAAATATCTTTCAAATGGTTGTTTATAGATCACAATAATATTGTGAATATTATAAGCTCCATAATTGGTTTATGGTATGATCTAGACAATGCCGTAATTAGTGATCTTTTTTCTAGTACTGATGAACAACCATCTTATCCTCCCAGACCAATGTCTGGGCCACCACCATTGTTATGTGTCTCACCAAGAAGCAGCTTTTATGAAGAGATCCGCCCTCAGCAGAGACCATCTGTAATAACCTCGGCACATCTTCAGCGCAGACCGCATACCATTGTTGGTGTACCTGTTGGTTTTAATGTCCCTGATCTTCAAACACCTCATCGAAAGGAAGTTAAATCATTACCTATTACATCAGGAAATGCAGACCCAGTTGTTGATGAACATTTTCGGAGAAGTCTTGGTGCAGAATATGCAGACTTCACTCCACCTTCTGGTTCTGAAGTTGATGACCATTTTGCCTTGTCATTGGGTGATGCATGGTATAAGCTGAATATCAATCAGTAAATTCATTTGTGGTTGACATGTCCAAAAGAGGTAGAGCCATGCATTGTTAAATTGCTAGCCCTATGAATAGGTGTGACTAACTTTGTTTATCCACAGCAAAGTATTGAAAATCCCAAGGAAAACAAACCATATGTTTGACTTGCAATATAGCCTATTCAGTTCGGAATTGTTATTTATAACATGAGAACTGATTATAACATGTGGGAAATCACAAAATTAGAATTTTTAAGCCTTAACAGTTGAGTTGTATTCAGCTGAAAAACTATAATGGATTGAATAGACACACAGGGTAGGTATTTTAACACATACTGGAGGTTTTAATTACCTTTTATAAAATAAATACAGTGTAAGCACATTCCAAAGATATAGAGTTTCATGATCTTTATAATAAGATCCAGTTGTAAGATATATATTGTCAAATCTTTCATCCTATAATAAGAAGCACTGTATTTATCTCATTCATATGGACCTTTATGATATAAAGATCAATCTCACTGTAGCATCTGTAAATATAGTTAAAGTAATATATAACTGAGAGTTATTAAGATGCCTTGCCTATTGCGATTAAACATCTGTTTGAATTATGTGAACAGTTGAAGTTATCTGGTTTTGGGCTTGTGCTAGGAATGTAGAAAATTACCATTTCTCTGCACTTAAGCAAAAGTATTTTAAGTGGATGGTTTCAATTGTCAATAGTGACATATTTTTTCAAAAGAATTTGCAACCACTTTTTTAACAAGTTTTCTTGTTATTGGTTGCTTATCTTGACAACCTAGTCTGTACAAGACCAAAGCCAGGTATATGTTAGAGTTAATTAGGTATACATAACTCAGCTGTGGCTTGTCATTTCGGACCTAAATATTTTTAACATAAGGTCAAAGAGAGCTGGTCTCTTTAAGAAATTTAAGCAGGATCTATGTGACATAGAGGTTTATATATTGAGCTGGACTCTTTAGAGGATCGCTAAATTAAACATATCCTGTGATAGGCATTAATTGCAGGAATCACACAACATTACTGCTGTCTAAAATCTATATTTAAGTTGAACTTATAGCCTTGGAAACAAGCATCTAGAAAAGTAATGTTAATATATTGACAGTCCACTTTTTGGAACCTGTTTTAACTTATTGGTAAGCGTGACGGCAGTAAAGGGTGTGTTTCTTGCAGAAAACAGCGTTAGATTATAAGAATTTGTACATGTACAACAAAGTTGTGTTGTTATAGTTTTTATTGTTTATGTGTTTTACATTTGTATAATTTTTAACACAGTTTATAAACAAAGTATTTATACAAAAAACAAGCAGTTTTTGGTGTTGTCTGTTTTTTATTGGAATAACAAAATTGTATGAAAGCTTCGTTTTAGTCTGGTAAATGACATTTGATTTGATTACTAGGAAGTATCGTGCCTGTCAGGCAGATATCGGTAATTTGTTGACAGTGTGTGCCCAGTTAGTGCCCGACCATACTTCTTTTCCATTGAATTTTTTGTAAACGACAACCTATATTATTTACAGTTCGTACACGTCTGCCCATTCTCCTACCCCCGTCAGTGGATGACAATTAAATCTCCATAATTGCGCTTTAGGGTCTTTGCGTATTTCATAGTTTCCTTCAAGAGCACGATAATACTATCATACTAGTTTGGTCTTCGAATAAGTCGAAAAATCGCCGTAGCTCTGAATTTAGCAGTAATCAGCTGTTTTTCTTTTTCAAGTAAAAACCCTTTATGACCAAAATGTCTTACTGTAGAGTAGAATTAACCAAATGTTAAAACATCGTCGTTTTTTTCAGGATGTGAATAGAATATGTTCCTATAAAACACCTTGTATTATGGTGTTAATTGTTGTTTGTCAACAGTACAATGCAATTGAGGAGTGGCCATTACTTCCTGGGTGGGAACTGGAATGGGGATCGGCTTGCTGTCGGTGCAATTCCAATGGGAAATGTAACGGAAGATAAAAATGCAGAACAAGTCATTTTGGTTGCCACAGGAGTACGTTTAGTGACATTGGTGTATACCTTTTTTAACGTGGTTTTCCCCGCTACGGTCGAATTCTCACAATTGAAAAGAAAACCAAGAAAAAAAACTTCGTTTGGTGGAATAATTCATTATTTATCCTAGGGGAAAACTACCTTTAATCGAAAAGTGCATGGCAAACCACTTTGATGATGTCCTGAAATAAAGCTGAACATATGATACGTATGGTTGTATATTTCTTGAAGTTAATTCAGAATGTTGGGTGATTTGGTTTTCAACGTGTTACACCGTCCATTCAATTTGTACAGGATCTACGGTCCTTTGTTTTTTATTTTGTGGGCATCTATGATAATATCTTATGTTACCAAGATGTGGCCATCTAAGGCCTTGCTTCAATGGTTAAAATGTTTTAAATAGAAATATTTAACCTAGCCAAATGATTGGCCAAGCCATGCATGTACAGGAATGGTGCAAATACATCTAAAACTACCCTTAGCTTATTATTTATTATCTAAAAAAGCTCGATTTAATAGTAAAGCAAACTTCAAATCGCAACAATGCATGTTTTCAGTTTTGCATTCTACTCTTCACCTCATCTACCAAAGTTGATCGCCTAAAGTCATAAAGAATTTTGTAACTGAAATATGCTTATTTTAGCACGGTTGATTGATGTTTTGCATACCGATTTTTGATGCTAAGATCTAGGATGGATCAGTGTGTGTTGGTGTGAGCAAGGTGACTCAAAAATTGAAAATATTCATGAACAAAGCAAATAAAGTTCATTCACGTGATTTATATCAGCCCATTGCATCGATTTTCCATGCCTACAAAGTCAACTGAAATTGTCAGATTGGCGTTTACTGTATCGAGGATGATCGATCAATTCTAACAGATCAAACTGCTCAAAATGGCAAAAACCAAACAAGCCATTTGGATTTGGATCCCAATGACCAAACAATTTGGGTCTAATTAAGAACAGGTCCATTTTCAGTAGATTTTCAAAATATGTGCATTCGGCATGGCTATGCCTATGGGCACGGCCGCACGGGTCAAATTTTTCCGCGTTGCAGTAAATATTTTTGGTATGGCCGGTTTGTGTGAAACCTGTCTAACCTTTGGTTGTTGTAAGGTATGCAACTATTTTGAAATTAGTCCAAAGATCAAGTGACCACAATAATTAATGTTTTTCGTGAAGTCAATTCGGTTTAATATACTTGTTTTTTCCTACATTTTCCGGTCCTCAAGGTCAACAGTGGTATTTCAGGAATTTTAATAACATATTTTACGACCAAAATCGAATATCTGGAGACATTTCAAAAATTTAAAAACACATAAAAATGTCAATAAAAGGTGTTTATGCTGTGTGGAAAACAGCTCAAACGATAGTATGTGAAAAATTGTTGTAGGATGTTGCCAGGAAACTAGGCATGATAATAAATACAAGACAAATTAGACAATCGGTCATCTAGTAAACTTAAAACTAAAATAAAACATCTGCGAGTTTTACTCGCGTTTGGGAAAGGAGTAAGTTCTTTCGCTGAATTGTTCACAGATAAGTATAGGATATATTAGCAAAACATGCACAAGTAGATGAAGTCATACATAATTATAGCTTATATGCACACTCGTGCATCCAGAGACAGAGTATAAAGAGCTTTACGTGTTATTAAATGTATTAAATAATTCTTTGAGGGGGTCTTAATCCTATGTTCCCATTTCTCAAATCTGTCTTAATTCTTTAAATTCTCCTCCTCTTCCAAATTTGCCTGTTTTGCAATTTGCACCCTGGCACTAAGGTGCCGATATGACGAAAGGAGGCAGCCATGCACTCTTTAAGAATGAAGATAACTACTTTGTTAAACTATATTTTATTAATATCATGCTATATTAATGATGTGTAATCGCGGATAAGCAAAACGTTTTATATAAAATACCTGGTTTATATAAAATACCTGGGTGTATTAAAATTTAAACATATGATTTAAATCAGCATGTGAAAAAATTTGGATAACTCGTAAACGGATATTACTATTCTGACACTCCTAAATGCAGCTAACATATTTTTTATACAGATCTTATCATTCTTATGGTCTCTTAGCTGACCTCAAGAAGAAAACTCGCATTTAGTTATCAAAGTGTTTCACTGATTACGTGATGTCATACTGGCTACTGGAAGCAACGCATTTGTCTGTAGCTGACTGACCGACTCGCAGGAGTTGCTGCTACGCCAACTCGGCATAGCAGATTCGCAGAGGTGTATCCTGCGTCGCAAACGGTCATTTAGAAATAGCAATTGCTATAAACATCAAAGCTTGATCAGTTAATTGGGAAAACCTGCAAGGCAGACAACCTGATCAAGCTTCAGTGATGTTTTAAGCCCCGTTTACACTACAGTCAATTTATCGGCACGGCACGGCTAAAATTGGTACCCGTACCCAATTTTATTAGTGTTCAGGCTACCAAAACAAAGGCCGAGCACAGATGAAATGGGTACGGGTACCTATTTTAGCCGTGCCGTGCCAATAAATCGAGTGTAGTGTAAACGGGGCTTTAGCATTTTGCATTTTCTAAAACGCCGTCTGCCTGACATGTTATGGAGGTTAAGATTCCGATTCCTAAGGAACGTTGCGTTGCATTTTTTGCATTTATACCCCAAAATGAAAGTATGAAATTTCGTCTACACCCACAAGCAACGATTAATAATTCGTTGTATTTATGACGCAATATTGCCAATAATTCGTTCGTACTTAACGATTCAGTTACGATTTAGTGGAAATCCTGTATAGCTACTTGGGAAGGAGGCCAGGCAATTGTGCAAATATCAGTTTTTCGAGTCCTCAACGTTGTTCATTCTCTGGTATATGTGCGAAAAAGCATTCAGATACAAAATTAGGAAATACTGAACGAAGAAGATTTGTTTGAAATGACATCTTCATTACTTTTTTTATCATCCTCATGTCTTTTTTTTATATTTATATTTGTAGGCTGCAGCGATTTGTAGTATACCGAGGAAATTTCCTAGTTTCCCCATAGACTGAACAAATGAACAAATTGCATTCCAATCTTTAATTGAAAGAGAGGTAAGCTCGTCTGTTGGTGAATCGCTTTAAAGAGTAATAAAACAGATTGCTACGTGTTCCTCGGTAAAACTTGAATGTTACACCCCTCAGTTTAAGACTCATTCAGAGGAATGTTAATGTTTGTAGTGAGTAGCTAGTAGTATATTCTTCTTCAATAAATCAAATTCACAAAATGAAGTCAGAAATCCATCAATACTCACAAAAAACAGAATTCGTTTCGGTTTCTAAAAAACCTCAAGCTAAAAGGCCACTCAGGCCAGAGCGGCTCCTAAATTCCTAAACATTCAACCGGATAATAGAATGAAAGATTTGTTTTGTTACTGGAAACACTAATTATGAATATTACATAATTTATGATAATATTGTGGAATATAATTTATCAAATATCAAATTAATTAAAAGAAATAGAAAATGAAGTAAAAGTAAAACATGGTTGATCAAGAAGGAAAACAGTACGAGAAAATTCTTCAATTCGCCCCATTTTCTAGTGCTGTGGATGCTGGATTTTGGAGCAGTTTACAGCGCAAGAAATTGGAAGATTATCACCTAGATGAATCTGCTAAAATACTCAGGGGGAATTATGTTATAAGTAAGATACATTTATTTAATATAAATGTCATTATTTACTTTCATTATTTGGCATCAAAGGGCAGGTAGCAGTCTTGAATTAAATGCGCTGAATGCTGATTTTTAAACTTACGCCTGTTTTGGATGTCATGAAGATGTCCTGAAAAAGCTAGAGTGCACTATACTGACAATAGTTCATTTGCATGGTTATTTATCCTCCTATAATCAACAAAGTAATGAACAACTTTAACAATTTATTTCCAGATGATCTAGATGGATTGCCATCAAGGTTCAACATTGATTTTGATGCATTGGATGGGTAAGAAGTAAGATATTGGTACCATGAGCAGAGATTAAGATTTAGGAACAATATTTTAGTTGGTATCGTTCTGAAAAAATATTTCTTTGATATTGTCAGCCAGGGTATTGACTGGGCTATAGAAATTAATCTTAAATTAATAAGGGTATGTGCTGTAATTCACAAATATATAATGATGTAGTTTTAAAAACATGAATCTCATAATCAACCAGAAAGGTTTATGAATTATGAAGGTGTAAATTCATATGATTATCTATATCATTCCTAATTTTAACTAAACTGGTTTAAATTAGTCATGTTTCCATTTGTAGGAATTCTCAAATATCAAAGAACTGTTTTAATTGCAAGGGTGAACTTCACAACACAAATACAATTGAAAGTTTTAAAGCATTAGACAAGCAGAAACTGCTGGAGTCAATTGGAAAGAAGGGAAGTAGTAGAAAGGGTAATAGAATGGAAGCAAATGAAACCCCCATTATTTTTTCATGCTGTATTTTCCCAATGTTGTTTATAATGCTTATTTTTAGTATTACATATTTAATCATGCATTTTTCATTTTTCCATTTACCATACACAAAATTGTGTTCACCCTATAAGCATTATTGTAATGGTTTTTGTACTGTCCTAGTCATTTCACTATTCATTAGTTTATTAGCACTCAAAATCACTATTCAATAGATTATTAGCATACTTCCAGATCTTGGGTTTTTGCAGGTATAAATATATTGTTACAATAATCAAAACCATTCTGTACATATTTTAAAAAGTGTTGTTCATTCACAGTAGATATGGGAAAATATTGTGTCAAAGAAGGTAGCAGAAGAACCAACTCTTCTCAATCAGTTTATTTTACTTACATTTGCAGTAAGTAATTTTCTTATGCACATACTTTGTATATTCTAATTGTACAATAATTGTAATAATGTCCTAAATAGTTTAAGAAGAGCAATATATATACAAGCTTAAAATCACAAATAGTTTTGTTCGGTCAGCATGTGACATACATGCATCACTAAACCAGCGTTAATAATGAGATAAAAAAATATTTTTGATTACAGCATTTTTATTCATAACATTTGTGTCGTGGTGAATATGATTGAATCAATAACAAGTCATTTTCTTGAAGGATTTGAAGAAATATCAGTTTTACTATTGGTTTGGATTTCCTGCTCTTTGTCCAGGAAGAAGCATAGTTATGAAAGGTCCAGCTAGACCTATAGCCGATGTATTTACACAAAACCAGGTTATTATCACGTGAATTAAGGGTAAAAATATGTAATGTTGGACAGGGCAGTATGAGTAGAAACTTGTTGAAAATACGTTCAGATTTCAAAATTGAGAAAACCTCGGACCTTAAGCTTCTTACAGACGAGCAGGTTTTCTATGACAAGTTTTTATGTGACAAGTTTTAATTGTTCGTCTGTACGCCCAAGATTTTGAACAAGTGTACTTGTCATAGTAAAATTTGTCAAAGTTAGGCGTACAGACGAACAATTAAAACTTGTCACATAAAAACTTCATAGAAGTTTTCTCAAGCTTCATAAAAACGTCATAGAAAACTTGCTCGTCTGTGAGAGGCCTAATTTGAAGCATCTCATGAGTGTAAACAACTATGGTTGCAAGGGTGAAACAACTATTAATTGGAAACGAGATCGCGATTACATTATATAAGCATGTTATCTGTATACTATACAGTAATTTTACCCTTTTTTACCTTAGGTTTCAAGTCTTCAAGAGTCTTATGATAAATTAAGAGAAAACTGCGCAGGTTTGCAGAACTCTCTTATTAAACGTATTCTAAATATTTTGCAGACTATATCATTATTAATATGTTTAGTGCCGCATGTATATATTGGGAAAAACCGTTGATATTTACTTTCTCATGATACAATGTCTCTTTTACCTCGAAACAGTTCCATATTTTTTGGCCAAGATTACAAATGAGAAAGTAAGCTTGGATCATATTCGGAACTGGGACTCATTCTACGAAAAAAATACAGATACGGTGAGCGTTGTTATTTCAACCTGATATATAGTTTATTCGAAATCAGTAATAATCAGAATGAAAAATAATTCCTTTCAGGTGACAGTTGGTTTTGCCGATCCCTGTACATTGCTAAATAATCCTGGCTGGCCTTTGAGGAATTTTATTGCGTTTATCAGTTTTCACTGGTAAGATACAAAATGTTATGAGATGCTATGTTCGGAAAGCATGAGATTTTTCTACGAAACTTATTGTCTTTGGAATAGATCTCATATCAGTCCACCCTGATAACATTGATCAAAATACATTTCCACATTAGACTTAAAGCTTTTTGTGAAATCTTAATAGACATTTTGCCGATTTCTTTCATTGTATTTTGTTGGACTATAGGGGTAACGATTTAAAGAGCATTCGTGTGATCTGTTACAGAGATCGTGTTAGATGTGGAGTTAGAGAAATTAGTCATAGCATCATAGTAGAATTTGATACAGTTTCATTTCAAACAGGTATTGTTAGCCATTTTTCTGGCGTGTTACTGCATGCTTTTTATCTTTTGACTAAAGAATAAAGATTTTGACTAAAGTAAATTTAATATCAGCACTTCCATATGTGCAGTAGGGCATTTGACAAAAGGACTTATTGCATGCTATTTCTATTGTTCAAGTTAAAATCCCATCTACGAATAAGACTCTGTATAATATAAGACACATATCCGGATTCATTTGTGTCCACAAACTTTTCGTTGCGAATTTGAAAGTGTACGCACACTTTCACTTTGCGTCCACATGCACGTACATATCCGGATTCGTTGCGTTTTCGGACGTTCACAAATATCCGCGGAACCGATACGAATACGCTGAGAGGATGCGCTGTTTCAAATAATTGCCCCGCGCCACGTAGTTCTATAGTTACTGAACACGTGTTGTATGATAGCGTGGCTGTTTTTTCTGAAAGTTAACTTATCAAAATCATTCAAAACCGTTAGGTGAAAAAGCAATCGAGCGTTTCGGTGGCGATTTTATCAACTTTAACGCTGTGTTATTTTCACCAACATTATGACAGCTGCATGGTGTATGTTTTAGATTTTCCCAAATGCGTGGGTTGGGAGAAGAACCATCGTCAAAAATTAGGCCCGAGAATGGTCGATCTCAGCTCGACTATGGATCCTAACAAGTACGTTTCTCCCAATTAAATGTCAGCTTTGTTTTTTTGATCAATATAGAGTTTATAGTGTACCTACAAGTTATTATAATTACTAAAGTCGCCATGCAATCATACAAGAAAATTAATATAGAGTTTAATTGGTTGGTGTATTTTGCAGGATATATGGCTAAATATAAATTCCTTGATAAATATTTTTATCTATTTTAAGACTTGCTGAATCTGCCGTCGATCTGAACTTAAAACTAATGCGTTGGCGCTTAATGCCTGAATTAGATTTGGAGAAGATTGCTCAGACCAAGTGTCTTTTACTTGGTGCTGGTACTTTGGGCTGTAATGTAGCCCGGCTACTTTTGGTAATTTTCTTGTGTTCAGTCGGAGTAATTTTCACTATATATAATTTATATCGACTCTTGTAACGGTGTCCCAACCACCAAATTTCGCTTGCCCTGGATGATGTTATCTTTCTTCTTTAAAACAGTGGTTTTAATTATTCTAGGGCTGGGGTGTGCGAACAGTTACATTTGTTGACAATGGTGTAATATCCTATTCCAATCCAGTCAGACAAAGTTTATTTGAATTTTCTGATTCTAAAGATGGTGGCAAAGGAAAAGCTGAAACAGCAGCTGCTGCACTCCAAAGAATATTTCCTGGTGTAGTACGTATATTATATATGTTTTTACCTCAGCATTTTACAGATCTGGTATTGTGGTCAATGAAAATAAATTGTATAAGTGTATGCAATAAATTGTATCAGTACATTAGTTGTAAATAAACGAGTATATTGTTTATTTTGTATTTTGTAATGTTGTTTTATATTTTGTGTGTGTATTTTATATTTTCCTACTCCCCTCTACTCTAGCAAACCAGCCTATGCTGTAGAAGTTAGCGTAGTCATGCAAATAAAATTTATACTTACTTTTACGTACTAGCTAATAAGAAAGATATAACGTTCATTTTATTCTTTTATAAAGAATTCGTCCTGGCATAATTTATCAATTCCGATGCCTGGCCACACAATCGCGCGGAATGGTGAGATAACAATGCAAAAACATTGTCATGACTTTGTTTTCTGCATGAAATCCTGATAGCTTCACTGTGAAGTTTGTACAAAATGTACATAATATACAATACGTACCCGCCCGATTAGCAGCACACAGATTTTTATAAAAGTTTTTAATGCATTTTCCAGTATTTTCTAGGAAATATAGTCCGATATGCATAACTAACGTTCGTATCTGGATATGCACCGAAATATACATTTGATTATTCATTTCAAAATTCCATAGTTGGATGGCAGGGTTTTAATTATAAAATTTCATTTTAGAAATTGAAGAAAAGACAGCCCAAGAGACTGTTGAAAAGCTTGATAGTCTTATTAGTGAACACGATGTTGTTTTTTTATTATTGGATACAAGAGAAAGTCGATGGTTGCCGACAGTCATTGCAGCTACAAAGGGAAAAGTATGTTGTCTACGTTCAATCCGTTATATTCAAGGGACGTGCTGACGCCTTTCTCGGATGGCTGCATGTTTAGCGTCGCTGTCATAGGGAAATTTCTGTGGCTGGCATATTGGCTGCATAACTGTTTCTGACGAATCACTTATTTATGCGACAATTCCTACTAAAGTATTTCTTTTTCTCGTTCTTAATTACATAGATTGTTATAAATGCTGCCTTGGGTTTTGATACGTATCTTGTAATGCGACATGGTTTAAAGAAATTCACTGAAATCAGTGGTTCATCTGAGCAATCATCATCCTCCAATGTTTCCTGTTCCACAATACCTGGCCATATGCTTGGGTGTTATTTCTGTAATGACGTTGTTGCCCCCGGAGATGTAAGAACATTATCTCTTGTATATATATAATCATAATAGGCTGAGACCTATAATAAAGACCGCTAAGCGGAAGGGGCGAACTTTAAATCGCATTTGAAAGTAAATCCTACAGGTTTCCGACAGCTTAATTCACATTTCATGCTTCAATTTTCATGGTGAAGATTTCCCAACTTTAGGACAGGCAAATTGTTAAATGACGAATACGAATTTTAGTTTCCCGTTTGCGGTGCGCCGTTTGTCAATCTTAAAGTGTAGGATAAAGAAAATCGAGGAGGATGGTGCCATATGCCATGCAGTAACCTGTTTATGTATTCACAGTTTGGATTTTGTTTTTCTTTAGTCGACTAAAGACCGCTCTCTTGACCAACAATGTACAGTATCCCGACCTGGCATGTCTTACATTGCAAGCTCTATGGCTGTAGAACTACTTGTCTCTGTTTTACAACACCCCATGGGGTATGTTCATGTACCTTGGTAGATAGACGTATTGTACAAGTAATGTACGAAATTGATTGATGTATGATTATACAGTAATTGAAGAAAGGAGTTGAGCCCGCTGTTTTGTAAAGCTACATAAAAAATTATCCGTAATTATATATTTCATCTTTTAGTGCTGATGCTATTGCTGACACTAGTGCTGGTGAACATCATCTATCGTCAGAGTTTAGTTCATCACTCGGCTTAGTCCCACATCAGGTATACTAACGGAGTGTAAATAATGATAAACAACAACACGTTTTCCATGCTTTTATTTAGACTTCAACAGGCTTACAATGCTATGTTACTATACTTCACAATGGACATCACAGATAATTTTAACGAATTAATCAGTCATCTCTTGTCTCTTTTTGTCAGCCAATCACATTTTAGAACGTGTCTTAAGCTAGCCAATGGCATTTCGTCAATCCTATAGATCATGTACGCGTGATATTTGCAAAATTTCTACTTTGACAATTTTCCAAGTGTTGGGAACCTATTTGCCTGTTTAATTTCGGATTTTTTTTAATTTTATTATATAAAACAAATAGATAACATTGAACTCCCGTTCATTGTTTTCAGTCTTATCACAAAGACGTCATACCGTGTATCTATTACTGAACAAAAAACGATTCAATGTTATTTATTTGTTAACTTGATGGTATCCGGCTATATTTTCTAGATCCGTGGATTTCTTTCAAGATTTCACCAAGTCCTACCTGCCAGTCTTGCATTTGATAAATGCACAGCTTGTTCAGAAATCGTAAGAAATGTGGATTTTGAATTTGCGAGGGTTGTTTACTGCTTGAAAATGTCTGGTGTTTTTTCATTGTGCATAACCATTTTTCCACAAATCTTGCAGGTTTTAACAAAATATGTCAGGGAAGGGTTTCCTTTTCTTCTTCGTGCATTTAATATACCTAAATATCTCGAGGATCTGACAGGATTAACCAAGTTAATGGAGGATACAAAGTTACTTGACGTAAGGAGAATATTTATTTGTAAAACAACCGGATTCACATGTGTCTTTTCTCGGGCAATGTGTTTTTTCACGGATATATAGTCTCTCATTTGTTGTATCAATAAGGCGGCGTACATGATTTTATGCAAATTATGCAAATTTTTGTCATGCATGCCCATTGCCCAAATAGCTACTGCCAGACGAGATGTGCCTGGGACCTTCTCTGTTTTGTCAGTTTCAGAAGTTATTTAACCAACAACATGATCCGAATGTGCAGAAGCCAACAATGGGCATTGGGCAACAATTATTATTTAACTACAGCAGCTTATTTCTGTTTACAAATTCGTCTTTTATCAGTCACACTCGCAATCTCCAATTGACCCTGGTTACCCATCAGTAATAGCTGCACGTTGGTAAATGGTAAAACTGCAGTGAAGTGAAAGCATTCGTAAATAAATTCTGGCATTTTTCTAGCAAAATTAATGATAAGATTTAAATTTAGGTCTGGGAATTCAGTGAAGATGAAGACAGTGATGCACTCTAGCTGAGATCTACCTCAACGCGTTGCTAAAGTTATTGCAGACTTATTTGAATGAAAGGGCAAATGTTTATATAGTACTTAGTACTTTAATTATTTGTCTCATGATACAAAATTACTCTACAGTACTTTTAAAGTCAATGAATATATGAAAGATGCGGGGACGTGATAGTTGCCTCGGCGACCTCCATAGATTAGATTAAATGGGAACCTTAGTGATAGTAATGCAGCTATTTAGAGGCCTATTGACAAGCTGGTAGTGATGGAGTCACCCATTTTTTTGTGTTTTGCTTGAAATTTGATATGTCTGACCTTGCTGCGAATGATTTTACAATTATTATAAATTATTAATATTGGTTGACAAATAACATATGCTGATATCGCGGGTCGTGTGTCGTAAAAGCTTGTACTTTTACCACGAATATCTTCAAGAAAACATTAGGTTGCGAACAAACCATTTGCGATTTAGTTTTCATGATTTCATCCTAAATAATAAAATTCTCGCGCGATCTTTATGTAATGGGTATAGTCCCGTATAAAAATGATGAAATGCGAAAGCACCCGATTCAGAGTTGCAAAAAGAGTTCAACCTTCTTCCGGTATAGGTTTCAAGTTTTGAAAACCTTCCTCATAATGACGACGTTACGTCACTGAGTCAGGTGGGGATCAGCATACTTAAATTTTTTTTAGTTGCCTGTTGCCGCCGTATTTCCGCGACACGCCGGTGATTATCGTCAAATATATTGCCGGTTTGGTTGAGACTAGGCTTTATTGCCAATTATGTTTTCCCTAAAGCATAGTAGCTACGTTTATTTGTCAGAAGTATTAATATTTCTGCTAGCCAACCGGCTGAGCTCTGTAGAATGTCACGAAGTATGGCCTGAAGACTCTTCTTTACATTTCTTTGCTATCGGTGATTGGGGTGGTCTACCAACTTCGCCATATACAACACAAGTCGAACAAGCAATTGCTAAAGAAATGGGGAATTTGGCTGACTCTTTCAAACCTGAATTTATTCTCGCGCTTGGTACGGTAGGAATGAATTGGGAATGAATTAGACCCTAATTTAAATCAAATTTATTCGCAAATCATTTATGCTAAAATGCGAGTTACTAGTGCAACTATTGATATATTTATGCAAGTAGATATTAGGGTGACATTTTCCTGCTCATCGAACACACTGTAAATTTAGTGAATAGTGCATGCTATAGCCATGGGATAATCCTGGGATGTATATTTTCTATACGTTGATATAATTGAAGTTTCTATACTTTCCTAGAATTAAAATAGGTGTCTTTGTTTCTTTATAGCACATTGATATAAAGTGACTGTAAGATATCCGTGCATTATTGCGTGCGACAGAAATATTGGCTGCATAGTATCGTCGAATAATGATTTTCCCCTGTATTGTATATAGGTGATAATTTCTACACGTTTGGAGTGACGAATGTTGATGATAAGCGTTTTAATGAAACGTTTGAAGATGTCTTCACTGCTAAATCACTTTTCGTGCCCTGGTATTTCTGTGCCGGCAATCATGATCATTATGGTAATGTTTCAGCAGAGATAGCATACAGCGAGAAATCAAGTCGATGGAATTTTCCTGATTATTACTACACAAAGAAGTGGGAAATTCCAGGTAATCCTTTTCTAGAATCCTTTCTTAGCTAGACGCTATTTGTTTCTTTTTTTCAGGGAAAATTACGAGTCATGCGACTTTCATAAATAAACCGTCATGTGATGATGTGAAATGCCTCTACACGGCACTGCGGCGTATGGCGTATGCATTAGGCTTTAGCGAGGGTTTTATAGTTGTAGATATATTAATAGCAATGCATAGTTTCATGTGGATAAATATGCATATGATTTGTAATTTTTGTCAGGAAAATCTGACAAATTCCTGTTTTTCCGTCATCGAACAGTGTACTGAATTCGATCAATACCGCGTCCCTATAGCCACTTATTTCTATTAATTGTGCTCTTGGCAATTTCAAACGGTAGTATTCCACAATAAAAGGTTAACCATGTACACGTCTGTGACGTCACACGGTAAAGGGACCGAACGCGGTTGAAGCGATCGTTAAGGCGATTCTCCATTACCGTCCGCTTCACCCGCGCGGGCGAAGCGGCCTTTGAAAATCTGCCCATGCGACCGTGACGGGCCTGAAAAACAAAGCGCGCTTCGCCCGCGCGGGCGGAGCGGACGTAATGGAGAATCGCCTTTAATTTGCACCTTAATTAATAATTTCACTATTACTAAAAATAGTATACTAGTTCCATTTCATTGCTTACAAATAATGCATGCACAATACAAGAGGAAAAATATAAAATTACGCAGATAAACCTAATATAAATATAAACTAGAGAAAACTACTTTATCTAATATTAGAGTTCCATTCCGACAACGAGATATCTGTAGTTGAAGGAATGTTTAAAGTTCTCCAGGAACGACTACCACGAACACACACAACCCTAGCGCGAAGAAGAGCAAAAGCTATCTTCTTACGTAACCAGTTGAGAACGATGGAGGAACTAAAGTTCTTTTTCTCAGCCAGTTTGCCTGCTAGGAACGAGAGGAAGTGAGAAGTCTCCCTTCCACATCCACCATAGGCACTAAAAACGACAGGGGTGAAGGAGCCATGTTCAACTTCAACAATTCTTTGATTATAATGACGTTTCTTCTCACGTTCGTTGGCGTTAAACGAGCTGGTAAGAGTCTGGCGGCGATGTGTTGAAGCATAAGGATTAAACACCCTGACATCAAAAAATGCTTTTTCACATCTCTGCCAGAAACCTCTCGCAGCTATGTCCACTCTGGCGTCGTCGGCAGAATTAGCACTGGATGGAAGTACTTCGCCAGTTAAAGGAGCAAGAGCAGGTTCAGTAGAAACGTCATAGGCCACGTCGTCTATAGCAGAAGCGAGAAGGTCACGGATTTCGTCATGTCGTCGATGAATAAAACCTCCTTTCAGGCACGACAAGGCATGGTCCACGGTAAAAGATTTTCCACAAGCGCAGAAGGATGGAAGGCGCTTCAATGGCCACCGATAACGCATATAGATTGCGTCAAAAAACTCTCGTTTCGTGAGGACATACCCTTCATTAGCAAGTGGCAGTGCTGTCAACCAAGCTGAGGATCCCTTCAACTGGGCGAGATCATTTGCTCGAATTTGCTCTTCACTCATACTTGATCTCAAGTTCTGCAACACTAGCTTGTTTTGGGCATGTCGATGATTAATTATCTCACGGCGCAAATCGTAGATGGATGCTCCATTTTCATTTGCTGGAGCGTCATCATTCTGATGGACGATCTTGCTTGAGAGATTTTGACAGATGGTCTTTGAGTTCTCATTTTCTTCATCGCACAGGTCGGAGAAGATAGGTATTCCAAGACCCCCCATTCTCGTCGGCAGTGACAGTAACTTCCTCTCATGGATGGAAACACTACGGTTGTCTAGGAGCGCTGGCAGGAGCTTCAGGCTGATGGAATCATCTACCACTCGCATCGCAGTCTTGATACCTGGAACAGTGCGTATATGGTAAGTAAATCTGTGCCGAAACCCTGATACAAATGCAGCATATGCAGCTTGGGGCTCAAATTTAGCAATTTCACTTAAAACGTGGATTTGCTGACACCATTTACCAACTAAAGACGAGATGTACTTATCTTTCCCATCTTTAGAGCCAAGATATCCTCCAAGGTACTTATGTCCTTCAGTTGTTATACGAACACCAGTTCCAGCGAACATCTCTTTGGCGGTCTGCTCCAGGTGCGGCTTCACAATCAGCCAGGATTTGTCAGCACGTGGATAGTAACCAAGACGGGGACCATAAATAACAATGTTCTTCCACCAGGAACGCAAATGAGCAAGTGTACCAGCACCACTAAGGTCATCAGCAAAAGCAACATGTCGAACATCGCTAGCTTCATCAGATTTAATCAACTGCAGCAAGGGTGTAATGGCAACAGCATACAGCGGCATGGCTAATGGATCACCCTGTGTGGTACCTTCTGCAGAAGTAATTTCTTTCCCTCCTTGGACAAACAATCTTGATGCTGTGACATAACAGTTGAAGGTGTAAATTGCCATGGCAGGACAAATGTACTGAATGTTGTGCAACATGATTCTCCGATTAATTGAGTTGAATGCGTTTGTGGCATCCACCAATAACACAGCATCCGTTTCATCTTCTGCAAAGATTTCTGACATGGCATGAACTGCCGCCTCACAGCCAGCTGGTTGTCCAGCACAAAGCTGAACATCACCTGCACTTTCCATGATTTGAGGCTTGATTGCAAAGATAATTGACTTCCCGATGATCCTACGAAGCACTTCACCAATTCCGATGGGACGAACACCTGGGTTCTTATCCAGTGGTATTAGGCGACACGCCAAAAACGCCTCCAAACTTGTGGTCTGATCTGGTTCAATATCAACCTTCCGTGTTGCAAGTGTTCTCGCCATTAACGCAATCGCGGATCGCAGATCTCTTCCAGCGTCCCCATAATTGCGAGACACTAAAATATGCCGCCAGCCAAGTGCAAGTGATTGACCATTGGAAATTTGAACGAATTGAGTCGTGATGATAGTTTGACTTAGCTTTGCAATAATTTATATGGCAACATGCACAAGACTAGAGTCGGAAATAGATGCTGAAACATTACGTAAAGAGAAATAGGGGAAAGTCTTTAATTACTGCGTCGCGCACTGTGCGAACGCAGTCTAAAATTGCCTTCGGTGTTTTGTTTTTTGTTTTTTTTCGTATTTTTTACGTTTGCGACCCGGTCTTCCTGGCCGCGCAGGCCAACTAAGATACTCGCATTTTGAACTCGTCTGATTTACAAAAGAAATATTTTACTGAAACAAAAAAAAATAAAAAGTTTGTTGTTGCCGGGATTCGAACTGGGGTCGTGCGAACCAAAAGCAGGAAACTGCATGCACGATACACGTCATATAAAAGTCGCTGTGCATGGCCGATAGCGCAGGAAATCTAGACGTCTGTCGTTCGAGAAAATACGTTCAGGTAATCTAATGCTGGATTCTCGTCTTGTCTTGTTTGATATACTCACTCTACATACACTAGCACACACTGATCGTGGTAAACCTAAACTAAAACGGGTTTACAGACAACGATCACATGAATCATGAAAGCCTTGTATGCCATGAAAGCCTTGTATGCTACGAAAGCCTTGTATGCCATTCTATGCCATTTTTCAATCAAACCGCACCTTCCCTTCCAGGGTAAAAACGGCCAGACCGATCCTATTGAATTTCAGTACAAACAGATTCCTAGATACATGATTCCAAACTCAGCCTTATTCACGAATATCGTTAGCTACATATGCCTAGCACCAATAATGCAGTTTTACCCCCTATATTCTGTACGAAGTGGTCTATTTACTAGAAACGCTAAGAAAGAAACATTTTTCTAAAGGAATAAATATTGACTGGAAATGGGGCACAGTTGCATACAACGATTGACGCGACGCAGTTAACGCCAGAATAGGCGTCTTGTTCATGTAGTTTTCTCAACCTCGGTCTTTCCTCGGTCTTCGTACCCAGGTAATACGAAAATGCCCTGGGCCTGGATACGACTACGAGGTTGCAGTATGCATGGTTATGAAAAAAACACGATTCCTTAATACTGAGCCTGGTTCATTCAGGGCAACCCTGTCTGTCGCTTTCCTGATCAATTACAAGACGTCAAAAAATTCACTTTAACAAAACTTAATTCAAGTTGCAAAGTCTTTGTAGATATCTGTTGTTAAATTCGGCTTTTCTAAAACTCAACATGTTGTCATTTTTATAAGGTACATCAAGCACAGTACAAGTGGTTATGATTGATACAGTTATATTATGCGGAAACACAGCCCTCGATGTAGTTTACGACCAGCCAAAAGGTATTGAGTTAGACTGGCCAGAGTGTAACTGACAGTTCTCAATCAGATTTTAGTTGTCCAACTGATCGCCCCTACTTCTACTGTGTGTGTGAAGAGGAAGTGGGCAAAACCGCCGTTACATGCACCTGTCACAGTTTAAACTATTATACTGTGAACATTGCCTCGCAAGTCTTTGTGTTTCCGTTTCAGCCTGTCTGCATCGTAGTATAACAGGCACGAGCTTAATTATGTAAAGTAGGGGCCCTTATGATAATCAACTATTCAACTCCTTGGTCTTGTTCCATCATCCTGATGACAATTATGATAATTAACCATAATTCATTTCAATATCGGTGCCTTAGGAAGTGCTACTCCGAAGAAAGCAGCCCAGCAGTGGGTTTGGATTAAAGATACGCTTGCTAAGTCAACTGCAGATTATCTGTTAGTGGCAGGACACTTTCCTGTCTGGTCAATAGCGGAACATGGACCCACTGAATGTTTAGTTGAAAAATTAAAACCACTTCTGGAAGAATATCATGTAACAGCATATCTCTCTGGACATGATCACAATTTGCAGGTGAAATTATGCATAGTTCTTTTTGAAAATACTCTAAAGACTATACATACAGGGCCGAAACTAGTGCGATAATTTGGGGGGGGTAAGTATTTATATATGTATATTCTGCCAGACGGATATCTTTTGGAAACAAGAGTATGTACAAAAGAAGCCCCTCGATTATCGCATCTAGTTTGGCCTTGTGCAGACATACAGTCACAGATCTCAATCACCTGGTATAACTATTTCGATAGTGACAGTATTTTCATACAAATATTTTAATGCCTTTACAAAATTCAGTATTCTTTTAATTTAGCATCTAGACGAAGGGTCAGGAGTACAATATATTGTTACTGGTTGTTCAAATTACGTGAATAATTCAACTGAGCATTCAGCCAATGTACCAAAGGACTCATCCAAGTTTTTTTGGGCAGAATATTCCAAACTAGGAGGATTTGCTACCTTTAGCGTGACACCAGATGTCATGCATATGACGTTTGTGGATTCAACTAACGAACCGTTGTACAATCTAATACTGAAACCTAGACAAGTATATTTCTAGCCACGCAGTTCAATATATGGTTCTACTACTAAAATTAAATGAACGGTAATAACAATTATATTGAATGTATGTCAATTGGTGAACTTCTTGCAACCCGAAGGATAATATAGAGATGAACATCCGTGAATTCATCAGTAAAATTTTTTTTATCTTCGGCCTTAATTATTATAGAACGCATTAAAATATCAGCAAGGGGTAAAGTATACTTCGACCTCGTCAACTTTTCTTTGAAAGAAAGAAGGTTAAGCTAAAGAGTTGAAACGAAAACTTTATTTTGAACCATTTTAATAAATAAGTAAGAATATCATACTCATAATCATAGAGAATATCAAATAGCTCATACATTTTATTTTCTTACGAATTAATGCGTCGTATTGCCTTTTTTGACACATTGTTGAAAAAGCGCTTAATTATAGAATTTTCATTGCATGTATACATATCTATTTGAGTTGTTCCAGTAAAAAAAATTAGTTCCTTTTACCACCGGTCGGACGAACATGACAATCAGCATGCAATTATCAACACACGTACTAATGAATCTAAAAGTTATTCAATTTATCAAGCTTGCGTAGGGAAACAGGAACCTGGATGCAGGTTAATCTTTCTTCTTCTCGATTGCGGGTTTAGAGGTATCCCCTAACAATGTACGACCATGACGTAATAACTCGTGGTCGATTTTTCCTTCCATTGCTTCAAGAAATGTTGTCCCATCAAAAAATGCCTCAATTTTCTGGATTTTCAGATCGTTGTTCACGGTGACGCGGAGAATACCATACATTTCGACAAGTTCCCCGTTACCTTGACGACCGCGATACTGTCCTGTGAACTCGCCCCAGTGCCTCCACGTGAACATAACATTTGGGGGACCACATAATACCTTGAGCACCTCCCATGGAAAACCATTGACCAACGCGTTCCGAAATAAATCATGTGAGTTCTCAAAATGATCATCTAAACCATCTAAATCAGGGGAAAATTACTATCTTGGAATTATTATTATTAAACTGAGACTTTGGAGGTGATAAATGGTTCGCGATGTTGCAAAGAGCAACAGGAATGAATTGACCAGGCACACTTTGAGTATTTTTTAATCAAACCAATTTCCCATTAGGTGAATTTATTCGCGCCACGCGAAGACTGAAATCCGGTCATGTGAATGTGATTGCAATTGGTTTAAGCATAGACAACCCAAAAGACATATCTTCTGGATTGTCTATGGTTTAAGTGTGGGACAGTCTGGTGCTGTTGTGATTCTCACGAAATATGATAGAGGAAAGCCACTTGGCTTTCATTCCAAACATGGTGTTAAAATGTGATTGCCAAATAAACGTATCGATCGACGATCATGATGAAGGAAAATTCGGAATTTACATTTGTTTCCCCGAAAAATATTGAAAGGCATCAGTTTTAAAGACAATTCCTGGGACCTTTCCAACACCATTCAACCAAGTGGAGTGGAAAAATCGTTTAAATATATTTACTAATTAATACCTCTGCCGATTTCCCTTTTGGAGAAAGCGAACTAAAACTTACATTTTTCATAAGCAGGACAACCTTTCAACAATGCATTATAGTTGCCAATTTCAAACGCTTTAACACCGTCAAGTATTTCACCTCCGTTGCTCTGCATACAGTAATTGTCATGATCTATTGTCGTCCACTGCGAGATATTCTTCTTATGAGATGCTTCCATTTCCCATTTCTTAACAAGATTCTCAACAACCTCTTCTAATGAACCTAGTAGAAGATTGGTTAATATTACTGATTCCATGTGACAACTTTTAATGACCACGCCACATGAACAAATTTCCTGCTTAACTAATTTTTAAATTATAATGCATTATGACAGGCTTTTATTTATCGCAATGTCAGTCATGTGCGATCTACTTTTAATGGATGTGAACGAGCGATGCTATGGACTATGTCATTCACTTAATTGATGATGACTGATAGACTGTACATTTTTATAATTAAAAGATTCATATATTTTGTCAATTCTTCCTCACTCTAACTTTCACTTTTTCGTGGTTTGTTTTATGCCAAAATCCCGTGCTCCTATTTTTCAAAGACCGGCGCCTTATTTCTTAAACCAGCAATACGATGACACGACTATCAATACAATGAGACGTCATAATGAGAAAGGTTTATAGGGCTAGATTGTTTTTGCACATTTGGTATTTGCATTGGAGACTGTGAACTGGCCTTTTATCAGCATGGGCAACGGGACAAAGATGCAAAAGAATTACATTCTATATCTTAGAATCTTAGCTTCAAGAATAGCACAATCTCTAGTCCGAGACACCGAGATCATCTTGGGAGGAAAAAACATGATGATATGAATTAGGTTCAACTGCGACAGACGATGCTTTGCGAATATTCTCTAGTGTGCATCGCTACACACTTACAAAATTACCCTTTTTCTGCCCCCCTTTTTCATCGCACATTCAACACCTACATTCCTGTTCCATTAGCAATCTACGCGGTAGAGCGCAAATTTAAGATACAGGACTAACCAATATTTTTTGGAGGGGGGGACATAAACCTGCTTCGGCCTCTTTAAGCCTCCATATGCCTCCATAGATCTCTATATGCCTCCATAAACTTCTATATGCCTCCATAGACTTCCATAGACCTCCATTGGCCTTTATAGGCCTCCATGGGTCTCCATGGGCCTCCACAGAACTCCATAGACCTCCATAACACTTCACAGACCTCCATCACACTTTATTGGCCTCCATAACACTTCATAGACCTCCATAACACTTTATAGACCTCCATCACACTCTGTTTGCCTCCATAACACTTCCTAAGCCTCCACCACACTCCAACACTCTGTTGGCCTCCATAACACTCCATAGACCTCCATAACACTTCTTAGACCTCCATCACACTCTAATGGCCTCCATAACACTTCATAGACCTCTATCAGTTGATATCATATTGGCAAAGATAAGGCAAGCCAACAAGGAACCAGCATTAGCCCTCCACCAGCCAATCGGAAACGCTTAAATTGCCCAGATGAGTCAGACCCCCGCAAAGATGAGTCAAACTCCTTCTAAGCCAATCAAATGCCTAGAATCAGAAGTCGATGAGGCAAAATTCAAACGGGTATCCGCTATTATGACTCATTTGCCGAGGGCTCAAAAGTCAGTGACCAGCAACTGCATGAAGCTTAATAACTTTTAACTGGACTGTTAATTTATCGCATGACTATTTTCACTGACTGAAGTTTGAATATTTCGAACTGGACTTGTGTAATTTTTGACTTAGTCGCGTGACTCATCTGACAACCCCTAGATCCGCCCCTGTAGTTACCTGTCGGAAAATTCCCTTTAACAAAGTCTCAATCTGGTTTTCGTCCTAAGCACTCAACGGTGACCGCCCTAATCCAAATGTGCGATGAGTGGCTAGAAAATATGGCAAGTTAAATAGTGTCGTGTTTTTAGATATCAAAGAGGCGTTTGATTATATAAACCATCGCATCTTGCTAAGTAAAATGAATGAACAATTTGGAATTTTTGGCATGGAGCTAAAATGGTTCGAGTCATATTTAACTGAGTACAGCAATGTAATGTCAGTGAGAAGCTATCTAATTCTAAAACTATTACCTTTGGAGCTCCCCAGGGTTCTATACTGGGACCACTACTATTCTTACTATATATTGATGATTTGCCCGAATGAATGTCTAAGATCAACCACTCCAGCTATGTATGCAGATGATACTCAAATCTTTCCATCCTCTTTTGATGCAAATGAACTCATTATAAAGATGTAGCGTGCTTAAAGAAAACAGGTTGCAGATGCATCCATCTAAATGTAAAATGATGTTTATTGGTTCCCCATATAATTGATGTGTGATGTACGCGTCATGGCTAATGCAAAACCCATATCACAACTGCCACACAAGACCCTTTGTTCCTAGACATACCCTAGAATCTGTTTATAAAAGTCTTGTGCAGCCTTATTTCGATTATCGCCCCCTCCCCCCTGTGGGATACTGGGATACTTGTGGTATGCTGCTCAGAGACAAGTTACAAAGATCTCAGTTTCGTGCGCTCTTAACAGATGCAAATTATGATACTTCATCAATCGATCTTCTTAGCAATCTTTCATGGAAACACTTGAAACTAAACGGTCTGGTGCCAAGTCAGTATTAAACAAGATACTATGACCACACTTCGCCGGATCTTCGGGAGTCTTTTGTGAGAAGAGAAATAGATCAAACTAATTATCACGGGCCAGTGGCGTAGCCAGCCAGACAATTTAGTCATGCTATGGTAATATTTTGGTGTTCATTGACTGTGAAAACAATGAATTTCAAAAGAAATGAATAACTAATAATATAAAATTTGCATAGCATGACTAAATCGTCAGGCTGGCTATGGCACTCATCAAGGCCGAATCGAGAGTACCTTAAAAAAGTTTCAAATACAGCGACGCTATGCTTTGGAATCGGCTCCCAAACGAAGCAAAATCAGTCGAGTCGCTTCTTTTGTTTAAATCAATTGTTGTTTGACACTGAAACGCATCCTACTTATATCAGTCCAGCCTAGAGTTGATAAGGCTAGCGTGTTTCTTGGTTTCAAATAAACTTTTACCTACCTACCATGTAGCGTATTATTGATAAAGACCTTAACACCATACGGCGTACCGGCAACGAATGATAAAGAAATTAAAATCAAGTTGGTCGTCAGATGAGTCATATTATACTAACAATCAGTAACAAAGTTTTTTAGCAATTGCTACCCAAGTTGCCCAACTCACATACCAGCTTGGTGATTCTGAGTCTTTCCCTTTAAAAACGCGAGATTGGCCTTTGTATAATCAGGTTTCCCAGACCTCCACTCAATACTAGTATCATCAAGGTCACCACGGTCGGGTTCAACAAAATTGTGTTCTTCTTTTAAACTGTTCAGAGCCACAGACGCTGTTATTTGTTCCATAGACATAGTAGTTTTTGAGTCTCGCCTCAACCTCAACATACAGATCAATATTCCACATCTAAATATTCGATGTTTAAAATTTAAATTGTCCAATTGCGCATTTCCGCAATTGTAAAAATTATCTTGGGTAAAAAGACCCACCCCCGCTAGTGACGCCATGCTTGAAGGTTGATCAAAATAAATGCATTGTTATTGGTAAAAGATAATCATTCGGCAGGGGGGTACCTTTAACCTTTACCATTAATTCATGGTTTATTAATCATTACTACCAACTGAACCACACCACACGACAGGAACATGGAATTGTTAATATACTGAGACAAGTTTAAACGTCCTAACCACTATATCACCGACCACTGAGTGTTACCTATAGAGATTAAAAATAACACTAGAGGAGGCATTGGTATTGGAAACATCAGTCGAAAAAGCGAGCGTTAATGGGGGGCAAATTCAAGTTACCGACGTTCAATGAAGCAGAGTATTAAGTTATCTTTTTTGGAGTTAGATGGGAAGTAGCCCGGCTAGCTCAGTCGGTAGAGCATGAGACTCTTAATCTCAGGGTCGTGGGTTCGAGCCCCACGTTGGGCGAATATTTTTACCCTTTTTCTCCGAATTTGAGATAACTTTGAGAATATTCACATTCCTCCTTATTATCTGTTTAGAAAAAAGGATTGGTAAAGTTTGATCATTTCAATGTTGAATTAAGGAAAGATTGATGAACTCAATAAAAGGACAAATTATATAAACATATAATAAATACCTCTAACCTGCAAATAGGCTAAAATATGCTATTCATTAAAATCCATCCACCAAACTGACATAGCCCATTCCAACATTTAACCGATCTCCAATTTTTGTTTCCTCAACTAAATCAATCTAATTTTTTAAGTTTTTTAGTGCTGGGATTATAAATGGAGTCGGTCTCGAGCGAATCTTTTAAATGACGAATATTATTTTCAGTAATCGTGCCAGCATTCTTGCAAAGAAACTTCACTATGGAGTATGGAAATTAGTGACACCTGCGCAGTGCTCAGGCCAAGGCCTCAGTGGCAAGATGGCGTCTAATTGTTGCTATGGAATATTATGGAAGATTCAAGGAGAATCAAATGGGTGATCGTTGTATAGCTGAACTACGATATTTAATTCCTTGATTTCAATATATAAATATGATGCAATTAAATTTAAATCAAGTTGATTATTTACAGGTATATAAAAATAATATAATGCTAGATGTTTTTGACAGCAAAATTTTTTGTAAATTGTACTGTAAGTGTAAGTGTTTTATACTCAAAAAATCTTTGGTATTGTGCCCAATCTTATTTGAAATTATCACCAAAGCTATCAGGTGGTACCAGTCTTAATGCATTCTCATACCTCATTCTTATATCTGGGCCTTCATGCATCCTCATACTGACTAAAAAGTGCTTTTTTGATGTAAAATGTTTTCACCGAATCTGTATTAAATGTTTGTTTCAAAGAACTGAATAATTGAATATGTATTATATATGAATGCTAAAGTGTCAACGCCATAATATTTCAGGTTGGTGTAACCTCACCAAAATCTATGAAACTGCTACCTGCTGGGGCAAAGAGAGCTATTCAAAAGGTACCATACTATAAATGTCACAGAACTATTATACAGTGGTTCAAAAATTTACCAAGTTCATGCCCTAAATATAGACTCTTTATACACCATTCTTTCCAATTCTAATTCAAAAAAAGTAATTGAGTTAGGTAATACGGCACAAGTTCATGTAATAATATTTATTTGTTCATCATATGCCACTGATTGATGTTTCATAGATTGCTGTAGCAGATCATAGTGGTGTGATAACATGTTTTGGTATGAAGAAAGGAGCTGTACAGGTATACCACCCCCTATTTTTTATAGTATGATGTACTGGTTAATAAATTAAATGTGTGACTGTGGTTGGAATTAAACTCTTGTCTGTACTAACACCAATTGCAATTTTGTAGTTCAATAGATACAAACATATCATAAAGCATTAACAATCTTTGCTCACCAAAATGTTTTTAGATGGTGTTTAAAACACTTCCAGCTAGTAGTGTATCACGTCTTGAGTTGGGTGGCATTAGTGGCCCTTCAAGAGAAAAGATATTTGTTGCCTCCGGTGCTGAGGTCAGAGGATATAACAAAAAAGGAAAGCAGTTTCTAGGTTTTGATACAAATCTAACAGAGAGCATTCAGTCTATGTGAGTATATAAATGTGAGTGATACATATATAAATAATATAATTGCAGAAACTGCATTGTAGTCTCTATTCGTGTTCAAATAAAGGTGATTTTATTGAAACTATGTTCATAATATATATTTCAACCTGGTCATTGCAGCCTAAAATATTTTGTCTGTCAACAGAAATTTATCTACTGGTACTATTTTTACACAGCAGACACACAGACAGGGTGTATTTCTAAAAGGTTAACATATCAAAACTGTTAAATGTCAAAAAAGGCCACTTTTTAAGGGGGGGATATAAAAATGACTTCAGGAAAGAAGGCTATGCCAATTCTCATAATGTAGGGAATGATCTTTACAACTGCTTCCAACATTGCCACATTTTGGGGCTGAGCCTTCCAGGGGGAGTCATAATGCAGGCTTACAAAAGTCATGGTTTAAATTATAAACACAAGCACACAATTGTGTCTAGAAGGTTTAGACTTGCTACAACACAGAATAGAAGGTATATATTTAGATATAGATCAATGTAATCTTTGGAAATAGCATTCATTTGAATTTGAATGATTTGTTAATACTTCAATATAGGTTTGTAAGTGGCCCAGATTTGCTGCTGTGTGGAAACTACATTTATAATCATTATCAAGACTGTAAAGACAAGAACTACTACTTGTGTAGTGATAAAATCAGCGATGTCGTATCTCTTACGTCTAAAATGTACTTGCCAACGTAACTATATGCTTGACTAACTTCATACACTCATTCATTTATAATACACACACCTGGAGCACATGTGAATCAATCGAGTTTCTCGACTGTGATACTTAGAAAAACGCATACATAAAAGTTCTTTATATTATTTTTTTAGAATTACACCTGTTTTGGCTTGTAACGATCGGGTGCTGCGAGTTTTGCAGGTAAGGTGACTAAAGTTGATTGTTGGTATAGAGTTGATGGCAATGCAAAGACTCTTCCGCTCATTGCGACGAGGCCCGCGACTAATTTTATCCAGGCGCACGCGATGCAATTTTTTTCGTACGATTTTAGTCGGTCGACTAAATATTTGCGTGTGTAATGTCATTTTTAAGCAATCTTAGTTGGAAAATAGCAATATCAGTTTAATATTTGCTGATTAGAAATAATTTAAAATCGGCCGACAAAACTCGTACGACAAAAATAGCTTCGTGTGTATAACTCTGAGGTACACTGCGAGTGTGTTCATCCAATTAAAGTTTCTTCTTCTTTTAAAAACTGCACCTTTGTCTATTATATTCATTTTTTATATATATAATTGTTATTTCGGTATTTTACAAAGGTTGAATCTCATAATTTGCAATGTTTCGGACAGTTTTAACGTCCTTCTTCAGGCTTTATGTTACATACGTTGATTCGTGATTCGTTAACCATAAGTAGTTAATGTGCTTCGGGTCTAATTGAGAAGCATTCTTTCAAAAAGTTCGTCTTATAGCTAAATGCATCGCAATGATACATCGCAATTTTTTTCAGGATTCGAGTCTGCTTTACGAAATGGAAGTTGCTGGACCTCCAATGGTGTTAGCATTGAATAACGGGAATGGTGGTAAGAATTTAAATTTATGGGTCAAACACACAACTTCGATGTTGCACAATTATTTTTTTCTTTGGAAGTCTGTAAAAATTCACAGGCTAGATTATGTTTACGTATGACTGTAAATTGCATTTTATGGACGCTTGTAAGGTAATTTAGGAAGAGGGAAATATAGAAACTCCAAAAAACACAACACATGCAAATATTAAGCGCTTCTGTATGTCACCACTATCAGAATACCTGACGAAGAATATTCAATTTACTAAGTCCATCGGTTGTTTTGTTGTTACACAGGGAGAGATGGAGATGAGGTTCTTTATGGTACATCAGATGGCAAGATTGGTCTAGTTCATTTGGGAAAGTATGTGACATTTGTATACACGCAGTTTTCTTCAAAATACGAGCAAGTATAGATTGACCTTAAAGTCGGGCCTGCTACAGTATAATTCAAAGATAGGTTTAGCTATCCAATCAACCTGTTTCATTGGGTGCATAACACGCTCGTGGGTGCTTCACGATTTTCCCTTTGCCCCTTTGCTCCTTTTCAAATTTAAGACAACATGCATAGCATATACTATATTGAAGTAATAGTCTCATCGTCGTAGTATGTGATTACTATATTGAAGTAATAGTCTCATCGTCGAAGTATGTGATTACTATATTGAAGTAATAGTCTAATCATCGTTGTATGTAATTATGCTGTTTATGGGTCTCGCAGATCATCACCAAGCCACAAGTGGGAAATACCAAACGAAAAGAGACTTGGAGGTTTGTTTCCCTGTTTATAATTTAACAATTTACCTGCACTGGAACTGAAGGAGTCCCACACTGGGCCTTCATGGGAAAAACACAGTCAGCGGATATTATTAGTGCACTGACCTTAACCTGTGAGTGCATAAATTTACTAGGACTCTTCCTGCCATGGAAAATAATTTTCGCTTTGATTCTAGGGTATATCCCTAGCCCCAGCTCTCAATGACGTGTATCATCAGGTCTAATGAATCAACATCCTTTGTAATCAACAGTAATATGCTTTACTTTTTGAACACCTGGTAATTTAGAAGCTTTTTTTAATACTTGTGTTTAGGTGTTCTTTCGTTAGAAAGCTTTGACATCACCGCGGATGGAATTGCTGATGTTATCATAGGTCGTGAAGATGGCACTGTTGAGGTGTATGGTTTTGATGAGATGGAGACACCGGTTCATCGCTTCAAATATGTACGTATATGTTACGTACAAGTACATTTTTATATTGTGCTTTACGGTAATTAGGTATTTGATTCCTTCCAGAGCACCAGTGAAAGTGTGACTTCAATATGTGGTGGGTGTGTGGGAACCGCAGGCTATGATGAAATAGTTATGTCTACGTATAGCGGTTGGGTTATGGGACTTACTACGGAACCACAAGAGAAAGAAGCAGGACCTTCTAAAGTTGATCAGAAAACCACTATCAGTGATGAAAACCAGATTAAAATAAATGCATTGAGGTATTATTCTTGACTTTGCCAAATTTTTCTTCTTCAATCATCATTCAGAATTGTTTCTAGTTAGAGATCCAATGGGTGACTACTTTTCGAAATATACCAAACATGCACTAGGGATCATTAAACACAGTGTATAACACACAATACTGCTACTAAGGACTTGCTACTGTATTTGTAATGCAGCTCATTGTGCGAGATATATATAACTCCATTATCTGACCTATGTTTTTCGGACATTTCCAGAGAACAACTAGACGAACTGCAAGATAGGGTGTTTAGAGAAAGAGAAAGATATCAGCAGACTGCTCAGTCTCACACAGCTGTGTCTGCTTTGCCGCGTTTTTCAGTCAACGACAAATTCACGCTTAACCGTGACGATGCCAGTTATACGCTGAGTATTGAAGTACAATTGCCCATTGATAATATCCTTTTACAGGTTAGTTTCCAAATTTAACTACCGTTGTTTCTTTGAGTGTCATTTCCTTTATTATATTTTTGACATTGTTAGCAGTTTCAATATCTCCATGTTTTCACTTTCTTCTTGCACCTGAAACCAACCAGTCAGTAAAAAGAATAAATCAATGCCCCGATATCAGGTGGTTTGAGAAGTAGATAAATCGAAACCAGTGTCAGTGTTAACCCGCAACAACCTTTCTTTAGAGTGACGTACCAATAGATTTATTAGATGTGGACAAAAACTCGGCTGTAGTGAGCTACAGTGCCTGTGATATTGAGGTGAGGAATATTGGTCAGGTGTGAAGGAAAATTATATTTGTGGGCAATGCTTGTTGGTAGTGATTTATAGAACAATGGTTGGTATGGTGACAATACTAACAGTTAGTTTTATAATGATTGGTGGTATGATGGTTTGTATGGTCACCAACAGATACAGTTGTTGTAGAATGTTTGGTGGCCATTAGTTGGTATAGCCTAATAACTGGCTCACCTGCCACCCATTAGCATTTTCAGAACTTCAAAATAGTTGGGTATGTTAGATATATTGTAGATTAGATATATATTAGATATATTCATGTACTAACTAATCGGGAAAATCTGACTGCAGAGACCAAGAACCACTTGAAGAAACTGCATCTTGGGTGGTAATATCGTAGTTAGCTAAATTCTGGTAAGATTTTTTACAACGCAGTCCTGATTGTTTATTTTTAGAGTGGCAATTTCCTTCTTGCAACTTATCGCTGTCAAGCAAACACAACAAGAATTGAACTTAAAGTAAGTTGGAAACAATTAACAAGAGATTCGTATATTCGTATACCTTGAATACTCCTTGGTCATCCTAGACCTCTTCCTTGGGACATTCCCACTCGCAATAAATTATGTTTAAAATGTTAGGGACACACAGCACCTTAATATTTATACAGTATTGCTTCATTTTGTGCCTTTTTGTTTCATACTAGATTCGTTCCATTGAGGGACAGTATGGTGTGTTGCAAGCGTACATAACACCACGTATTCAGCCTAAGTCATGTCAAGTCAGACAATATAATATCAAGCCATTGTCTCTACATCAAAGAGTTCATGTCTTCAATGAAGAAAAGTGAGTGAATTACGATAAATTAGTCTACTCTTCCATGAAGTAATTCTATGGCCACAATAATCACAAAGGAAACTAATATTTGGTACATGTACCCTAACTGGACCCAGAACCGCAGATTCGGCCTTTCCATAGAGTAATGTTAATTAGCTAACTGTGTTTTCACATGAATGAAATCGAACGTTTTTAGTATATAATTCTAGTATAGATCAGGGCAGATGTCAAGTCATTGCTGACTAGATGTCAAGTCATTACTGTACATGTCATTTCCTGATCGTTTATAGTATTTATAATTTTGAACCCTAAATACTTCAAAGTAGTTTTGCCTGCCCCCAGTTTCAATCATACACCACACATTGCATTAATTATACACTAACGGTCGTTCTTCTGTTAATTAGGGCATTGAATACTTTAAAGCTGACTGGACAGTTCAGTTTAGCAGAAGTACATTCCTGGGTGTGCTTTTGTTTACCAGAAGTTCCAGAGAGGTAAGCGAAAAATGTAATGCCTATATACGGCACAAAGGTACAGTAATACCTTGAAGTTTATCAGTTGCTTATTCACCGAAGTTTTCATCATATTTTCACACTGCGTAATTTTGCTTTCAGGACACCAGCTGGTGATAATGCCCAATTTCATTTCTTATCAACATTCTTGGACACGCAACTTGACTGCCAGTACACGTATGTATTGTCTTCCAATCAGTCTTTCTCTTCCTGTCAGTCTTCTCTCTCAGTCCGTTTTTTTCTCTTTCAGTCAGCCTTTCTCTTTCAGTCGGTCGTTTTTTTTCAGCCAGTCTTTCTCTTCTTGTCAGTCTTTCTCTTTCAATCAGTGTTTCTCTTTCAGCCAGCCTTTCTCTTTCAGTCGATCTTTCTCTTTAGTCAATCTTTCTCTTTCGGTCAGTCTTTCCCTTTCAGCCTTTCTCTTTCAGTCTTTCTCTTTCAGTCAGTCATCCTCTTTCTATTCCAGTCTTGTACTTCTTTAGAAGAATGAGATTGCATATAACAATTTGAATTATTTCAAAGGTATTTTCATTTCAGGAAGGGAGAGGCCATTTTTCGATCTGATAACATATCAACTATATCCATTCTTAAAGACGTCCTCACAAAAGAAGCAACGAAGAGAAAGATTAGCCTTAATATTTCATTCGGTAAGTCAAGTTACAAGGAATGTACATTAGTACTATGAAACGGATGTGTATAACTGTAATTAGTAATAATTTTACAACCAAGGGGGCCTATTATCTGACGGGAGAGAATATGTCACAGAAAGTTATAGCTTAACCAATACCGCAAACTGCTGACTGCAAACTGAAATACTAAGTTTTGTATAGTTCTTTCACTTCTTTGAGACGTTCATCGGCACAATGTATCTTAATATTTATATATGACTGAACACATTACACCAAATTTCCCGACAACTAAAATCCTGCATTTGTTTTGAAAATTCGAAATGAATTTTGCCGTTTTCGACTAGAGATTTGTTATAACCCCAAACTAAAAAAGGTCTCTATATTAATACGGCATTAACAACCCTAAAATGCCTGTGTAATAAATCATTTGCTTGATAGTTTTGTTTTGCATGTTTGAATCTTCATATGAATACATGATGCAATAAAGTGACTTAAAGTCCTAATTACTTGTGGGGTAATAACAACATTCCCTGAAGTGTTGTATTCATACCTGATATTTTTACCATAAAGCGTTGCAAAAAGTTCTCTTTGTCAATATCAGCAGCTTATATTATTGCTCTGTTCGTCTTTTTCTTATATGTTATTATCCTGTTGCTCGTTATATAATTCCTTTTTAATATTTGCTTTATAGATTTGAGCGAAGAGTCTGTTCTTCACACGCTGCATCTCATTCATCCCAAACTTGAATATCAACTTCTTCTTGCTAAGAAAGTTCAACTTATTGACGCCTTGAAGGTATTGTTTCATAGTAAAAGCATTCATAAAGGCTGCGAATCGCCATGCTGTGCTTGACGAATTTTTACAAAACATTGTTTTTACGATGTTTAACAGTATTTAACAATATTTCGAATTCACGATGTTTTGTTTTCTGAATTTCACAGGAACTGGAAATGCATGAAAATGATATTAGTTTTCTTGCTCCGGAGTATAAACAAATTTTGGGTATGTTACATGGACTACATACTAAGATTTCTAGACCCCTCTCTCTCTCGGGATTTCGCAAATTTGGTATCCAGGCCACCCATAACCAACCATACCTGCGCTATATGGATTATTGAGAAGATGAATGAAGATTTATGAATACGATGGTTTATTGAAGTTTGCATGCAATATGGCTCTCGTTCGAGAAGGTTTTTAAAATGCAATATCGCGCTTAATCGCGACAATATGTTAGAATGAACTAAGGGTATCGCATACTTCTCGGATATTTTGACATCCGCTGAGCTATTTTAAGGTTGTTTTCAATCGTGTTTTTAGGGACCGCCACCATGCAGGCTAGAGTAAAAGTAGTAAAAAATTGCCTGATAGTCTATGTCTGTTTTTAAACATGTCGATTATTGTTTATGTTTTTTTATGTAACAGATGAAAGCGAGAAACTACAGGAAGAATACAAGAAACAACCCTGCCATTTAGAAAGACTTTACGGTAAATTTTTTATGTTTTCTTGTATCAAAACTTTTCAGCGAATGTTGGCAATTCATAACCTTACTTGTAACCTCTTTTCTCAATTGTTTTTGTACATTTCGGTCATTACCGAAAGGCATGTGACTAATTTTCCGAATAAAAACATGAGAAATGTTCTCAATATTGCCTTTTTTGCCTGCATATATTGCATTTTTAAAGTGGATAATTGAAAACTATGTGCATATTTGTATTTAATGACATTATAAACATTTCAAAAATATTTGCCTTCCATGTTCTACAGCAATATTATTTCAACAATGTTATCATTTTTAGGAATGGTCACGGATTTGTATATTGATAAATTTAAATTCATGGTATGTATTTTGAAAGCTGTTATACCTGTATTATACAACACCTATATATGAATTATGAGCTAGGTGTTTATCATGCAGTTATATGGTACGCTGCATGCTCTACAGGTTGTAGTCCAACAGCAGTGGTTCTGACGCAGGTTAATAGGGTTAAAGAAGGTAGACGAAGGTATAGAAGATATAGGTTGTATAGGATGGAGTTGAGTCAAGGTTCTAAGTGGGTTTTATGTTATACATTTCATATGGGGCGCGATATTGGCTTGGGGCCAGAATTATAAGATTTAGCAAAGCGCGCATTGTGTCAAGTAGTTTAAATCAAAACATTTTGCGGAGAGAATCTAAAAGTATATTTGTATTGTTTAAAATTTTTTTCAAGGGAATGAACGTTAAAGGGAAAGTTCCGAATCTTCTGGAAGTATTGGACAACTATGATCTGGCAAGTTTGGTTGAATTTTTTGAGTCTTGAATAGCGAGCCGGTGGGATTTTTTGATAATAAAGTAGGTAATCGTGAGTGCATGACCTTGAATTTATTGATTGTAAATAATAACTTATTGTCGTAACTTATATAATAGGTTTGTAGCTATAACTTCGATCTTCGTATTACAACGTGACGATTGCTGCATACGACTGTTGTTTGCAACCTTTTTTGCTGAAGGATCAGTGAAGCAACCTCGTACCCAGGGTCTTTACTCCCCCCACAGTGAAGGTGGTTGCAAGCCATGTGTCTTTTGCATGAAGGAAGAAGCTTAATTTCTCGATGGGAAATTTGCTTTTGTAAAGGCTCGTTAGCCTCTCTTGTTGTCGTAGCAATAATGATAGAATTTGCTAGATTACTATCACAGTTATTGAATGTCAACCTTGAACCCAGGGTGGTGTCCGGGGGACGACAAAAATGTTCTGGGTGTTGAAAATTGGCATGATCATTGGCCTCTGAGTCACAATGTATGACATGGCTTTTTAGCCTGCTGCTTAGTTTCGTTCGTAAAGCCCCTCCTGCATTTCTTGCGGTACGGTTTTTACTCACGAGTCATGACGTTGCTCTTTATGGTTCGCCTTGACCCTTGACGTCATCTGGTCAGAATTATTGCAACGCCAAAAGAGAATTCGTTTGCTTGTTTTCGGCGTCATCATGGGATGTTTGCCAAAGTATTTATACTATTGGATTAAAAGCGTCAAGCCTTCAAAATGTTCCTGTAATGCTTTCATCTCGCAAAAATGATTAAAACCTAGTCGAGTTAATGTAATATTTTTAATAGAACATTCATTTGGATCTGCAGAAATTCTTGAATTTAGAATCCTTGAAGGAAAATTTAATTGCGTGTCGTTGAATGTATTGAGCAAGACAATCGTGGAGGAGGTATTATTGATGCGTACACAAATGCTTGCAACACATGGTATTCCGGTTAGCTCTCGTTCAGAATTCAAACCGGATACCAGAGACCGGATACCTAAATTGAAAATCCAAATCAAGATAACGGTAATCGTGTGAAAAAATAAAACAGAGTCAGGGGGTGGCACGAGTCATCTTATAATGTAGTACTTCATCTTACACCTCACGTATATGAATGCTAATATATCGGATTGTGCACTGCTTCGATGCGGTAAATCCATAGGGATGTTTTAATACCATACACAAACTTGGAAAATTCATTTATTTTCTTAATTAGATTGGTGGACCCTATTTTTTGGTAATGGCCACACACACCCTTCCACCGTTACGATCCATCGGATGTGTTTTTTTCAGTCGCTCTAAAATTGACAGTTATTTGGTATAACTTCGATTAAACGTTAGTATACTTAAATTGGAAGTTTCAGTCTAACAATCTTCAGCTCCAAATCTATAGTTATATTTCTCTTCAAGCATTTTAACAATAGCATTGAAAACACACTATAGCGCTATCCAGCTTTCGTACAACCGGCCCCTGTAAGGCTGTAACTCTACCCACTGGGTCGAAATTGCCTGTGGAGGAAACCCGCAGAAGCAGGAGACAGCATAAAACAGAATATTGACTGCGTCCTTTGACATGCATATGAGTCTAGGACAGAAATCAAACCGACCCTTGAAAGCGCCCCCATGCCGGGATCCGTTTCCAACTGGGATTCCGGGATACCTTACGCCCACCCCTGTTTTGATCACAATCCTTGCTTTAGTTGGTTATTGTGATATATTTAGATATATTTAAAATAGTCTCGAACTGATACCGTTGTAAGCATGCAGTTAGGTTTTGTCTAATTTTATAGAAATGAGAAAAAATATCATCGAGAATTTCTGTTTTTTCCTTTTTCTTCATTATAAATTTAAATCTGTTTTGTAGTGAATATATTTTCCTTACATTGTTGTTTTTTTCATGCCTGTTTTTATCTGTGTGTGATTCGCCCAAGGCAAAACGTCAAGGTCAACGTTTTTATAATGTACAAAACTATACGCATGATACGAATACAACTTCCTTTAAATCAATATATTTCATATTACCATGCAACAAAATCAACAAAAGCTTATATATAATACATATATATATACACTTTCCTTTACATTGTATTTAAATGTACAGTTGATAGCGACTTTACACCCGTTATAAATTCCTGATATAGCCTCCTGGCTCGTATGTATAAGTACGTTATAAATATTTTAGTGGTTCTTTTCGTGTAAATAGGAGCATGCAAACAATTGATACGTAATGTTATTATATTACAAATTTTTATTAATTATGTTATTCATAATTAGTTCATGAGATCAATTATCGATAGTAAGTGATCTTTGATTATCTTGGATCATCAATACTGAAGCATTAATTGTTTAATAGCTAATGCTGTAAAGTTGACTTACGTAAATGATTTTTAAGAGATTGCAATACGTAATACATGTGATAGATACGTTATAGGCTTAGCATTTTACGTAATATTCTGGGCATGCAGTTTTATAATGCAATACTCCGAGGCAATCGGCACTTTACTTGCTGTAACTGTGAGACTCAAACCATTAAACACCGCGTTTACAAATATGATTTCTATAGAGATAACATTATTTGCTGGGTTACTATGTCATAAATTACATTTTGTATTATACTACATTACATTCTATTAAATAATATATAAATATACATCTTAATTTGATTTACTTAGTAAAGAAAAATCTGCGTTCAAATGATTATGTATCATTAGGAAACTATAGAGATATTTCCAACTATTCTTAGAATATTAGGGTTTGTGTTTTTTTGACACGAAATCAAGCATATAGCTACTCAGAGATTTTCTGAATCGCACTCGTTAAATTTAATGCCCTCGGGATCTAATCAAAGTATTCCGTCAAAAAATAACTGAAAAGTGCATTCGGGTGCAAAGATTTGGCATTGCTAAAAAGATCCTGCATTTAATAATTAATTTTACTTTAAAAATATATTGGAAACGCCCATCTCGTAATTTCATCAACACTTTCATGGCGAAACTCAACCTGCATGTTGTGCTATATTCGCGAGGTTTCTAACGATATATGCATTTGTCTTAACTTAAAACGTTTATATTAGCTTCAGTATCTATATATATGTATAACAATTTACCCAGCATTCTATCCTATATATTAATATTGTTTATGTGATGCGGCACACGTTTACTCAAACTGTACATTTACGCAATTTTGTGTAGTTTCTTGTGCGTGTTTATCAATTAACTTAAATTTTGAATCAGCACTGAGGATGTATACCATGTTTTTGATACTCTTCCACGAGGTATTGTTTCGTCGATACGACATAACTGTCATTATACACCCGATAACAACATGAACCAGGAATCTAATTTCCTTCCACTGGATCGACGACCTTTCTTCAATTGAGCATTGTGACGAAACGCCAGGAACCAACCGTACTTTTCACATTTAAGGTTCATGTATTTCTTTGTATTCCAATATAGTGAGCGTTGCGTTATCTTACGCGTGTCCTTAGGCTTTGGTGGCTGAGGAATTAAAAATACCCCATTCGAGGACTTCTTAGTCTAAAAAAAAGAACAAAAATCGCAAAGATTAGTCCTGCGGATTTTTTAATATGAATCTGCATGGTTCGATTAATACAGGATAAATAATAAGTGCTCGATTCGACCTTATTTTCTTTGTGGGAATGTCATTAAAGTTCCGTTTTATAGTGTCCTCCAAACAAGCCTTCACTATATAGATTCGGATATTAAAATCAGCGTGATAATCTTCTCCCTATACGTTTTGACTTCAGTGGCACGCTTTGGGTTTACCATACATGAGAAGATTGTTCATGAGAGGTGTTTGATGGTTTATAGGAAGAAATCAAGCGTCGAAAAATCAGTCTGGCAGACTTATTTTTACAAACAACCCGAAAAAAGCTTTTATTATATTAGATTGAATGAGACTGATAGAACGAATAATATACATATAGGTATTCTAGCCTATTTCTGGGTATATAAGATAATACCTATATAGAGTAATGTATATGTAGGTATTCTCTTTGATGCCTCAATGCACTTACCATAGCATGGAATTTTTTCCCGTTTTTGGTACACGTCAAATACTTCTTACTTTTTTCTCCTTTAATCATTATCTTCACCGTTTCGCCCACCCCAACCATTTCCACGGAGAGAGAGGCTGGAAAATAACGTTTTCAATTAGGCTACACTCGATAAAAATGCAAACATGCTGAATATACCTTCAGAAATTAAATTGTAAAGATGAAAACTGTCTTGATATATTATAAACAGTAACTATATGCATCAATTGCCTCGCACAACTGAAGATAAAGCACGTTTATAAGGAGGATGAAAAATCGGTTTATTATGAAAATATACAGCGGACTGACGAAATTTTCTTCGGAATCTCTTTTTTTTCTAGTTTGCCTTTGACTAAATAGCGTCGAACAAATTATTGAAAAAGAATCGTTGAGATTTTTGTGAAATCCAGTTGTGCTTCATTTTTCTGTCGGGCTTGGTATGTTGAAAAAAAGTGAATATTTCAAATTATATTCCGTTATATTTCATATTAGCTTTTATAATGATGGACGGATCGATCATCTTACTTTTATTTCCTTATATTTGGAAAATCATCCAAACAAAATAATTTGAATTACCGAAATGAAATCTTTCGAATCCGAGAAGAGCGGGTGATAATAATTTTATACATCATTAACTTACTGTAAGGGCTGGTGTCATCTCTAGTTCCATTCGCTGTTCCATCTGGGAAGATCTGCAAGAACATTCCATTGACAGACACGATTTTCTGATTGTGATACACGGTTGATGGTGTTCCAGGGTTCGTGTAGTCCAAGGCTGCTTCCATTCTGCTGGCAAAAAGACCATTTGGGGCCTTCATTTGAGCTTCCATAAACCTTCTTCGCATATTGAAATCGTCAATCTTGTGTTCAAGTCTTGTTAGCATCGTACGTAGATTGTCCAGACCTCCAAATCCCTGATTTCCTTCTTGAAAACCTGTTGTTGGCTCTACGGTGGTGGGTTTATAGGCCTCAATAATGGGAGACGGCGGTGCCACGGTTTGCTGAATCAGGCTGACCAAAACACAACAAGAAGCAAAGCTTGCGAATCCAAAACAGGCCATCACGTCCAACTTACCTGTGAATAAGAATCGTTGTATATATTAAAATCTCTCGAGTTCGCCCGATCTTAGGATATTATATTGGGGATCAACAATATCTAAACGTGCATTATAAACCACTTAACATCTATAGTGGATATTGTGTTGGTGCCATTCATTTAATCTGAATGTTTTCAATCTTTCATCTCAACTTTGAGAGAGAAAGGCTTATGATTTGCCTCTATTCGTCAAGGCACTCTATATTTCGATAGAACGAAACTCCATACCGCATTTTTGAATAAAATTGTTATGAAAGAAATTCTTTTGAATCGCACGACGGCCTTGATATAATTCAAATTGCAGGCCAAATCTATTATAACGTTTTTAAACTAATATCGGAATAATAATTTTATAATTACATATACCTACTTTGTATCGAAATTACGAGTTTTCAAATTTGCTTGGTTTTGAGTACGAAGTGATCCGTGCTAATGAGATGGGTACAGTGCCAAAGACAAATGCAATTTTGAAACTTAATATTGATTCCAGAGGTTTTATACGCAAAGTAGACGTCGCCTGAGCACACTGTGGGTGTGCTTCCTTTTTAATTTCCGGTGTGACCTTAGTAAATCGGCAACGCAAAACGCAGAACGCAAAAACTCACGGCACTAGTATAACAATGGAGTTACCGAGGACTTTTGACAAACAAGTTAAGAAACACTCAGTGTAATCTCCTTTTCCCCTATCACCTAGTAACACCTGAAAGCACAAAATGTCATCAAACTCAAATGTCGTCAAGCAACTATATAGATTTCATCATTTCATGTAAGTCGCAATCTTATCGTAATGACATTAGGCTATAAACGTTTGATATATAGATTTGCAGTTGGCAGAAGTGTGAATGGCAGAAGTGTGACCAAAAATAAATTGTTAGTGGACTGTCACCTATACAGTCGGGGTTTTGACTTTTGAACAAAGGGTGGATGGGTGCCAAATCTAAAAATTACAAAAACATTCTTGCTACAATTAATTCCTATAAGCTCTGTGTTCCTAAACTTGTATTCAGCACCTGACGGGTCTCTAAGATTTCTTAATACACAAATTATTCCCAGTTTGTAATATGCAAAACATGAGATTTACAGAGGTTTACATAGGGTGGAGTGAAAAGCATTTAGCAACTGTAATAAAGCCAACGAATAATAGCAATATTGTTCGTGTGCAAGTTATTTTTACACAGTGTTATCAAGAAAACAACTGTAAATTTGACTTTGTCTCGCGTTGACTATTAATTTTCTTTCAGCTTAATTACCCTGGACCACCCACCAACACATTTGAATAGAATTTCAACGCTGTAATGTTGTCTTGTGTTGGAGAACAGAGAAATCTCAAACAGTGGACCTAAAAGTCTCACTATGCGCCATTCTCAGGTAATTAGAGCCTGCTGTTGAAAGCAATACAAAAGAGAGGCCGTAAATTTATCTTAAAATCTAAACATGTTTCCTGCCCTTTGTTAACGTCAAAACAGCCACAAATCGCCTCGGTGGCATTCATCTAGCTATACTCAATTATTATTTTACACGTAGTATTTCATGTGAAACTCTCAATGCTAAAGTAAGACATAAGTGGATTTCAAGAACTACCAAAAAGAGTCTACGTCCGGTTTTGTGTCCGGTTATGGTGGTTAGGCTAGTTACTCATCCAGTCTTTAAAGCAAGTGCTTCAAATTTGGCTTGCTTTACCTTTAATGTCGCTGCATATAAAGCATGTTTTAAGCTGTAATATGTATTGAATAACTAATTATACTATATATTTTCAAGAGTTTTTGTGATCAGGTCAACATAATCTATCGTGTATGATTCCCTTCAGACTTTTTTCATCCGTCGACAAAAATAACTTGGTTAAATACACACAGTCTTTACGACGGGTTATCGATGATGAATTTCCAGTTCCGCACTTATGTTGTTTTAATTAAAGAGGCTCTTGTAATAAAGTCCGTAGTGAGCGACAAAAAAGTTCGTAAAGACTATATCCTACCAGAAATTGTTTTCCAATTAAGATTGTTGTGCAAATTGAAATACAAGTATTACGGCGACAAAATATTGGCGATAATGCTCTGGCGAATGTTTACATGCAGAGAGAATAATGACATTTCAGGTTTTAAAATTTAGGGTTATGTGAATGCGTATAATACACTCATTTATGACTGTACGGACTCAATGAAATTTCTAAAACATCTTGATATTTCAAAGTTTCTTTATTAAAGCGTTCTTTCTTAATCTTATTCTTTCATGTGCCTTTTTTTCAGCGATACATAGTCGCTAATACAAACTTACTTTATCTTCGCCCTATAAAGTTTGCATGAGTCTTGCATTTTTTTCAAATGCTGAGTAGCTATATATTGAGTATTTGGGGGTGCAAAAAACATGGGATTCAAAAAATAGTTTTGGATAGTTGTATAGCAAGTCCAGCTCTTATATAGACTTCAAGTAGAAAGATATGAATTCATCAATAAACCATTAATCTAAAAAACGAATGGTCGCGGTCAAGTGTTCAGTTTTACTTGTGTGACTGGTTAACAAATTGATTCTTATACATTGTACAAGTCTCAGAAAATGCGAGTGGGCTTTCAGCTTTACTAGCTTACGAGCTTTAATCAAACCTGATTTGATAAACACGCCATTGTTGATCCGATCAGAACCAGTACTGCTGCTACATATGCGCTCATTAATTTTTTTGCATTCATGCAGATTGTAGTTCAAATCATTCGTGCAGCGCAACCAAAGAACGATACAACAATTAACTAGTTATATAATTGAACGCACATATTCTTGCTTTCCTAAACTTCAAACATGGGCCCATTTTATAACAGATACATTTATGTTATGACTTATATGTAATTATATGTTTGGCGCGATGACATTAAGTTGTGACTTGTGAATTTCAAACTTAGTTATTTACAAAGTAATCCATGCATAATTACATTTTCCTACACTACAAAAAATGTCACCTACAAATAAAAACGTTTTACGATTATATGTCAAAACTTACCGCGTCAGATTAGTTCTGAATATAACGCAACTTAAAGAAAGGAGTAAAAAATAACCAGGATTACAACACAACAAGTGAGTTGTCAGTTAGAATCGTGAACGCTTATATATACATATTTATGAAAGAACCATAAAACAAGGCTCGATTCCTTATCAATTTCCTGCGGAGCTCTTTATATATTCCTTTGTTTGCACACTTACCAAAGAACAAGAAATACTTTTACCCCTTTTTGGTCCTCTTGCCTATATGGTAGAACTATATAAATTATAACTTAAATCAGTTTACTTAGTTTAGATATAGTAAAATCGCTCTTGCAGAGTTTTAAAATTCATGAAAGAGGTTTATATAGGATGCATTCACCACAAGACATTGAATTTTATGTGATATTTGCCTTGATATGTATATTTTAATAATTTTAGGTATGACAGCATGCATTCAACATTTGAGAGAGGAGAGACTGTGAGGCTGAAGGAGAGAGAAAGAAAGAGAGAGAGTGCAGTTTATATGATTCAGTCTATAACAGTTTTACATCTCAATCTAAAATTAATCCATATTTACAGAGTAGGATGGATGATATAGATATATAGCTATAGGGTGTGTGTATTGCTTCAGTATAATACTTATGTGGTTTTTCTGTCGCCTTCTATCAACCACTAACCGTTCATCGTGCAGTGTTTGTTAATGACTAGACAAGACTCCTTTGTATCAACTACAACTTGCTTTCACGAACTGCTATATGCTATCAAGTACAACACTCAGGCTTTTGCGCACTGCCCAGAAATGAAGTGTTGTGGGGGCAGTGGGACTCGAGTGCTTAAACAATCACACGCATGCGAAGTGCGAGCTATGTTGAGCATTTAAATTATTTTCCCAATATATATCTCTGGCAAGACTTAATGAGTCACCTTTACGTGTATAGTAGAATTTTCTTTGGTTTGAGTTTTTGAGCTATACGCTATGTACATAAATATTTTTTCGAAGTTGGTCTATGAATTTAAAAGAATGGTATATTGTCGTCTTTGTGTTGTCTTTTTTCTTTGTTGAACACCATGTAGTTCTTTGATACGTCAGACGATCACCGTTAACTATTATAGTACTCGAAACTCTATCTTTGCAGCTTATATGGGTATAATATGTTGTGGGAAATACATTTCATTCGTGATTATTAAGTGTTAAATTAAAGTGTAAATCTGAAATTGAAAAGTATATGCAGATTATTGAAAGTCATGAGACAATATGCTTTGTATAAGGTTTTGTTGGCCCATGCATGCATGCATATACAACACTGGACCTTGTCTTTGACGAAACATTTTTCTATACTGCAGGTCAAGTGTGCGTTCTTATAGACAAATAATTTTGAGAAATTTGACTTTGTACCACCATTAAAACGGCTTGTGTATATACCAAATTACTTTTTGAGTTGCGGTGTCAAATGCATTGCTATTGACTGCGTGATGCTACAGTTTGCATGCATGTATACGCGTCTTCACTGAAACGCGTATAAACTTTCAGTCAAAATGAAATACTTTGGCATGCAAAAATTCATATTATATAACTATCTCATTTGCCGCTATATGTTACTTTTTCAGTCGCGGTGCCAAATGCATTGCTATTGACTGCATCATGCTACAGTTTGCATGCATAGTACGCGTCTTCACTGAAACGCGTATAAACTTTTGGTGAAAATGAAATACTTTGGCATATACAGAAATTCATATTATATAACCAACTCATTTGCCGCTATATATATGTATATATCTCATGATATATATATAACTAACACATACCAACGTGCACATGCATGAGATACTTATATTCCACCTAGCAATATAAGTATATTTCGTATGAAGACTGTATTTTCGGTACAAGCGGGCAATGATTTTGGAAAGACTGCATACGGGCAACATGCATGCAGTTATTACGGGAAGTTTTAACAATCTCACGGGAAATTAAAAATTTCGTACAGAAAACATGACGGGAGTTCATAGGAAATCCAGGATGTTCGTACCTGTGTGACGTGTATATATTTTCCAAAATAACTAAAAAAATAAAAAGCAATAGGAAAGCAATTTTCCTGTGTTGTGCTTTCCAAAAGGAAATTTGATCATCAATGCACACAATCCCATTTATAAATAGATTAAATTATAATTGAAATTAAATAGATCCATAAATAAGTATAAAGACCCACACAGACAGGACGCGAATTGGCAACGCGACGCGAATTTTCAACGTTTTTTTATTTTTCAAAATCAAATAATTTTTAATTTTATCTTAATACTCTTGTATATCACATA